ACGGACCTGGGTGCACTATGGGGAAAACAGGCCAGTGCCTATTCTGTAAACTACTGTTTGCTGCAAAGTAGCTATGCTCTCTGTAACATAAGCCCAGCTTGTCCACAAGAACACTGAGCTTGCTGCCCAGACCATCTCACATTTTCCTGTTTGTATATTGGATAACTTCTGCACCTTTTCAAGTCTGCCATTAGGCCAGACTCTCTCCAAGAAAATCCTAGTATGTCTTAAATCAACCATATTTTTCAACTCATCCCTAAAACTTTCTCTTAGTTAACTTTACCGGAATGTCTTTGACTTATTCTAAATCATATAGCTTGTGATGTCATTCTAAATATCATACCTTAAATCTCAACAGGCCTTATTCTGTTAAAAAAATACCTCTGAATCTATTTTTATTTTTGCATAGAGCCTGTAGCAGTAGTACTATGACACAAACATGGGCAGGTGATATTCTGATTTCTTCTAACTTCAACATCAGTTTTGATTTGGGCATTTCCCCAACTCACTGCAGCTAAGTTGGGACACATGCTAATATTTCCTTCAGTTCCTAAAGAAGAACCTGCCATCTCGGCAAAGCTATATTCTGCACTCTGGGCACTCTCATCTTCCCTGAGAAGACACAAGTCCAGGCCACAAAGCTCATGTTGGTGGCACCATGGGAGCTCTTGCAGCAGCCTCCTTCTCATACTGCAACCTGGCCTATCTCTGGCCCCAGTGCAGCCTGGGAGACAAGGCTGGCACAAAGAGAGATGGAGACTTTATGGCCTTGCTTTGGATGGTGGCAGTAGCAGGTTCTGGCATAGTAGCCTTCCTTTTCTTAATCATGACAGGCTTTTGCTGTGCATAGATCCCTCTGAAGTACTGCATCAGAAACTAGTAGGAGCTGGGAACTGGAACGTGTGACAGACTCATATCAAGTGTTTGTTTTGAATCATTCAGAAGCCCTGGATCTTGAGAGAGGTGCATGGGTGAAAGCTGGTTTTACCCTGCCCTTCTCCTGGCATTTTAAAATAAGCCCTGGGCTGGGCCTGCTCACAAGAAGCATGATGGCTCAGCTGGATCAGTTCTTGGATCCTTGACGGTTACCAAAGCTCTGTACAAAATAAGGCACAACTAGTTTACTCATCTTACAGATAGAAAACCGAAACAAAGAGGAAATGAGGTCAGAGACAGGGGAGCTGCTACTGAGCACAGTTGCCTCACTTCATTATCTAAGGATTACTGAGGGTTTTAGAAACAATAATTTCTGTACTGTTTCTCAATTACAAGGTGTTTTGTGTTCCCTGTCTAATTTATCGCAGTGTGTTTGCCAGTTCCCAGCTCTCAGTGGAGCCTGATATTAATGGGATGGATTTCCACAAATATTAAAACTTATTCAGGGGAAGTTTCTGTGAGGAAAGTGAAAAGGCATTTTGGGCTGAAGGGAAGACCTCACAGGGCTCAGAAACAGGAGGCCAGGATGTGGCCTAAATAGGAAAGAACATGTAGAGAGAAAAGTTGCTGCAGGCGGAAAAGCTGAGGTAAAAGTGGGCCCAACTGGAAGAATTAATGTATGTTAGGGCTGCCATACATGTCTTGGTTTACTTTTTGAAATATGGCAACCCTAATGTATGTGGGGCCCAGGCAGTAGAGGACAGGAGGCAGGCTGGCTGAAGGAGGGAGTAAAGACCTGAGGGAAGAATGGGTAAATGAAGGAGAAAGAAAAAGGGATTAAGTCAGGATGGGGCTGAGGGAATAAAAGGCCAAAAAAAGGAGAAAGAGGCAGTGCAAATTCCTAGCATAGAGCTGAGGCAGAGAAATCTGAAAGTGAGGCAGGGACACTGAATTGGAGGAAAGTATTGGCCATGTTCCTGACATCCTCCATGAAGAACGAGAGAAGTAGGTATGCATCTGGACAAGGACAAATGCCAATTAGCTTCAGCAGTGGTTATGAAACTATGGCCCATGGCCAAGGGAGCCTGAGCAGGCCCAACTCCTTTTTGTGAAGCCACAAGACAACACCACTTGGCCTGCTCAGGCTCCTTGATTAGAAATAACCAGCTTCATTGTTGGTTGTGTTTCTCATGAGCACTTAATACAAACTGAAGTGGGCAGAGTGGTCCCGTGAAGAGTTGCTCTGCTTTACAGCAAAAGTTCTCAAGGATACTTCTTTAGGAATGAATGGGCTGTTGCTGGAGAGTTGCTATCTCCCCTTCTCCTTCCAATGGAAGGGTATGTGCGTTACTGAGGTGGTGATGTGAAGCAGTATGAGCATGTAAAAGCGCTCTAGAAATATTATGTATGATTATCATTATCCAGTGTGTCAGGAAGCAGTGTGAAAACACACACACATCCAGCAGTTCAAAAACAAGGAGTGTCCCTCCTTATTCCTGTTGTGTCTGCTATCTGTCCCTGAAAATAATGCAGCAGATTTTCATTTCCTGCAAAAAAAAAAAAAAAAAGTTGAGGGGTGAGGAGGACTGACATAAGATCCCTGTAGCTCCTGAGAACATAAGAAGAGCCATACTGGATCATCACCCATCTAGTCCAATATCCTGTTCTCAGTAGCTGACTGTGGGAAGCCTGCCAGCTGGACATCAGCACAAATCCATTCTGCCCACCTGTGATTCCTGGCACCTGGCATTCGGAGGCATGATGCCTTTGTGAAGGTAGAACATAGTCCAAATTGTTGGCCATCACCAAATCCCCTAGGAGTGGATTCCATAGGTTAACTATGTGCTGTGTGAAAAAGTGCTTTCTTTTGTCTGTCCCGAGTCTTCCAACACCTCCCATTTCTCCTTTTTTTGGTTAGCCACATTTGAACCCTGCCTAAGGTCACCAGGGAATGCTGCCCAGCAAATCACTGTAATTGCTTGTGCTTCTAAGAAGCTACCTAACTGCACCAGACCACTGGTCCAATTACAGCCCAGTATTGCCACCCTGAACACTTTTGGAAGGGCAAGATAGAAATTCAAGAAAGGGATAAAAAAATACTCTGACCCAGAAACTCCAGCAGCTGTTTTCCTTAACTTAGGGGCACTCAGTGATGATCAAATTTACCACCTAATTGCGTAAGGGCTCAATGCAGCACTTTCTGTCTCTGATTTGGACTGCACTATCCCACAGTAGTTTCAGAAGTGATGTTTAAGTGACCTGCCCAGGCTTGTTCAAAAAGACTGTGGCGAAGGAAGCCTGCAAGTGCACCTTTTCCTAGTTGCAGATTTCTGTTAATATTTTAGCCTGCTTGGTCCAAGACGTTGCTATGCAGCAAGTTGGCCAGTTTCCTGTACACCCCCTCCCCTCATTTCCACTGTGCCTGCCTGTTCCTGGATGGCGAACTTCTCAACACACACACACACACACGACTCATCAGGACAGTTTTCTCCCTGCAAAACATCCTACACATTAGTAGCGCTATCCTAAACAAACGGAAGACGGCGATGGCCTTGGGCCCCACAGCCCCCTTTCTCTCTCCCCCCCCCCCACCTCTGCCTGACTAGATTCTGACGGAGGAGAGTTTTACTGAAGCCGAGGACGTGTGTATTTTTTTTCTAGAAAAAGGAAAGAAAAAGAAAATAATAATAAACTGGCGATCTCGGTTCCCTCAGCACAGGCTCCTTGAGGACAGATCTGTGGCGAGGATTGCAAGGTAGAATGAATGAACCAATCAACCACTCCCGTCTTCAGCCCTTCTGGCGGGGGCTCCCGCTGCACCGGGGAGGGTGGGTGCGTGGCGGGGGCTTGCCCCGCGAAAGGTTCGGTTTGCCTGGCGGCTCTAATGGCCGCTTGGCGAGGCAGGTTGCACGGAGGGAGGGGAAGCGCGCGGGGTGGGGTGCGGGTGCGACACAACTGCATTCTGCTCTCACAAGCCGAGCAGGGGCTGCAGCAGGAAGCGGGAGGGTGCGCCGCACGGCTGAGGCCCGCCGCTCCTGACCGATGTCAAGGCACCGAGCCTCCTGTGGAGGAGCTGGCAACGGGACGCGCACGGGGGAAGCTAGGGCGCTCGTTCCGAGCTCGGGCCCCCCGGGCTCGAGTCTCGCCTCGCCTCGCCTTCTATGGCTGATCTCGTTACGCTCCCGGCCGCGTTGCCACGCAAAAGACGGTGCGGCGGCGGCGGCAGCAGCAGCCCAAAGCAGCTTGCTCTAGGGAAGAGCGCGGACGCCGCGTTCTAGCTGGCCCTGAAGACCGGCTAAGGGAGCCAGGAGGTGGGGGCGTGTGGAGGGCCGGCCTCGCAGTGCCGGGGAAAAAGGGAACAGTGGGCTTCTTCCCTCCCGGGGCTAGAGCAGCTGCACCCAACCCGACGCGGGAGGAAGAGGAGCGTGGGGAGGCTCCTTCCAAGCTCGCTGCTGGGCTAGTCAGTGGCCAGGGGCTGCACCCCAGCCTTCCCCGCTCTTGCAGGATCTGGGGGAGCGGCCTGGTTTCCCTCGGTGTCGAGGGGAATCGGCCTCCCCGGTTGCGCCCGGGACGCGGGTCGGCCCTGCCATCGCCCCTCACGCGCTGACACACACACACACACACACACACACACACACACACACGCGAGTTTGGCCCCCTTTCACTGCGGGGGCCACACAGCAGCCATTTCTCCCTTCCTAGTCCTGCCGTTTGTTTTAGGAGTTCGCCCCCCCCCCTTAATCGGCGGTGCGAGCGGGGGTGGCGGCGGAAGAAAGACCGGACGGAGCTTTTCTTCCTTCGTCACCCCCATTGTTGGCTGGAGATAAGGGAACAAGCTGACCAGTCTCCCCTGTTGTTTGGCCCGGAATATGGGGATGGCCTGGCTTCGTCCTTCGGGCTCCCAACTTCAGTGGCCGAAAAACCCTCCCCGTTTCCCTCTCCCCCGTTAGAGAGGGGGACGAGGTTTGCGAGGTCGCCTAGGCTCCCAGGACCCCACCGTGCCCGAGGTGAAAAGCAGCTTAGCCCCAGGCGCACCATGTGCCTGGGAGAGGACACCGAGGCAGGACTAAGCCCGGTTGGCTGCTGGTCACGGGGCGTCTGAGGGGCTCCCCCTCCCCTCCTTTGGGCTGGCAAAGAGAGCGGCGGCGGCTGCCCAGCGGGTGGGTGGGCGAGCTCCACATCCACCATCTTTGCTCGCTCCTGCTCTCTGCTTGCAGCGCTTGGCGGGGGAGCTAGCAGAGGCCTGGCCTCGCAGGCGGCGCCCTGCCGGGGTGACTTGGTACGAAGCAAGGCTGAGGGGAAGGATGGTGCTGGGCGCTGGCAGCGAGAGGCAGGGCTTGTCCAGCGCGGGCAGAGAAGGGAGCTGCGGCGCCATGTGCAGTGGGAAGGGAGGGAGGCCGAGGCCAGGCCGGGCAGGACGGCAAAACGACGCCAGCCCTTTGGAACAGGCTGAGGAGCCCAGGGCAAGGAGCAATAGGTGGGGCAAGGGAGGGGCGGCCGCCCTGAGCGCTAGGGGGCGTCCGAAAGCGCAGGGGCCGCGTAAGTGCCCCAAGGAAGGGGGGAGGCCATGCGTAGCGACGGGCAGACGCGCACGCGCGCGCTGATTGGACAGCGCAGCCTTCGCTGGCGCTGCTGCTGTTGCTGAACCCCAAGAGTCAGTGAGGGGGCGCGCGCGAGCGCGCACAGGGGACAGCCGCGCGGGCGCGCGTGCAGCAGCGTCGCGCGGGCGCGCGCGGGCGAGGAAAGGAGCTAGCAAGCGAAAAGAAGCTGGCAGGCAGCTGGGCTGGAGACGGAGCTGGTAGGGACCGGAGGAGCCAAGTCGGCTCTTCCCTTTGGCCCTCTGCCAGGGTGGGGGAAACAGAGTCCGACAGGTAAACTGCAGGAAAGACTTTCCTGTTCTCCCCCAAGGCGGAAACTGGTGTCTGCGGGCAGATTCCACCCGGGCATTGCAAGGGCGCCGCAACCCTCACCCGGAGGGCCTCTGGAAACGGGGTGGGGGTGGGGCAAGGCACGCCAGCCGGTGTCTCGGGCCTAGTGCAGAAGCCGGGTGGTGGCAAAAGGCGGCCGGGGTGGGGGCGGGGGCGGAAGAGGATGAAAGATCCAGAAGCCTTTGCTGAAGCGATCCCTGCTCAGCAGCTGCAGATCTCTGAGAGGCGGGGGCGAGGAGGTAGGGGGAGAGTGCGAGGAGCCAGGCCAGGCCAGGCCTGCTCTGCTGCGCTCCCTGCAACCAGCAGCGGCAGGATGGATGCTGCGCTATTGTGAAAGGCGACATTAGGCTGCACCGCTCAGGAGGCAATGTTGCCTGGGTAGCTGCGGGCCGGTGGAAGAGGCATGCAGCCGGCTCGGTGCAGGCTCTCTGCGGCCCCAGAACCAGGAGCGGGAGGCGTTTGCTGGGCCTCTGCCGCCGCCGCCGCCGCCGCGGAGGAGGAGGAGCAGCAGCAGCAGCAGCAGCAGTAGAAGTGGCTGCCATTTTGGAGAACAAGGCCCTGGAGGGTTTGCCTGACCCCATTGTTGCTGTGTTTGCTTCACAGGTTGATGCCCGGCGCACAGGATGGATCAGGCCTGCGAAGTGAGCAGGAGGGGCTACCTGCCCCCCTTCGCCAGCCCTTTGGCGTTAGATGTGCCGGAGAACGGGGACGGCCCTTACGGGGGGGAGGGTCAGAGCCGAAGCCCCGAGCCACCTAATGGGTGCACCATGCAGTCAAAGGCTGCTGCTGCTGCTGCTGCCTATGGCCCAAACCCTTCCCCCTGCTACATCCCGCTGCGCAGGCTGCAGGATTTGGCCTCCATGTTCAGTGCCGAATATTTAAATGGCTCAAAAGATGGCTCTGATTGTTTGCAGGAAGTTGAAAGGAGCGACTCCAGCGCCGAGCTCTGCGATTCTTCAGTGTTAACCGACTCAGAAGACTTCACCCGGCATGACTCGGCAAGACTACTGGATTTTGATTCCATCTCTCCTTGCTTGGAGGACGACCCGGAGGTGGATTCCGAAACATCATTCCTAAAAGCAGATGAAAGCCCAGAAGAGGAAACTGAGTTTATGATGGAGGACAGAGACACCGGCACCTACAGTGAGGAGGGAGAGCCCGAGGATGGAATGGAACTGATTGAGGAGATCCAAGGAGGACGCTCCATAGAAATTAGACACAATGAGACAATGTCTACCTTGTTCCCAATCGGCTTTCCTCGAGAGCAAATACAAAGTAACACTTGCAAAGAGGCTGCAGTAGGAAATAGAACTGAAAAACTAGACCTGCGCCCAGTGTCTTATTTTCCTGGAGATACAGATTTAAAAACAGAAAAACAGTGCAGCATTACGAAGAAGGTATCTGAAAAAGAAAATCCAGCCCAAGGTCCCATCATACTAGGAAACTTGATAGAAAGGCTTGAAACTTCAATTACTGCAAAATCATCATCCTCAGCAGCAGCAGCAGCATTGCCACCTGTAAGCAGTCTTGGGGTACCCGTTAAGTTCTCTGCAAATTTATTTATGGGGAAATGTTCTACATGGTGTTCCTCTGGTCTGTTGCTGTTACAGAGAGAGCGAGAGTTGGAGGTGGGTGGAGTTAACAGGTTGTAGAGTTTCCATGTGTTTTGTTTCATTTGCAAAGCAAAGTGCAGATAATTTAAGCAAGGTAGTTTGAACAAGAGCTTTGAAAACAAAATGTTTTGTGGTCCTTCTGCCTGGCATACAATCCTAGAAGCTGACACAGTGAAAAAAATTCCTTATCACAGAAGCTGAATTGAATATAATTCCCCTCCACACATTTGAATATAATTCTCCTAAACACATGACTTGTCATCTTTCTCTGCTGGTTGTAACAAGAATTAAGATTTGGTAACTTTATAAAAGTGTTTGAAAACATGCGCCCCTCACAAACTCCTGCTCCTTATACTTAATTTTTGCACTGTTAGCTGAGATGAGGTACTGTATTAAAAAAAACCAACAACTATGATAGCTGGAAAGCCAAAACATTATTCAGACAGAAAACCTGCTCTTCAGTTTTCCTTTTCAGCAGATTCTTAGTGGTTTTCTTTTTAAAAAAGGTTTAGTCTTTGATTTTTGGCTGTCTTTGTAAGGTTAATAGGGCTGTTTCCCACAAGGTAATAGTAAGAAAATGTGTATACTTTTGTGCATATATTTTTCTTGATGCATGTGCACTCTTTAGAAACTTGCTATCAGTTGTGGCTTTTCAGTGCATTAGTATTACACCCACCCATATATATATATATATATATATATATATATATATATAGCAGCCCTTGAAATGCACATGCATTGCATTTTACATGTGGTGTGGAATGCATATGATAATGCGAGCAAGTGTTTACATCTTATGTCCTGGTATACATTTGCAGTTAAGATAGCATGTGTGAAGTTGCCTCAGTTAAAACAAAACACTCCGTTACTAAAATGAGATTTCATTTAATAGTTTAAGTGAAAAATGTGAAGACTTGCATTGTTTTCTGTTTTGCAGAATGAACTGGTGCATGCAGAGTAATTTTTTATGGTTCTGAATTCTTTTAAGAGGAGAACTGAGGTGTGTTTGTTGACTTTTAATGGTGGTGATAATGGCCTGGTTTGTACATAAAGCTAAACAAAGCCATGGTGAAATTTCTGTATGTTAGTGTGTGAGTACTCACAGTAAAAAAAAATGTGGCTAGTTCTCCCTTGATCTTCCTGATGGTGTGCTACTGAAATTAAGCCATGGTTTGGCTCAGCATTACATCTTAATCTGGGCTTGTGGTTTGTCTGAGGAAGAAAAACTGTGAGTCTGAATTTGGAAATAACGTTAAATTAATCTGTACCTTAATCTCCAGGTAGTGTGGCAGTAAAAAAGACCAGGCCATAATTACTATTGTGAGTGCTTGCACATTCACACTTAGCAATGATTTGGCTTAGAGTTACATGCGAACTGGGCCTACTGTAGTTTGAGAATACCTCAAGTCAAAAGACTTACATTCAGGTGTAACTTTGTAAATAGTGCATAAAGTTGTAGTCCTGTGTACATCTACCTGGGAATGCACACAGTGGAACTGACTTCTAAGTAAACGTGCATAGGATAGTGTTGTGAAATTATTTTCACAACGTTTGTGAAACAACATGTTGGAAAAGTCTACTAGAATATTTTGTACCATGGCAAAAATATATATGGTATTGTAGAACTTTAATTGTTTTGTGCAGTTACATTAGAATTTACCTGGCTTTGGTATTTCAGTTACTGAGAGACCTCTTCTCAAAATAATGTCACTGCCAAATGGCTCACATCTGATATTATTTCTACTGATAGTTACTAATTCCAGAGTATTGCGTAAAATATTGCCTAAATGCTTGTGGAGCAGATAGCATTGTGCAGGTGTTAATACACATATGTGCACCTGAATACTGTACAGAGAAGAAATGGGTTGTATCCAACTTAATATCTGAATCCATGGAACAGCTTCCAGAAGTGCAACAGAATGTTTACTTCTTTCTCCTCCCTTACTGCATCCTTAACCCTCTGGAGTTTTCCCCAACATTCTGGAGTAGATTTGGGGGTGGTGCAGGGGGAGGAGATGGAGGGGAAATTACGGTATGTTGCACTCACAGGAGTCATTCTGCATGTGCAGTTATTTAGCTAAATGCAACCCATTTTTTTTATTAAGGATATTGTCCCATTAAAGAAATCTTAATATGATCTGAGTTTAAGCCTATTACTCTAGCAATTACATTTGCATATATGTAAAACGAACGGTTCTGAGGCTAGCAATGTAGGCATTGGGTGATATCCAACTAAGTCATACTCGATGAGTAGTCTCATGGACATCAATGGACTGATCTAAGTATGAGTAATGTTGGATATCCCCTTTTGGTTTTGGATATTGCATGCATGTGTCGTAGCAAGCATCATCTTAGAAGAAGCATCCCCTTCTCTCTGGGACTAAAGTGAGAATACCTCTTAAGTGGTGCTATAAAAAATAATAATCTGCATGATTGATTGGGGCCCCAGTGAGGCCATAAGTGATATCAGAGCACTTTGCAGATAGTTCTACTTACCGTGTTTTTCGTTCCATAGGACGCTCCGTCGCATAGGACGCACCTACTTTTTTGGGGGGGAAATAAAGGGGGAAAAATTTCTTTTATTTCCCCCCCAAAACCAGGTCGGGGAACAGTGGGATGGCGGCGCTGCGCCTCCCCGCTGTCCCCCAAGCTTGTGGGGCTGGCCGATGTCTGCCCGGCGCGAGGGGCGCTCTGCTTCAGGGCGCCCTGCGCGTCGGGCGGCAGGCTGCTATCCGCAGCGTGGGGAGCCCTGCGGGAACTCCCGCAGGGCTCCCCATGCTGCGGATGTCTGCCCGGCACGAGGGGCGCTCTGCTTCAGGGCGCCCCACGCGCCCGGCAGCAGGCTGCGGACACCTGCGCGAAGCACGGGGCGTCCTCCAAAGGGCGCCCCATGCTCCGCGCTGCAGGCTACCACCCGCAAGCCGTATGCGCCCGGGGGGCGTTCCCCCGGGCGCGCAAGGCTTGCGGACACCTGCGCGAAGCACGGGACGTCCTCCGGAGGGCTCCCCGTGCTCCGCGCTGCAGGCTGCCGCCCGCAAGCCTTGCGCACCCGGGGGAACTCCCCCCGGGTGCGCAAGGCTTGCGGATAGCTTCCTGGAGCCTGGAGAGCGAGAGGTGTTGGTGCGCACCGACGCCTCTCGTTCTCCAGGCTTCAGCGAAAGCCTGCATTCGCCCCATAGGACGCACACACATTTCCCCTTCATTTTTGGAGGGGGAAAAGTGCGTCCTATAGGGCGAAAAATACGGTAATAACAGAATCAGTTTTACTTCCAAAATTCATTATTACATTGAGTTACAGTTGAAATGAACAACCATTATAAAACATTTTCGAAGTGTATGGCATCTAGTTTCTGTTAGGAGTTTTGTTGTTGTTGTTGTTTTTAGTTGTCCAGAATTCTTTTGATTCTCTCATCGTATAATGGCTTTTTAATGCAAATATTAAAAAAATAGAATGCTGGTGCATAAATATTGATGGGAAATGCCTTTCTTGAAAGGGGGTATTTGGAAATCAGACCTTTTTTTTGTAAGGCGTGTAAAGATGGAAGAGAGGTTACCGAAAGAATGACATCAGAAAATCTCAGAAAATAATTTTGTTTGTGGTTATTTCATAATTCAGGTCTTGCAACAGTCTCTGAGCAATGGGTCCATTCAAGGTTTAAAAGCAAGCAAGAAAATGCTGTTGGCTACTCTAGTGTCTGAGGCTCTTGTGTCAGGGATGGTTTAAGCCAAGGGAGCTATTACAGAAATACCTTAAACAATAATTCTATGACTAATTTTGGTTACGTTTTAAATTATTGTTCTTTGAAATTAGCTCAAGTAATCCAGTGATCCTATTATCGCATGTTATTTCATTATTGTAGCCATAACATTCATGTGTAGTTCTCATAGATGACCATTGCATCTTTGCAAGCTGCTAAAACCTGTATTCATTTTGGGGGTTAGGTTTCTCTCCCACCACAGTTGAATAGATCTTCAAGTTCCAACACCATGAATCAGTATCTATTGTGTTCTCAAGCACTCTTCTTCTAGGGGTGAGAGCACATGACAATTCATGGTGTGATTATTGCAAGATAAGAGTTATGTATGAGCTTCTATGCCCATCAGTTGGTGCTGCTTGCATGTGATGTAGTTAAAATGGATAAAAATTAATGAGCTAAGAATAGTAATAATTAAATATTGTTGCAAGAGCTCCCACTAGCACAGTTGGGCTTTCCCTCTCCTCCCCCAACACTCCCTCTCCACCTCCCCCACATCCGTTCTAAAGAGTCAGGAGAACCTTCAGAACACCCCATGGGAGAAGAGGGGTATTGTTTCATCTGACAAGTAAAGATACTTGCACTGATGGAATGATCAGAAGTGTGGGATTTTGAATTGCTCCCTGTAAGTTTCTCTTTTTAGAAGTAGCCTAGTATAATCAGACTAAAAAAAGCAAGTTAATCCTACAATTATTGGCTCCATCCAGCTATCAGATCATACCATAGTTTGTTGTGACATGGGCATCCTATGGCGACTCTCATACATTTCTCTTCTTCCTTCCTTTCTTTGGGGTGTATGGAGGATTAAGGCTTCCATTGCATTTTGAAACAAACTTTAGCTTCTCATTTCATCTGAATATGGAAAATAGGTTCGTATAATATCGCACAATCGAACTCTGGCTTGCTATGATTTGTGCAAACCACACTCTCCCATGTGCTTCAAAAACTGGGAAAATACAGCTTGCTTCAAAAAGCAAGAAAGCTTCCATTAGACACATGAGGAAAGGGAGGCTTGAAATGGTGCATCTGCATTTCCAAAAACTCTGGTTTGTTGCAGTTATTATTATTTATTAGATTTCTTCCCTGTTTTTCACCATGAGGTCCCATGGTGCATTACAACAATTTTAAAAATACAATATTAAAATAATTTAAAACAAATTATAGTCAGTGGAATATATTGTAAAATTTCTCAGGTGTCAAAGGCCGGGGTTAAGAGGTGCATCTTCAGCATATGATGATAACCACAAAAGTAGGGTGTCAGATGCACTTTTGTGGGGAGAGCCTTCCACAGTTTAGGGGTTGCCACAGAGTGTGCCCTCTTCTGAGCTGTCAATCTCCAAACTTGTGAGGGTGACAGAACTACCAAGAGGGCCTCCTCTGTCAATCGTAATGCCCAAGGGGGTCTGAATGGAAAACTGCCTCAAAATTGATAGGGCTTTATACTGAGTTAGGCAAGCAACACAAATGCAAATAAAGAATCACATGGAATACTGCTGTTAATGGCCTTGATGCTAGGGGCAAAGAACTAGCAGGTCATCACAGGTGATGTTTGCCAACCTTTGACATCTGAAGATGCCATCCTGTTTATGGCTAAGATACTTCTGTATCCTGTAATTATATTTTTCCCCATACCAAATTATGAATATTTATAAACAAGGACATTTCCTTTTCATCTTATGAAAATGAACTGCTCTTCCCATAACTACCAGCACTTTTGACATATGAAATTGGGGAGGGGGGAGGAAATCAAATAAGCAGTGCATCATGTATCATTTTATAAAATTATGAAAAATATCGAGTGTATATATAATTATACAAAGTATTTAATTAGACTGTTGATCCTAGTTGTAAGCCAACATGGACAAATTATTATACATTACTTTTAAAAATATATGAAGCACCAATGAGAAACTACAATCAGAAATTTAAACTGGCCTTTTTGTGATTTAAAACACATTTATTTAAATTAGTCCACCCTTGATGTAATGAAATAGCTGGAATGTAGGCCACATCGGGCACCGGTGTATCAACCCCAACTGGACTCAAACCACAAAAGGTAGCAGCAAAAGGAAGAGTTCTTGTTCTTTCTTACTGTTATTTTTTTAGTGTGAAACACTTTTTTTAAAAAATTGCCCTGCTAATGGAAGTTCCAAAGCAAGTGCAATTCATTGGAAAGGCTGCGAGAAAGTAGTTTATGACAGCCCTGTAGTGTAGTTCACGCTGAATACTGAAGGCTAGGCTCTCAGCCATTTACATCAACTTGTAGTCCTGAGGTATTAGACGCCTAACACCTCAGGGAAATCGGAAAGAGTAGCTTACAACAACCATGCAGTAAGGTATACCTCTGTTGCAAGCAGTGATAGAAATTAGCCAGGCGTCAAACACATTTTGCAACTGACATGGGTCCAATTGCAACCACTTGGAGATCTTTGGATGCCAGGTTGGCGACTGGGGAAAACAAAACGTCACTTAGAGAAAGATCTGAAATATTTTTCCTTGAAGCTTGAATTTGTTTTATTCTGGATTGTTTTGTTTTATGTTTTAATATGTTGTAAACCACTTTGAGATTTGTTTTTTAAACTATAAAGTGATATATAAATGAAGATGATAATATTAATAATAATAATAATAATATTAATAATAGTAATAATAATAATAACGATAAACTGCATTGCAGAAAAGAAGAAGAAGAAAGGCACCTAGACATTCCATTGTGGTGACCGTCACCTAGGTTTAAGGTGCCATTTGGCGATTAGATTATATATCTGAGTTGCTAACACTGGTTGCACGTTGGAATGCTATGCTGAGAGAGAAAAGCTTACAGCAGCTCTGCAATGTAGCCTGCTGTTAATATTGGAAGGTCAGAAGTGAAGCTGAAGCTTGTTTGGATTCCCAGTCAAAAGTCCCCTATACCTCTCTGGTTGCAGTACAGGTTGATGCATTAAATTGCCCCCTTCGATCTCCTTCCAGTCAAATCAGCCACTCAGTTGCATTCAGAAGCCTCATTGGCTTGCGTGAACACTGCTTGTACTTTTAAATGTTTAAAACCCAAAATCATAAATTTAAGTTTTGTGCATGAAGCAAGAGATATCATTTTAACTTTTCTTTTTCTGAGATTCTTCAGCCACATGCATAGATAACATGCACATGTAAGATATATACTGCAGCATTTAGTCTGTAGTGACATATGGAAGTTCTGTTAAGCCCACTTTACTTTTTAGAGATTTGCTAATCTCTATCAAGGGCGCTATATATTACCGTATTTTTCGCTCTATAACACGCACCCGACCATAACACGCACGTAGTTTTTAGAGGAGGAAAACAAGAAAAAAATATTCTAAACGAAACAGTGGATGTATGATTTTTGTGGTTCATGCTGTGGCCACAGACATGTGATCTGACAGTGAGTTTGGAGTAGCCCAATGCAAAAATCCTGAGGATCCATGTGGATCCATGTTTGTAACCACGTTTTTGCACCACTGCGGCCCCACGAAACAGTGCGTGCGTGATTTTTTTGGTGCAAGATGTAGCCATGGACATGCTATGTGATCTGATGGTGAATTTGGGGTGACCCAGTGCAAAAATCCTGAGGATCCATGTGGATCCGTGCTTTGTAACCACGTTTTAAGTGGGGAAGGAAGGAAAAGCACTCAAGGGACAAGGAGCACGCGTGGGGTGGGTGGAGAAGGATGCTGCTAATAATGAAGAAGAGGGGTTTAAGGGGAGAAGAAGCACGTGTGGGGTGGGTGGAGAAGGATGCTGCTAATAATGAAGAAGAGGGGTATAAGGGGAGAAGGCTCCTCTCCTCTCCCACTTTGCTCCTATAAAGAAGCAGGCTCTCTGTCCCTCTCTCTTCCCCACTCAGCGGCTCTTCTCCCACTTTGCTGTTTCAAAGCGAGCCACTGAGGAGGGAAGGAAGGGGAACCATGGATCCTCTGCTCACGACTGCAGCAGATCCCCCCCGCCACCCGTAGGCATTTCCTCCATAACACGCACAGACATTTCCCCTTACTTTCTAGGAGGAAAAAAGTGAGTGTTATGGTGCAAAAAATACGGGACCTTATCCCCCTCCCCCCAGTGAAACTGGCAGTCTTCTCAGTAGTGTTCATTTGTAGCAGAACTAATGGTCCTAATTTAACCCAAAAGCTTTAACCAGAATAGTCTGCCACATGCAGAAGGACATTTTGCAGTACAGTCCCAGGCATGTTTCCTCAGAAGTATCATTTAAGTTCAGTGGGATTTACTTCCTGGTAATTGATTTTAGCATTGCCGCCTTAATTCAATTTATTTCAATGGGCTTAGGCCGTCCAGCTGCATCTAGGATAGCAGTTGATTTATTGGTGGGAGGCAATTTTAATTTATGTAGACAAATGATGACCAGTAGATCAGAGAGTTTATCTTTGTTTATTTTTTGGAGGTTCCAATGTGTTACTGTTCATAGAAAATAATATATTTGTTTCTTTGTTTCTTTCCAACAATGAATAGTAGCTTTTGCTAACTTATTAGTTGCCTCACATTTCTTTCAAAAGCTCAAATAGTATCTGTCTCAAGGTTTTGCTTACACTCACATGTAAACAGCTACAGAATTTTAACTGACTGAAATTCAGTCAGTGGATAATCTTAGTTCATACCCTTTAGAATCCCAGATCAGCAACAAATACTCCCAGAGCCAAATCCATCCCCCTACGGAATACTCTCTGATCCCAGCCTTGACCCCCCCACTCAAGTTGCCAACTTGGAAGCTATAAAAGATGTATGGAGAAAATTGCAGTTGTGGCTGTGGAGGTGAAGTAGGATTTACCCTCTGTCACTACATCCAAACTATATCATTATTACAAAATTTATTACCCTCCCCTTTACCAGGAGGTCCCATGGAAGGTTGTAACATGAACTATGGTCAGAAGAATAGGATGAGTCCTGAAAAGATATACCTCAAGTGTCAAAGGCCAGGATAAAGAGATGGGTCTTCAGCGTGTCAGGTGACAGTGCTGGATCCAGGAGTACATCCAAGCTTCCTTCCTCCTTCTAAGGAAGTGCAGACCCATCAGAAAAGGTGGGCTTTCCACCTCCTGGACTTGAGAACACATAGCACTTTGTTTCACAATTTCACTTTGTTGTCCCCCATGCAGCTCATCACTGCCTCCAAACACCTGTCTTGATGTCTCAGCCAGCTCTTCTGATACAGATGGGAATGAGAGAGCGCTCTGGGTGTCATTCATATATTGGTGACACGTCACTCCAAAACATCTGATGACTGGTCCTAGTGGCTTCATATAGGTGTTAAATTGCATGGGTGATAAGAAGTATAGTGCCCCAACGACCACTTCCTTGAGCTATTCCAGAAGGATGCTATGGTCAATGGTATCAAAAGTCACCAGAAGGTCAAAAAGAATGAGCAGGGTTGCATTCTCCCAATCCCTCTCCCGACAAATGACATCAGCCAGGGCAGTTTCAGTGCCCTGACCAAACAATGGCTTGTTGCTGATTAGGATTTTAAAAATGGTGTTGTTAAAGCCATTAATTTGGGGGGAAACTATCTGAAATTATTTACAGTACAACAGGCAATCCCTGCTGCTGCAGATTGGTGAGTTACATTAAACTTCTATGTCACATATAACCATAAACTGTAGCATAATTTGTGAACAAGTTCTGGGATGTACTTGACAGATGCAGTCCTTGCTAGAGGCCAATTACTTTCCTTTTAGGGATATTTCTTTTCAGGGAGAAATAAGCTTGGCTCTTGGAGGTGGTGGTGGTGTCTTTGTATGGAAAGATCCCTTGCTTGTCAAGAAGCAATAAGGTACGTCATACTCAATCGGGATGAACACTTCTAAGGATGAAGGGTGACCATGTTTTTTTAAAAAAGAAACCTAATGACAGAACTTTCATAAGTGGTAATTATACGAAGTAAACAAGCAGTAGTGAAGTATCGATCATGCCTGCGCTTTCTTTCATAGGTTATTTAGAGGAGGCTCCTTTTCCAATTGATTAGTTATTACTAACACTACTACACAGTATTCATTAGTGTTTTAAGTTTCTTCACGATGCTCTTATCTTGCAGTTGTGTAAAGGGAGATATTATCAGTGAGTTGCTGCATCCTTTAAATTGGCTCTTGAATGTCTGTGTGCCTCACTGTTCAGAAATGTGATTGATTTCATAGTACAATTAGGTGGCAGGAATGTATGCCTTTGAAGAGAAAGGAAACATCTTGCAAAACCAGGAGTGAGGAACCTCAGGCCCAGGGACTCAATACAGCCCTCCTGGCCTCTCTGTCTGGCCTTTGAGACTCTTCCTAGGCCATGCCCCACCCTTGAGGCCCCACCTGTTACTGGCCCTGCCCCACGATTGCCTTACTGGAATATGTTCTAGATAATGTAATTTGCTCGCTCGGTTGGATGGAGAGGTGGTTGTGGATGTGTAGAAATCCACAATTCGTGCTTGGCTGGAATGTAGCCTATTGAGGTGTAAGAGTCATTGTATGTGTTACACAGAGCAGATTTAGAGAGGAAAGGGGGAAACCCCTGTAGCATACAAGGAAATCCTTGTACTGATGGGACATCGTAGTTGACTACCACCCATAGGGATTATTATTATTTATTTTTTGTTTATTAAATTTGTCAGTTGCTTCACCTGGCCCAGGACAACCCAAAGTGTCTTACAACCCAACAAATGGACAGTAAATCACACATAGATACATTAACACCAAGAGGAAAGAGAACTACAACAAAAACTTCTCACCCACTTTTTAAAGGCCAAAGATAGTGTAAGGCCAAAGGCCTAGTTATAGAGGAAAGTGTTGGCCTAGTGCATTAGTAACCTGGTCATAGCTGGATGCCTTCTATTCCATTTTGATAGCATTGGTTAAGGCTTCAGTTGCAGTGAGAGAAGACCAGATTGTGCCATAGCTCATCAAATAGCGCTATAAGACAGGGCTACTCTGTTTAATATGTACTTTGATAAGGAATATTACAGTGGTGCCCCGCAAGACGAATGCCTCGCAAGACGGAAAACCCGCTAGACGAAAGGGTTTTCCGTTTTTGAGTTGCTTCGCAGGACGAATTTCCCTATGGGCTTGCTTCGCAAGACGAAAATGTCTTGCGACTCTTGAGATTTTTTGTGCGCGTCCCCCCCCCTTTATCTAATCCGCTAAGCCTTTAATAGCCTTTAATAGCCTTTTAGCAGCTAATCCGCTAAGCCTTTAAGCCTTTAATAGCCGCTAAACCGCTAATAGCGCTAATCCGTTAAGCCGCTAATAGGGTTGCTTCGCAAGACGAAAAAACCGCTAGACGAAGACTCTCGCGGAACGGATTAATTTCGTCTTGCGAGGCACCACTGTATCAGCTATCTTGAAGCTGTAAATATTAGTAGTTGTGTGAGTTGAGAATTTCAGCTTATTTGAGAAATAAGGGTTCTGTATCTGAGAGACAAAACTGAAAATTATTAAAACTACATTATGTACTGCTATTTAGGTACTGGAGCATATACTATACACTCCTTGTAATAAAATCACCTGAAAGCCATGCTTGTCATGCGAACAGGTTTTGCATTTCCTGGTTTATCTTGTGTTCTGGATAGAATTAATGATGGGCTAACACAAAGCTCTACATCTTGGAGACTATCATGCTGATAATCACTTGTCAATTGGATATTGTTGTGGAAAGTAAGGAGGCAACTATTCAGGGACTAGTTGTTTTTCATGTTTGGAAAACAGTAAAATGTTATTTGAAAATAAATAAACAGGAGAACTTTGCTGCATTGAAAATATAGGAAGTGTGTCATAGAAAGTGCAATAACAATAAAGATACCAGATGCTGAAAAAACTTATTTGCTAACCAAACAGATAAATATTTTAAATAATTAATAGTACATATTGATTGATACTGGGGAGAAACAACCCCGTTTCCTAACTTCTATGATGAGAATGTTTTGGAAATTATTTTATTAATTTTTATCTAACCAAATTTCTCATTTCATTGCATTGCATTGCATTTAGTTACAATAAGCATGGCCTTTTTGTCTGGAGCAGGGGGCACTATGAGAAAGGTACCGTACAACATTATGGGGAAAGTTTAAAAAGAGATTTAACAGCAATCATAATAGCCTGAACAGTCTTTCTAAATTAACACAACCTTCTTTTGAGATGTTTTTAAATGAAACAATGATATGCTATATAACAAAGGATAGGAGGAGATTATTTACTTAAAACGTTAACACCATACTGAACTTCAGGAAGCGGTAATTTCTTTATCAGTACAATGTAAATGGAGACAGTGCTTCTAGAAATCTATTTTGTTTATATCCTGTTTCTTTTTATGTTGAATAATATCCCCATTTTGACATGGCTAATTCTCAAAGTTTATTTATCCAATATTTTGAGCAGACAACATACTTGCTGTGACTATCATGGAAGAAGTTAATTTTCTGTTTTCTCTGTTTATTGAGATGTATAATTTAACAACAGTAATAGGGAATCTGATAGTACAGTGGTGCCTCGCAAGACGAAAGTAATTCGTTCCGCAAGTTTTGTCTTCTTGCGAGTTTTTCGTCTTGCGATGCACGGTTTCCCATAGGAATGCATTGAAAATCAATTAATGCGTTCCTAGGGAAACCGACTTCAGACCAGGTCCGGGGACAGTCTGTCCCCCGACCTCTTCTGAAGGCGGGGGGGGGGGGGACAAGGGCTTTTCTTCCCACCCACCCCAGCATTTTAAAATCCCGCGGGACCGCGGAGGGCTTCTCCGCTGTCCGGGGCGATCTTTAAATGCTGGCGGGCGGCATTTAAAATTGCCCGGGACAGCGGAGGACTTCTCCGCTGTCCGGGGCAATTTAAAGCCCCTGGGAAGGCAGGCAGGGGGACAAAGACTTTTGCCCCCCGCCAGCCTTCAGAAGAGGTCTTCTGAAGGTTGGCGGGGGGCGAAAGTCTTTGTGCCCCCCCCCACCTGCCTTCAAAAGCTGTCCAGCCAAGGCTTCGCGGACCTCTCCGCAAGCAGCGGCAGCACTGCCGCTGCTTGCGGAGAGTTGCCGGCATGCCGAAGCCTGCGCGCGCTGAGATCAGCGCGCCCAGGCTTCGCGGACCTCTCCTGCCTTCAAAAGCCGTCCGGGATAGCGGGAAGCGCTTCCCTGCTATCCCGGACTGCTTTTAAAATGCTGGCGGTGGGGAGCAAAGCCTTTCGGCCCCCGCCAGCCTTCCTGGACCTCTTCTGAAGGCCGGAGGGGGGGGGAAGGCTTTGCTCCCCACCGCTAGCATTTAAAAGAGGTCCCCGGAGATTTCCCTATGGGCTTTCGTCTTGCGAAGCAAGCCCATAGGGAAATTCGGTTTGCGAAGCGCCTCCAAAACGGAAAACCCTTTCGTCTAGCGGGTTTTCCGTCTTGCGAGGCGTTCGTCTTGCGGGGCACCACTGTATTCATAGAGTAATGTTTTAGATATTACATCTTGTGCCTGTTTACTCATACAGTTGTTAACCTGTTCCGATTCATAATTATTATTCAATAACAAAGGATAAATTTTGGATAAATGATCTTTAACTTTATAAAAAGTCTCAAGTTTTGTTAAATTCCTTAACTTCCAAATTTCAAAACAACATGGTTCAAATAATTTTTTTTAAGAAAAGGTTTCGAAACAACCTCCCCTTTTTGAAAAACACTGAACCGTGCCAAATCCTCTGGATAATTTCAGGGTTGGATTGCTGCAATTGCTGTGTTGGGCTATCCTTGAGGTTGATGTCAAGGCTTTAGTCAGTAGAGAACATGGTGACTGGGTTATTTGTGGGGACAAACTACTGCCAGATAACAACATAACACAATTCTCACCATGAAAATTCTTCCAGATTTGTCAGATCTTCTAATTCCTAATATAGAAAATCATAATAATTTATGTAGAATTCATATAATTCATTAGTGTCCTTACTACTCAGATATCATACAGATTTTTATTTGTAGCTTTATGCAAATTATTTTCTTACTTTTTAAAAATCTGTTTTATATCCTTTTGCTTTATCTTTATATCCAGCTAATGAGCTATAATCAGATATTAGCCTTCTAGTCCTGCCAAAGACTGAACTGAATTTGATGGGGATATTTCTGTGTCTTGTTCATGTGTTACTATTCATAGGAACATAGGACGTTCCTTATACAATGTTAGACAACTTATTCCATCTGTTCCAGAGCACTGTCTATGACTGGCAGCAGCACTCCAGGGCCCTGGTACCTTCCAGATGTTGTGGACCAGGCATAGGCAAACATGACCCTCCAGATGTTTTGGGACTACAACTCCCACCATCCCTAGTTAACAGGACCAGTGGTCAGGGATGATGGGAATTGTAGTCTCAAAACATCTGGAGGGCCGAGTTTGCCTATGCCTGTTTTGGACCATCAGCACAGCCCTTCTGAGTGGGCCCAATGGGAGCTGTAGTCCAAAACACCTGTGGGGCAACAGGTTGGCAAAGGATGATCTAGAAACCTGTTGCTTACAAATGAAAGAAAGGAATTCTGTCATAGGTGTGGGTCTTGCTTTCTTCACGGTAAAGAAATGGGAGGATATTTTACACATTGGTATGTGTGAGTATTCAAATGCTTGGACTGTGTTCAACACCAAATGATTTTGTAAGGAGAAACCATTTTGCTGTAATTAGGATATGTATTTTTGGGAATGTGGGACAACAGAAGGTGTGTTGTTCAATGTCTCTACCCTTTATAAAGAGGGATATTGAATGCTGTGCAGATATAGCAGATAGCTTTATATGCAGTATAGCAAACTGCATTTCGTTCTGCGTTAAGTAGGCTAGGTGAAGTCCTCTAATTACATGAATGCTGTTAAGATTTAACAGTAAATTAAATCACTTGTTCATACTTTCGCCATTACAACCCACCCTCCGCCCGAACATACACTATTACATAGATTCATTACAAAATGATCAAAATCTTATCTTTCGTTTTGCTTCTGAGAATGTTCTGTAATTGAAAGAATTGGATTGTACACATAATTCCAGTACTTTCCCCACAGGGCTGTTAATGAAATCACATCTGCCTATAAAGGCAGCAAAGAACCACCATGGCTTTAGAGTGCTGTGAGAGTCAGGGCCTCATCCCTCTTACGACTGTGCTTTTTTATTTTAGTAGGATGATGCATAATACTGTCCCATAGTGGGAGGGGTTAGAGTGGGTGGGAGGGGTTAGAGTCTGACATCCTCTCAGATGGGAGCTGGAAATTTTTGACTAGGGGGAGAGCTGTGTAGATGATAACTCTGGTGGAGTCCTGGACTAAATTTGGTATTGGTACAGTATCAGGCTGCCAGTATTGTTGGGGGGGGTGTATATTTTCCTGGGGACTTGTTGGAATAGGTAAGTGTTGGAGATTGTGTTAGTGTTTTTGTGTGTGAGAGAGAGTTTGGTTAAATGTGTGCAGGTGTTTGATGATTGGGAAGATAGGGCTCTGTTAGTTGATGTGGAATTTGTGTGCGTATTTGAGTAAATGGGACCATATTTTATGGTTATTTATGTTCCATATGCTGTATTATACTTTGTAATATATTATATACTGTACCTTCTGCTTATCAGTGGTTTCTGAATGAACCACCTGAAAAGCAGGTGGGGGGAAGGGTTTCTGGATGTGGCAGGGCTCAGGTGGTGGGTGATGCAGGAAAGGAACATTCTTCCTGCATTCTCTTGGATTTCTCACTGTGTGCTGAGAAAAGGGAGCCCCTTCAGCAGCACATGGCAAGGAAATGCAGAGACAGAGATCTGTGTGTGGCATTGGCTCCACCCACTTTCAATTTGGTATCACCTTGTGTTGGCACATGACTTCCATAATGTTGCTGACAAGGGAATACAGTTCATCACTTGAGCTGGAAACTATTCCCCACCAGTAGGTGACCTAAAAACAAGTCTCACTGTGTCAAATGGACCTTACACCCAAGCATATGTGTGAAGGTTGCAGTCAATAAAACTTATTCCCATCCTTCATCTCCCAGCCCTATTCCTTTACCTTTGCTATGGGTTTTATTGACTTTGCCTATTTTCCCACCCTTTTGTTGTGTCCTCCGTTTCCCACTTTCTTCCTGCCTTCACCCCATCAGCATTTTCCATATTGACTTCCATTTGCTGTAAGGAAACAGGCATGTTAGTTCTGGGGGAACGAAATTAATAAGTGGACTTGTGAAATGCAAGCAGCTCTTTTTCTGGATCATCCCATGTGAAACATTCCAGTTTACACAGTCAGCCTTTCTGCCTAAACTGAGTGCCCTGTTTGCAATGTGTGGTTTGCACTCTGGTTCTTCCCTTCTGCTGTCTCCATACCCTGAGCACTTGGTATCTCACCATTGCCTGTGAAACATCCTTATGGTTCAGAGCCATAATGAGCTAAAATAAATACTTTTAATTTATTTTATATGGCCACAACATTAATTAAATACAACTGCAGTCATACCTTGGTTGTCGAACACCTCAGTACTCTGACGTTTTGGCTCCCGAACGCCGCAAACCCAGAAGTGAGTTTGCGAACGTTTTTTTTTTGGAAGCCGAATGTCTGACGTGACTTCTGCAACTTCCGAATGAGTGCAGGAAGCTCCTGCAGCCAATTGGAAGCTGCGCCTTGGTTTTCAAACTGTTACGGGAGTCAAATGGACTTATGGAACGGATTGAGTTCGACAACCAGGGTATGACTGTACTGTATTTCACAAACACACTACTAGGTGTGAACAGAACAGAGTTCATGCCCTCTGAAGCAGGGCTGGCAAACCTGCAGGCCATATATACCCCTGCCCCAGACATTTTCAGTAGCTCACAGAGAGCTCTTGGCATTTGCCCTCCCCCTTTAATTTTTTTATTTTAAAATCACAAGTCAGTGCTGTTTGTGCCTAGGAGACCTTCCCTGCTGAGTAACTCAAGTGGTAGTGTTATATTCACTGTCGCTTCTTGGTTCTGTAATACCAAAATTTGTTTTGAAGGGCAGGATGCAGTCCTCTTGACCTAGCACAGCCATGGTTCAGGCCCTCTGCCTGAAATATGCAGGGGGAAATAGGACTGGGCTTAACTATTTTTATAAGGTAGTAGTGAAGATTGATGAGATAATGTGGATTAAGCACTTTAACAATTAAGGCACTGTGCAAATGTTGTTGTTATTGAGAGACCTGGAGAACACCTGAATCATAGCTACAGTTCTGTTTCAAGTACAGTAGAACTAATCTCCTCCTCAGCCAAAAACACCAAAGCAAAACTCTCACAGAAAGGGGTGGGGAGGTGCCAAGGCCATTTAAAGCCATTCTTTGGATTGCTAGGGAACTAGAAAGCGCCTGTAATCTTCCCATCACTTTCTTAATGAGCAAGGAGCATCACAGTTGTTAATGAGATGGAGAAAAACTACAGAAATGATATTCGCTGGAGACAGAACCCTAGTGTTAATTTGCGCAAGCATGTGATTTATTCTGCTGCTTCCAATGAGACCAGTGGAGCTGAAAACCGCTTTAAAGTGGCTTTATGAAAAAGATAGTTATTGGATATGTGCAATAATTAAGACTATTAATAGTATGACTGTTTCAAAAGGGAGCTTTTGGCTGAGCTTGATATGTCTCTGCCATGACTGAGCGCTTGTGAATTTAATATAATTTGTTTAGCAATTTCTTCACTTAGTGTGATCATCTCTATAAGCTACCTTACAAGGAGAACTGAAAATTAGAATTTCATCTGTGTTTATGTGTTGGGTTTTGAAATGTAGGAAGTGAATGTGTGTTCCAAAGAAAGAGGTCTCTCAATAAGACGCAATGACCGGTGGGGGTTTAAATTCTTTTTTAAAAAAATATTTCATTTTTTTATTTTTCTTAACTCTTAACTTTTCTTGAGAGTCCCATGGACTGCAAGAAGATCAAACCTATCCATTCTTAAGGAAATGAGCCCTGAGTGCTCACTGGAAGGACAGATCCTGAGGCTCCAATACTTTGGCCACCTCATGAGAAGAGAAGACTCCCTGGAAAAGACCCTGATGTTGGGAAAGATTGAGGGCACAAGGAGAAGGGGATGACAGAGGGCAAGATGGTTGGACAGTGTTCTCGAAGCTACGAACATGAGTTTGACCAAACTGCAGGAGGTAGTGGAAGACAGGAGTGCCTGGCATCTCTGGTCCATGGGGTCACGAAGAGTCGGACACCATTAAACGACTAAACAACAACAGTGCTTCAGCAGCTTCGAGAACACTGCCCAACCATCTCGTCCTCTGTCGTCCCCTTCTCCTTGTGCCCTCCATCTTTCCCAACATCAGAGTCTTTTCCAGGGAGTCTTCTCTTCTCATGAGGTGGCCAAAGTATTGGAGCCTCAGCTTCAGGATCTGTCCTTCCAGTGAGCACTCAGGGCTGATTTCCTTAAGATAGGTTTGATCTTCTTGCAGCCCATGGGACTCTCAAGAGTCTCCTCCAGCACCATAATTCGCTTTGCTGAAGCATAGTGTTAGAGTAATACTGTTTGGATAGTATGTGGCGATGAGGTGGTGAGATGTGGGAGACAGTGAAAAATGGATGTATTTTGTAGCATGCTTGCCCTGTCCCCTTACTTGTTTGTGTGGGGTGTTTTGTCCTGCCATCCCCAACTGTTAAGAGTGCTGTGAGGGAGTTGCTGCAAGGTTCCTGTGAGGGTTCAAGGAAAACAAATGTTCACACTGTGCTCCAGGTCCTGGCAGGGTTCTGGGGACACAAGTTGTTTGTGCAAAGAGCTCCCTTTGTGTGCAGAGCACCGTTTCTTCCTCTTTTGTATTGCAGGAGTCCTTTCTTGTGAGCCCTGTGTTGCCAGAGACAAGAGAAATAAGCCCCACGCTGCATGACTTGTCATCTTGAGTTATGACCTCCCTGTATGTGGTTTATATACTTGTGGTGGTAGGCTGCATTTGGGCGTTGAGACTACACCATAGCCTATGTGAGAGAGGTGCTCACTGAGGTGGGGCGGCGGCTTTTTTTTCATTTGTTTTCCTCCCACTGCTGTAAATGGGAGGAAATTTCTTGCATGTGGTCTGGGGCTGTTGTAAAGCTACGCTGTCACTGAGGATGTGGTAGTGGTCTGTGGGGAAGTGCTTCTTCCCTCTGCCATTTCTGTGCCAGTGGAACAGCTGCACTTCCATGGTGCTATGCTGCCATATCTGTTATGGCACCAGTGTCTCTCCTTCCACAGAGTTCCACGTAGCCCCTCAGCCAGCATAACTCACGCATAAGAGTGTTCTCTCATGTGTAGTGTCTTTCCTAATGTTGTCTTAGTCTAAAACTGTGAATCATAATGCATCATGGTTTTTGTTTTGTTTTTAATAAAAAAGTTAAATATTGCTTGTTGGACTAGAAAAGGTCAACATTTGGGGGACTTAGATTATGGTTTTATAACAATTTTAAAAACATTGGTCTGTTTCAAAAAAAGGGCGTATCTTTCATTTTGAATCACACTTTAATTCTTAATTACGGTAACTTTGCGAGCACGAAGTCTTCCTAACTGCAGATATGTGCCCTTGGCACTTCCTCTTTCTCTGTATTCTATGTAGTGGAAAATTGAAGTAGATGACTAGTACAATTGTGCTCTGGCTCCAATAATTTAATGTTGAACTCACAACTTTTCACTTCAGAACTGATGATAAATTACACGAGAGCTAAATTTCTGTGACAGATTTTTATCTGAGGACTTGGGTTTCTGCTAAAGAGTTGAAAGCAACGTAGGAAGCAGCTTTATACCTTATAGGTCCACCTAGTTCAGTGTTTTGCTACTCTGACTAGCATCAGAGGTCCAGAGTTGTCCTTCTAAGGCCTACCTGGAAAGGCCATGGATTGAACGGCGGACATTTAGTATGCAAAGCAATTGTTCTAAATATGTGTTCTACCACCTTGCTATGGAAGGGGGGGGGACACAATTTGGAAGGGGAGAAGGAGATGCTTTTCTTCTGAACCTACTTTCCCCAGTTTATTTCCCCCCCACCTTGGGTTTCCAGGTGTGTGGTTTTCCTGTATGCTAGAGAAAACAGGTTAAGAATTAAGCACCCCACACTATCTTCCACATCTCCATCAGTCACTGCCTCTTCCTTCTGCTTTTCAGCTGTTCATCCTCACATATTAAAAATTAGTTAAAATCAGCATCCATCATTTTTAACTGGACATTTAAGAAGCACAAATGTAGTCTGTAATTATGGTTTCTTGATTCAGGCATCATGCTGCACCACCATTGTTTTCAAACCATGGTTTCTGATTCTGCATTCCTGGTTCTGCAAATCATGGTTTGGCAATCCGTACATCACAACAAGCATTGTTTTTAATATGTTTACAAATTCAGTTTCCCATTTTCTATTGCTTTCTCATACATGCATCTTTGCACTGTTCTTCTGGGGACTGCAAGATGCAGTAAAGGCTCACCCATTCATTCTGTCTTTGATTTTGGAGCGAGCTGAAATGAATCAATTTAGTGTTGATATGGGGAGATTTTTAATCCATCAAAGAAAGTGGGTGTGTCTGGATATATAGTTTGCAACTATCTCTGTGTCTTACCAAGAAAAGTTGGTGCTGTTTTAATAAAGCTGTATTTAGTCTGAGGAGCTAATTTTCAATATTGGCTTCAAACACTTAATAACTTTTGTGTAGCACTTAGTTTTAAAATTATAAATTTACTCCTATAATTTTACATGTAGAATCATGGCTAGAATGCAAAGAGGAACACACATTTTTGGGTGTTGATATTTCTGTTTGGAAGGATCCCTTCACAGAATGCTGCTCTGAAAGGTCCTCCAGTCTTTGAGAGAGAGAGGTGGCCTTTCAGAGAGTGGAAGGAGAAGTTAGCCCCATGTGTTCCACCTTAAAAGCAAGTCTAGAGCTTGATTCTTTGATCACATTTTGCAGTCACTAAGAAACATTAGAACTGAAAACGTTCCTCCTAACGGCAAGGGTATCCAAATCCTCAATTTTAGCAATAACATCTCATTTCCTCCCTTTTCCTCCCCACCCTTTATTTTGCCTAATACCAGTTTAGAGCTTTAGCTGTTTCCTTGACAGGAAAGGGCAGCGATTCTGTTTTTCCATTAGGAGAGGTGTGTTCAACTCATCCACATTTAGAGTTCTAAAAACAGCTTATTTATTAGTGATATAAGTTTGCCCTAAGGGACGCGGGTGGCGCTGTGGGTAAAACCTCAGTGCCTAGGACTTGCTGATCGCAAGGTCGGCGGTTCGAATCCCCGCGGCGGGGTGAGCTCCCGTCGTTCTGTCCCAGCTCCTGCCCATCTAGCAGTTCGAAAGCACCCCTAAGTGCAAGTAGATAAATAGGGACCGCTTTCTAGCAGGAAGGTAAACGGCGTTTTCGTGTGCGGCGCTGGTGCTGGCTTGCCAGATGCCGCTTAGTCATGCTGGCCACGTGAACCAGAAGTGTCTCCGGACAGTGCTGGATCCCGGCCTCTTAAGCGAGATGAGCGTTCAACCCTAGAGTCAGACACGACTGGCCCGTACGGGCAGGGGTACCTTTACCTTTAAGTTTGCCCTTGGCAAATGTTTGGTTTGATGAGGGAAAGAGTCAGGGTTTGCTGCTGGGCCTGCACAAAGTGTAGGTTGTAGATCTGTTAACTGATTGGAAGAATGTTAAGTTGATCTGTCTTTTAACCAGTTAGCTGATTTAACTTTTTTTGTTTAGATACAAGCTACTGTAATCTCAATATTGTTGCCTTTGTTGCATTTCCAAAAGAAGTGTAAAATAACTTGTTTATAAATCTTCACATTATAACGTTGCTATTTACAGTTCAGTACACAAGAGCCTTGGTAGAATAAGAGAAGATTTGTGATATTTTCTTTCTCAATCCTTATTTCAGCAATACCTCAAAACCAAAAATAAACAAGTGTGCCCTTCCACTCTTACCCTTTTGCAATTAATCAACAGATTTAAGCCAACTGCAGTTTACAGTCCTGGTGGCTCAAGCAGCTTCCACTAGAGTGAATTATATATCAATGCAGTTTATTGTTTTTTCTCCATAGGGTCGAAATAAGAAGAAACCTGCTCCGGTGAAGTATGAAACTGGAGATCTTGTATGGGCAAAGTTCAACAGACGTCCGTGGTGGCCCTGTAAAATTTCCCATGATCCTGTGCTAGACACGCATTCAAAAATGAAAGGTAATAAAATATTATTTGCATTACATGATCAGACTTTTAGTGATTTGTATTATCCATACACAGCTCACTTTGCAGATTAGCCTCCATAAGTGTGTATTGACCAGGGTGGCTGTCAAATAAGCTGCCTGGGTGAAGCTGGTGATATTGAGGGGGGTGGGCTGTGTATCTTTAATGTTTGTATAGCTTGTCAGGCAAGCTGCACCAGCTGCAGCTTCCTCTGTCAAAAGTTCTGGAGTCCTGTACTCACTCTCTCTCTATATATATATATTTGGCTTGGTCACCCTGCCATGAAAAAGTGAAAGGGTAGTAACAGGCATCGCTGTTTTAGATTGCAAGCCCTTCATTTCTTATTTTAATTGCATACATAACCATGTGCATTGATGGCATTACATGAATGCTAATGATAATAATAAGGCCCAGCCCTAACCTGGGATAATTAGAATGTTTCATGGAAATCAGTGGAACTTGTTTGCTTAGTGGTTTGTTTAGGATTACAGGTAGGTAGTGGAAGCCTATGGCTCTCCACTTAGAAGCAAGCCCATTGAGTTAAGCTGGACTTACTGCTAGGTAAAGGTATATAGAATTGCACTTGGTCTCATCCTGTGTCCACTTTCCTCGGAGCAAGTCCAGTTAAACTCAAAGAGCTTATTTTTAAGTAGACGTGCGTAATACTGTTCAAGTATTCAATACTGGGAGATTGTGAAGAAGGGCATTCTCAAAGTTCTGGAGTTTAGGAGGTGCAAGAGGAAGCCTTTGGTGGAAAGAGAATATAGTTCAGTGGGTGGGTTTGCTGAAGGAGTATGTCATGAAGTGAAATATTAAGTGGTGAGAGAAAAATGTGAAAATGTTAGAAATCAACCAAGAAGACAGGAGTAGGGAGAGTGGACCAAGTGCAAGGAGTGAGTGTTATTTCTTCACAACAGGTAAATTATTGCCTCTTATTGTAATTTAAAACGTGTGTGCCACCATTGCAAAGTCTCTGGTATTTTGAATTAAATCCACTGTCCTTCAGAACCCCATATTCCCCCCCCAAAAAAACCCCGCTATGCTTGCATCCCTGAGAACTTCAACCAGGAACCAATTTGAAGAGTAAAACTGTTCTTCTAAAAATGAAAATTTGAAGTAGAATAGGCAGTGGTTGAGAGAATGGTACCCAAAGACGCATTGACCTCCTCTCCCAGACTCTTGTCCACATAGTGTCCAAATAGCTCCCTAACAGTATCTGAAATATGTATGCTGAAGTAGGAAAGAAAAAGAAATTAAAATTTGTGCTGTTTACTCATTCATAAGATGTTTCTCTTTGGGGAAACAGTTGCTTATCTATCCTATGATGACAGCTTCTGAACTCCTTTTAACCCATGGGTAGGCAAACTAAGGCCCGGGGGCCGAATCCGGCCCAATTGACTTCTAAATCCGGTCCGCAGATGGTCCGGGAATCAGTGTGTTTTTACATGAGTAGAATGTGTCCTTTTATTTAAAATGCATCTCTGGGTTATTTGTGGGGCCTGCCTGTTGTTTTTATATGAGTAGAATGTGTGCTTTTATTTCAAGTGCACCTTTGGGTTATTTGTGGGGCATAGGAATTTGTTCAACCCCCCCCCCCCCCAAAATATATATATATAGTCCAGCCCCTCACAAGGTCTGAGGGGCGGTGGACCGGCCCCCAGCTGAAAAAGTTTGCTGACCCCTGTTTTAACCCCTGACTCATTCAAAAAGTAAAACACAGGGAGCAGTGAATGCAGAGGGCCAACAACCTCTAGCAAAATTTGGAACTTTAGAGTTCTCTCCAGAATTTCAAAGAAAAGACTGATTTAATATTTAATATAATTCTCTCTGAAAAATGGGTTCTAAATTAAATCTGTATTAGTTAGCTTCAGTGAGCATGTGGATAGGACCAAAAAGCAAGAGCCACACCAAAAGAAATACAGTGGTACCTCGGGTTAAGAACTTAATTTGTTCCGGAGGTCTGTTCTTATCCTGAAACTGTTCTTAACCTGAAGCACCACTTTAGCTAATGGGGCCTCCCACTGCTGCTGCGCTGCTGGAGCATGATTTCTGTTCTTATCCTGAAGCAAAGTTCTTAACCCGAGGTACTATTTCTGCATTAGCGGAGTCTGTAACCTGAAGCATATGTAACCCGAGGTACCACTGTAGTAAAAATAACCGACACATCATGAAAAATTGTGTATATTTATTTAAGACAGTGAAAGCATAATACAAAATGAACAGTAAATTATATTTAAAAAAATACACTACAGATGAAATAATTATAATGGGGCAACCACATGCACTATATGCACTATATGGGAATATGAAACAACTTGCACTGACTGCTTATAGTACATAAGTTATTATAGGTAAATTACCACTTATCCTTCTAACACTCTCCCTCAAGTCCAGCTAACTTAAAAACAAATGCAGTAAGAATGTTTCACTATTTTATAAAGGTCTGCTTAAACAATATATGAAAATTAGTCAAGATTTGAAAGAGAGTGAGATGTAGGGATATTCGGATAGACTTGAGAACTTGGGAGGAATAATGAGTACATAAATGATTTTACCAAAAGCTCCATATCTACCAGACTTGTTGTGGTGAGGTTTGTTGGTTCTAGATGGAAGATTCCTGAGCAAAAAATGGAAGTACAAATCTCAGCAAACATACAAGCTTGCCCCAAGAAATGCAAAATTCACAGACCTGTTCTACATCTCCCAACACCACCAAGCCAGCGTGCATTTCAGGCAATGTGCTGTTGGGGGAGGGAGAAAAAGCAATATAAACTAAAAGCTGTACGGAAACACTGAGAGAGAAAGAGAAGAGCAGCCCCCCCCCAGTCTTACTTCTCCGTTTTCCTAATTTTAAACACCTCCCATTTCAAATCCCTAGCCACACTCTGGTTTTCTCTGGTAACCCCCTTAAATAAGTTTACCCATTAAAAATCAGTCCATTAAATCATGACTTACACCAAAATTCTCAGACTTCTTCATTACTCTTCCTTAATAGCAACCCTGAATCTCTCAGCTTTCTTTATCAAAACTAGAAGTCATTTCTGCCAAGCCAGGAAGAAGAACCTTGAAAGTACTTGGTTCTGCCCTGCTTTCTTAAGCTAATTGTCCAAAACAAAGACTTCAGTCTTTGAAAAGGAAATAAAACGTTGGTTGAAAAAAGAATTATCTTCTAATGTGACACACATATAGAATAAAGGCACATATGCAGACAATTACCAGATAACAGGGGGAAACTTCACTCTCATTAAAATGCCCACTTCTTATCCTACACTCCTCTCCCTCTTCCACCCCATGGTTTATAATTGGGGTATTTTCCGTTGAACAGCTGCTTCCCAGTCTAATCATACAGAGACATAACTGTAAAACCTGAACAACAAAAAAAACACATTTCACATCAAAAGGTACCTAGAGTTATTAGTGTATTGAAGTAATAAGATACTTCTTTCTTAATTCAACAAAAGTGCTGTGTTCTTCCAGCTCAGGCTTGAATAGATTACAGGAATACATTTTGCCCTCCTCCTTGCTTTTAATTAGAATAGCAAGTAACCAGAAATCGGTAATCTAGGGGCACCTTTGGTGTTGCTTTCAGAGAGAGGTTAACCCATCTTCATAGGTTCCATTGCCGTATTTATCACAAAGCTTTTGTCGTAGGAAGAGTGCTCCCGTTATTCAAGGATGCTTAGCCAGCATCTTTTCTGTTCCTGCAGCCATCGACCTAGGCATAGCGATCGTCATGGCTTCCTGAAACCAAAATTTGGTGCATACAATATGTGGATCTGCTCCTTCCGTACGGCACCCTGGAACCCAGAAAATAAGTCCAAAAGGGACTAGACTATCACCCTCTAATGGTGAACTCAGGTGGTGAGTGCCAATAGAAATAGAGCCAAATTAATGCATATGACAAACAAGAGGGCAGGAACCAGTGTGCTCTGGGGAATCCTGAGTGAAATACAAAACAAGGGTGCAACCCCCCCCCCATGTTGCATCATTTATTCCAGGTCCCATTTGTTAGATATGTTTTAGAAAATACTTTGGGGGCATTCCTACACCTTGACACCAAATGCTAATCTTGCCAATTTTGTCTTTGATAGTGTCCAATCGCAGACCACATCGAGAATACTATGTGGAAGCCTTGGGAGACCCATCTGAAAGAGCTTGGGTTGTGGGGAAAGCTATTGTAGTCTTTGAAGGAAGACATCAGTTTGAAGAACTGCCTGTCCTTCGGAGAAGAGGGAAGCAAAAAGAGAAAGGTTACAAGCACAAGGTAAATCTCATGTTCTCATTTGGTTTGTTCTTGAGTCTTCTCATCTGAGTGCGAAACCTAGGTGTATGATCTAGTGGAAGTGAAGTACTTCTTAAAGACCATGGATCGCAGTCGGAAAAATTTAAACTCATGCTCAACTCTCTCACTGAACTCCATCAGCTTACAAAGTTGCTCCATTTTTTGGGATTGCGTTTCTTATACTTTGAAGCTGCTTTAAAAATGACTGATATGATTTGAGACTTGGAGGCTGCTGCTGAAGGAATGTCTTTTGCGTTGACTTGTCCATATAGCTACCTGAGAATAGACTGGAAATATAATCGTGTAAATCGGGCCATTACGTTAGATACAGGTATATAAAGAGAACTTTTGACAACACGTTTCAATGTTATTAATAGAGAAAACATTGTATCTGAAGGGCAAATGTGGAGTAATATGGGCAGGAAGGAAAACCTACTGTATTTCAATATCTTAGTCTACAGCTTGAATTCCTTCTGGAGCCAGCATCCCATTTTGTGGTCCTAGCTCTGTGTTAATATTTCCAAAACTGAGATTCTGGCACAAAACATCCAGGCAACCATTTTCTTGAGACTAGGATCAGAAGGATTCAGCTATATTCCAGTTTTGGAACTTGTTAAGCTCTCGGAGAGCCAGAATGGAACCAGACTGTTGGTTCTTAAAATAAAAAAAGGTGACAGAGCAGCTTTTAAATTGATTGTGTGGGGGAAGCTGAAAGCAGCTGCAGAGTCCTGTTCAGAACAAATCGTGGCCTAGAGAGGAAGGGGGGAATTATTATAATTTAAATTGGGGAGGGGGTAGAATGTGTCACTGAGAGTGCAGGGGCCCATGATAGCAACTGAGAGGCAAGCAGGTGTCAGAGATATTTGGAGATGGAGATGGAGTAAAAAGCCTTGCGAGTTGATATATTTCCCAGTGTGCATATGTATTTGAATTGTTTTTAAGATGTGTAGTGTTTTATTCCTTGTTGTTTGCCACTTTAGACTCCTTTGGAAGGTGTGTCTTTGTGTGTGTGTGTGTGTGTGTGTGTGTGTACACACTGGTGCTAGAAGCCTCTGAGTCAAGATGAGTGAGCTGGAGTGCTTGGCCTTAGATGAGAGCATTGATATAGTGGACATAATGGAAGCCTGCTATAATGGAGAGAACCACTAGAACACAGTTACCTCTGGGTACAAACTCTATAAGAAGGACCAAGAAGGGCATACTGGAGACGATGCCACTCTGTGGGTGAAAGAAAACATAGAGTCCGACAAGCTAGAAATCCCCAAAGGAGCAGACTCTTCCTGGACTTAAGTGGCATGCAGGACCTGGTGTGAGATGTAAATGTTATAGTACCTATTGGGAGCAGTGACCATAGTGCTATCTAATTACATACATTTGTAAATGGACAGTTGCCAAGAAAATCCAGCACAGTCACATATGACTTCAAAAGATGAAACTTTCCTGAAATGAAGGGATTGGGGGAAAGGAAAAGGAAGTTGAAAGGCATAATCAAGAGAGCCAAATCTCTCCAGGTCAGGAAAGGTGCCACCAGGGCCAGGAGGATACCAGAGTGGTTAATGAGCAGAGGCAAAGAGCTATTAGAGCCAAGAAGGTTTCTTTTGTCGTTTTTTATGTTATCAACAAGGCCTAGAACATCATCTCTTGTCACAACTGACTCAGTTCATCAGACTCCCTTCCTGTGAAAGTTAGATCAGGCACAGAGATCTGCTATATATAATCCACCAAGGAAACAGATGCAAATAATTTATTCAGCTTCTCTGCAATCTCTTTATCCTCCTTTAGCATACCTTTGAATCCCCAGTCATCTGAAGGTAAAGGTAAAGGTAAAGGGACCCCTGACCATTAGGTCCAGTCGTAACCAACTCTGGGGTTGCGGCGCTCATCTCGCTTTATTGGCTGAGGGAGCTGGCGTACAGCTTCCGGGTCATGTGGCCAGCATGATTAAGCCGCTTCTGGCTAACCAGAGCAGCGCACGGAAACGCCGTTTACTTTCCCGCTGGAGCGGTACCTATTTATCTACTTGCACTTTGATGTGCTTTCGAACTGCTAGGTTGGCAGGAGCAGGGACCGAGCAACGGGAGCTCACCCCGTCACGGGGATTCGAACTGCCGACCTTCTGATCGGCAAGTCCTAGGCTCTGTGGTTTAACCCACAGCGCCACCCACGTCCCAAGTCATCTGAAGGTACAAGCGCCTAAATGATCTGCTATTAATGTATTTAAATAATATTCTATTGTTAGTATTTATGTTTAAGCAATGTGCTCTTCAATTGTTTTATAGCATCCCTTATTGCCTACTTAGCAAATGAAAGTCTTGTCCAATGAGGAAAACAAAAAGGAGCACAAGTTTTGGCAAAAGAAATGTAAGCAGGCAATAGGGGATGCAATAAAACAATCGAAGTAGCAGAATATCATTTAGGCGCTTGTACCTTCAGATGACAGGGGATTATATATAGCAGATCTCTGTGCCTGATCTAACTTTCACAGGAAGAGAGTCTGAGGAACTGAGTCCGTTGTGACAAGAGATGATGTTCTAGGCCTTGTTGACAAAATAAAAAATGACAAGTCACATTCATGTTCTTCATGAATCTAGTTTTGATCTGGGGTTATGTGCTGCAGTTACATTTTGTGAAAGAAGATAATGTTCATATCTGTGTGTAATTTCATCTTTTTGTGTATTATAATTTTTTTGTAACTTCTTTTCCCCTTCCTTTACTTTCCAGGTTCCTAAGAGGTTTCTGGCAAAATGGGAGATCAGTGTTGGCCTTACAAATGATTATTTAAAGCAGAACAGTGCTCAAAAATACATCCCGACTTCCAGCAAACCAGACAGTGAGAAGGATGTGCATTTAATGGGATCTTGTACAAAGGACTCCTTAAATGAACAGAGCAGACAACTGAATGGATGTTTGAAATCACTAACATTGGACTCCAAACATTTGACCCATGATAAGGGGAAAGTGTTCACCAAATCCCGAAACAAGAAGAGCTCCGACACCCGGAGGAGAACTAGAGTAAGAAAAAGTAGCACCAAACTGGAGGCATCCAAGAGAGAAAGTGGGGGGAAAGGGCCAGTAAGCAAAGCTAAAAATATGGTTGCTGCAGATATGCCAGAGAAGCAGGCTTCTCATGAACTTTGCAGAATAGCAAAGAGCCTAATGGGATCCAAAGGCAGCATGGAAAACTACTTGCTCTCTTCTTTTGGAGAAAGACAATTCGAAAATAAATATAAGAAACCAGGGTTTGATAATAGCAGCTGCCAGCAGGAAACATCCAAAGCGGACGTGAAGAAAAAGAGAAATCCAGCAGGCTTCACGTGCAGTTCAAAGCTACAGCAGCACTATACCAGAACTGATGCTGGAGCAGAGAGGAAACAAATAGACTCTGATTCATCAGATAACGGTACCTGTGATCTAGACTCCCTTGACCAAAGTTTAGCAGCAGCAGCAGCTTATAGTATCTTGAAGAATAGTGACTCTGTAAATAAAAGTGGAAAAGAACTGTGTTCAGGGCAAAGAGATATTAAACATTCTGCACCTGTCTCAAAAAGCAGCAATCGAAGCTGCAAACCTCCAGAAGGTTCTCTAGACAGGAATATCAATGTTGAAACAGGAGGTGAGGAATTCCGTGAGCCATCCCTTGCAGCTGAGGTGGCTTCAGTTTACAGGAATGACAATCTTATCAATGTAGATAAGCACACTACACTCCAAAGTAAGGGGTTTATAAGTCAAATGGATGCAAAACAGCCTCAGTTCAGAAGTATAAAATGCAAGCATAAAGAAACTGCTGCTGGGACAGACTCCTCTCTTAAGGAAGATGAATGTAGCCCCGACTGCTGCTTTTCTGCTACCAAAGGTTCTCCTGGGTCTCAGTTAGATATGCCTAACAAAAGTGGGAAGGCTGATGGCCCCAAACTGCTGAACAGCACAAATGAGAAACCCGGTGATTCTGCTGAAATAGAAACGGCAGTTGTGAAACACGTGCTTTCAGAACTGAAGGAGCTGTCGTATAGGTCCATGAATGTTGAAGCGAAAGACTGTGGGCCGCCTAAGACCACAGTGCCCTTACTCTTTTCATCTGTCTCTGGGCAGAACCATTTGCCTATTGAGCCCGATTATAAATTCAGCACCTTATTAATGTTGTTGAAAGATATGCATGATAGTAAGACGAAAGAGAAGCAGATCATGACTACTCAGAACATAGTCTCTTATAGGAGTTCTCACAGCGATGATAGTTCTGGAAGTAACACTCCAAGTGATTTGACATCTTTGCCTACAATGGGAACCACTCATAAATTAGAAAAAAGCCAAGATAGTGTTCGAGAACCAGAGTGTCAGAAACCCAAAGAAGGTCAGTCCTCTTTTTCACATGGTATCGCAACCAAGTTGATCGATCCCGGTGCTAACAAAAGGGAACTCACAAACGCTTCTGTTTCTGGTACAAACTGCACCGCAAGGCGCAGCTGTCCAAAATCTAAGCAGCTATCTAAACTAGTAGCTAATGCAGCATCAAAGAGCAAAACACTAAAGCGGTTGTCTAATTCAGCTGAGAGTGTGCCCCGCCAGGATAGAGCTGCCCAAGGCTCAGTTGCTAGTGCTCTAGACAATGCAAAGGAAGATGTTGCAAGGAAAGTGTCTTGGGAGTTGATGGGACACTCCCCTGACGAAGACTCTGCAAGTTCCTCTGATGACAGTTTAGTTCGTATAAGAATGAAGTCAGAATATGATAAAAAGAGAGAGAGCTGCAACTCCTTTGAAAATGGGGAGTTGGATTCAGGACTGAATAGAGAAGGCTCCTTGGGTGATGAGCCTAGAGATGTATGCCACGTAGCGCCCAAAAAGCGATGGCAGCGTTTTAACCAAAGCAGTGCTAAAGCTGGTAAGCACATCAGTAGATCTAGGGAAGCAGAACAGTTATGTGCCTTTGACCTCTACAGAATAAAAGCAAGCTTCAGACTGTAGGCTTCTCCTCACTCTTTAAAAAGGGAGCATGCATTATAGGCAAGAACTGTGAGAAGCACTTAGTTAGCTGGGCAACATTTTGCAGAATCAGAGGGATGAAACAAAAATACAGTTCTTACAGAATTGAGAGTTTTACAGTTTTGAGATCCTAGTTTGAGTTCTCTGTACAAGGTAAGGATTCCTTGTGCTGCACCACTGCAGATTGGGGGAGCTGGAACCACATGGTGAAATCTTCCACCCTATAAATAAATAGATAGATAAATAAATATATATGGAGTATTACTCAGTAATGGGCAAGATCCTACCTGAAGTCTATAAGTGGTACAGCTCATAAACTCTTCAGCTGTCTGCATCTGCAGGTTGTGAGAACTAGCCCTTAAGAGGTTTTGTGCCACGAGTTGCAGTGCATAAAAATCTTAAGGTTATCCAATTGAAATGCTGGTTGTTACTCTAGCTTTTCTCTTCCACAAATTTTAATACAGGTTCACTTTAATCTTTTAAAACTAGAAACAGCGCTTAAGAAGGCATAGTGTGATTTGGAAATAAATATTTATGGTTTCTCTTACCTTGTGCAGAAGCTTTATTTATAAATTAAAACATGATGGACCCAATTCTAGCATGAAAGTATAATATTTACTGCTCAGTATTACAGGAGACTCATGAGAAGGAAAAATTGCAGATAAAAGTTTAGTAGTACCGAATAATGTGTGTTTATTTCTCTCTGTGGAAAGCAAGTGGTCTGCTAAACTGAGTGTATTGCCAACAACACAATCCTCAGAAGTAAGTCTTTTGGCTTACTCATAGCTAAATAGGTGCAGAATTGCAGTCTAACACAACTTTACCTGAGAGTAAGCCCAGTAGGACTAACTTGCAAGTAAGCATGTCTACGGTCGTGCTGCATGTTGGGTTAGGACTCAAGAAGTCACCACCATAAACTGCAGCAATTTAAACTTGAATCTTACATTCTATAAACTTTTCAATCTTGTTTTGTTGTTCCCCATTAGTAGTTTTTGATCAGTGATTGTGCATTGGGTGGCAACATGAACTAAATTTCAAAATGTAGAGGGCTGGCCTACCCTGTTTGCGAAATGCAAATTGCATGCTATGTGAAATACAAGATAAAGCAAAAGGTGTGAGCCAAGGATGGCAGTCCTAGTTCATGACTTATCTCTGTGTACACTTACCTAGCATAAATTAACTGCACTCCCATTTAACTTTCTGCTGGATCTGAGACACATACTCTTGAATGGTAATGGCCCCACCACATTTTGAAAACAGATTTTGCAACATTCTGTGAAGAATAGGTATATTTGATAAAGGATTGCAGTAATGTTTGTGGATTGCAGTAAAACGCAGGGAATGTTGCAAGATGAGCAATAAAGTATTCTTAACTAACTTTTATGAGGAAAGTATCCAGATCTTGCCTTCTGCAGAAGACAAAAGGTTAATTTGGCAAATACACAATTATAATGATTTTTATTCTGGCCAAGTGCCAAACACGCTGCATTCAGTTTAGCTTCTCCATACACCTGTTCAGAGCATTTCAGATTCCCCCTTCCAAGGGCAGCTATTCCCAAAGATTTCCAGGGGTTGGGCAGTGGCAGCACTTTAGAGTAAAAATAGGTAAGATCATTCTGTTTCAGTTTCCATGTACTCACTCACAGGTCCATTCTGTTCTGTTTTTAGGAGGGGGAATTGATTGCATTTTAATAATATGCACTTTCCTGTGATATGCATTTTCTATGCATCTTTCCTATAAAACACATTTCTATATGATTTACAGTGTATCCCCCCCCTGCTGCAATATGCATTTTTGTAAACATTGCCCCCATGAAACATGCATTTCTGCATGCACTTTTTGAAAACCAAAACTGCATCGCTAAGTGGGCAAACTGATAGCTGCATTCCAACCCACCCATAAATCCAGGGACAGCCAATCTGACACTAAAAAAACTCAAAGCAGTTTATAAAAAGAATAAAGAGGGGGGAAATAGTCTGTGTTTAGCTTATTTAAAAAGTTAAAAACAGATTACAACACCTGTAAACATTCTACGTATCTGAGTAAGCATGTCCAAACAAACATGCCAAAAGGACTACAGCGAATGTCCCTGGCCTGATTTCAGTAGGCAGGGAGTTCCAAATTGTGGGTGCTGCTGCTAAAAAAAATTCTTAGAAATGCAGAATGAGTATTGTTTGGCACTTGTAATGGTGTCCGTTCCACAGATTGAAGCAGCTGAGTTGGCGCATATGGAGGACAGCGATTTCACAAGTAAACTGTGTTTCTGAGTTGTATATACTAATAGTAGCACATTGTTGCTACTATATACTAATAGTAGCACATTGAACGTGGCCCAGTAGCAAACCTGCAGGCCTCTGAGAACAGGTGTTATATGTTGACGGAGTCTCATTTCTGTCAGTAATTGTATTGCAGCATTCTGCACTAACTGCAGCTTCCCGATCAAGTGCAAGGGAACCCCCCCCCCAATAGAGCACATTGCAGTAATCCAGACTTTCTTACTGACATTGCTTCTGTTTTTCCCTATGCACCTCCTCCTTTTTTTCTTAATCATCTTTATGTATTATTGTAAGCAACCACAGTAACTCCAGTGTTAGGAAATGCTTTGATTCACGATGATTCACTATGTGGCACTCCACCACAAAACCATGAGATGTTACTGTACAAATTCAGTAATCCAAGTTACAGTCTCTCACATTGGTATCAAAATAATTTTTACTCAATAGCTACAGCCAGAATGAGGATGGGTACTATTTGTGTTATGCTGTGAACCTTACAGAGATAGATAAGGGATAGCCAGCTTCCTTCACCCAAGAGATTGATGCTCTCTGTTCTTGTTGTGGCCGGAGGAGGTTGATGCTAGAGGAAATGTCCATAGCTGCTCAATGACTTCATCAGGGTTCGGCAGGTGCCTCTACAGGTCCTCCTTTCCTCTAGTTTCAGCCTGATGACTCCCATGCATGTTTATGGTAAAGACAGAAGGCAGTTTGGAAGAAGCAGCAGAGGCATTTTAGCCCTTACATCATCTTTCCTTCTACAGAGGGGAGAGTACTGCTATTGTAAGGGATTGAGAGAACCAGACACCATTCTGTTGCTTATGGACTACCAGTTGCCCAGCTCATAGATATTTACTCTTCGTTTACAACAGAGTAATCAAAGCTTAAAATGAGAACTTTGCACAATGCTATTCAGTTAAAAAAGGAAAAAGTGGAAAGTCAACAGGTGTAGCAGACAAATTTGTTAGAATGAATTCATACACTTCAATCTGCAAATATTTCGGGCACTTTACAGTTCGCCTCTATAAAAATTAGTTACCCTTATGGAAGTTGGAGCTAAAGTTAGCTCTTTTGTTACCCCCTGCTTAAACTATAGCCGGGTTCAGATTCATTCTTATAAATTTGTCTGTCCCTACAGGATTCCTATTTTTTTCCAGTGCTGCTTTAATCCTACCCAGTGTCTATGGCTAAGCAGGGAACTCTGCTTTTCTGAGTTCCACTTATAAGCACTAGCTGCAGTGCTTCACTGTGAAGATGATATATCAGATTAGACATAGAGTCTTCTTTGGAGATCACTCATAGCTGAGTAAGATTGTCTTCGATAAACACAGTTTTAACAATGAGTCCATAAGTGACTGTGGAGGCCAATTCTGGATCCACATGTCCTTCCACAGTGGGGACATTGGCTTCTGGGCAGGAGTTGATCACATTGAGGGTTTGCCAAGCATGCCTTCCTCTTAGCATGTTTCTCCCTTGCATCCTGAGTTTGAGTGTCTTCAAAGACATAGAGTATAATACTGTGTTCCACATACTGATTTAGATCCAGCATTCTCATGAGCAGAACTCCATTCATGGAATGCTACTGCTAGAGGAGGAACCCATTTTTTCCAGTTCCACCTTCCTTCCTCAACCCCCTGAAAAGCTGAACCTCTGGGACAGTATGGGGACTGCAAGGGGAAGGGGAAATCAGGAAATATCATTTACCCAACTTCTTCCAGTGAGCCTTTGCAGGATATCAGTAGTCCCTCCACAAATGGAAAAGCTTATCTATTAATGGAAAGGACACACTGGATTCAACATGTTGTAGAAATTAATAATAATAATAATAATAATAATAATAGTAGTAGTAGTAGAAATGTACGTTGTAAATACTGCAATTCACATTGGCTGAACAGGAAAAGGGACTTCTGAGTTTTTTCTCTGGATATGTAGCCACTCTTGTTTCAGGACCAGCTTTATTTCAGAACTGCTTCCATACTGTGTTGGGAGGAGCCACCTGTTTTGCTTGTTTGCAATATTGATGTTTATTGTTTTTCAACACAGGATTCCCTTGTGTTTTTTTTTTTTTTAGCAACAAGCAAAAACTTTTAAAAGAGGAGAGAGAAAAAGATTTCCTAAGACACTTATAATGGACTCATTTGTACAATCCAGTTTGAGAGTAGGTTAAAAAAATGTTGATTTTTTTTTAATATAAAAAAGACAAAACTCAGAGGTTTAGGAGAGTATCCTAGAAGAAAGTCATACTACAGTTTTACAGATTTGACTTAATTCCTGCTTCAACCACAATATTTCAGTCCTAGTTTCTTACCCTCAAAAGGGGTAATGCAGTTTTCCCTGCTTGACTTGCACATGGCACTGCTAGGCCAGACTGGGCACAATTTACTGCACTGAGACCCAGGCAAGAATAGCCTGCTGACACTGGGGACAAGATGTTGATGGCAGTCGTTGCAGCTCACTTGCTTTCCATAATTGGGCAGGAACCAGGTCCTTTCCCTTTGTGGGGTGACGGTTGTGGGGTTTGCATGGATTAGGATCACTGTGTGGATTCCTACTGAATAATGAGAGGTGGCACGATGGTCAGGGAAGAAGCTTTTTTATGAAAACCTGAAGGAAAGGGCTGCTTTTGAACTATTATGGCAGAAGAGGATTGCTAAAAAACTTAAATGACATAGTCAAGGAGTCTCAAGCATCTGAGCTATGCACCTCAGATTCATGAGATCATCACTTTGTTGAGGGCACTGGAAAATGGCACAGGAGCTTCAGCAGACCCTGGCCATAATGAAGGGCTCTATCCCAGCCCTTCTGATCTTCTCAGAAGACTAATCCTGAGGCTCTTTCTCCTTTTTTTATCTTCTCAGTAGCTCATTCAGAGAAGAAACGCCTTAGGAAGCCAAGTAAGCGGCTTCTGGAATATGCAGAAGAATATGATCACATATTTGCACCTAAGAAAAAGAAGAGGAGCCAGGAGCCATTTCGGAAGGTGGGTATGAAACAAAGAAACAGGTATAGGCACCCGCCAGAAATTGGGAAACTGTCATCTTGGTAGTTTTCTTTTTTTAAAATAGGGTTTTTAAAACTAGAACTGGGATCCAACATGTGTGTATGCTTTGGGGGCAGGGTAGTGGAATTCCACTTCTGGCTGAGGCCCCTTGCATCACATGCAAATGCCACCTGAGAAATTGCCTCAAACTTTAGGAGTAGCTTATCAGAGGGCAGGTGGGTGATTAAACAAAGGAACCCCAAAGAACTCTGGTGCTTTTTTGGAATGCTGCAGGTGACTCTTAAGACAGGGCAGAAGCTTAGTGTTAGAGACTCTTGCTTTCCATGCAGAAGGTCCCATGTTCAGTCCCTGGCATCTGAGAATGTCCCCTGTCTGAAACCCTGGAGAGCCACTGCCAGTCAGTGTAGACCAAATTGTGCTAGATGAACCTATTGTCCAGTTCCATACAGAGAGCAGCTTCCTATGTTCCTTCCCAAGGATCCTAGCTATTATGAGCCAAGTTTTTTGAAACAAAAAGTACAGACATCTCAGCAATTCCACCCCACTTTTATATACCTTCATGTTGTCTCGGAATGAGCAAAGTGATTGAAGGAAAAACAGAAGTGCCTGGCTGGGCCTTGGACTATGGCTTTGGCTCTTGCTTTTCTTTGACTTTCTTTTTTGCTCCAGATGGGTTGGCTTTGAAGCACACACATCAGCCAGGATTGTTGTTGCAAGTGTTGTAGTGGACCTTGGTTATCTGCCTCAAGAACATCATGCTTAACCTTTATGCTACAGATTCCTGTAGTACTTTGAATTACAAAGCATATAATTTAAAAAGATATATATATTCCTGGTCATGACTGAAATAAGCAGGTTTTGCTTTATGATTTCAATTCATCAATGTTTCTTACTTCAGTTGTGAGAAGGGCTATACCTTGAATAGGTTTCTTTTTTAAATGAAGGCTCAATAAATAAATAACTATAGTGCATTTTCAATATTAGAAACATCGTATTTCATCAGCGCACATACATAACTATGGGTTATACAGCTGCCAATGAAAACAGCATCTCCATAGGCTAGTTGTCCCTCACTCCCCAGTGATGTCTAGTGATTCTCACTCAGTGGCATGAAGTCATCAGACTATTCATTTTCCCAACCTTGTCAAACTGTACCCAGTGATGGTCTGTCGGGCAAACACTGCAACTGATGGCATGGGCTGGTGTTACTTGCGGGGAGGGAAGCTAGACAAAGGCAAGCCATTTTCAGCAGCAGCGCCATTACTTACACTGTGTATTTTGTAAAATAAAAACTTGGTTGTGTGTGCTTGCATAAAATGATTTCCTAGCACAGCCAAAGATGACCAGTTTTCTTCTCCTTGTTTTTCACCTGCTGCAGAAATGTAGCCATACTTCCGAGTAGCTGTATGCTCCCTATTAGCCTTTTCTTCACGTATTGGTTGGACCAGGATCTTGAGTATTTTCTGTTTATGTCTGGCTGCTAATAGGCAAGTTCTCTAGAGAAGTCTGAAATCAAACAGGATTGCAGCACTGGCAAGCAAGCTCGTAACAAACATCTAGAAAAGAAGCCTTTGGATTCAGTTTCGTCTGCTTCTTCATCTAAAGAGTCTCCTCCCGTTCTTGAAGCTGAGCGGTCTTTGTCAGATGAGCCCGACTCCCATGCCATGGAACCAAGATCAGAAATGCCAGTTTTGACATTGTCATCACCAAATGTTTTGGAAGGTGCTGCTGCTGCTTCTCCTTTGCAGGGAGAGAGACAGTTAATGAAGTCAGGTAAGACTTGTGTATCATTAGCATCTTCACCAGAAATAAGCTCTAGTTACTAGAAACAAAACAGGTGTCTTGTTCCTTGGCCCTTGATTCCTATTTCCTGATTCTAGTCCCAATTAACTTTATACTATACTGTACTGTACTATACTATACTATACTATACTATACCATACCATACCATACTGAAATGTTTAAACGTTTCTTTGATTGTCCTTGAATCTTGCCACCATACTTGCTATCCTCTCCTGCCACACACTTTGAGAACCACACACAATATGCCATTGCTCTTTGGTCTGGACCTGAAGCTTTTGGCGCTGTCTCTCCCAAGGATGGGGGTGGGGGATAATACATGATACTGAAGTTTTTGTTCCCCGTGAGATCTAAATAGCAAAAAGGAGGATTTTTTTATTATTAAATAAATAAACTACAGGTCTTTAGGCTTCCAAGCTCCTGATGTCTTAGATCTCAAAGTGGCTTATTACACTAAAAATATACAAAGCCAAGACAAAACCGCAAAATTTTAAAGCTCAAAACTTAAAATTTTAAGCCACAAGAATTTTCAACCTCAGAAAATTACCGTATTTTCCGCCCTATAGGACACACTTTTTCCCCTCCAAAAATGAAGGGGAAATGTGTGTGCGTCCTATGGGGCGAATGCAGGCTTTCGCTGAAACCTGGAGAGCGAGAGGGTTCTCGCTCTCCAGGTTTCAGGAAGCTATCCGCAAGCCTTGCGAGCGGCAGCCTGCAGCCCGAAGCACGGGGCACGCTCCGGAGCGCACCCCGGGCTTCGGGCAGATATCGGGCAGCCCCACAAGCTCTGGGGACAGCGGGGAGGCGGAGCGCCGCCATCCCGCTATTCCCCGACCTGGTTTGGAGGCTGGCGCTGGGGAGAAGCTTGCTTCTCCCCATCGCCAGCCCCACAAGCTCGGGGGACAGCGGGGAGGCGCAGCGCCGCCATCCCGCTGTTCCCTGAACTGGTTTGGAGGCTGCCAGCCCCACAAGCTCGGGGGACAGATATCCGCAAGCCTGGGGAGACCAGGGCGACTTCCCGCCGGGCTCCGTAGGCTTGCGGATAGCAGCCTGTTCTGGGGGCTGGGGTCGGGGGAAGCTCGGGCATCCCCCTCCCCAGCCCCGTGCCTGGGGGGGAAATAAATTTTTTCCCCTTTATTTCCCCCCAAAAAAACTAGGTGCGTCCTGTGGGCCGGTGCACCCTATGGGGCGAAAAATACGGTAAAACGAGTTAGCTATAGTTGGGGCTTGCTGGGTTTTACATCCTTCTTAAATTGTGGTGCCCGGAATTGGACACAGTATTCCAGGTGTGGTCTGACCAAGACAGAATAGAGTGGTACTATTACTTCCCTTGACCCGGACACTATACTTCTGTTGATGCAGCCTATAATAGCATTAGGGGTTTTTTTGCTGCTGCATCACACTGTTGACTCATGTAAAGCTTGTGATCCACCAAGACCCCTATATTCTTTTCACATGTACTGCTAGTAAGCCAGGTGTCCTCCATCCTATATTTGTGCATCAGTTCTTCTTGCAGAACCTTACATTTGTCCCTACTGAAAATCATTTTGTTAGCTTGTGAACAGTTCTCTGATCTGTTAAGGTAATTTTGAATTCTGATTCTGTCTTCTGTGGCATTAGCTACCCCTCCCAGTTTTGCTATTTCTTGGTTTGGGGCAGATGAGGTACAACAAACAGTACTGGTGTTATTATACTGATTCTTACTTGGTGCTGATAAAACTAGTTTGTTTCTAGTGAGGAAAATTCATTTTTATTGTAGGGAGTTTTGAGAGTAAGCGCCAGAGGAAACCAACAAAAAAGCTCTTGGAATCCAATGATTTGGATACTGCATTCATACCAAAGAGAGAGTGGACTTCCATAAAGAAGGTAAGTTCCTTCCTTCTGCTTCAAATGTTACCAAAGATCTGCTATGCTCCTGAATGTAAAATTATTTCATCTGCAGAGTTTTTGATCGGCCTTCATTTGGTTAAGGGTACCTAATAGAAGCACTCAGTAAAAAACAGTAGTGATAATCAGAGCTTAGCCTATAAAGTTCTTGTTGCACTTTCTTTTCAAAAAGCTGTCATTGTCCAAACTAAGAGAACATTAGGCCCATAAGCCTTTGAATCTATGGCTCTTTTACAATGACCAGAGTCATGCTGTCAAACATATGCACATATCTCATTATTTTCAGTTGGAAGTCTGTAGGAGTTCTTTTCACTAGAGAGTGCACTCTTTCAACAAATTGATAGTGGATTGGCTGGCTGTGAAGAGAAGAAATTCTCTGATGTACAAAATATCTCTCTGTGTGAGCACGCATGTGTTTTAAAGTAACGTAAGCACCTGCTGGAACTCCAAACCAGGACTCTTCTCCAAAGACTCTTCCTGTGCTAGAGATCAGGCCTTTTCTATAGGAAGTTATGGTTTTGAACCCCTTTGCTAAAATGTATCCAAACAGAGTCCTTAGAAGATTTTTTAATTTACAGTTGTACCTTGGAAGTCGACTGGAATCCGTTCAACTTCCAAAATATTCGAAAACCAAACCACAGTTTTTGATTGGCTGTAGGAAGCTCCTGCAGCCAATCAGAAGCCGCAGAAGCCCCTTTGGATGTTCGCATTCCAAAAGAATGTTTGCAAACTGGAACAATCACTTCCGGGTTTGCGGTGTTTGTAATTCAGGACTTAATTTCAGTTTGTTCTGTAAAACCTGTTGTGATATGGACAACAATAGAATGTTTATTCTACATTTTATGAAAATTGAATTCAACTTGCTTTTCTTTTTGTAAAACAGTTAAAACAACCACATCCAATATGAAAATGCAATAATCATTTGTTTATGTATTGAAGCATTTATGTCCTATCTTTCTGTCAGGGCAGCTCACAATAACAAAAGTTAATCCATCTGTTGATAAAAATTAAACAGTAACTATTAAACAATAAAACCAGCCACACACACACAAAAGAAGAATTTTGCAGCAGAGCAGACATTAAGAGCAAAACCCGTTTGTTAAAGGAAAAAGCCAAATTTTGACTGCAAAAAATCACAGAAGTGTTGATTTGGAAGAAACTCCAACAGTTGCCTAGTCCAAATGCTTGCAACACAGGAATCATGGCTAAAGAATCCCTGACAGATTGCCATTCAACCTTTGTTTTAAAATCCTCCAATGCTTGTCTGCATGCAAGAAGCAAAGAATGATGTACTCAGCAATCTGTGGGGCCTCAGGTGTTGAGAAAAACTCCTGAAAAGGCTGATATTAAAATAGGTGGTCCTTGGTATATTCCGGGCCATATGCCTGTGGTTTCAATTTATTTTCTTTTGCTGCTGCCTTCATGATAATTCATTAAATATATGATTATATTGCTGTAAGCTGCCTTGTGAATTGTAAAAATACAAAAGAAGGGTCTAAATATTTTGAACTGTGAAAATAGTATAATATGCTGCATTTAGTGGAGGCCCCTTTAGATTTGTTAGTGTCTTACTGTTTTTGTGAAAGTTACGATTTTTCTTCTGCTTCAGCTGTGCAGAAAGATTATTCAACAATTATAACTAAGTAAATATGATTCTTCCTACTTCTTGCTACTCAGAGGTTCAGACACTGGGCAATTGCCTCCCCATCCTTCTGATTATGGAAATTTGAGATGCTTCTTGTTGTTGTTGTTTGTCAATATGTTGAAGGTAGAATTGCCATTGATATGTGGCCAAGGAAACACATCTTGTTGTAGGCGTGCGAATTTGCTTGGTAAATTGTCCCTGTTGCTTGTTCGCAGTGTTCTGAGGCTGGTCCTTTGGATACTGAAATGTCTGAGTTGTACTCCACATCTCAGCTTCTGGACGCTGGTGAAGGTAGGTGGTGCTCCTGTTCTGTAGCATGAAGCTGGCAGTTTCCTGTGAGTGAACATTAATAATAAGCTAAGCAAGATTCTTCCGTCAGGTTACATAATCATCAGCCCATTGCAATATAAGCAGATATTTCCACATAGAGACCAAGTCATAAATGAACTGGGTCCAGATCAAAAAGAAGGAATTGCATCTTTGTCTAATAATAATAATGGTAATAATAATAATAATAATAATAATAATAATAATAATAATAATATATTATTTATACCCTGCCCATCTGGCTGGGTTTCCCCAGCCACTCTGGGCGGCTTCCAACCAAATATTAAAAACAATACAGCATCAAACATTAAAAACTTCCCTAAACAGTTGTCTTTTAAAAGTAAAATAGTTGCTTATTGTCTTGACATCTGCTGGGAGGGCATTCCACAGGGCAGGCGCCACTACCAAGAAGGCCCTCTGTCTGCTTCCCTGTAACCTCACTTCTCACAGTGAAGGAACCACCAGAAGGCCATCGGCGCTGGACCTCAGTGTCTGGGCTGGACGATGGCGGTGGAGACACTCCTTCAGGTATACAGGACCGAGGCCGCTTAGGGCTTTATTAGTCAGAGTCAATTTAAAAAGGAAAACATACTGGAATTTGTGGCAGCAGTGAGTGTAGTGATGGAATCAGGAGCACTCCAAAGATGAAAAAGGTGTGTGGGGTGGATCTGGCCAGAAATCTGTTCAGACAACAGCGGAGTGATAAGAAACAACGTGAGACTCAAAGGTGTCCTTCGGCTTGCCTTTCTGAATTTTCAGTGCTCACCAACCACATTTTTCTTCATGATCATGAGGATGAGAAACTAGCTGTTAACCAAGGTGGCTTCTTAGACGCCAGTAACTCTGCTGTATGGTGTTCAAAGGGATACCTGGAACCACCCTGTTTATCAACTTGCTGGTACTTTCTTCCAACTTGTGGCATTTGGGTAATATGGAACAAGGGTGACTTTGTCTTATTTTTGTGAAAATATACTCAACAACACAATATGAATTTTCATTCTAAACTGTGTAGTCCTCAGGGGTTTGCAGACATTTATCTGGAATTGAATTACGGGTTAAGAATGGGTATGGTGTGTCCTACTCATCAGTGCTGAATTTTGCCTTTAAAATTTGAGGGCCATAGTTGTCAGAATTACCTTAGGTGCAGTTATTTGCTTACAGTCTTGAAACATCTTCCTTGCTGCAGCTCCTGAAAAGGTTCCAGGCAAACAGAGAAGGCGAAAGCGGCAACGACGTACTTTTGCTTCAGCGCCATACAAGAAAGAAAAGGGTGAAGATGTACTGGGAGAAAATGCAAACTCTGAGGTACTTCTGGGCTTTGGATTCTGTAAAAGGATACATGTATGACGTCTTTTTGAAGTAGCATTATATTTTTAAAAATGCATAAAACTATTGACTGTGTTGCAAAAGAAGGTATAAAAGACTTAGCAGCAAACAAAGGCCGGACTTCACAAGAGTATTGTGTATAAACTAGTAGCTCATGTTTAAAAGATTTGCGTTAACCTAAGTATTCATACACACATACATTTCTGTGCCACTAAACCAAGAAAAATGTATTCATTTTGAATTATACATACAAACAACAATTCAAGGAACTTGTTCTCACAATGTGTATAAGGCCTGGAAAAACTCGCCGCAGCTACAAGCTGAATGTCACACCAACTGCCCTGAAACCCTTCAAAAAAACCCCTCCCCTATTCAGAAAGTGGTGTATATAAAATCAAAAGTAAAAACATAAAAAGGCAAAGTTCAGAAGCACATAAAACCAGGTTTTAGGGATATTGTTGTGATACTTACATGGTTGGGAGTCAGTTTTAGATTACAGTATACTGAAATTCACTGGACAATCGGCTTTAACATTTGAAACAGTATATTCTAAAGCATGTTTCTGTCATAGGCTTCCAATTTTACAATACTATATTTCCATGCACATACAGGATGTGGAAATGAAAGCTACACGTTTTGTATTTCACATACTGTGTTCTTTCCACAAGACCTAGTATGAAATTGCTTTTCTGCTCTGTGACACTTTCATGGAATAGAAATATATGCTCTTTTTCTCTGAAACCACTATACTACAGTCTTCTTGAACATCCACCAGTTGTTTGAAAGTATACGCCCACAACTTTTTCTTGGTTTAGCACTGACAGGAGGGTTTCTGTACATCAAGGTTTTATATATTTATTTAGTGGTTACATTTATAACCCATCCTTTTCTCACAGTGACCAACGTGTTCATATGAGCAGAAGAGTTGCACCTGCTTCTCTTAACACAGTCATTTGCAATTGTCCATTTGCATCTCATTATATAGTCTACACTGTTTGCTGAAGACACACTTCTGTACCCTGCCCTTTGACAGCTGAACATTTGTGTGATATTTGTGAGACCATCCCTATTATTCTTTGGTTTGTTTTGAGTTGCTTTATTTGATTTTGATATTGTATGATTTTATGCTTGCAACCTGTCATGGGATCTTGTGAAGGGAGGGGGGGTATGAAATCTAATAAATCAATAGCATTGTGTCAGATACTGAGGTTGCGCCCTGGAGACAGTGTGGTGTAGTGGTTAGCGTGTTGGAGCAAGACCTGGGAGACGGGGGTTCTAGTCCCCACCCATGAAGCTCACTGGGTGACTTTGGACAAGTCGCTGTCTCTCAAATCTACCCAACCTCTCAGGGTTGCTGTGAGGATTAAATGGAGATGGGGAAAACCATGTATTGCTCTTGAGCAACTTGGAGGAAAGGCAGGATATAAATGTAATGAATAAATAATGGTTGTGGAGATTCCCAACAAAGGTGTTTAGGAAGGATACTGCCACAGGGCAGCAAAATAGTCATAGTCATGTGTTTTGTTAAAGTTCAGAATGTTTCTTTCCCTCAGTGAAACCTTAAAAGTGGAGAAGTGTGAGGAGAGTTAGCGCCACAGCATGAGGCACCTTCTGCAGGCAGAGTGATTAGGGCTAGAGGCGTTGCATGCAGCTCAGCAAGCAGGTTGGCAGAACACCCCTATGTATTGTACCCAAACTATAAGAGCAGCCCAGAGGAGGGGGTAAATGAAAGGGAGAATCTGACTGATCACAGTCTTTCCTTTTTTTTAAAGGGAGATAGGACTAATCATGGAACAGCTGGAAGCCCCAAGGAGACTATTGAGGAAGGGTCTGAAAATGACCATGGAGTGCCTTCATCCAAACGGATGCAGGGGGAGCGAGGAGGAGGAGCTGCTCTCAAGGAGAACGTGTGTCAGGTAAAAGTCTGAAGTGCTTTGCTTGAATGCTGGTAATTGTGAAAATGACTTGAAGCAGCCAGACTACTTGGGGACAGGCCATGTTAGTAGGAACCAGATCTTTGCAGAGCTTGCATCCAATGCTTTTTTAAACTCTTGAGGTTGTTTTTTTTTAATTTTGACATGAGGGCTTTCTGTCTACAACCCTTATTTTGTGTGCAGTCCCAGAACCATTTTGGGTAGACAGGAAGTGTGGGGGGTACAGGATTGCAAAAGTGTGCTTAAAGTGTGCCTTGTAAGGAGCTTCTGAAGTAGTGTAAATCACTCGAAGTACTAATGTTTGAGCCAAACAATTGGACCACAGCAGCTGTTGCTGAAAAGTACTTCTGAAAATGTGTTAGCTGTGGTTTAGTAGGTACGCATAAACTAGGATTCCCTCCTCCCACCTCTATACATTTCAGCCCTTGACCATGCATTGTTTAATTCCTTTGCAGATCTGTGAAAAGCCAGGTGAATTGTTGCTCTGTGAAGCCCAGTGCTGTGGAGCTTTCCACCTGCAGTGCCTCGGGCTCTCAGAAATGCCGAAGGGCAAGTTTATCTGCACTGAGTGTTCCACAGGTATGAAACTGTACTCACTGATGGTGTGGCGAGCTCTCGGGTTGCTTTCAAATGTTGGAGCTTGTTGAAAACAAATGGCTTTGCAGCATGGAGCAGAATGGCTCTGCTGTCTACCAGGCTGGAGCAATCCTGGTTTTGTATGTTCTTGCCTCCAGCCATGGTGACTGCTTGTAACCCCCCCCCCCCCCGCTGCTGTTCAGGACTCTTGCACCTTCTGTTCTTTGACTGTGTTTCTTCTACTTTGCTGCCCTCTCCTATTAGGGGTCCACACGTGTTTTGTATGCAAGAACAGTGGAGAAAACGTCAAGCGGTGCTTGCTTCCCTTATGTGGGAAGTACTATCATGAAGAGTGCATACAGAAGTACCCTCCCACAGTCATGCAGAACAAGGGCTTTCGCTGCTCACTGCACATCTGCATGACTTGCCATGCAGCCAACCCAGCAAATGTCTCCGCATCTAAAGGTACAGTAACCTTTTCTTGTGCCCAGAATGGAAGTGCATTTCTACATTCATTTTAACTGTGTTTACAATTCATTGGTGTGTCCCCCCCCCCCTGTTCTTGGATATTTTAAAGGTGGGGTTGGTGTCTAAAACTTGAATCTTAAAAAATGATTTTTTTCCAGATTTTATTAAGAAAATGTAATTCCAATATATTTCTCTGCTAGGTCGCTTGATGCGCTGTGTCCGATGTCCTGTTGCATACCACTCGAATGATTTCTGCCTCGCTGCTGGGACTGTGATCCTTGCTTCCAACAGCATGATTTGCCCAAATCATTTTAGCCCTCGAAGGGGCTGCAGAAACCATGAGCATGTAAATGTCAGCTGGTGCTTTGTTTGTTCAGAAGGTAAGACGCTTTGTGCTGGGCCTGGTACGTTATGAGTGTTGCCATGTTTTGAATGAGTACAAGCATAGGAGGATGTTGTTGAGGAAGTGAGGGGGCAGCCTAATCTATCAGCTCTTTACCACAACATAATACAAATGATCACGATGCTGTCCTTTGTCTAAGTGAAACATATTGCCGGACTGAGGTATACAGTCAGGATCATCTCTGGGCGTCCCTGCTTTGGACTTAAGGGAGAGGGAAGCAGCCAAAAGAAGGCAATGGGCCTTCCATAGAATGCAGTACAGTGGTACTTCGGGTTAAGAACTTAATTTGTTCTGGAGGTCTGTTCTTAACCTGAAACTGTTCTTAACCTGAGGTACTACTTTAGCTAATGGGGCCTCCCGCTGCTGCCACACTGCCACCACGTGATTTCTGTTCTCATCCTGAGGCAAGGTTCTTAACCCAAGGTACTATTTCTGGGTTAGCGGAGTCTGCAATCTGAAGTGTCTGTAACCCGAGGTACCACTGTATCTAAAGGCAGTGGTTATGTTAGTGGGATGGGCCACAGTCATAAAGCCACTAAAACAAAATGTAATATATATGTTTGCTAAGCTTGCTGACATAGCAGGGACAGCAAATGAGACTGAATATGGGGCTGAAGCCCTTCTTCCATAGAGCTTAGGGCCGTATACATGATTGACTTCCCCCTTTTCACCATCCCCCTTTCTGTGAGCGAAGACTGGCCTAACTGCCTCCTTGTCATATATAACACCTCAGACGAAGTAGTGGAAAAAAGTAAATGTTGTGGCAAGTAGATACAATTGGGTTTAGCACTGACATATTGTACTGGCTTTGACACAGTTGAGACCTTTACAATAAAATTGATACCTGGGGGGGGGGGTGAAATTAACCTTATTCTGGAGACCAGCACAACCCTCTTTTGACCCATTTTCCATTTAAAGAACTGAAGTGGGATTTGAGGTGTGGATAGGATGAACTCCCCTTTTAATGTGATGCTGTTCATGGGTGTTCCTGTGGTTCTGTCCCTGACATACCTGCCTTTCTTTCTCACAGGTGGAAGCCTTCTGTGCTGTGAATCCTGCCCTGCCGCATTCCACAGGGAGTGTCTGAACATTGACATGCCAGAGGGGAGCTGGTACTGTAACGACTGCAAAGCTGGCAAGAAGCCACACTACAAGGAGGTGGTCTGGGTTAAAGTGGGACGTTACAGGTGAGAGTGAAAGAAGGCAAATTCTGTTATATTTAAAAGATTTCAGTTGTCTCTTGTGAAAACTTGTTGCTACTGCTCATTTTTGTTTTGCTAATGTTATTAATACAGTGGTACCTCAGGTTAAGAACTTAATTCGTTCTGGAGGTCTGTTCTTAACCTGAAACTGTTCTTAACCTGAGGTACAACTTTAGCTAATGGGGCCTCCTGCTGCTGCCACATGATTTCTGTTCTCATCCTGAAACAAAGTTCTTAACCTGAGGTACTATTTATGGGTTAGAGGAGTCTGTAACCTGAAGCATCTGTAACCCAAGGTACCACTGTATTCACAATGTCAGGAGGGGACCGCTCCTCACCTTTATGTGTATTCTAACCAGCATGGCTGCTGCTGCCCTTACAGTTGTTTCCACAATGTTAATAGAATACGCAAAGTCTTCTACTAATGTGGGTTCCTGTTATGCCATGGTTAGGTTAGCAAACGCGCATGCACGCATGCGCACACACACAAATTATTCATCTCCAAAGGAGTGGATCTAGGAAACAGACATTCCAGAAATTTATCCATGGGCTCATCTGTTTTTCTTGCCTTTGTTCATTTCCAGGTGGTGGCCAGCTGAGATTTGCCACCCTAGGACCATCCCTGTCAACATCCAGAAAATGAAGCATGTCATCGGTGAATTTCCTGTGCTTTTTTTCGGATCAAATGATTACCTTTGGACCCACCAAGCTCGAGTATTTCCCTATATGGAAGGAGATGTGAGCAGCAAGGACAAGATGGCAAAGGGAGTTGATGGCATTTACAAGAAGGGTAACCCATTTTCTTTTACTCTAATGTAACCATGAAAGTTAGCAATTCAGAAATAGCCCTGGCTAGAATTATAGAGCAACTTTGGTTTGTCATGATGTCTGAATTGAGGAACAGTGGTTTGTGAGTGGCCGGCACACCAGAATTGGAAACTGTGGTTTGAAATAGGTTTGCAAACCATAGTTTCTGCTAAGCAAACAAACTATAGTTATAACTATTGCTTTGCCTCCAAAGGCCACTGGGCCTAGACGCAGAAGCACTAAGCAGACAAGTAGTTCTAAACTATACTTTGTCCATCCAGAACCTCAAACTGTGGGTGCATTTGCATGTCATGGTAAACAATGTTTAATTCTTTACCATGCGTGTGCAGCTTGCTCCCCATTTCCCCCCTTCTGCTAGTGAGCAGGAGCAACAAACCACAACTCTTGGCGTACATGGTTGAAACATAACACTAAATCAGGGATTATAGTTTGTTGTTCCACTTGCTACTGGATGGAATAAAGTGGGAGCAATTTCCATATTCCTGGTGAACTATTAGCTGTGCTTTACTGTGACATACAAATTCAGCTAAAGTGTGTTGAGAGGTCGGAACTGAGTCCCTGTTGTTGTTGTTTTTAATCTTTCCTGAAGTGAAATTTCTTGATGTAAGAACTCAGCAAGGAGTAGATGGGGATTGGTGTCTATCTAGCTTTAAGATGTAGGGATAAAACAAATTATTTCAAGAAGCTTGAGTTACACAAAACAATGTCTTTACTTTTTGCAATCCTGAAACAAAGGCATGCTAAAGTTTTCTGGCTACTGCCTGGGAGTATGGAAATCTCAGTACTGTTCTCAGTTTTGCTACAGACTGTGAATCCTAGAGGATCCTCTTTGTGGCTGCTGTTTCCTGTCCCGTCTGTTACTGGTGCCTCACTTCAGCATATTTTCATGTAAGTGCATATTTAAAAGCGACTGAATGTCTGTTCATATATAATGAGGAAGTTTTCTTAATTTAGCTCTGCAGGAAGCTGCTGTGAGGTTTGAAGAGCTGAAAACACAGAAGGAACTGAGGCAGCTACAGGAAGACAAAAAGAATGATAAGAAGCCTCCTCCTTACAAACATATCAAGGTGAGGATGCAGGACATGATAGCAGATGGTGGGCCTTGTGCACATGTGTTGCCCCCAGTCCCTTGAAGGTGGTTGGGCTATGGGACTGTGTGCTCCGTCCTTAGACATAATGAAGGCACAAGTCTTAACCATTGTTAATGCTGACCAGGACGTGCTCTTAACTATACACTTCCCTTGCCAATCTTTTTTTCATATCTTGCCACCTGCCACTACACCACAAAAGCTGAAACCTGTACAATCTGTCCACTGTGAAACATTTCCTTTAGACTTTAAAGGAAGTACACAAGCTGTTTTTCGTGGTACCACAGATTTACATGGCAAGAATCACCTAACAAGTCACGTCAGTGCAAGCCCTGTGTGAGGATTTCCACTTGCACAAGGGGACTTTTCCCTCCTCTCCTCCCCCTCCACACCCGCTGAATTGGGTCTAAGGGGGTTGGGAGAACCCCCAGAAGTGCTGGGGGGATCATTCTGTCTGGCAAGGTGCAATGCTTGTGTTGATGGGGTGTTCACTGTAGTGCAACATTGAGTTTTACCTATGTTTTAATCCCAGTGTAAACTATGAGGTCAGCTATTGGCCACATGAAATTCAACTCTTTGCTGACCTGCAGTAAATCTTTGGTGTATAAAATCCTGTTGAAAGGAAGGGAGTCTCCTTGCTGTGTGAACTTGTATGTTCTTTCTGTCCCACCCTGGGAAAGGATCACTTCACACTATTGAACACCATTACAATAGCTGATTAAAGTGGTGCATTTTCTATGCTGGTAGAAGAGTTGCAGCTGAAACAATAATAAAGATTAACAATATACATGAAAGTGCAGTATTGACCCATTTCAACAAGTATCTCCGTAGCAAAAGTTGTTTCTGATTTCCATGTATGTAGTCTACATTTCTGCATTCCAGTGATGTACAATTTAGCTAGGCCAGCCGATTTACTTGGTGGCTTATATCTGTTTTTAAAGGTGAACCGGCCTGTAGGCAAAGTGCAGATCTTCACTGCAGACTTGTCTGAGATCCCACGTTGCAACTGCAAGCCGGCTGATGAAAACCCCTGTGGCCTAGACTCCGAGTGTATTAATCGCATGCTGCTCTATGAGTGTCACCCTGCTGTCTGCCCTGCTGGGGAACGTTGCCAAAACCAGTGTTTTACCAAAAGGCAGTATCCTGAAGTGGAAATATTCCGCACACTGGCAAGAGGCTGGGGCTTGCAAGCCAAAAGAGACATTAAAAAGGTATGTTTGTTTTTTGCTGTCTTAATTCTTCCCCAAGTTTAGTTTCAACATCCCACACTTTCTATAACTGAATTTAGTTTTCCTTTCTTAAAGCATAAAATTTACAAAGACAAGAAATGAGTCATTATTCCTGTCTGAGACATACATACACATGTGGTAGGAGTTTGTTTCCCATGGTTACCTAAATATATAGTCAGTCTTTGCCTTCCCATATATAAGTTGGGTTCTGTGTTAATGGAACCTTGAAACAATCTGAACTAGATTTAGCAGAAATCAATATATGTCAGGATTTCCCCAGATAACTAGTATTGCTTACCTCTCTGCTTTTCATCCTACACCACAAATTCTTGAGTGCCCAGCTTTTCATCACACTTCTGCGTTTTACGAAACAGATGGAAAGGACTGCTCATTAGTCTGTTTCTAACCCCCACATTTTCTTACACCAAAACCATCCTTAATTAATACCCATCTAAGTAAAGGGATCTTAAACCCCATATTTAAACTGAGTGGATTACTAAACAAAAGTTCTATCAAGGCGTTGTCTGCATTTGCAGTTTTTACTGTTGTAAAAAGTAACTACTGTAAATGCTTGAATTGCTGAATTTCAGCTCTCCTAGGCAAACCATGAGCCCTAAACCTTGGCTTCTTCTTGTGGTTAATTATGATTTAGCTCAGCACAGCAGTAGGAGGGTTAGGGAGGCACTAAGCACTCACAGTTTTCTTTTTTGGAGGCCATGGGTTGGCATAGTGTGACAGGCATACCAGACTACAAAGAGCAGTGGTCTAGGTCAAAAGAAACCAGTTTGTAATAAAACTGATAGTTATGATGCTCTAGTATGTTTTATTAAGGAATGCAGTTCTGTACCTAAAATAGAGATGTTTCCTCCTCAGGCTCGCCTTCCAAAAAGCAGTAAAGATTTTGGTTTCCGTGAAAAGCTATGAATTAGTAACTTTAGTTTTAATGGGTGTGTGTTTTGTTCATTTGTTTCCTATGTGTATCCCTTCCCATCCCCAAACCCTCTGAGTTTGGCTGGTCTTGGCTTTGTATTCAGAGTACTATTTGTTGTTCTCTCATCTCTTCCCACTTCCACACTTTCAGGGTGAGTTTGTCAACGAATATGTGGGAGAGCTGATAGATGAGGAGGAATGCCGGGCCAGAATCCGCTATGCCCAAGAGCATGATATCACCAACTTTTATATGCTAACTTTGGACAAGGTGTGTGAAAACATTCCTGTTTTCTGTATCTGAAGTAAAATACTGCTAGTTCATGTACGTTTGAAACAATAAATTAAGATACTGTGCCTTCTGTTGGCATTGGTTTTAGATTGCAAGACCACCTGATTTGTGTGTGTGTGTGCTTTCTTGGAAAGACATCTCCCCCAACCCTCAAGTTTCTTAGAGCATTCCATATCTGTATTGCACTGCTTATAGCTAAGAATAAAGTTCTGGCTGTGTTTTGAAAGGCTGAGTTCTTTCCTGTGCTTTTTAGGATCGAATAATTGATGCTGGACCAAAAGGCAATTATGCTCGATTTATGAACCATTGCTGCCAGCCAAATTGTGAGACACAGAAGTGGTCAGTGAATGGAGATACTCGGGTTGGCCTTTTTGCGCTCATAAATATCAAAGCTGGTAAGGAGCCCTAATGATTAGTAGCCTTGTTTCTGATATTTTGGTGTATGTATCAAGAAATGAAAGTCCGCAGCCTGAGGGCAGGTTTAACTAATGAGTCCCACTAATGGAAGTCTGTTCAAGGACTTCTGCTGATTCAGTGGCACTTCCCTTCTTTTCCCATCCTCTCACTGAAATTGGCTTTGTGGTGGGGGGTCAAGAAAACCCCCAGAACTGCATGTGGGGGGAGCAGAGGGGGGGGTCATTTTTGTCTCACAATCTGAAAAGCTTGAGCTGATGGAACAATTGCCATAGCACTATGTTGGATTCCTCCCTGAGTGTTTGCATGTAAAAAGTTGAGATACTTCTTCACAGTGAGCGACACGTATCTCTGTGTTCACCATACATTACATATAACAGAAAGCTTTAAAAAGTAGTGGCTGTCATAGAATCAAAGAGTTGGGAGTAGTATTTTGAAGTCATTTCCCAACCCTCTGCTCAGTGCAAGATACAATACAGCATCCCTGACAGGTGGCTATTTGGTGGAAGGTATGTTCTTCTATCTGTGTATTTGTACTATATTCACAATGTAGGAAATTTCATCCTGTTTGTTGAAATTTCATCCTGCATGGCCCTCGGGAGGTAAGGTAATGCAATTATACTAAGTCATAGACCTTTGTTGCAAGCGTGCACTGGAATTTCAGCACATGCAAGGGAAAGTAGAAGCAGCAGATTCTCCTCAGCATTTACACATCTTTTTTTGGGGGGGTGGTGGTTGGTTTTTCTTGTTTGTTTTTAATCTTTCATTCCAGTTCTAGAACTTCAGGTTTAGCAAAGCCTATTACAATCCAAATGGGTCTCATTGATTTCTCTGATTACCAGGGACTGAGCTGACTTTCAACTACAACCTGGAGTGTTTGGGGAATGGGAAGACAGTTTGCAAATGTGGTGCTCCAAACTGCAGTGGTTTCCTTGGAGTAAGACCAAAGGTATTTCAAACCCTTATTTAGATTTCTTCCTTCAGCTGCCCTTTGAATTGCTTGGGGTTCATTTTTTACTTAATTGAAAGGAATCTTTTTCTCTTCAGTATACTCCTCTCCAAGTTACTGTGTGATTGCTATTGCTGTTGATAACAATGACACCCCTTTAAGACCCACTCTGCATTGCTTAAATCAGATGAAAATGGCGGGGGGGGGGCTGGAAAAAAGCCAACGCCAGGAGAGATCTGTGCTAATAACATTAATCACTGTATAGGGAAGTTTTTAATGTTTGATGTTTTACTTTGTTGGATGTTTTAATTTGTTGGAAGCCACCCAGAGTGACTGAGGCAACACTGTTAGATGGGCAGCATATGAATAATACATTGTTGTTGTTGTTGTTGTTGTTTTCCTGACACAATGGTCAGGATGAATGTAAAACTTCCAATGTGTCCAAAATGAATATACGTTTGTTAGGAACTTTCATAGCTGGGGAAACTCTGGATTTATTCATACTAGGAAAACATAATCTTATCATATGGCCTATTTAGAATTGAACTGTTTACTTACCCCTCAAGAATTGTGATTGCAGCTGTTTTCCTTGGGGTCTTTCATCAAGTCAGCTAAAGAAGTTTAACAGAAAGAGGTATGAGGACAGGGATTTGTTCCCTTTGAGCATTTACTCAGTGGCATTGTTTTGTCTCCAGAACCAGCCACCTGCCTCTGAAGAGAAGTCCAAGAAGTTCAAGAGGCGGCATGGGAAGCGCAAATCCCAAGCAGAGATTATGAAGGAGCGTGAGGATGAATGTTTCAGCTGCGGGGATGGAGGGCAGCTGGTTTCCTGTAAGAGGCCAGGCTGCCCAAAGGTGTACCATGCTGACTGCCTCAATCTGACCAGGCGTCCTGCAGGTCAGTCACGTATTCTCACTGTTGTTCATAGAAACTTAAGTATAACAGCTGCACCGATAGCACTAGCCTCGAGCGAGAAATGATGCCTCCCAAACTTAGCAGCTGGTGACAATTCATATAATAAAACCAGGAGCAGAGCCCAGCTGCATCAGAGCAAAGGCCTATCTAGTCCAGCATCTTGCTCTCACAGTGGAAGCCCAGAAGCAGCACCTGCGTGCAACAACACTCTCCTCATTCATGTTCCCCAGCAACTGGCATTCAGAAGCATACCATCTCTGAGTGGAGTGCTTGTTTGGTGTGGACAAAAGACCAAAGAAAAGGAAGTTCCACCTTCTCAGTTTGCTAAGTTTGAAAACTTGATTTAAATCATTACTTTTGTTGTTGTTGTTGTTGCTTGAACCAAAACTAACTTGAAACACAGGGGTTAGAACTGAATGAACAAACCAGCGTGCTGAGTGGGGTTCCTGCATTTTACATAACTGCAAAGTAATTTATAATGGCAAATGGATGCCTGGTAAACTAGAGCTGTTTTGGATGATATTCCCTTAGCAACCTCCAGGCTTAGTCCAGGCTTGCTTTCTTGTTGACTTCAGCCATTCGCTGATCTGACTTTCTCACCTCCTCTTAAGCTGCGCCTTTTTTTTCTGTGCTGCAGGGAAATGGGAATGCCCTTGGCACCAGTGTGACGTGTGCAGCAAAGAGGCAGCTTCCTTCTGCGAGATGTGCCCCAGGTCCTTTTGCAAGCAGCACCGAGAGGGCATGCTCTTCATCTCTAAACTGGACGGACGCCTGTCCTGCACAGAACATGATCCATGCGGACCTAACCCTCTAGAGCCAGGAGAGATTCGTGAGTATGCGCCTTCCACAGAATCGGCAGCTGGCTGCCAAAACACTCAGCCATCAGACGAGCAGCCTGCGGCTACAGGCCCGAAATCTCAGCCGTCAGAGAGGCTACCTCTGACTGTGGCCCTGAGGCTGCAACCCTCAGATAAGCCACCTTCCTCTTCAATGGCTCTGAGGCTAAAGTCCTCAGACAAGCAGCCTTCCTCTGTCGCGCTGAAGCTGCAGTCCTCAGATAAAGCACCCTCCACCGTGGCACTGAGGCTACAACCATCAGACAAGCTGCCCTCCACCCTGTCCCTGAGTTTAAAACCCTCAGACAAATTGCCCTCCACCCTGTCCCTGAGGTTAAAGCCCTCAGACAAATTATCCTCAGCCCTTGCCCTTAGGTTGCAGTCGTCAGATAAGCCGCTCTCTGCCGTGGCGCTCAGGCTACATCCCTCAGAAAAATCGCCCTCCACGGTGGCCCTGAGGTTACAGCCCTCTGAAAAACAGGCTTCTGCTGTTGCCCAGAAGTCACAACCGTCAGAAAAGATATCCTCCACAGTAGCTCATGAGTCACAGCTATCAGACAAGCCGGTCACTGGAGAGGCACCAGGACCTCAGGACAAGCCACCTGCTCCGGAGGCATTGGGACCTCAGACAACAGACAAAAGCTCCACAGTGAAACCACCAGGATCCAAGAAGTCAGAACTGTCACCTACTGCAGGCATACCCAGGTCTCAGAATTCGGAGGAACCTCCTGTTGCAGAGATACCAAAGCTCCAGGCGTTGGACAAGCCTGCTGATCCTGAATCTCCAAGGCCTCAGCCACTGGACAGGCCCATTTCTCTTGGCCCAACACCCAAGCCCTCAGGCAAGTCTGTTGCTCCACTGAGCCTACGATCTCAGCCAGTGGTCAGACCAGTCACCCCCATAGCCCTGAGGTCTAAACCATCAGAAAAGCCAGCCACTCCTGTAGCCCCACAGCCACAGCCGCCCAACAGGGTTTCTACCCCTGCAGATGCTCGGCCCATGCCATCAGACAAGCCTTCTACTACCACAGGTCTGAGGCCTCAGCTTCCTTCCCCACTAAGCCTGAGGCCTTTGCTTTCAGAGAAAGCACTGAGGCCTGTTGACCAGAACGCTCAGCCAAAAGAAAGAGGCTCTGTGACCGTGGAGCAGACTCCTCAGCAGAAAGAGCGGACATCTGTATCCGAGGAGCAGCCTTGCAGGCCTACAGGGAAATTTTCGGGCTATGTTGGGCAAGCAGCCCGCCCTCTAGAGAATTTTCAAATACACGAACAGACCCCTTGGCATAGCGCGAAAGGACTGCAATCGGTGGAGCAATCGCTTTGGACAGCTGAGAAACTGCAGTCTCCTGAGCACAGTCTTTGCTCAGGCCAAGAAGCCGCATCTGCACCTTCCACGGAGCAGCCATTTTGGCCCACAGATAGATTGTGTGCATTTGAACAACCCCTTTGGCCTGTGAAAGAAGCTCCACTGCCTTCTGGACAGGCATCGTGGCTGCCCAGAAACATTCAAACGTTGGAGCAGATCTCTTGGCTCTCTGGGAAAGCACAGACACCTGTGGGGCAGGACATTTTGCCTTTGTCTGAACAAAACGTGGTGCTAGTACTGAACCAGGATTCCCCTGGCCATGAACCTACTGAGTCTAAACCTTAGTGAAGCCAGTTCGAGGCCAGACGGGTCACAATTTTTGTTTTGTTTGTTTTTTTATTGTATGGGGAAGGGTATTTTGTTTCTTGGGTTGTTTTTTTTAAAAAAAAAATCACTTCCCCAGATCCTTGACCTTCCAACATCCCACCCAAACTACCCACCTACATTTACTTAAATCCAAACGATGCCCAGCCAAGCAGCAAGAATGTAGATGGCCTGTTCCGTCTTCATTTTGGAAACAATAAAGCTGAAATAAAGGAATCCACTGTGGATAATAATCTCTAATTCCATTGAAATAATCAAAATTACTAACCTTGCATGTCTGAGTGACAGGCGTGCATTAATGGTGTGTCTCCTAGATTTGCTCCTACACCGTTCCAAAGAAGTAGCTTCATTCCATCTCACTAGTTGCAAGCCAGCCATTCTGTACTGGCACCTTACATTTCCTAAACAATTCAACTGATGGAATCCCGTCACTGGAGAAGCGAAGCGAAGGGACCTGACAGTTTCCTCCCTAGTTTTCATTTCTCAGCATTCTGTTTTAGGAGAGTGTTTTGCTTGAGAATATGCTGCCAGGGCACAACAAATACAGGTGCTTTTTGAAGAAACGTTACTTGAAGTTAGCTGAGAAGCCCAGTTCCACTAGGTGGAACTGTCTGCTCCTCTGTGAACAGCTGAAGCTCCTTCACAGACCTTATAATTGGAGGTGGGGGGGAAAGAAATTCAGAGATACCATCTGCTAGCATTCTTATCCTGGGACTTGGATCTCTAGCACAGTAAAATCAGAGCCCCCTCATAGGCAGAATTTTGACCACTAAAGGCAACAGCAGGTTAGACAAATGAGTCAATCTCTCTTCTGGATTTTTGTGGTGCATCATTGCTGTTACCTAACTTTTTTCAGTCTTTGCAACAAGAATTATTAGTGTTTTTGGACAAATGAAACTATTTTCCCCCCCTCCACTACAAGCAGTTCGCTTAGGAATCATGTTTGCATTGTTTACAGTAGTCCTAATTATTTGGGGTGCATTCCTCTGGCTAAAGTATATCACCTCAGAGGGCGGAACAGAACTAATAGCCCATTTGAGAATAAATGTTTCCAGGATAGAAAGCGTGTTTTATTAATCTTACCTTGATTAGTCTCCAGCTTAAAGTATTTCCCATCTTACCAAAAAATACTGAAACAAAAACTTGAATTTAACTGGGCTACACTGAAGAATATCTGCATGTCAGAAACAGAGGTAGCTGAGGTCATAGTTCTCACACTGGAACACTAAGGGCTGCAGCAGCTGGCTTAGATCTCTCTTCCTTTCTTCATCTCTCTTTCCCAGTCAGTGCAGCGCTTTATGCCTGGTGCGTAACCAGGCTGGTATTATGCATAACTCTGGTGGAAGCAGTTATTGTTACCCAACCAGACATAAATGCAGCTTGTTATGGTGCTGGTTAGATATTGTTGATGAACTATATTGAGGATCAGAGAAGTTACTGATTACTTGGCCCTGAATATGTCTAGGTTTCTTCATATCTTGGCTGTAGGAGAGGCAGGCAAGCATACCATGCCAATATTTCACTTGATGGTTTCAGTTAGACACACTGATGTCTGGAAGCAGCTTAACAATCTCTCTCTCTCTCTCTCTCTCTCTCTCTCTCTCTCTCTCCCTCACCCACACACACACACACACACACACACACACACCCACACACCCACCCTTTCCTTCTAACTTTTGCCGCCTCTTCATGTTCTGTTGGCCTGGATAGCTGAAGTCGCACAGTCTGTCATGCTTCAGCTTCAAGCAGCAAATTTGGCCAGCTCCTAATTTGCCCTTTTTAGATTTCCAGGTGTTGTTGTTTTTTTGCACAAAGCAGAAGTTCTGGTTTCTATGTAAACCCTGATCCTCTTACTTTGAAGCATATATCATTGGGGTATTCAGGTCCTCTGTAGAATTGCAATAGTACTACAGTTGATCCTATACAGTGGCAGTTCAAATTCTGACCCAGTACTTTTTTCAATGCTGGCTTTCCACAATGATGGTACCTGCTGGGCACTACAAAACATTCCCCCCCTGTGCATCTCATCCTCTCCCCTGAATCATTTCCCTCTCTCTCTCTAAAGCTAGTGACTTTGCAAAGCGTTATAGCTAATGGAATCTTAGTTCTTAACATTGGTTTTCCTCAAAGACCTGCAGGCTCAGCGGCTGCTTATTGCTGAAAATGGGGAAATGCAAGTACATTTTGGTTTCTGCGTGACTCCTGCACAAAGGGAAACAGGACAACTCTTCTGAACGAGACAGAAACAAGAAGCCAAGGGCATTTTACTAAAACCTTTTTTAAAACAAAACGATCACCTTTTTAAACAAGCAAGCCAAACCAATCACGAGGTTCAGTATGTTAAATATTTCTCATGTGTGGAAAATAATAATAATAAAGCTCTAAATTTTACATATTTAGGCCTTCCCGTGAGCTGGACTTTGTCGTGTAGATTGTGTGTTTAGGGCTTCCTTTGTGCCAGACCCCACCCCAAGCCAGCTGTACCTGTAACAAGAAAGATGCCTGCACTGCTTTGTCCAACTCTGTTCTTGCAATGTCATGTGTTTTTAACTAGCTATTTGTTTCATGGAAAAACAACAACAATAAACTGTGAATATTTTTGGTGGAGGCTGTTTTAAATCTTTAAAACAGAGAAAAGTCCATTTTGCATTAATTCTCCTGAGTGTAGGTGCTAGGGGTCAAGAATGCGTGACACGGTAGGGTATCTGTGCAGCAGCACATTCAGAATCTCTATCTAGGAACTCCTGCTTAAAGTCAGTTGGATTTTTGCATGGCATTTCAGCCCCTGTTGTCTGCTGCCGCCCTGCTTTCTCCTTTTCCCCCAAGAGCCTCTCTGTACAGATTCAGTTTTGCCGCCGCCTCCCTCCCTGAAGGACTTGTTTTGTAGAAACAAGAATCTGATCAATCAAACTGGGCATCTGAAGTAGAAAGTGTCACGGATGTATGTGTGGAGTGTGTGTACCTGCATGCCTGTAGCACAACTTTATACTGATAGCATCTCTCCAAGTCTGGAGGCTGGTGTCTGGTTTGTTATGGTAAGTAAGGAGAAAATCCCAAGGTGCAGATTAAGAGAAATGCTACGCAGGAACCTCACCCAATCGGCACCTTCAACCCAAAGCAGGGGTGGTTTCCTATGTGAAATGGGAAGAGCCAGTCACTCCCATAAGACACAACATTCAATTGGGAAGGGACACTGGCCAAGCAGAAGCCAAGTGCTGTTTGATTCTGAGGGATCCAGAATGCAAACAGACACAGGCTAGGAGAGAGATTTGACCTGAATGCTTCCCCTGTTGTGTACCCTTCTACCTAGTGTGAATCAGCTACCTTTCCAAGAGCTGGGCTGCCAGAAACAAAATTTGATCCTGCTTCTTAAAATGGTCCAGGCATGTTCTATTCTGCTGTTGCTTATGTGGTACTTTGCTAGGGGTGTGAGCATGGCAAGCGGCTTCTGGTGTGCAAATCTTACATACTCCCCATCATGTTTCTATATTTCATGCAGAAAATAAGGTGCTATAATGCTTGGGGTCTAGTGGGACATAGAGCTTTGCACATTTTGTGCTTGAAAATCTGTGCCAAGAGGCCAGATCTGTGGCAAGAAAAGCTTAACTGAATACTGTGACATTTGGATCATGCAGAAAAACAGATTTGTGTATGTTTGCTTATTTCATAACTTACTCTGTTTCTGTTAATCATGGGAAGGGGCAAAGAACTAGGTATGACAACAAATTTTGCCCAGCAACTCTCCTCCACCCATGAGTATCTGAAATTAAACCAGGAATCCCCCACCCCACCTTTTTTTTTTTACACAAAACAATTGAAAGATGATTCAGAAGCATCCTGAGCTTCTCAAGTGCCAGATTCTACACTAGCTCCATAGTTTCATGGAATAATAGACTATAGTGGAGTCAGGTAGTTGTACTTGCACCCTTGACTGGCATTGTTTACAATGAAGCTAACAAAATACAATTTCCACCCCATTTATAAAATATTCACAGGTAATTAAAATTTTGCCACATGAAAAATATGTAGTTGCTGTACAGAATGGTGAAGATCATTCTCCAGAAATCAGATGTTCTGTCTCTGTGCTTTTCCCCATTGGATGTATCTCCAAAAGTTAGGGCACCAAGGGGACTGGGATTAGATCAACTGCAAGTGCCTAGGTCTGTTAAGAAGATGTTCATGTTTATTTTTGAGCAATTGGGGTATTTATAGCAGCTCAACAGGGTATACCTCTATTCAGTGCTTCCCTCTGCCCCTCTCACTTTAATGTTGCAAGAATTACTTCCCTTTTCCGACCCCAGGGTCGTGGCCTGAAGAGTGTTCTTTATGTTAAAATATTTGGAAACTCCTCGTCTGTGCAATTGACTAACATGCTGCTAAGAGCACCTGTGATGGGACTTTCCTAGAATGCATCACCTTTTGCATTATGCTGTGGCTACTAAGGTGGTTATTTGATTGGTTTAGGGCAGGGGTGAAGAGCAGATGTTGAACTCCAATCCCCTCACCCTGGCCTCACTAGCTCGGGCTGATAGGAATTGTATGCCAGTGTCTAGAGGGGACACAGGATCCCCACTCCTGGTTTAGGATGAATACTTTGGAATGGAGGAGCTGAGCTGTAGGCTTTTGTAATAATAATAATAATAATGGTGACAACATTTGGAATAGATTTTAAACATTCTGCAGCCTACGTAATTGTGCTGAAATGGAATAAAGCCTTTCCCCTTTCCGCCAAATCTGCATGACTGGTAACATACAAGAATTTGTTAACAAATGCATTGAGTGTGGTGACATTTTGCAGTATTGATGGATTCCCTTCCGTGGGAGTCAGAGGGTTAGGGATGCTGGGAATGTGATGATTTTAACAAGTATTGGATTTCATGTCTGAAAGCAAGAGATGTCAGAGCACATTTCTCAAGTACTGACAGAAGGCAGGAATAGAAGTTATATTTTAAATGGCCACATTTTTGCCCCCCATGCTCCCAGACTCTGATTTTCTGGAAGATGGGATCAGTGTACAAATGACACTTAGTTCCTATTCTCCCTACTGAGGCAGTGTGGTCTCTTGAAAGTGAATGCTTGCAAGGGTATTTGTGCATAGGAAACCACTTCTCAGCCTACGCAGAGCATCATATTGGAAACATCTGGAATTTCACTAACCCTATTCCCTTGAGTGGGTGCTGAGCAGATGTGGCAAGGGGCAGCTAAGTGCCATTCCTTCCATTTCTCAGCAGCATCACAGGGCATATTCCTTTGCTGTAGCAGCTTATTTCAGTAATGTATGGTGTGGTGCTTTTGAATTGTTCAGGTCTGTAATATGTTGGGAGAGAGAAACTCTTCTCTAATCGCTTGACAGTCCCATCCCCCCCATTTTGTTCCAAAGGGGTTTGGGCAGGGCTAAGACTGGAGAGCTCTCCCCACTCATTTAGCTGCTGGTACAAAAATGGAGTAGTGTGTGGTGCTAACGGAGATGAAATATTGCATTTCTTCAAGCTGTATTGCTTTGCCCTCAGGCAGTATACTGCATGCTGACTCTCCCAGACACTCTGCTGGGAGTTGTGACTGAACAGAGCAATTGCAGGAGAAGGCCTCTGGGAAAAGTCCTGTTCTGCAATGACACTCCAGTGCATAATTGCAGTATTTCTGCATGAATAATGGGGAAGGAATTCTTTTCAGTGCATCTATTGTGGTTACCAACAGTCAAGCATAATGTCTTTTTACAGAGCTATCCTATTCTCATCTACGTTCTCTACAAATGGCCGGCAAGGGAAATGCTTTACAGTATCTACATTAGAAGAAGAGGAAGAGTTTTGGCTCGTGGATTCTTATTTTTCCTCCCCTGACTCATTTAACTGTGTGTGTGTAAAAACTATGACAATGAAAAACAAAGTTGTCCTACCCAAATGTTCCCAAAATATGTACTGTAATTCTTTGTATATAAAAGAAAGCAATTACTGTAAAGTAAAGTTTAACTTTGCTCTTGACTGTGTGTGCTATTTTATTGAGCCTAGATATGGCAGATTCTAATCTGCTTTTTAATCTAAAAAACAAATTGAAATCTCTGTAAGTTTGTATAGAGATACGGCTGCCAGGAATAGTTGGGACCTTGAATTTGTGGTCTTCTGTGGGTCACAGCTGGGGGCTTGTATACAGCTTGTATAAACAGTAGTTTATAGCTTAGAGAGAAGTGGTTTTTCAGAATGATACAAAGTCTGAGATACTGCTCTCAATTATAACTTGTGAGGTGCATCTAACCATTTAGCAACTACTTCTGAAAACTCAGCTTCCATAGAGACTTAAAGGTTTGGTAAATCAACCTGAGAATGGACCTTTATTACCAATGTAGCAAATAACTCTTAGGAAGCTTTTGGGCTCTTGCTGCTGGTATAAAGCCTTTGAAACTTGACACAGAGGTAGATGTCAATGGAACTACAGCCCGAAGATCACTTTCAATACTTTTGCACCCAAATTTTAGTGCACTGAGTGAGGGGCCCTACCTTGTGCCTACCAATTGCTTCTCCCCCAGCCACAGGCCCCTAGGTTAGCCAAGACCAGAGTTGCACTATGGCAGTTACCTGTAACAATACAGTAAAAAGACATCCAGGCATATATATTTAAAGCCATAAAACACACTCCAAAACATCTAAGGGAAGAGAGCATATGTTGGAGAAAAACCATCGGTATATTCTATTCCACAGAGATGATCATGTAAAGGAAAACTGATAGAAATAGCCTACTCTGTCAAATGGCAGAGTATTGTGCAGCTCTGTAACCTTTTCCATTCAGCTGCCGTGCCATGCTTCAACAGTACAGGCCAGCACCGTCCTTGGCACAGGGATCCCCAGCTGCATCTGCCTTTCTGCTTTCTCTGGAAAGAGGGCGGCCTGCTTGTGTAGATCAGCACCCCTGGTGCTCCAGCCAACTAGAGCCTATCCCAGGTTCCCCTTCATTTTCCAGACGCCGTATAACTGCTGCAAAGCCCATCACTGCTTGTATCTACAACTGTTCTGTGATGCTTATTGATGCTTTTACAGTATTGGAGCAACTGGGCCTGCTTATCACACACGTACACATCTATCAAATTGGCTGTTTAAAAAAACCACAGCAAATTCCTAAGCCTCCTCAGATGCTTGTTTTTGTTCCCTGTACCAATACATGTTTCAACTGCTGGAACGTCAGAGAAACGTCAACCATTAGAAACTGGTGGTCAGCCCGTGTAGTAGGAGAGGGACCCGTGTTTCTTCCCATTCCCTCTAGGAGTTTAGCCTGGAAACAAGTTTCAGCAGCTTCAATAAGAACACAAACCTAGCTGTGTTTCTCAACAACACAGGACCACAATGCACTTTTATTTACATATACATAGCTTATTAGAAGCCATTTAAATAATAAAGCAAAAAATCAGGTGCAACACCATCAAAACAGCAGAACCAACCACTGCCAGAACAAGGTGTCTTCAGCGTTGGAGAGCCAGTTGTGAAAAAGCAATTCCTGAAGCGCATCAAGAATTTAAAGTCAGCCTCTGGAAGGGATGGGAGCACAAGGCAGTCAAGGTCTCTGGTCAACAAGGCAGCAGAAAATCTCGCAGCGTGTGCCGTGTTCTCCCCCCTCCCACCATTCCAAGGAGAAGTGCCAGCAAGTGATGCTCCACAGGTCCGAAAGGGCAAGACATTCCATACAGCAGGGAAACAGTGTGAACTATCCAAAGACAGCATGAACTGCTATCCCAGGAGGGGAGCACTGCTGCTTTGGCAAAACAAGGAAAGAACTCAGTGATGGCAACAGCTATAAAAGTAGGTGGTAGTGTTCTTTTGGCTCAGATCAACTCCTTTCTCCTCTGAAAGCAGAACATATACAAGGGTTAGGCAAGTGGGGCAGATTTGTAGCAGCAGAATATTCAATGGCTCTGTTAAGAGGATTTATTTCTCCCAGGGAAAAGTCCCGCCCTGTCCAGATAAAGTTTGCATACAGTCCTTCATCTAAAGAGCCTAGTGTGGTTCACAACAGAAAAGTACAAAATATATAATAAAAGCAAACCAATAACTTCCCCCTCCCACAAACACATCTAAAAAGCCATGGACTGTTAACCAGCCAAATGCCTGGTTGAAATGCCTGGTTTTCACCTTTTGCCTAAAGATATGCAACGAAGGTGCCAGGTGTGCCTTCCTGGGGAGAACGTTGCCCAGACGGAGTCACCACAGAAAAGGCTCATTCTTGTGTTGCCACCCTCTAGACCTCTCACGGAGGAGGCACACAAATAAGGGCTTCAGATGATCATAGGGCCCAGGCTGGTTCATATGGGGAGAGTCTACAGACTGCCACAACTCCCCCTCCCTGACCCTCAAGTCTGTCCTGATGCCACACCAAGTATCCAGGTGGGCACAGATCAACTCCACCCTGCTCACCCAGCCAGGTCTCAATGATACATACCACAACAGCCTCCTCATCCACAATCAGATCATGGGTGAGGGAGGTCTTACTCAAGAGCAAACCTGGCATTCAGCAACAGCAGCAGCAGCAGCAAGTCCAAGAGCTGGCTGACAGGACAACTGCAATTCCCCAGGTGGAGGAGGGGCTGGCACACTGCACAGTCGCTAACTGCCTGTGCTGTGTGCCCCTTACAGTCTACCCCACCTTACACACTATACCTCCCCCTACCCTGAACCACTGCAATTAGGTCCCAGCTTTCCCCAGCTCCTCTCTTCCCAGAGGCAATAGAGTTCATTTGGAAATGCAGTTCATGGAGTCTCTGCTTTCTACACACGTAAACAATCATGGGCATTCTTAAAACACGTTTTTTTCTTATTCAGCGTGTCCCGAAGTCCCACTTTCATGTCCAGGAAATATATTTGCACCAGAGGTTCTATGCATGTTCAGAAGAACATGTGAGCACACACACACAGAGTGGAAGTATCTTGTTCAGAAACTCACCTGTCATCTCCTGAAAGGCAGTAAGCTGCGCATAATCCTCAGCCACCTTCATGAAGAGCTCATCTGTAAACAAAACACAGCAACACAGGATTGGTGTCTCGCCCACAGCTGGCTTCAGTAGGAACACCTGAACTGACCTGAACTTGGGAGGCAGCAAATGGCCACTGGCTACAAAATTATGACTGAATGATAAAAGGGAACAAAACTCAGAAATAAGCATCCTGGATATCCTTTGGTAAACACAGTGATACCCTGAGATCTACTGCCCTGCCCCACTTGTCCACTCTCATCAGATTGCAGCCATAATCTTGATCTTAGTGGAATTTGGAATTGTGGTGCAGTTCCACCTGGTGAGAAAGCATGGGCAAGGTACTCAGCATCACCCTTATTTATCAGGAGCCACAGTGACGCCATATGCAAACTGTCCCCAACCAAAAGGAGAACAGCAGTCTTCTCACTCTGGGCGTGACTGTCCAGAGGCATTAGCCACACTTAAGCACCATAAAGCCTTGCAATGCACCCTGGAAGCAATACTCACCCACATTCTGTCCAGTCTTACTGGAGGTTTCAAACAGCTCGGCTTTGATCTCTGAAATGACAGTATGTCAGACGGAAAGTTTTAGTCGTTTTACTCTACAATGGGGACCGCCATTGTAGATGCACCAATGTTAAGAGCTCCTGGTGCACTGTGATTCCCTTTCTCTCCTCCCAACAAGTGAAGAAGAAAAGCCTAACCATCCGCATAGTCCTGCACATCATGGAAGTCAATTCCTCGCCTTCTCCTGTCCTCGTCCAACAAATCACACTTGGTGCCACACAAATAGATCCTGCAGTTCTGCAGAGAAAGAGAACAAGGCAAGTACTTCCATACAAGGTCAGTCTAGCAAGCAGGTATTGCCAAGAATCCATGTAGCCAAACCAACAGGACCCACCCTATTTTTGTGTGACTGTGGTTTTTTTAATTGTAAGTTTTAAAACTGTTTCATACTGTATTTTAAATTGTTGTAACCTGCCCTGGAACCTTAGGGTGAAGGGCAGGTAATAAATTAAAATGTAGTAGTAGTAGTAGTAACAGTAATAATTTGACATGCCCAAAATGCAATCCTAAGGTGCACACAATTAACATTGCTCAGGGAATGGTTACACACAATGCTGTTGTGCTGCTAAATCCACCTGGGAGACGGTCTGGAAGCCTCATACTTTTAACCTTCTCAAAAACATGAGATACAAGTCAAGCAACCATGTAACCAATCAACAACTGGCCACCCTCCCTTCCTCCCTCCCCCTGAGGAACTGCCCTCCAGTGTCCCAGTATACAAATTATAGAATGATGCTCCTCTGTAAGACCAACATTCCCTGTGGCTCTCCCAGTGAGGCGAATATTTCTTTTCTCTCTGCCTGGAAATGGAGATCTACTTACCTCCTCAAAGTTCTGCAGCTCATTCACCCAGAATTTTGCTCTCTGGAAACTGCTGCTATCAGTAAGATCTGTGGAAGTGGGGAGGTGTCAAGACTAGATCCCACCCAAAAAGTTCATAAAGCAGATTCACTGACCCCTGTATATATAGGCAGAGTAACTGAGGTACTGAAATGAATAGGTTGGCTAGGAAAGAATTGCTCTCTTTCCCTGAACAGCTCATAATAGAGCCTCTGTCCACACATCTTGAGTTCTTTTGTGGCACACAACTGAAATGTGTATAATAAGATAAGGTAAAGGTAAAGGGACCCCTGACCATTAGGTCCAGTCGCAGACGACTCTGGGGTTGCGGCACTCATCTCGCTCTATAGGCCGAGGGAGCTGGCGTACAGCTTCTGGGTCATGCGGCCAGCACAACTAAGCCACTTCTGGCGAAGCAGAGCAGTGCACGGAAACGCCGTTTACCTTCCCGCCGGAGTGGGATTTATTTATCTACTTGCACTTCATGCTTTCAAACTGCTAGGTTGGCAGGAGCAGGGACCGAACAACAGGAGCTCATGCTGTTGCAGGGATTCGAACCGCCGACCTTCTGATCGGCAAGCCCTAGGCTCTGTGGTTTAACCCACAGCGCCACACACACAAATCCCCTTCCACGAAGAGTTAAAGGAAAGGCTAATGGGAACTGCCCAGCTTTCTTCACTTAGACACCAGGGCTGGAGCAATACATTTTTTTTGCCTGAGGTAAAGAGCAAAATGGCCCCCTCTTTCCATGTACAAAAGCTAACTGGACTGGTAGTTGAATCTCGTCTCAACAGTGGCAAGAGGACAGTGTCATTCTAGCTTAGAGGACACAAGACAGGCCATGTGGCACACACAGCTCTGCCCTCCAACATCTCACTGTGTCTCTCTTACCACCATCACCCATCAACTGCCTGAGGCTCCTGTCTCATTTCACCTTACTGTAGAGCCAGTCCTGTTGAGCAGCCACAGTTTGACTGCCTTGGTATGCCAAACCACAGCCTAGTATCACTGGGTAGAGACGTTTTCCCTCCTATTAAGGTAATACCCATGCAGTTTTGTGTTCAGGCAAAGAAACACCAGGAAACCTCCAATGATAAGGAATCTCCCATGGCCAACACAAATCATGTAATTTATCCCAGACTAGTGGTAGACTAACGATTTCAGCAACTCTGCTGCCATCATAATAGCTATTGGGGAGGAGATAGAACTACACGTGCAGCTTTCACAGAGCTGTCCTCTTAAAGACAGGAGCACTATAGAGGCAGCTCCTTGCCTCCCTTCTGGCCTTTACAGGGCACTCTTAAAGTGGCGCCATGGAGAGGGAAGGGGGATGGACACAAATGAAGACAGGAATTGGTGTCTGAATGGTGCAAGGTAAGTGTTGCCCCAACAGAAGAAGCAGGCTGCCATGTGGGCTCTATTTGAGGATATAAAATGTATTTGGCAGGGGCTAGCTCTTTTCACAAACACAAGCACAATGATACAACCCCCAAAGCAATGCATGAGAATCTCTCACTGCTGCTAGTTCTGAGGCAGAGCAAACTGCCCTCTCTATTGTGGAAGTGAAACTGCTAATAGACACAGCTTAGGAAACAAGAAAAGAGGCAGTAAAGCTGGCAAGTAAAGCAGCGGCTAAGTGACCACATCCTGAGGAATTGGTATTTCCATGGAGTTTTTAACTGGACACCTGCACATCTGCGGAGGAACCAAGTCTGTGCAACTAGAGAGCAGTCTGTCACTGTAAGAAAGCGATGACAATGGAGAGATCAAGGGACCCTCAAGTAACATACTGATAGAAGGAGGGCCTGAGTATGTAGCAAGCAATAATCCCCAAACAACATCCCAATTATACTCCCTCTGTATTTGTTTGATACTGTTCCCAAATATTTGCACACAAATCTCCTTCAGAACAATGGATTGGCTAGCACAGCCCTTTCCAAGTTTGTAAGACTGTTCTCCTAGCATTGGTAGTCCAGAGCTACATGGGTACCTGAGTTGGCATGCAAGTGAACTCTTACCATAACATACAATGGCAGCTTTTGCCCCACGGTAGTATATCCGGCTCATGGCCTCATAACGCTCTGAGCCAGCTGTATCCTAGAAAAGGGAGAAACAGTAAGATTTTGTACCCAGCAGCTTAGAATCCCAGTGGAATTCAACATAGCACTAAGGAGCCAGTCTGCTTGTCTGTCAAAATGATTTCACTTCCCTGTACAGCGGTACCTCGGTTTTCGAACGTCTCCACTGACGAGCATTTCAGTTTTTGAATGCTGTAAACCCGGAAGTAAATGCTTCGGTTTTCGAACACGCCTCGGAAGTCGAACGTGCCATGTGGCTTCTGCTGAGTGCAGGATCCTGAGGCCTGGCTGTCGGCTATTGAGTTTTCAGTTTTCAAAAGTTTCAGAACTCAAACAGTCTTCTGGAGCAGATTACGTTTGAAAACTGAGGTACCACTGTATATTGTTCTGGGGATTCACCCAACTCTCCAGAGCAGCTTTAGGGGAAACATACAGCAATGGGGAAAGCCCAACCGCAGTAGTGGGAGGCCTTGTGCTGGCGTCTGCTAACAGAACTGGGCAGTGGAATCCAGCCCCTAGAGCTTGGCATAAAGCCCTTTTTCAATTAAACGCAAAACAGGCTGATCAAAGTGAAGGAACGAAAAGAAAAACTGTCAGCGTTGTGGAGTAAATAGAACGTTTGCTGGGCAGCTCAAAAGAAATAAAAGAGAAAACACAGTGATTCAGCTACAAGTGCGAAATAATTAAATAGCAGCATTAAACACACAGAGAGAAAACCAGTGTACAACAGTAAACACCAGACATTAAGAGCTGGGATTTGAAGACCACAAATTGTTTCAAAGGCCAGGCTAAATAGAGAGGTCTTTACATGGTGCCAGAAAGGTGCCAAGCAAGCATCTCTGGGAAGGCCGTTCCACAGTCGGGGTGCTACCACCGAGAAAGCTCTAAAGCTCCCAAACGGTGCCCCACAAACCTAACTCAGGTGGTTTGCAGCATGTCTGTGAACAACAGGAGCAGTGGCAGCTCTGGGACAGACCAGAAGCAACAGGTAGGAGGAAGCGACTTGAAAGGAGTGAAGACCAGGAGCCAGAAACATATTGTCTTTTATTGTATTACCATTTGTATTACAATTGGAATTGATAGTGTATTACGAAAACCATGCAGCATCTAGCATAGTGCATTACAACAAAAAGAAAAATAGTTAAGTAGTGCACCAAGACCCTTAGCAAATTTCAAGTTGTTCATGGGGGAAACGTTTGGGAAACACTGTTCTAAAAGCCTCCTCACACTTGTCCCCCCCTCCCCTGCATAGCCAAAGCATGTCCCATTAGTTCTCTGGTACTTTATGTTTGCCACACACAGCCAGTGTCATTAAGACTTACCCAGATTCCCAAGGTTATGGTCCGACCTCCCACTGGCATCACTTTGGCTACAAACGCAGCACCTATTGTCTAAAATGAGAAGAATACATATGAATGCAGCTGCACCACCTCATCAGCTCTTTAAAAGTAGCCACTAGTGGCAAACAAGTACGTATTTTTCGCTCTATAACACGCACCCGACCATAACACGCACATAGTTTTTAGAGGAGGAAAACAAGAAAAAAAATATTCTAAACGAAACAGAGGATGTATGATTTTTGTGGTTCATGCTGTGGCCACAGACATGTGATCTGACGGTGAGTTTGGAGTAGCCCAATGCAAAAGTCCTGAGGATCCATGTGAATCCATGCTTTGTAACCCCGTTTTTGCACCACTGTGGCCCCAGGCAACAGTGGGTGCGTGATTTTTTTGGTGCAAGCTGTAGCCATGGACATGCTATGTGATCTGATGGTGAATTTGGGGTGACCCAGTGCAAAAATCCTGAGGATCCATGTGGATCCGTGCTTTGTAACCACGTTTTAAGTGGGGAGGGAAGGAAAAGCACTCAAGGGACAAGGAACACGCATGGGGTGGGTGGAGAAGGATGCTGTTAATAATGCAGAAGAAGGGTATAAGAGGAGAAGGCTCCTCTCTTCTCCCGCTTTGCTCCTTTAAAGGCTCTGCTTCTCTCCTTCCTCCCCAGCTCGCTGAAAAACTTTGCTGCTATTTAGCCAGCTGAGTGGGGAGGAGAGAGGGACAGAGACCCTGCTTGCTTTAAAGGAGCCAACTGGACAGGAGCCGCTTACACTCATGTAAGTGGCTCCTCTCCTCTCCCGCTTTGCTTCTTTAAAGCAAGCAGGGTCTCAGTCCCTCTCTCCTCCCCACTCAGAGGCTCTACTCCCGCTTTGCTGTTTCAAAGCGAGCCACGGAGGAGGGAAGGAAGGGGAACCATGGATCCTCTGCTCACGACTGCAGCAGATCCCCCCATCATCCGTAGGCATTCGCTCCATAACACGCACAGACATTTCCCCTTACTTTCTAGGAGGAAAAGAGTGAGTGTTATGGTGCAAAAAATACGGTATTTTTTCCAGACAGCCAAACCAGGAAGTTTTTACAAATAGGAAAAGAATTGCTGCACCCCCCCCACACACTTCTTTTAGGCTGTCAGAACATTACAAACAAATGACTAACACAAGTACATACTGACAGGTAAGCTAGTAAATATTTCTGTGGATTAGTGACATCAGTGAATCTCTTTGCAAGGCTACCTTTAATAGAGGCTACCTTTAACAGATAGCAGATATTAGCAGTTTCTTTCTTTTCCCTAGCCAACATGGCCCCTTCTGATATGGCATGTTGTCTTATGGGCCTTCTTAGTTTCACTTTCTTTTAGGCTTCAAAGTTCCTTTGTGGTTACAAACCGCTCACCAAATGTCCATTTCACAACATACAAGATTCACTGATAAAGATTTAAGAAGTGGAGGGGTGGGAGCGGAAGAGGACTACAGATTGCTCAACCCAGTTGCCACTTGAAAGGCTCTCCACATCTGCCCCCCACCCCCCGAAGGACACACTCACGTTCTGGTAAGGTCCCACAAGGAAGCGGTTGTGAACGTATCGCTCCACCAAGCTGGTCTTGCCCACGTACTCTTTGCCCAGCATCACAACTTTGGCATCCACACGCTGCCCGCTCATCCTCTTGCCCTGGCAGCCGTGTGTTCCCCTCCAGGTGGTCCAGAGGGATCCCCAACGCCCCCACCTGAGTCGGCTGGCGCAGCCTAAGAGAGATGCAGCTCAGGTGGAGAGGCTCACCTGCAGTAAGCAGACGAGGAAGTACAGCAAGTGACTCAGGAGCAGCACCTCCCCGTTCCCACGTCACCTCGAAAGCTAAGAGGGCTCCAGTAGGCATAAGCCAGAAGGCCTGGCACTGCCCAGAATGCAGGTGTGCCCTGCATCCTCCACAGCAGTTGCACGAAGCTACAGTGGTACCTCGGGTTACATACGCTTCAGGTTACACACTCCACTAACCCAGAAATAGTGCTTCAGGTTAAGAACAGACCTCCAGAACGAATTAAGTACTTAACCCGAGGTACCACTGTACTGGCACGCAGTAGCAGCACTTCAAAAAAATGCGGAGAGGGAGGCAAAAAAGGGCAATACTATTCACAACGACAAGAAACGTATTTCTCCAGCACTACCCATTTCTGCGGCAGCTGTCCACCGGGGTGCTGCCGTCCGCTCTAAGGGGCTGGACTAGATGATCCTCAGGGTCCCCTCCGACTCTACCATTCCGCGATTCTACGCTGCTCTGTCCCCAGGGGAGGGGCGCATGGGTTTCCCTTGGCCTCCACGAACTCCACCCATGTGGGCGCACCAGTGGCTGAGGGACTGGCGCCAGGTCTGGCAGGACCCTGGATCCGATGACGCGGCAAGGGTGATCCTAACAGGAGGCTCCCCGGAGGCTTCGGGACAGCGCTCAGCGCCCAGCCCCGGTTGCCCGGGCGGCAGGGGCTGGCGGCTTCTGCAGGGCCGGGCTGGGGAGGAAGAGGACGGCGGCACTCACCCCGGTCTCATGGCGCTGGAGCCGGTCGCCGCTGGCGGAGGCGGGAGGGAATCGGGACGCGGCGGCGGCGGCGGGGGAACGAGCCGCCGACGGACCAGTTCCCAGCCAGCGCTGCTGCTGCGGCGGAGCAGCCCGGGGAAGGGGGCGGGGCTTCGCGGCGGGGCCGGAAGCGCGCGGCCGCGGCGGGGCGGAGCTTGCGTCCCCCAGTGCACGAGGAGGGAGGAAGAAGGAGGCAGCGGAGCTGAGGCGGCGGAAGCGCCTGGGCTGCTCGTCGCGGAAGTCGCTGCCGCTGCCCTGCCCTCGCATGGCGGCCGCTGGGCGCCGCTGGCCGCGATCTTCGGGACTGGCCGTGACGCCGGAGAGAGGCCTCCGCCAGCGAGAGGCCCGGGAGGCGTAAGGCGGGCCAGGCCACCGGGCGACCGCCGCCGTTTCCTCTCCGTCTCCTGCAGGATCGGTGACCGCGGAGGTGATGGGGAAATACTTCCTGACCCTGAGCGTCCTCAAGGGGCCCTGGGACCAAGTCTTCGCCGCCTTCTGGCAGCGCTATCCGAACCCCTATAGGTGAGCGCGAGCCGTGGGGTCTCCTCTCCCTCACTGGAGGAAGTGAAAAGGGCTGGGCTGGGGGGGGGCACAGTGTTTTCCTGGTGGGAGATGCCGGGCGACAGCCTGACAGAGCGATACTTCCTCCCTCCCGTGATCCCTGCTCCCGTCATTGGCTCCGGAGCAAGCCCCATACATTTCGGGTGGCCCCGCACTCGGGGCAGATGCGGCATTCCCAGCCCGAGCCTGTTCACGTACATACAGGCTGAGGCTTGCCGCTAGGGGAGCGTGCGTCGGGGTGCTCACAGCCCCGACTTGGTGGGCTCAACCTGGCGATCTGTGCTGCCCCCAGCGGCGGTCTCAAGACGGGGTAATGCAGTGGGGGAAAGTCTGGCGGGAGACGTACGTGCTGGTGAAGCAGTTGCCTTTCTTCTCTGCCTTGGCCAAGGCCGCTGCATGAACCTTTCACCTAGTGCGCCGGGAGAGGCGTTGTGGCCATCTGGGTGTAATCTTTGATAGCCTCTTCTTTGAGGCTAAGCTGTCGGAGCTTGCTGTTTACCGATCATTTGGATTTTGGGAGGTGGGGCAGGGCAGGGATTTCTATAAACAGGAGTAATTAAGATCAAAAAGATTTGCTAGATGATAGATTAGCACAGGCAGATATGCTGGTGTGTGTAAAAAGTTTGCTCTGGAAGAGCCATTTTCAAATGCCACAGGCAACCTTTTATTTTTGCCTGTTGCCTTGACTCTTGAGGAAACCATCCTCATAATCAGGCTTCCTCAAACTCGGCCCTCCAGATGTTTTTTGGCCTACAACTCCCATGATCCCTAGCTAGCAGGACCAGTGGTCAGGGATGATGGGAATTGTAGTCTCAAAACATCTGGAGGGCCTAGTTAGAGCTCTTAACACTGCTGTAAAAGTGCACATGCATAGATTTGTGTTTTCATTAGGGATCAGTTGATTAAAACCAACTACTAGCTTCTGCTGGTGATTGACTCACCTGTAAATCACCCGACCTCACCGGGACCTCAGGTACCGTAATCCATTTTTCCTTTGCAGAGTGACTTGAACTCAAGCTGAGCTACAAAGAAAGATCCCAGCCAATCTAAGCCGGGCTTGAAGTCAGCACTGATTAGCTGAGTGGCACTGTCATTAAGCCTCAATTTTGGCTAGGGTCAGCTACACTTGGGAGCTCTGCAGCTCCCTAAGCCACATATTAACATCGTACATGCCATCTAGTGGAGGTGGCTTGGGAAAAAGAGCCAAACCGGGGCCTAAGTGGGACAGAGGGAAGCATTCCAGCTAGGAATGGCATTCTGCTCTGCTGAGTGACTGGATGGGAGGCAATGTACTCTTGTCACATGATTATACACTTAGGAAAGCTTAGAACAGCCTTCCCCTAATCTGGTGCCCTCTGGGACTACCAACTCCTATCTGCCCCAACCAACATGGACAACAGCCAGGGATGATCAGAGTTGTACTCCAAAAAAACAACTGGAGGGAACCAGTTGAGGAAGCACAGCTTAAAATGAATTTGCCAGATTCTCTTCTCTCCTCCCCAGCAAACATGTCCTGACAGAAGATATTTTACACCGAGAGGTGACAGAAGACCAGAAGCTGCTTTCCAGGCGGCTCCTCACCAAGACCAACAGGATGCCTCGCTGGGCAGAGCGCTTCTTTCCATCCAATGTCGCCCACTCTGTCTACATCCTTGAAGATTCCATTGTGGACCCAAAGAACCGAACCATGACCACATTCACCTGGAACATTAATCACGCGCGTCTTATGGTGAGCAGGCTTTGAGCAGGGCTAGCAGCATAAACTCTTGCTGTGTTTCGTCCTATGGGGAGAGTTGATGGTCATTTTGTTGGTCATCTCTTGTGCCTTGCAGGTGGTGGAGGAGCGGTGTGTTTACAGAGAGAACCCTGAAAACAGCGGCTGGACAGAAGTCCAGCGGGAAGCTTGGGTTTCCTCCACTCTGTTTGGTGTCTCGCGTGCTGTCCAGGTGAGTGGTCAGTAACCCGTGTCTCTTGATATACTTCAGCTGCAAAGAGGCAGTCTTAGAAGAGCTCAACATGACGGGTACCTCTGGATAGTTTTGTAACTGGGAACTAGGGCTGGGCGATATCAGCTTTTCAACACTGCTGTGTATCACCAGCCAAACATCACAGTTAGGTGATATACCCCAGTATTGAAAAAACAAGATGCATTGGCCTCTGCCCGTGAGACACCAAGTGAAACTGCCCCAGCTCTCGCCTCAGGCGCAGCATTGGGGCTCCTTTGACTGCTTGCTGCAGGGAGGAATTCAGGAGTGGTGGCAGTTTCACCAGCGATATACTACTAAGTGAAACTGACATCACGGTATGCTCCTCATACAGCTGCTGGCCGATATATTAATATATCACCCAGGTCTACTAGGAACATAGCTGATGGGCCAGGCTGATTCCTCTGAGTTCAGGTTGTGTAAATGAGTGGACTCTGGCGGCATTCATTATTCTTTTCTCTGCTCACTCCCCCTGTATTCTTGTTTTAGGAGTTTGGCTTGGCCAGGTTCAAAAGCAATGTGACCAAGAGTACCAAAGGGTTTGAGTACGTGCTGGCCAAAATGCAAGGTGAGTACTGTTCCTAAGCCTCCAGCATTGTTAGCATATTCAGGTTCTAAAAAGCACACAGATCCCTTTCACCAGTGCCAATATTTCCCCCCTTTAGTTTACTGCACCCATGAAAGCATGTAAATTTTGTTGGGAGAGCAGCTGCATCAACCGGAGGCTAGCACCGAGTAGGGTAGAGCTTGTTCCCTTTTCTGCTGGAAGTTCCAAGAGAGTTTTGGGTTGCTAATTTCACCAGTCCTGCTCCAGAGTAGTTTTAGCATTCTAAACCAAGGAATGAGGTGAAGACAGAAAATGCAGCTTTAGAATGTCTGGAACTACCTTTTGGGGGGCAGGCATCTTCTGTGCTTGTTCTAGGTAAACCTGTAGACTTCCGATTTTTAGCTAGTAGCAATATGGACTATTGAGAAAACAGAAGGAGAGTTGTTAAGAGCCATGACAAACAGATGGGAAATACATAAAACTCCAGTCTGTTGTTCAGAAACTGAGATGGTAAAACTGATAGGTATGGAGCTGGTAGTAAGTTTCCCTTTGGCTCCCCATTTCTCTTTTTCCAGTTGGTGTTTCTCGTGAACATTAAGGCTAGATAAAATAACACTTCCTTAACTATGTGGAAGGAGATGCCCACTGTAGAGAGTGATACCTAAACAAACAGCAGCAGCAAACTAAAATGCTTACATTGATTTTTTGTTCAGACCTTCAGGCAGTTCAGTGGACATACTTAAGAGCTTTTGGCTTTATTACAGGTGAAGCACCATCCAAAACCTTGGTGGAAACTGCAAAGGAGGCAACCGAGAAGGCCAAGGAGACTGCCTTGGCAGCAACTGAGAAAGCAAAGGACTTGGCTAGCAAGGCAGCTACTAAAAAGAAGCAGCAATATGTTTGAAAAAAACTCAGTTTTCCTGCTGTGGGGAATAGAATGCAACAAAATAATACTGGAAGGCTTACCTGTCTGTAACTAAGCGTCTCTTCCCTTGGGAAGCATGTCTCTAGCTTTTGTGTTTTTTTAAAATTGAAACTATACAAATCTGACAATCATCTTCTTTCTAAAAGGTGTAATTATCATTAAAAGAATAGACTTCAAGTTAATCCAGTGCCATGGCCTGTTCCTCAGGTGGGCACCAATTTTCAAAGCTGTGACTAAGCCAATAGAAGTTTTCCTGTTTACTTTACCTTCTATGCAACTTGGAGGTCTCTGTACATTAAGATGTGGGTGTGAGTGGCTGCTGGTTAGCAAGTATGCTATAAACAGCCTCACCCATGTTTTGCATTCTTAGGAGAAAACCAGATGAATAGGATGCAAGAAATTAAAAACCTTTACTAGAATACTGCTGAGTACATAAGCGGATGGGTCACAAAACGGAAGCAATGTTTGTTTTGGGGAAAATCAGATACTTCAATTGGGTGGAATGTGCCATGGAATGAGAGCCCACTAGCCATTGTCCTAGCTGTTCCCAGCTCCCCTTGATGCAACCCATTCCATGTTGAGGAATTGGAGATAAGAGCAACCCGGTTTTGCTAGCTTGTTCATCCTGCATTCCTGGAACTAAGTGCATCTCTGCTATAAAGTTGGAATGATTCAGTATGTCATGGTCTACTGTTGCCCTTGTTGAGACTTGCTTCCAGTCCTTAACAGGCCAAGCCTACCTCCACTTTCTGACTAGATGAGACACACAAGCTTTCACAGCGGGTGGGGCACAGAAAACCATATAGCTATCCCACGCACAGCGTAATCTGTCTGGTACACATTAAGTGCTGTGGGGATCTCACCCTTCTTTCAGCCCTGCCCCATAATTGAGTAATCCAAGTCTTTTATCCAAGTCTCTAGAAAATGTTCCGGCTTGGTCTAGCAGAAAGGTAGAGGTACAACGTGGGTAGCACTGTCCTTTGCACCATGCAGAGTTTTGTTCAGAGCCAAATTCCATTCATGAAATCCTGGCTTTGCTACTGGAAATCCATCTGGGTGAGAGCTGCCCTTATAACTAGGCTTCTGTCCATCATAACCAAAAGTTGCTGGCACTGGAATAACTGTGTTCCTGCCCAGTGCTGAAGGCAGCCACAACATCCTCTTCAACGCTGCTGAACGCCAGACCTTCCACGTCCACCTCTGCATCTTCTGTAGCAGAAAAAAAAAATACATCAGAGTTCTTTACCCATACAGGATCTAGTATCTTTTACAGACACTCCAGAAGGTCACTAGAGGCAAGGGAGCTGGGACACCTCCAGATGCTGCTGAACGGCAACACCTGCCATTCTTGGTCATGCTTGCAGAGGGCTGATAGGAGTTGTAGTCTGGCAACATTTGGAGCTGTCACAAATTCCCCACCCCTGCCTTCCACAACCTGGTACTCTCCATGTTTTGGACTATAGCTCCCATCAACCTGAGCCAGCACAGTTGTGCTGGCTGAGACTGATGGGACTTATAGTCCAAAACGTCTGGAAGGCACCAGGTTGAGGAAGGCTGTAGTAGGAAATGTCCAGTGTACCCTGCTCTTACACTTATGCCTTCAATAGAACGCATCCAGCTATGGGGACCGCAGCACAGACCATCCAATTGTACGGCAACACCCACCTGAATCGGAGCGTTCGGAGGAGAACCGAGAAGAGTCCAGGCTATCGGTTCGCAGCCTCTCCACGCTGGAATGAGCCAGCAACTCTTCCAGCCGCTGGTGCAGGTTCTGCTGCTCACAGCGTAGCCTCTCCTTCAGTTGCTGTGCTCTCTGCTCCTGCTCTTCCAGCTTCTGGAAGGGGAAAAGGAGTCAAGGACAATATCCGATAACTATAGCAAATGCTTCGGCTGCTTCCGGGTTTACCAGCTTTTGTGAGTTTTTGGGAAGCAACATTGCACAGCTGTCCAGGAGGACTTTGATGTCTGGCTTATAAATTCCCTGGAAACATTTGGGTGGCCACAGCTGCTGGCAAGATGGGAGGTCACAGGGGTATGATCCAGCAGGGCCAAATGAAGCACCCAAGGTGAATTAGTTCATATGCTGTAAAATAAAAAGGTATACCCCTTAGCAACAGAACACACTGCTAAAATAAGAGGTTTAGTCACACGCATGTGATTTTTCACCCCTCTGGAGGTTGGAAGCTGTTCGATCCATTTCTAGCCCTACTCAGTAAATCTGTTGGATCCTTCTGTCTCGTGTATTCCAAGTTTAAAGTACAAGGCTGGCAAGGCAACCTTGAAAGACAGCCAGTAAGCAGGGAAGTGTGTCGCTTACCTTAATATGCAGCCTGGCTCTGTGCAAAAGACTAAGGGTTGTATAACGAGAGCACTCCGTGTTCATGGGGACCTGTTGCTTTAGTTGATCCAAACAATGACGCAGCTGAGCCCTCCTGCCAGCGAGAAAGAGATCACAATGTGGGTTCGATGCATGAGATGGCACGGGAGCTCACCTCGTCTCTGGGTAAGGCCTTGAGGCAACTTCCAGGCCCTTACAAAATTGGAAAATGTGTGCCTAAGTCTCCTCTAGCTAGAGAGCTATAGTCATCCATGTAGGCCAGGTCTCAGACGTCATTGTAATTAATTAACTTTATGTACAGAGGGGGAAACAGAACCAGATCTCGTCATCTGCCTGCAACTCTTACAAGCCTGTCTTCCTGAATCCAAGCAAGCTGATATGGGTAGATAGATAAAGGTAGCAGAAGTATACAAATTGGGATGGTTATAATAAGCAGCTTGAGCAGAATTACAGACACCCAGATCCAACCAACATGGCTTTCTTCCCATCTCTCACTGTATAGAAATCCTGGTAGAGTGATCTATGGCTACTGCATACAGGATCGTAACAGTTAGAAAGCCGTACCATAAGAGCACAGAACTAAAAACTGGCCCAAACGAGTTGTATCAGAAGATCCATAACACGGTCTTTGTCTAGTTATCAGAGGTGTGTGTGTGTGTGTATGTATAAGATTGAAGTGATTTGTGTGTGGAGGCGGTTAACTCCTTCAGACGGCTTTTAACTTCTTTAAAAAAACACAGGAGTTCCAATCATGGCTTTCCTGACATCTATTTAATGTAGGTATTGAGTTTTATGGTCTAAGTTGAACATCTTGTGATCCTCTACCCCAATGGAAACCACATGTGAGCATTTTAAATTAAACCAGGAACTCAAAAAAGGCATTTTGGCAAGATATGATATACAGGGATTGACAATTATGCAAAGTTAATCAGGAATGACAAATTTATCACACGGCACCTTCATTGCAGGAGGTGCCAGGATCTCAATGCTGGAGAGTCAAGACCAGGGGTCAGCAAACTTTTTCAGCAGGGGGCCAATCCAATGTCCCTCAAACCTTGTTGGGGGCCGGACTTTTTTTTTAAAAAAAATGAACGAATTCTTACGCATCCCCAATAGTCAACCTCAGAGATGCATTTAAATACAGTGGTGCCCGAACTTGCCGAGACTAACCAACTGCCCCGCGCAACCCGCTTCGCTCACACGTCCTGGGCGGCAAGCCTAGTGACGGATTAGCGCGCACTAGCGCGGATTAGCTGTCGCACAATAGTTCAAAACGCAAGCATCGCAACAACGCTGGCTAAAGGCTGGCTAAAGGCTTGGCAGATTAGATAAAGGGGGGAAAGCGAAAAATCCCAAGACCGCAAAGGTATTTTCTGCCTTGCGGCGCTCAGGGGAATTGGCCTAGCGAAGCACCCAAGACGGATACCCTTTCGTACCAGCGGTTCCGTCTTGCGAGGCATTCGTCTTGCGGGGCACCACTGTAAAAGCACACATTCTACTCTTGTAAAAACACACCGATTCCCGGACTCTCTGTGGACCAGATTTAGAAGGCGATTGGGCTGGATCCAGCCCCCGGGCCTTAGTTTGCCTACCCATGGTCAAGACACTTTATTTACTTAGCTGTGGTAAGTACATGTTAACTTTATCACCATTTGATTGGAAAGTATGTATAGTCCTCCAAATATTTCACATACTTTTTCCCTTACATCTCCCTCCATGGACATTCTCCTATGTGCATCTCCATTTAAAAATAAAATCCTATTGAAAACTAGTGGTCAACAGCGTGCTAACTCCTTATACAAAAATTCGATGCACATCTCCTAAGTTTGGCAAGGTAGAAGTGGCCTGGGGCAGCCTTCTTACTCAGCTGTAAAATGCTTTTGCTACTTCACGAATTCCATCTCTCTACTTAGACAGGAAGTGCTCTTATAAAGAGGAGCTGGTATGTTCAGTGCTGTCAACTCCCACTTCCTACTGAACATGATAAATGAGAAATTACCCCTCTTCTCCCTGCAACCCCAGCCCTTCCTATATGAAAATTTACCTGTGCTTCTCCAGCTCATTGTGCACAGTTCTGAAAAGAAAGAAGAATAGGAAATAAGATTAATGGATCACATTTAGATTTATAGAAAAATGATAATTGGTTTTGTTCACATTGTCCACCGAGACAGAAAGTTCTCATTCAATCCCACTAAAATCCTACCTTCCCAAAGCTCAATGTCTACTATCCACATAGTGAATATGCAGGACAGGAGAGGAAGAAGATCCATTTCATTCTCTAAAGTAGTTTATGAAGAAGCCCAGTAACTGGCACTGGACTGGACCAGTCAAGGTCCTGTTTGCTACATCATCAGAAATCCACACATCCAAGGGCCCAGGAAACATGTAATAAATAGCACAAATCCCTAAGTCTGGGGTGGCAGGTACAAGCTTGAGGTAATGTAAAACTAAATGCCTATTTGAGAAGAGTCAGATTTCACAGAGAAAATGACAAGTGCAACAGCACACTGCAAGAGGTGGGTGTAACTATTTCTGCAGTAAGAAAGCTGAGGGGTGGTACAAAACTCAGGGATGGAGAATATGGTTTGCATGTAGAAGGTTCCAGTTTCAATCCTTAACATCTCCAGGTAGGGCTACAAAAGACCACTGCCAGCCAGTATAGACCAGGCAAGCAATGTTGTGCTCTCAAAATGTTGTTGGATGGCAACATAGCTGCATGGCTAATTTGCAAGGATGATGGGAGATGCAGTCCGACATCACATTGGCTACGCCTGGCATATAGACAGCAATAGAGCTAGGTGGACCAATGCTCTGACTCAGGATAAGGCCGTTTCCTATGTTCTCACGCTTGTGGTTGTGTGACAGTGGCACAACTGGTTTCAAAGAACCAGATGTCAGGAATAGTCATAACTGCTAACCTCTATGCCAGGAATGCAGTTCCTCGGAGCTTGCACAATGTCACAGGAAATATGCAACCATCAATTAAAGCATTTTGTTTCCTGCAATTAGGACTTCTGTCTCCTATTGGATAGTAACGCAGTAGAGTATATGAACCTCGGGGTCCATGTATTGAAATGTGAGCCTTGCTCCAGTGGAAAATGTAAAAGCAAAACAAAATACCTAGTCCAATTCCCGAGCAAGGTAAAACCAATGAAGGAGGTTTTGATTTTCTTAAACCACAAAGCCAAAAACTGATGTCCAGGAGAGAGAGAGAACTCCACTGGTGGCTATGGCTTGTATCCAACTAATTTAATTCAGAGTAGACCCACTGAAATTCATGGATCAGTATTAATCAAACCCAGTAACTTCAGGCCTACTGTCCATACAACTAATGCTGCATTTGAACCTGGTTGTCTCATGTCATATACAAGCATTTGGTTTCTGGTGGAGACCCCATCACTTTGAAGAAGCGTTTTGCCAGCCTCGCTGAGATTTCACACCCCCATCTTCTTTATTTATTTCGCTATATAGACTTCTGTTTTCAGTTAGTCCATCACCAGATGTTCCACTGCAATACCAGTTCCAATGGCAATAGTAGAACAAAACCCGGGGTCTTACCTGAGGTTTTGCAGGTCATTCCGAGGCTTGGACCTCTTCCGGGGCTGCAACGAGTCTTTCCCGGAGTAAGGGGACAGCGAAGCGTAGCCATGTTCGGCTTCTGCGAGACAAAATCCGAGGCTCGGAACGATTTCGCCTCCGCACCATTTAATAACCCCCAGCACACTTCTTTTCTAAGGAAACAACCCACCCCATTCTAAGGAAACAACACCACCCCATTCCTCCGCCCCGCTCACACGGAGGACAGCCGGTCCTGCCTGCCTGCCTCCGATGGCCCTCATACCCCGCATAGCCAAATCACCGCCCCCGACCCTGAGATAGGCAGGTGGTACCTCTCTCCCTGCGCTCCAGGTACTCCGCCGCTTGCAGCAGCACCTGAATGTTGCTGGCCATGAGCTCCATGACAACAGACTCGGACCGAGCGAAGACTTAGTTACACCGTAACCGACCCACTGCCTTCGGCTCCGGCTCCGCCCCTTCGAACGCTCCGAGGTTCTAACCCCGCCTTTTCGAACCCTGGCGGCAGCCGCGGCAGGCCTCGGAACCAGCTCCAGTTTTGGTGCGGGCCGACAGCTTCGCTCCAGGAGCCGAGAGAAGCTTTTTGAACTGCCCGGAACTCCCAACACCCGTGACCCTCTGAAGCTCCGCGAGCCCACCCAGCTGACTTGTTTTGAATCTCACCCTGCGGCGGACGTGGCCTGGGAAACTAGCGCTCTCATTGGCTGAAAGGCTCGACCAGGCGTGGCTACGTCACTGCAGTTTCAAAACAAATTCGGGCGGGAAAAGGACGGGGCTTCAAATTTGAATTGGAGGCGGGGCCATCGCTCTCCAGCGTGAGTTCAGTATATTGACGTGAGGGATTTTTTAAAATAAGGTTTCTAGGAGGAGGTCAGGCTTCTAACACCTCAGAATTCAGAGTAGTTCCTTCGTTCGTAGGTACTGTCGACAATTTGGACTAGAACCCCTCGCTTCATGTGTCGCTCAGTAGTAGAGCAAGTGCTTTGCATGCAGAAGGTCTCAGGTGCAATCTCCAGGTAGGGCTAGCAAAGACTCCTTGTGTGACCCGTTGCAGAGAGTAGCTCATAGCTGTCAACTTTCAGATTTGAAAATAAGGGATCAGCAGCCTCACCTGTCCCAGAGACCGTCTACCGGATATCTAACAATCCGGGATAGCAGCGAGAAACGGCGCTGAAATAAGGGAATTTCCCTCAAAAAAAGGGAAGGTTGACAGCTATGGAGTAGCTGCCAGTCAGTGGGCAATACTGAGGCAGATGGCCCATCCAGTGCCCTACCTTGGGGCAGCTTCCTATATGTATGCATGGGAAAGGTGCAAGAGAATTTAAGGCCTCCTCTTGTCACCACAACTCATGTGGCTGGGGAGGGTAAGAAGAGTGCCCTGTGAAAGAAGTAACCTGGGCTCACTATTATAGTGCAACAAGATAATTTCTCATAGGGAAAACAAAGTTAATCTGTCACATACTGCTGTTATTTAATACAATAGTTTACATGAACATGCATAATTTAAAGTAAGTGTGTGTGTGTGTGTGTGTGTGTGTGTGTGTGTGTGTGTTTAACATGCATACCCTGACTGATTTCCAGTCACATAAGGTACTCATATTTTCCTTATAGAGTTGGGCATGTGAATGTATACTCTTCACCACATCCACACAGTTATAATTTTAACAAACACTGTGGGGAAGCGCCTCAAACATAAACAGACGTCTACTGTGTCTCATCCGCAGTTTATACGAAAACACTCGGGTCTGGGTTAGGTGTGACCGACAGGGCCATTTATCCAAGGAAATCCAAACCTACCATGGTGTTAAACAAGGCTGCGTCCTTGCGCCTACTTTATTCAACTTCTATATTAACTCCTTAGTAGGAAACATGGAGAAAGAAAATGCCCACCCCCCTAAATTGGCTACTACACCCCTCCCGGTTCTCTTATATGCAGATGACGCAGTTCTAATTTCCTTCTCCTGTGTAGGCCTAAGAAAACTTCTAAGATCTCTCAGTTTATTGTAATGCCGAACAATTAACTATAGCAAATCCAAAGTTATGGTGTTCTCTAAAAAAAGAATGAGACACAAATGGAGAATTGACAATCGACATATTGAACAGGTATCATCTTTTAAATACCTGGGTATAACCTTCCAGGAAAAGGGCTCGTGACATTATCAGGTTAATAATACTATTGCAAATGCCCAAAGATCTACCAACGCTATTTTATTATATTATATTATTATTATTATTATTATTATTATTATTATTTATTAATTTATTATTTGTACCCCGCCCATCTGGCTGGGTTTCCCCAGCCACTCTGGGTGGCTTCCATAGAAACCAAAAATACAGTAAAATATCACAGATTAAAAACTTCCCTGAACAGGGCTGCCTTAAGATGTCTTCTAAATGTCAGGTAGTTATTTATCGCTTTGACATCTGATGGGAGGGCGTTCCACAGGGCGGGCGCCACTACCGAGAAGGCCCTCTGCCTGGTTCCCTGTAGCTTTGCTTCTCGCAATGAGGGAACCGCCAGAAGGCCCTCGGCGCTGGACCTCAGCGTCCAGGCAGAACGATGGGGGTGGAGACGCTCCTTCAGGTATACTGGGCCGAGGCCGTTTAGGGCTTTAAAGGTCAACACCAGCACTTTGAATTGTGCTCGGAAACGTACTGGGAGCCAATGTAGGTCTTTCAAGACCGGTGTTATGTGGTCTCGGCGGCCGCCCCCAGTCACCAGTCAAGTTGCCGCATTCTGGATTAGTTGTAGTTTCCGAGTCACCTTCAAAGGTAGCCCCACGTAGAGCGCATTGCAGTAGTCCAAGAGGGAGATAACTAGAGCATGCACCACTCTGGCGAGACAGTCCGCGGGCAGGTAGGGTCTCAGCCTGCGTACCAGGTGGAGTTGGTAGACAGCTGCCCTGGATACAGAATTGACCTGCGCCTCCATGGACAGCTGTGAGTCCAAAATGACTCCCAGGCTGCGCACCTGGTCCTTCAGGGGCACAGTTACCCTATTCAGGACCAGGGAGTCCTCCACACCAGCCCGCTCCGTCCCCCAAAAACAATACTTCTGTCAGGATTCAACTTCAATCCAGTAGCCACCATCCATCCTCCAACCGCCTCCAGGCACTCACACAGGACCTTCACCGCCTTCACTGGTTCTGATTTGAAAGAGAGGTAGAGCTGGGTATCATCTGCATATTGATGGACACCCAGTCCAAACCCCTGGTGATCTCTCCCCGTGGCTTCATATAGATGTTAAAAAGCATGGGGGAGAGGATGAAACCCTGAGGCACCCCACAAGTGAGAGCCCAGGGGTCTGAACACTCATCCCCCCCCCACTTTCTGAACACGGCCCAGGAGGAAGGAGCAAAACCACTGTATAACAGTGCCCCCAGCTCCTAGCCCCTCTAGACGGTCCAGAAGGATGTTATGGTCGATTGTATCAAAGGCCGCTGAGAGATCCAGCAGAACCAGGAAACAACTCTCACCTTTGTCCCTAGCTCGCTGGAGATCATCAACCAGCGCGACCAAGGCAGTTTCAGTCCCATGGTGAGGCCTGAACCCCGATTGGAAGGGATCCAAATGGTCCGCATCCTCCAGGCGTGCCTGGAGTTGTTCAGCAACCACGCGCTCAATCACCTTGCCCAAGAATGGAAGATTTGAGACTGGGCGATAGTTGGCCATACTGGCCGGGTCTAAAGATTTTTTTTAAGAAGCGGTTTAATGACCGCCTCTTTCAGCGGATCTGGGAATGTTCCCTCACAGAGCAGCCTGTCCACATCCTCGGGGGTAACGGATTGAAATTGATTCCATGCAACTTGACCAGACAGAGCTCTAGCACTCTCCCGCCCCAGCCCTGCTCCCACGGTGGTGTCTAGCTCCTTCCGAATATGAGTGATTTTATCTGCAAAAACTTTGCAAAATCGTTGCAGGAGATCTTGGGGTCTTTACAAGGCCCCGGTGGTAAAGGTGGTTCCGTTAAATTGCGAACCACCTGAAAGAGTCTCCTGCTACTATTTTCTGCAGATGCAATAGAGGCGGTGAAGAAAGTCTTCTTCGCCGTCACTATCGCCACTTGGTAGGCTCGACGTTGAGCTCTAACCTGTGTCCGGTCACATTCGGAGTGAGTTTTCTGCCACCGACGCTCTAGCCGTCTCAGTGATTGTTTCATCGCCCTCAGCTCCGAAGAAAACCACGGGACTGTCCGGGCTCCATGCAATCGGAGAGGGCGCTTCGGAGCCAGACAGTCGATAGCCCTGGTTAACTCCGCATTCCAGCGGGCCACCATGGAATCAGCTGAAAGGCCATCAACATGGGCTAAAGCATTCCCTACCACTCTCTGGAAACCATTTGGATCCATTAAGTGGCGGGGGCAGACCATCCGAATTGGTCCCACCTCCCTGCAGAGGGGAAGGGTTGCGGAGAAGTCCAGTTGCACCAGGAAGTGATCTGACCATGGCACTTCTTTTGTTTCACTTTTACTTAGTGTCAGATCACCCACGTCACTAGAGGTGAACACCAGGTCTAAGGCATGTCCATGACTATGAGTTGGGCCAAACTTATTCAGGGACAGCCCCATGGAGGCCATGCTTTCCACGAAGTCCCGAGCAGCCCCTTGTAAGGTCGTGTCGGCATGGATGTTAAAATCCCTAGGACAACCAAACTAGGTGTCTCCAGGAGAAAATCCGCCACGACCTGAAGCAGCTCGGACAGGGAATCCTTGGTGCAGCGGGGAGGTCGGTACACCAAAAGGAATCCTGTACTGCCCCTATTGCCCAACTTCCAGAACATGCACTCAGAGAACTGGATCTTCCCAGTAGGACGCCTGGTGCAAGCTAGTGACTTCCTAAAAATCACTGCAACCCCCTCCCCGCCCACATGACCTGGGTTGCTGTGCGTAAGAGAAACCTGGTGGGCAAGCAGCGGCAAGGACAGGCCCATCTGCTTCCTCCAACCAGGTCTCTGTCACACATGCCAGGTCAAATCCTCCATCCACAATCAAGTCGTGGATGGCAGTGGTTTTATTCATCATTGAGCTGGCATTGCACAGCAACACTTTCAGGTCATGTGGGTTTCCCCTGTTGATTCCAGTATCCATCTGGTCAAGGCCAGACCCGGAGGCAGGGATAGTCTTCAAACAACGGCTAAACCTGCCTCCTTGGTAATGACATCGTCTGGTCTTAGCGTAACTCCGCCTCCTGCCCATGATCACCGAGATCGGATGTCCCAGTGCTTCCCCCCCTGTGGAACTTGTCCCAGCCATTGTGTTGGCTGGGGAGCCACTCCCAGGCAGCCCTGATCCCGCCCCTTAAAAACAAAACACAAACTATACAGAACCAATAAAACAACAACAAAAAGGAACAGAACAATTATACTAAAATTAATCCCCAACCAACTATCCATCCCACCCACCCACCCCCAACAAAGGAAAAAAGGAATAAAAATTTAAATTGCCACTGACTGCTTGAGGACATTTTAAAGCACATTAACCACCTGGAACAGGGAAGCAATGGCAGAACACTTCCCACACTTCCCCAAAAGTTTGTTCCAAATAAGGGCCTGGGCCATGCCCCCTGGGCCAGTTGGAGAAGGCCCTGGAAGGGAGCAGGCCCTGCAGTCCTCACCCAGCCAATGGTTTTTCTATGGAAAAGGGGGCCAATATATTCCGGCAGCCTCCCAGGTCTTTGCTGCAAAAATATTAACACAACTGACATGGTGGGGTTGATTCATGGGTAGCTGCAGGGAAACACGGAAGTAATGGAAAAGCAGAAATGGAAACACAATTATATCCTCTGCTATTTTGCAGAGTAAAACAGGAGGCCTGTAATCCTATTGGTGCCGGCCGCAAGTAAGCCCTGCCAAGTTCAAAAGGGCTTATTCCTAGGCAGATGTGTACAGAACTGTAGGCCTACCATATACCTTAAGTTATGCCAAGGCCTAATCCCCTGCTGCCCTCACCCTCACTGATGGAGGCTGTTGTCAGCCCTGTTCCTACACTAGCTCCTAAAGCAAATGTGAGAGGAAGCTGACAATTGTATTATAATGAAAATTCATAATAAATCTTACAAGTGGAGCTGGCTATGCTTTTAGAATAGTCACCACTCCAAATGCAGCTGGGGAGATGGTCATATGAAGGATAGAGGGAAGCACTGGCATCTTAAGTTTATCCTGACAACCAAGATGGTGAGAGTGAAGGGGGTCAGTGTCTCTTTAAAGGTAAACTAGGAAAACTTGCTAAGTTCCTAAATGTACAAACCACCCTCCACCCACATATGTACATGGCTGCTTTTCAGACCTCCCTCCTCCCCCTGCCATTAATCAGAACTTTTAAATTCCTTCTTGCACTCATTCGGGGCCTATCATTGGTACCAGCTAAAAGCACTGCAGTGAGTTTCTGGGATGAAAATCAAGGTGTTTGGTAGAGGTGGAATTACAACCAAAGTGTTGGCAGCATTAATTGCTCAAGGTGAACACCCATGTGAAAGGTTGAATGAACAAATGAATCCCTGTACACACTGTCAATGTAACCTACCATTCCATTTACAGTGGTACCTCTGGATGCGAACGGGATCCGTTCCAAGCCCCATTTGCATCCTGAAACGAATGCAACCTGCGTCTGCGCGTGTCGCTGCGTCTGCGCGTGTGTGTGACATTATTTTGAGAGTCTGCACATGCGTGAGCAGCGAAACCTGGAAGTAACGCGTTCCGTTACTTCCGGAGCATAACCTGAAAATGCTCAACCTGAAGCATATTTAACCCAATGTATGACTGTATATCAAAAAGGTTATCTGATGCTGGAAGGCAGGTGATGTAGCTCATCAAACCTGCACAGAGAGGAGTGTGAGCTGAAGGAGGGGGGAAAACCACACACACACACACACACAGCAGGAAGGTTTAGAGTTTGTACTTGCATTTTCCTGAGGGAAGAAGTGTAGCAGCAGATTCTGCCTCTCAATATCCAACAGCTAAATTCAGCAAAAGTGTTTATTTTTTAGCCCAGAGAAGACAAATTGGCAACAGTAACAGATAGCATTTATTCAAGTATTCAGGAGAAGAACCAGCTCTGCCTAGTTTCAAAAAGGAGCTATAAATCTCCTGGAGAAGCTTCAAAAGCGTCGTCCACACAACAGTGTGGCAGGAGAGTTTTACAAGAAAATACATTGCATATGAAGATTGTTGAAGCCCTTAGCTGTATCAGAAGCTGGTGGGCAAAATGTCATGGCTATCCTCCACAAGGTTGCTGCTGGACTAGAGATCCTGCCTTTCAGTTCCAGTGAAAGGCTCCATAAAGCCCTTATTGCACATACACCCAAATCTAGTAATGCAACCTCAGAGATTTGTCAAAAATAAATCCACAGGACTGATGACTATCATGGGGCTCTCCCAAAAGCCGGGCAACCAGCACCAGGCAATCCCTCCATAGGCCACAATTTACTCTAAGGAAAGAGTAATGGGGGGAAAGATGCTTTTACTGTCATTTACAAGAGCTTGCCGAAACATCTTCTACAGCAAGCTCTAGCTCCAGCCCAAGGAATCCCACTGGGAGTTATTTATATTAAACAGCAAAGATTCAATCCCCAGCTATTAAAGCCTGGCGTTCCCATCTCTTGCCCTGACCACCAAGGCCTTTGGAAAGTTCCCAGGAGCATCCTAATAAGACAAGTGTGGTTGTTCCCACAGTCCTTTGCTGACAGTACAGGCTGTTGCCACTTCCAAAGTCTTTGGTGTTTCCACAGGCACAGAAGGTGTTTGAGGCAGCTCCAATCAACTGGTATTTTTGCTAGTGGAAGGCAAGTGGGTGGTGTAGCAGTGTGTACAAATGCGGACTGGCTTCAGCTGCTTGAAGTGGGGCAGAGGTGCCAAGTGTGACGAGCAGCGAGAGCAGAAGATCTGGGGAGGAAATAAGATTGTGCATCAAATAGAGCCGAGGGCCATGTGGTACTGCAAGCCCCACTTCACATGAAAGAGATGCGGTTGCCCTAATCCTTTGGCCAAGAAACAATAAAAAACATGACTGACCCAGTAGAGGTCCCAACAGGGACTTAGATTGCAAGCTAGTTCAATTATTGCAACCTCTCCCCATCCCTCCCATCTGGAGAGGCCATCCTTTCAGGCACAACCTTTACTCACAATATTTTTTTAAAGGCATCTTTCCAGGGGAGCATGTAAGCCAGTCTTGCCCAACCAGGGACCCCCTATATGCTTTGAACTACAACTTCCCTCATTCCTGACCACTGGACCATGCTGGCTGGGGCTTATGAGGTTGCAGTCCAAAAGATATGGACACCAAGCCCAAGCCCTGGCCCATGACAAGATACGCTATAGTTAAAGTGTTCACAGGCATGGTCTGCCTGATGCTTTTGCAGCTGCTGCTGCTTCCACTAGAATGAAAGTCCTAGGAGGTCCTTATTTAGCCCCATCGCCTACCTTGCCACAACTTCGGCAGTGGTGCCGTCTGCGAAGAAAGGTGAAAGGCACATGGCAAGCCATGCAGTGGCTGCAAGTGCTGTCTGGCACCCAGTCTGGTGGTGCTAAGGCATCTGGAAAAGAACAGAAGGGCAGTTGGGGACATGGCCACATGTCTTCTAAAGTCCGTCAGAGCCATAAAACTTCCCCCAGCTAAAATGTGTTAAGAGAACTCCGATTACAGAGAGATATATGTTTATTCAGTGACAAAGCAGAAAGTAGTTCACGAGGAGTCACAAGTCATCTGCCCAGGCACAAAGCCTCAGGAAAAGCCATGGGGCTCTAGAGTGGGGCACAGTTTGGACAACACAGCCCCTAAAATGTAAGGCAAGAGGGGGACTGTGCAGGATCTTTTGCTTACTGCAAACCAAAGAGCAAAATTCCTTTTGTCAGCAAGGCCAGCCCAGGGTCCCTGCCTGTGCATAGGAGATCCTTGAACATGGGATCAACCTTTCTTGAAGGCTTGGTAGAGTGAGAGAGAGAAGCTCAGACCAAATTCCCCGGGACAATAGGCCTGTTTCACATTTTGGGCTCTCACCTTCTCTCCCAGTGCCTCCCCGGCTTCTGGAGCAGAGAGCACAGTCTGCCAGGTGAGAAGCTGTTGGTAGCACATGGACCTCCATCTCTGAAAAGGAAAAAAGAAAAGCTATAAGCATGCAAGTTGCTACTGCTCAAGGGAAAAGGCATCTATGCCAGGGCAAAGATACAACTGGCATATACACCTCAGCTGTATGTTCCCATAGATGTTCCATTCATTATCCTTGAAAAAGGGGTCCAACTACATGTTACGAGGGAGACACATAATCAGACATACCCAACTTTGTTTTAAAGTGGGGAGGGAGAAAGAGGGATGATGATGCCTAAGCACCAGCCACAATGTGGTGCTTGGAGTGTGTGTTTTCTATGCTTATATGAAGAACTAGAAAGTACTCCATGTTCTTCACCTCAATATGCATCCCCATGCTCACTGGTCTAATGCACAACTGAAAGACGAAGGGGCAGGAACCTGGATTGAGCAAAGTCACGCTGCAATTAGCAGCAATCCTTTGAGCAAAGAGAATGTTTTATTGGGCTTAGAGCAAGGGTGTCATTAACAAACTCAGTTCCAGGGACTATCACACAGTACCAACATGTAGCTAAAGGAGCCCTGCTCTCATTCTGAGGTCCATTAGCCAACTGAAGTAATTAGCACAAGATAAGATATTCTTTTCAGTTGTGGTGCCGAAAATGAAATTACTTCTCAACAGACATTCATTTGGTCGCCTCTTTGCCCACAAACCCTTAAGAGTGTTCTATTTAACTTATATGCAGAATTCATCATGCGAAAGGCTGGGCTGGATGAATCCCAAGACGGAATTAAGATTGCCGGAAGAAATATCAACAACCTCAGATATGCAGATGATACAACCTTGATGGCAGAAAGTGAAGAGGAATTAAAGAACCTTTTAATGAGGGTGAAAGAGGAGAGCGCAAAATATGGTCTGAAGCTCAACATCAAAAACGAAGATCATGGCCACTGGGCCCATCACCTCCTGGCAAATAGAAGGGGAAGAAATGGAGGCAGTGAGAGATTTTACTTTCTTGGGCTCCATGATCACTGCAGATGGTGACAGCAGTCACGAAATTAAAAGACGCCTGCTCCTTGGGAGAAAGGCGATGGCAAACCTAGACAGCATCTTAAAAAGCAGAGACATCACCTTGCCAACAAAGGTCCGTATAGTTAAAGCCATGGTTCTCCCAGTAGTGATGTATGGAAGTGAGAGCTGGACCATAAAGAAGGCTGATTGCCGAAGAATTGATGCTTTTGAATTATGGTGCTGGAGGAGACTCTTGAGAGTCCCATGGACTGCAAGAAGATCAAACGCATCCATTCTTAAGGAAATCAGCCCTGAGTGCTGGAAGGACAGATCGTGAAGCTGAGGCTCCAATACTTTGGCCACCTCATGAGAAGAGAAAAGACCCTGATGTTGGGAAAGATTGAGGGCACAAGGAGAAGGGGACGACAGAGGACGAGATGGTTGGACACTGTTCTCGAAGCCACAAACATGAGTCTGACCAAACTGCGGGAGGCAGTGGAAGACAGGAGTGCCTGCCGTGCTCTGGTCCATGGGGTCACAAAGAGTTGGACTAACTACTAAACAACGACTAAACGACTAAACAACAAACGACTAAACAACAACAAATTGCTTATGGTAGGCTTTCCCCCCAGTGCGGCCTCTGATGAAGTTTTTTCTTTGTGGTTGCTGATATGGTTTCCACTACGCAGTTTTTGCTGCTGTTATTATTTTGCTTTTATTTTGTTTGTGAATTCTGTGATTTTTTTTTGTAAGCCACATCAAGTCTGATTTTAGCAGAGATAAGATATATATGTTGAGATAAATAAAAACAATGAAACAGCCCAGAGTCCTTGAAATTTAAGTAGGATTGATTTAAGTATTACAAACAGCCAGCCCCAATCTGGTGCCTGCTGGTCCAATAAGTTTTGGAATACAATTCCCATCTGTGACCATTAGTCATACTAATTTGGAAGAACTTAGGTTGGGGAAGGCTGCATGACAGTATAAATGACTCAGTATGTGTCACTAACATGACTGCCCAGCACTTTTAGTGGGGCAGCATTACATGTCCATGCCATACCTAGCTTCTGCAAATGCAAGCACTAAGGAAATGCTATGAAACCATGCACGAGTCAAGGAGTGTCACTCACGGCCAGTGTCTGTCACCTCCTGTTCCTCTGCCCGGGATGTCACAATTTTAAATACAGTCTTCAGGATGGCACGCAGATCACTTGCAAAGTTGGTTTGGAGCTGGTCTGCCACTCCTACCCAAACACAACACAGCAATTTGAGTAATATCCATTGCACAATGACACAAGGGCAAGAGATAAACATGTAGATTTTAGCCAACTAACACAAAAGTCCTTCCATAGAGGGAAACAGTAGTCAACAGCTTCTAACCAAGCAATTCTTTCCATCTCAATTCTGAACCAACAGGATACTATTTTTTCACTACTCTTTCCTGCTGAAGAGACTAATTCTCAATTAAGGTGCTAAACCTTCAGGATTAAGGCTAGGCAAGAGAGTTCATACAGTATCTGAGCTGAACCAAAACTTACAGTTCAAAATCCTTAGGCAACATGGGGGCAATACTTGCCTGCTTTACAGGCAAGTTCTTGGGCTTCTTAGCTAATGTGTGTGAAGCACTTTCAGCTGAGTCATGCAAAATTTAAGTATTTGCCCCAATGAATATATATTTTATTAAAATGGATGCTATTCCCTAATCATGTAATAAGACAATAGCTGCCATCTTCTGAGCTAATTTTAATGGCATGTGGAACAACTTGTTCTAACTTGCCATCATATCCAGATCGGGATATTACAGCTTGTAGTCACTGTGATGCTTAGGAGTCGCCAACCTTTTGTGTGCTAGGCAGTACATTTGGAATTTTGAGAATTCTGCCATGAGCAGCGGTCACAAAATGGCTGTTGTGAGCAGAGGGGCATACCGCAAAATAGCTGTCACTGCTAAAAGATAAGGAGAGGCGGGAGTTCAAAGTGGTGTGGGCAAGCCCCTCCATCAGCCATCCTATCAGTGTCACAGGAGGAAGACACTTAACATTAGCTACTGCTCGGGCAGAGAAGATCTTTGCACCTCTCCTCTGTTCAGAACAGATGGAAGTATGAGCCTCCACTGTTGGCTTCCAAGGAAATGTGGGCATGTTAAAGGGGGAGTGTTGAAGAGAAGCTGTGCAGGGAAAGCAAACAGTCTCTTGTCAGTTGTGGATTTTTGAATGGATGCTTTACTGAGACTTTTGCATGTAGCATAAGCAGTATTGGTGGGGAATTTTATCTCAAGCCCTGCTCCCCCTAAAAGCTTATTTAATTCTAGAAAACCAACTGCTTCCTGCCAGGATCTCTTCCCCAACAGGGCAACAAGAAGCTTGTTTGGAGGTATGATCAGGTACGCTGTCCTTCCACTTGGACATATCTGTTCCTTTCCAAAATCTTGACCAGCAGGAATGGTCAGGAGTGGTAGGAATACATTCCAAACATAAGGAACACCTGTTCACTTGTCCAGTTTGTCCAAATCAGGGAATCTACAGAGGCTCGTCTGCTTATTTTTATTTTTTTTAAAAAACTTCCCTTCTGCTGCCAACCATACACCTGCCAGCCAATGCCCCAGTTGCATTATGGGATATTGGATGATGAAGACCTCCCTTATCCAGCAAAAACAGGGTACTCACCAGAGATGCAGACAAACAGTGTGTGGATCATGTCCTCTGTAGTGGTATAACGGGCTCGCAGTTCTGCCCAACGAGCCGTCTGCGGAGCTTGTGTGTTCACTCCTGCCTTGGTGCTACTAGACCCCTGACCACGCTGCCTGTTAAGGAGAGAACAAGCAGCATTAGAATGGGTATTAAGGGGTTACTCTCTCACCTTCCGCACTCCTGTTCTTTCAAAGTTCTCCCCCCCTCAAAAAACAACAACCACCCAAAGGCATCATCTGCCATAAATATATGAATGCCAGGCAAGCAAATGCCAAGGAAAGGGTAAGCAATATATACAGTAAATGTTCCCACATGAGCTTTGGGTCAGCTAAGATTTATGCACCCCTTCTTTCCATTTCCAAGAGACAAAAGCCACAGACTCCTCAAACGCTGAAAGAGGTAGTGCTCTGACAGGGTTTGTCAACTACCTTGGTTCTCTCTGAAAACATTTGAAAACCAAGGCGCAGCTTCTGATTGGCTGCAGGAGCTTCCTGCACTCAATCGGAAGCTGTGTCGGATGTTTGGCTTCCAAAAAATGTTCTCAAACCGGAACACTTACTTCTGGGTTTGCAGCCTTCGGGAGCCAAAACAATCGAGTCACAAGGCATTTGAGAACCAAGGTACGATTGTACTGCCACCTAGCTTCAGTTTCGATTACTCCTTTACCTCTCATGTAGTCCACACTGCTCAAAAGCTACAAGCACTCCTGATTCCTGCAGAAGTACTGATGAACCTTTTCCATGGTCTTGATGCTGTCATGGATAACACTTTTAGTGGCTTCCACATTAAGGATTTACTGTGGAAGAGCCATGCCTTGTTTGCTCACTTTTACAGAGCACCTACATGACACTGTCAACAAAACAAACCCTTCTTATGCTTTCCCTGTTTAGCTTTGTTTTCCCCAGAACTTAACACCGCCCCCCCCCAGAAATCCAACTTTATTTTTACTCGGCAGAAAAGCTACAAAATTTCCTCAGGTGTATAGTATAGATGGCCTATTGCGCTGCTATTCTGATTGGATTGCTCTAGCCATTTCCTAGATTGTGTTTTTCTCTATGGTATGTCTCTCTCTCTAGGAATCAGCTCAATCACTTTAACCCTCCTCTTTCCAAAAATATTATTGTCATTATATCAGTCTCCCCACACCACACCTAAATTGTGATCCAGGGTAGTCGTACACAATCATGATCTGGTGCGCAGTAAAGCGGAACAGAGCAATTAATCTTTTCCACACGGACAATGGGCCCAATGAAATCAGCATACAATCTCAGATTCCAACATTTTGGGCTGAGGGCGGGTGGGTGAAGAGAAGTGGTTCTTGGTTATACCTTGGGAAAGCCGAGACACGTGGTGTCGCAGCGCCTCGGAAGTCAGGAGAATCTATATCCTTGAAGGGCTGTGAATCTGTAGTGCTCTCATTCAGTACACGCTTCTCCAACATGTAAAGTTCTTCCTTGGACAACACACGCAGCAAATCCCTATAAGGGAGAAGGCTCATAAAGGAGGCATCTAGGAAAACAAGACACTGAAATTGCCCTAAAGGAACAGACTGGATAACCCAGCTCTCACGTAGTACCCTGGAAGGAAGGTCAGATCTCTCGTTATGGCAGGGCTTCAGTGCAATGTGGAAACCAAGCTCGCAAAAGGGAGCTCATGCCCAACACACCATGTGCAAATGCATATAATTTGTACCCCCTGATGAGGCAACCTGCTGCTGTATCTCTCCCCCAGCACACACACAAACTGATCATGTATCCAGAACATCTTGCTTCATCCTCTGTTAACTGCATGTCTGCTTGCAGGAGAAGGACACCACTAACATTTATGCAATAATTTCCATTTAACTGAGGGTTGATCAAACATCAGCAAAGTTATGTGGTAGAATACTTATTGGATTGTGCAGCTTCAGACTGCAGGGTGGCAGGGATTGCATTTTTCAAATGAGCTATATTAGCCCTTCCCGTGACTGCACCAAAGCACCGCAGTCAGGTGATTTTCCTGAACACGTAGCTTGGGTTCTTAACACAAACCCCTCCACAAAGACCCAGACTCTTCTTAACCTGGTGAAGTTCCAGCTGAGTTCCTGTGCAAAAGCTACTTTTATAGACACTCACCTGATTTTTCTAAGCAAGACGTAAAAGGGGCTAAAGACTCTGGATATCTCCTCAGGCCTCCGCTCCAAATTGAGGGGTCCATCTGGGTAGATCAGAAGACCACTGTGTACGGGGCAAAGAAATAAAACAACACACAGGTAGGATTGGATTTCCTGATCTACTGCTGCTATGTATGTTTTTCCTAATACATTAATTATTATTGGAGGTGGGGTTTTTTCCCCCAAAATGCGAGAACTTTCAAAATAATAATGGGTAAAGATTAGTGGGAATTGCTCTTTCATCATATCGTTTGGGCAGAGAATTCTCAAAATGAAAGCTGGGACACTATAGTAAACCTTGTCCAAGTTTCCTCTTTTAATTTCTTTTCCAAGATAGCAAAATTTCCCTAACTTTAAATTACTTCTTCGGTTAGTTAGCAGATGTGCATTATTCAGCTCCGATGCCACTGCTCTGCCTATATTTTGTGCCCACCACTCTCTAAATTCCTACTAGCAGCTATGTTTCCCAAGGAGCTTTCAGTGTGTTACCCACGTTGAAGGGGAAACTCAAAAGTAGCACAGCCACTTACTGCTGAGATGGGGACATAGTGCCGTACTTTGAAGAACCACCACGAGTGGAATTTGACAAGGCAAAAGCTGGTGGGAAAGGGCCACTTGCAAATAACTGTGTGCTGGTACCTCAGGCAGTAGCTGCCCCAATCAGGATCTAAAGGAGCAACAGCTGGCTTTGGGAAAGTCATCCCACACCGAGTAGTCACACACACTGAGAATAGGCAGGGAGGATGGCCATTTGGAAAGAGGGGACAGTCCGAAAGTTTTAAATACAGCACAAGTAAGCAATCTTCCCAACTGCATGAGCAGTGGGCAACTTTTGGGGGCCTCTGGGACTCATTTGGTGGTGTGTCACATCCTCCCCACCACCATGCAGACACACATGAGAGACGGGGAGAGGAACATGTTTGGACTGCCAAGATGCCATTGCACACCTTCCTGCTGCCCAGAAGATTGGCAAGAGCTGAGGAACTTATAGATGTGTAGCTGATTTATGTACCATGAAGGAAGTAAAATGAGAGACCTCCTTTTAGACAAATGTTACTTGCCCCAGTTTCTTCTGTTAAGAATGCACACCTGTCTTGCCAGCTTTGACAGCTATAATTGCCAGATTGAACATTCCACATGTCTCGAGTTTATCGAGCTACCGGGCTCTATACTCAACCAAAAGATGACAGGTAAAACCACATACCTGATAATGGCCAGGCGGGGAATGGTGAACATCAGCTGCGGTTCATACCCATCAATCGTCTCCTGAGTCAAGTAGCCAAGTTTCAGAGCTCTAGATGAGTGAGGGAGAGAAGGGGCAGGAAATGAGGAAGGAAGGCGTGGGCAGAAATCAAAATCCCTAGTCCAAGTAGATAATTATCCTAGACCTCACTTGAGCCAAGCTTCCCACATCAAAAAGGAGCACTGGCTGGTCTGCGTCATAAGGTTTTGTAGAGACCCATCTTTGTGCCCAGGTTTTCTCTGATCCATAAAACAAGACCCTGCTTATTATGCTTTAATCTCTTGATTTTTTAAAACATGTTTTTATTCTACTGCTTTGTTGGTTCTGGAAAATGATTGTATTTTTTAAAAATGATACTGTTTGTATTTTATGTTGTATGCTTCCAAGAAATATAAAAAACATAAAGCAGTTTATAAATACATCTAAACAAATAAAATAAAAACAATAAAATAAGATGAATGTTCATTCTATTGGAGAGGTAGATAGTGCTTGCCCAAGGATCTTTCCAAGCCACAGAGCGCAAAATCCTCACCTAGCCACAGTTTCACAGAAGAGCACAACAATCTCCTGCTGCCTATAGATTTCTTCGGGCGACTTCACCGAGACTAAAGATGACACGTAACTGGAAAAGAGAAACAAGCTTTGAAACCCAGCTTAGCCACCACTCTCAGCACCTACCTTGCATGCAAGCCCAAGACATAGCCCTACTTTTCTGGTCTCCCTTTGCAACTCACACTTTGGCAGCATAAATTTCAGAAGGCAGCAGTGGTCCTTTCCAGAGATTCCCCTTGCTGCCCAGTCACTACTTTTATTGGTTCTGGCCAGGTTGCTTTTTAGCATCTTTTCATTTTCATATTTAAAAAGTAGCTGTTAGACGTTTCCTCCTCTTCTGCCCACAATGAACCACTTTCTGCTCCTTAGCTTAATCCACTGCATTGCCTAAAAAAGGTCAGCCTATGGACATGCCCGATTCCTTAAAGTGAAATAATGTACACATAACATGAACACCATTGTTGAAATATCTGCAATGGCTGCCCATCTACTACTGAAACAAGCTTAAGGTCCTTGTGATAACTCACAAAGCCCCAAACAACTTAGGTCCAGGGCACATTTGGGACCACCTAAACCCTTATATCCCAACTTGATCACTGAGATCACCTGCAGGAGTATTGCTGGTTGTTCCCCCACATTGGTGACACACATTTGACATCGACACAAAAGAGAGACTTTAGTGCAATCTGCCTAGTCCTGTGGAATGCTCTGCCAGCACCTTCTGTTTCAACCTTTAAATGCCTGCTGAAAACTCTTTTATTCCACCAGGCTTATGCAGACAATTAAGAATGCATATTTCCATAACGGTCAGTTGATGCTCTCTGATTAAATAGGCAGAATGTAAGAACCCTCCTGGATCAGCCTGGAGACCCATCTAGTTATACAGCTGCCAATCAGATGCCTCTGAGAAGCAGGTCTTCTCAGCACCCACCTCAGCTCAAACTCAGCAAAGAGCATATCAAAACGAATCAATGCCCTGCGGATAGGCTCTGAATAGGGTCCAGGTTGGTTCAGGCTTTGTTCCCGGAGTACCGTCCGCACCAACTCCAAGCTGCACAGCAGATCCTTGGCCAGAGGTCGCAGCCGTATCCCATCTGCCTCGTCCACATCAATGTAGGTGCGTGCCATCAAACACTGGAGGGAAGAAGAGTTTGAATTTGGATTTGATATCCTGCTTTATCACTACCCAAAGGAGTCTCAAAGTGGCTAACATTCTCCTTTCCCTTCCTCCCCCACAATAAACACTCTGTGAGGTGAGTGAGGCTGAGAGACTTCAGAGAAGTGTGACTAGCCCAAGGTCACCCAGCAGCTGCAGGTGGAGGAGCGGGGAAGCGAACCTGGTTCACCAGATTACGAGTCTACCACTCTTAACCACTATACCACACTGGAAGGAATAGTGACAGCTCAGGAACACTCCATGTCCTTTGACTGCCTCTCCCACCATATCACACAAGCTATTTTAGGGCTGGGATGAGCCCCCCAGCAACTGCCAAAGCCTAACTCCAGGAATGGAACCACATTACATCCCAATGAAGCAAGCAAAATTCCCAAGTGCTGTACTCAAGGAGCTGTGCTCAAGAACAGAACATACAAAGATTGGTTGAATGTTCTAGTCCACCAAATCAGGTGGGACAGTGGGTACGGCTGATAACCAGAAGTTTGGTGGTTTGACCCCACCCAAGGATGGCTAGGGGCTGGATTCCTGCATTGCACAGGGTTGGACTAGATGCCCCCCCATGGTCCCGTCCAACTACAGCTCAATGATTGCATGAAATCCCTCCCGCATGGCTCACCTCAGCAGCAAACAGCATGTGGTTCCGGAGATTGTCCACAAGGAGGTCTTCGGGGAATTTGATGACATAGTCACGGCCATGACGCTCCTTGGGGATACACTCATCCATAATTCGCTCTATGATGGACAGCAGTTCGGTCTAGGAGAATGGGTAGAGTGGTTGTTACCATCAACACAAGGACATTCTGGAGACACCAGAAAAAGTACTGATGGGCCAGGGTAGATTTTGGCATTTCCATTGCCAAACATCTCAGCCAGAAATGGAACTCAGCGTGAGGATTTAAGCAAGAGAAAACACACTGTTCTATATTCTGTGTTGATCGGAAGAGGTGAAAATTTGGAGAGAGGGGGACCTCAGACTGCAGCTGCTCCATATTCCAAGAGTGTCCCACATTTCTTTTCCTGCCACAGGAAATTTACTCTTAAAATAGGAGGAGGAAATCATTTTCCTTTAAAAAACAACAACAATAGCCAACCCCAAATGCACACAAGCACAGAGGGAGCACTACACTCTGGAAGATTGCTGTGTATAATCTCCATCTTGATCCTTGCCAGTCAGAGGCATGCCACGCGCACTGCTCCACTGAAGCTGCCAGGGACTGTAGACCATGTACTTTGGAAAGAATCTCCAAAGGAGGGTGCAATGAGACCAATGCGACTCTTGCCGTCTACCTGGAGTATATTTGCACTTAAGTGAGATGATGAGTAGGAAGGGGAAGCAAAATCCCTCGCCGCACTTCCCCATTGGAAATCTCTTATTTTGAGTTGTGTGTTGGGTCCCCCCCCCCAGCCAAGGTTGCTTTTGGTCATGGAGTTTCCCCAAGCCAACAACTAGAAAAGTGTGTGTGTGTGTGTGTGTGTCTCAGGTACTGCCACCTATCAATACTGTGCTTTGAAGTGCCACCCTCCCTCCCCTTCTGATCATCATGTCTAATCATCATGCCCTTAAAGAGAATGCCTTACCTGACTAAGGTGCAGCTGATTTAATAGAACCAGGTATTGCTGAGGATCTGTCTCTACATCCAGACAGTTGATCTCCGTCACCACTTGGGTAACTCGCTCGTCAGCATAGAAAAACTGTGACAGTAACCTCGGATCGGAGCGCTGAATAGAGATAAGAAAGCATGGTTTATTCACAGCTCATCCCTATGACGCAATGCTAGTATTCATGAACAGAAGTTGAGGCAGTAAACTGGTTTCTGAACGATACCATTTCAGACTGCAGGTGGGGGAAATTACGTGACTGAATGTGCTTCACTGCGAGGGGAGGGGAAGAGTTTCCTCTGTGCAGAAAACTAGATGATGTTGATGATGATGATGATGATGATGATGATGATACCCCTACCATCTGACTGGGTTGCTACAACCACTCAGGGTTTAGTCTAGCTTTTTCCCTGATGTATGTTTTAAATAAACAGTAAATGCAAGATTATTTTTGCAATGGAGGGACGTTCAGTCATGTGAGGTGCTACTTGCATTCCGAAATGGTACACTCCAGAAACAGGTTTACTACTACATCTTCTGTGTATGAAAATTAGGCCTCGACTTTGATGCAACTTCCTATGATCCCTTTTCAGAAACTGCTTTGAATAGCTCTAAGGGAATAAATACATAAAGATTTTGAAGATGAGTATCTATTGGCAGAAGACATGGTAAGGATTAAGTCCCTATTCTCTACAAGATTTAGATCAGTGGAAAGATATGAACTAAAAAGAGCGATGGGCCTGCCAGTAGCCTGCCAGTTTTCAACAGACACTTCTGAGAAGCCCAGGCATAATGCCTCTGGTTTAACTTACCAGTTGTAGTTAACACCCATTTATAAACTCGTCCTCCACACATTTACCTAATCCGCTTTAAAGCCATCTAACCCTGCAGCCATCACCACACCTTGTGGCAGCATGTTCCATAAGTTAATTATATGTTGTGTTACGTGAAGCCATCTATTTCAAGTTCCTAGACACCACCAGAATCACATTTCAGGCACCTGGGGGGGAAGCAACTTTGCACCCAGTCATTACATACATACAACCATGCGCCATTAAGTAACATCTTTTGCAGAGTTTGGGCACAAAAGGCAGCACTTGAATTGTTGTATCCAGCCAGATTGCAAGGATTTAGGTCAAGAATAAAACAAACAAACAAACAAACAGAGGGCCTTCCAGTTCACCAAAGCGCTCAGGCACGCACCCCAGGCCTATTCTATGCTATTTGTTTTTGGGAACAATGATAAATCTTATGAAAGAGGAAGGACCCTCTAGGTTTAAGACGCCAATTCCAGACAGGTGGATTCTAAGCCTAATTGTGGCAAATAACAAATGAGAAAAATGGTATCTAAAAGATGGGAGGCTGGGGGCAAGACAAGAAAAAACAAGGAGAGTTCACAGGGTTCCCACAATTGTAACTTTGTCTATTCATACGTAAGTTCTGCTGAATGCAATATGGTTTACTCCCTGATTAGGATTGCAGCCTTAGGACTTATCCACACTAACCTTTCCTCTGCTCTTTCCAGGCATGGTCCACACTTTAAAACTCTGAGCACCCTTTCCCCCCACCCCCTCTGGATCTTTATCTACAGAAACTTGCTCTTTAAAGCTATATTTGAGCAAATGGCAATCCGCAGAAAACCCAAACTGACAGTTGTTCTGATTGGGCACTAAAGAGTGGGGAAAGCTATAGGGCAACAATCACCACCACCATGCTCAGACATGGACCTGTGTCTGGAAAGAGCAGGGCAAAAGGTACTATAGTTTTCCATGCATAAGAATTTTATTATTAAAAAATGATTAAAATTGGGGGTTGTCTTATACACAGATAGTGCAGAGGGGGGACGAGCGATTTGGTGGCAGCCACAAGCAGGATATTGTGAGCGGCGGTCAGTCGGGTGAGTGATTGTCGGCAATCCCACCAAAAAAAGCCCAACAACTGTAGACAACCCCCCCCCCAACAAAAAGCTTAACAACTCTGGGCAATCTCCCCCCATTTCCTTAATTTGGAGTCCCAAAAAATAGAGGTCGTCTTATACACGGGGGCGTGTTATACACGGAAAAATGTGGTAAGTGTGGATGAGCCCTAAGTCCACAACATGGTCCACAACATGGTCCATACAGAGAGTCGCATTTCAAAGGTCCTTTGAAATGGGACTCTCTGTATCCTCCTCTCAAGCATGCCCTGGGATTCTGACAGTAACATGGCATAGACGTGCCTCTTTCAGTGTGAAGAAAGCACCAGATGACCTTGGAACAAACAAGGGATGTCTGTATTAGAAACCCAAACAAATTTTAAATGGGATCACCCATCTTGGCTTCTTCTGATGAATGTGATTCTAAAGGGGGTGCTGAAGCTTCTCAATCCCTTATGTTCTTTCAGACGGCATGTGAATGGCTAAGCTAGGCAGAGTGGAAATCTGTGTAGGCTAATTATTGAAGTCCAGGAAACTTATTTGCAGGACTGTCCTTCAGATCAATGCCATGCAATTGCATACTCTGCCAAACAGAAACCGGCAAAGGCAACAGTAACATGCCCAAGATTATCCCCACTCAAATGCAGCCTAGTCAGCACATTTGAGTAAATTAACCTTGGGACCAAGCCAGAAGTCTCAAGCTATTGCTTTGAAGCTGCTACAGACAAGCAACTTGTGCTAAAGAGAAGTGTCTCTGCATTTGCCTCCCCCTTTTTGACAATTTAGAAAGGGAGAGGGAGACTTTGGCTAAAGGCCTTTCAGCAGAGGCTGGACAGGGATGCTTCAGCAGCACCCCACACTGAGTAGGGGGCTGGATTACTTGACTTCAAAGCTCCCTTTCAACTCATAAGAACATCAGAAGAGCCTGCTGGATCATCCAGTCAGTGAGCCAGTGGCCCCTCTAGTCCAGCATCCTGTTCCCACACTGGCCAGCCAGATGTCTGTGGGAAAGATGCAATCAGGATCCAAGTACAAGAGCAGTCTTCCCTCCGGCAGTTTCCAGCAACTGGTCTTCAGAAGCATTGCTGATTCTGACTAGGGGGGCAGAGTATAGCCATCATGGCTAATGGCCCTTAACAGCCTTGTCCTCCATGAATTTGTCCAATCTTCCTTTAAAGCCATCCAAGTTGGTGGCCATCAACACCTCCTGCCAGAGTAAATGCATTTTAGTTATGCATTGTATGTACAAGTACTTTTATGCTGTTCTAGCTCCAAGCCATGTGCAAAATTTATTAATGTATTTTTATTTAAGATTTTCTTAGTTTACAAAAGTATGTGCAATGTCTCTCTCTCTCTCTCTTTTCCCCAAGTAACATTTTTTACAGATCAGTTTCATTTGTTGAGACATTAGGAAGAAAAGGGGGAAATAGGTGGCGGCAGGGAGAGATGAGTGGGAGTGGGGTCGGTGGCGATGTTTCTATTTTACTTAATATATGTGGGGTTTTGTGTCAGCGTCGCTTGTGCAGGTTCTCTGCTATTCCCATGTGCAAATTTATAAGCTTTTATTATGTTATCTCTCTCTCTTACCTTTTCTCTAACCCAAATGTGGCAACCTTTCCTCTTAAGGAGTTGCTCCACCCCCCAATCATTATGGTTGCCCTTTTCTGAAATAAAAAATCCTCCTTCTGTGACTGAATCACTGTGCAGGCTGTCCTAACTGTCCACCCCTGGCTCCACTGAGTGGGAGGATTACTAACGGGTCACATTCAAAGGCTCATGATCTCCACCTTTGTGACAAACAGGATAATGACAGAGTTTGGAAAGGTTTCCCAAAGCCCCTCAAGTCACGAGCAAGCATCTCTCTCTATCTACTTCCGGCATATAATGACAGAGGCTTGTGCCTGAGCAAGTCCATGTCACAAATGAACCTTCGGGGAAGGGTGAGGTACGGTGGATAAATTGCTTATTGCTGCTGCTGTTATATTCTTATAGAAAATACATTGGCCTGTTCTAAGATTATTTTCAGTTTATGCACTTCTGTCTTGAGATCCTCAGGCCTATAAATATGATACAAAAATAAATAAAAATAGGTAAGTCATCTAGAGCAGTGGTTCCCAATTAGCTAAGTACTGCAGACCCCCTGTTTTTCAAAAGTCGAGCTGTGAACCCCCTACTTTTGAAAATGTTGATATCTCTATGGTAGTTTTTGTTATGTGAATGGTGTCACGGATCCCCTGGGTGGGTTGTGCGGACCTCCTGGGATCTATGGGTTATCAATTGGGAACCACTGATTTAGAGAAGTGCCACAGCACTGCCACTTGGCTGCTTTTGACTAAACCAGCTACTCTGGAACTGCCACCCTTTAAGCATGTACAGAAACTAGTTCATGAACTGAACCCAGCTCAGGCCTTCAGACTGATCAAGGGGCAGACAGAATACCAAGGGCAGACCATTTATTGCCAGTCAGAAACTGGCATGACGCTGTGGTTAGATTTTCCGCTCTGTAAATGAGGCAGCACACACCTATGCATATACAGAGCTGGGCTCACAGATTACCTAGTGACGGAGTTCTCTGTAAGGATCTTCACCCCCAGTGGGAACAAAAGGCATGCCAGGACGCAAAAGCTAGGATGGGGGGGGGGGGCAAAGGATTGTAGGAGTAGATTATCTGTCAGAATCTCTAGCAGACAGGCTGTTTCCCACTTGGCGCAAGCATATCACCAGAACCAGGCAATCACAGCCAACAGGCCAGCCAACCAACTCCTCTGCTCATGAAAGAGTTATATGGGCACTTGGAGAGAGGGTCTTGCCCAGCAATGGTTAAAAGAATAAAGCTCACATCCTCAGAGTACAACAAGGCCAGTTCAGTGGCATTTAACAACAGAACCTTTTCTGCAGTAACTCCTTAGCTAGAGAATTTTGCCTAGTGCCTAACATGTGGTCTTTTAAACACCAAGTAAGGACCTTCCCCCGCCCCCTGGCTTTTCAGTTTTTAAAACATGGTTGAGCACTTTCTAGACCTTGTTGCTGCTTTTATTTGGATGCTATTTCTGATTTTATGTTCATATTACATTGTTATATTTTATGGGTTTGGAATATTGTAAACCACAAAGAGAACTTAGCGTTGATGGGTGGTATAAAAATCCTGCAAATCAGGGGGTGGGGAAGACCTTTGGACCTCCAGAAGTTGCTCCCATCAGACTTGTCAAGTATGATAGCCAGGGATGATGGGAGTTGCAGTTAAGCAACAGCTGAAGGGTGATAGGTTCCCCACACCTGCTGATTTTTTTTTTGTTTTAATTACACTTTCTTGCAAGTTGTATGCCACTTTCCTCCAGCCCCACCCTCCTGTGCAAAACCAATAGTGAAACACTAGATGTTGCACACCCACCACAGAAAGGTTATCTTCTGCCCCACAGTGCAATGCTGTACAACTGGCAAAGGATGAAGGCATTCCTCATTATGGTATCCTTCAGAATGGCCACCATTCCTTACCATTCACCATCCCAGCTAGGGCTAATAGGAATTGTCGTCCCAAACATCTTGGAGGGACTCTAGTTGGGAAAGGCTGTTCTAGAGATAACATTAAAACCACTGAATTTTTTAAAAGTTCTTTTTTCTCTGGAAAGGCCTTCAGAGGTTGCCACACAGGTATACTAGCAGACTTGTTCACCACGAATCTCCTTTTCTGTCTCCAATCTGTTGTTGTTGTGGTGGTGGTGGTGGTTGGCATTCGACACAAACAAATACTGCACGGCCAGATGGGAAAGGCCATAAGAAACCAATTTCAAGCTGGGTCAGAGATTCTCATAAACAGGTGTGACGTGGAAACGCTCCCAAACAGCTGACTCTGTGCAGTCGCTTTTGTGCAGAGTTAACACAAGATGAAATCATGCAGCCATCTCAGGATGTGCACAGCCTTGCGGCATGAAGTCATATACACACACCTCTCTCAGGTATGCTGGGAGGGCAGGAAGCTCTCACAAAGAAGACGTTAATCTCGGGAGCACAAACATCGCTATGCTGTACCTCCACCAATCACACCGTCAGCTGCCTCCACCCAAGTCAAGCCATAATTTGCTGGTGAAGCAGCTAAGGCATAGCAGTTTACACCAAGAACCAAAGAAACAGCACGTTCTGAAGCGGGTGGGGGAGACATGTACCAGCCCTGACTGGGCTCCCATTAGGATTCTTACACAGATTTTTCTTCCTGAGACCCTAGCTAGGCCTGTCATTAGCTCACTTGGTGCCTCAGTTCCTCAAAAGTTGCAAGGTTTTGGTGATCAGAAACTGAGCTCCAAAAACCACTGTTTCTGTCATTGGAAGGAATAATTTTCTGGGCCAAATCCTCCAGTTGAGGAACAACGGAAGGCAGAAGCAGCTGCCATGCCCCAAGAGGAATGACACCTTCACAATACTGCCCAGCAGAGCTTCTCTGGGTGGTGTGTGGCATCCAGCCAGGCCAGCAATGAATATGTTGAAAACCTCTGGAGGCCTGCAAAAACATGTTTGCAAAGCATTATTAAAATACCTCTGATCGGCATCAACTTAGATGCTGTGTTGACCACAGGGCCCATGACTATGTTCAGAGCACTGTCAATTCAGGTGCTTCGCAGGACTTGTTCTACCTGCCGTTTGTTCAACTCTTGCCCCTCCTCTACCTCATTACATCAGGCAGGAGTGGGCTGACTGGCTGGGTTCAGGGGAAGTGCCTCTTTGTGAGAGGTGGCGGTTGCTTCTGAAAAGGTCTCTCTGAACTCTTGACGATTAAGCTGGTCACATACACACAAGTAGGTGGTTGTTATGCAACCCCAAACACTCTTGGATGACCTCAGTTTTCCAGTTTAATTACTGTTTGGTTTCCAGTCTGGTTTTGGAAAGGAAAGTGCTTTGGTGACCCTGATGGGTGACCTATACCAGGAGGACAGGAAGAGACCTTGCTCCTTATAGGCCTGTTTTCCCCACTGCCTCCGCTGCTTCTGGCTGCATGGATGAGCAGCACAGGGGGGACTGAGGGCGATGCGTGTGCTAGGTTTCAACCTCTGCTCCTTGTGAACTCTCTCCCAGCTGCTGATCTGGTCTGTGGAAAACAGCTGAGGAGTAGAGAAGAGGAGGCATGGCTGCAGGATCCTACTGCTGACAGCTTGCTGGGTTTTCATACTGAGAGAGGTGAGCCCTTGTGCATGTGAATGGGGAATGTCATGCAGGTTTGGCCTCATTCACTGCAGCCAGAAGTCACCCCGGAGGTAAAGTGGCCCCTAGGCTGAAAGCAAATCCTCACCCCTGCTATACAGCAGTGTTCTCCAAGGACTGCTTGCTCCCACATGAACATGCATGCAGAGATGACCTTGTATTAATAGCCTGTTTCTTCCCAGCTCAGTTATGGATGTATCTTGATTTAATAACTATTTGTTGTTTGCTCATTTTAAACATAGTATTTTAAAACTATTACTTTTACTGTGAGTTCCTCCATGAAACTGTGGGAGGTTGGAGAGCATATTTAAAGTGTATGAATGAATAAATAAATAAATAAATAAATAAATAAATAAATAAATAAGAAAGGCAAATAAAGAGGATTTCTTCCCCTCCCCTGATCTTTCTGGATCTCTATTGACCAACACTTACTCCAAATCCACTGCCTTTTTACCATCAAAATGTAAGTCACAGAATAATGCAGCAGTTTAGGACTTCTCCAGAGATTACTACTGTCTGGTGGTCAGCTCTGCTTCTCTCTTTGACCACCAATTCCTCTAGTTGGAGCTCATCTCAACCGCAGGACAGACACACCCATAGTCTGTTTCGCCAAGCACTGGACTTGCAGTGACCTGTACAACCAGACCATCAATTTTAGCCAACACAGTCTCTTCCCAGTCACCCACAGAATCTCTTCTTCTTCATACATCGTCCTACTTCCTGTGCCAGTCACAGAAATGGGTGAGGGCATGACACAAGGAAAGTTGGTTGTCCTGGCTATGAAAGCTTGGAGAAAACCCAGCAGCATTAATAATCTCTTTCTCTCGCCACCTCCAATACTGAACCACCAAGAGACAGAATTCAAATGCGTGATCAGCAGGTTCCGAGTAACAAGGATTACTTGAGTTCAACAACAAAGGAAAACTATGGGAAGGAGATAATGAATCAAACCTTATGTAATATGCAAAATGCTGAAAATTGTATTATGTGCCAACATGGCTCAATGGTACAGCACATACTCTGCATACAAAAAGTCCCAGATTCCAATCTCTGGCATCTCCAGTCAGGGTTGAGAAAGACCTGTGCTTAAAACCTTGGGAAGTCAGTACGTAGGCCATGTGCAGGGTGGGGCTAATCCTATGGCCCTCCCAATGTTGTTGGTCTACAACTCTTATTACCCCTAACCACTGGTCATGCTGGCTGGAGCTGATGGCAAGTAGATCCAACAACATCTGGAGGGCCACAGTTTGGCCCAGGATTGTCTACACCACGGCTGAATAGAGAACCAATGGTCTGAGTCACAGCGTAAAGCAGTTCCTACATACCTGTAGATCAGCAAGACTCATATGGATAACAGCAGTACCATGGGCAATTCATTACCAGAGTAATTAGGGTGAAAATCCAACACACACCCCAAATTCAATAGGACTCACTTCTAAATAGACTTGGTTAGGATTGCATTATAAATTACATGTTTATTCCACAGTAGCAACTGGACCATATTGTGTTTGCAAACACCAAGCACATTACTGGAAGACATGGCGGAAGACTTAAAAACCAGTGTGAAGGCAGACGTGCGTAGCAATATGTGAGTAATCTTTCTTCCATGCAAACATCACAATGACAACCTGTTTTCTCTTCCTGATGGATTTGTACTAGACATAAATATACAGGCTTGTTTAATTCAAAATAAGTTGTATCCAAGTAGTCTGTTCGGACAACACCTACAGATAATTATTACCAAATCTTGAAATACTGGAGAAAAGCCAAGAGACACTCGTGCCAATGTTTGAAGAGGACAAGAGAAAGGGCAAGGATTACTATAACGTAATTATTTAGCCCAGTGCCAATCCAATGAAAAAGCAATCAAGGGAGCCAAATGATTTCAAAGAGCAAAAAGATCAGATCAATGTTTCGCAGGGAAAGGGTTCTTGTTAAACAAACCCTATTTTAACCTTTTGCTGATATTACAGGTTTAATTGTAAAATGATACCAAGTTAAATGGCCTTGCTAGAACATTTGGAAGATATTGGCTCCCGAGGTTTTTACTGAAGCCCAAGCTAATGAAATGCTGTCTCTTTGGAATGGGCTTATAGCTCCAACCTAGAAGTGAAGCTGCGAGCTTCTGGGTAATGATGCTCCGCAACACCCAAACTCCCTCCCCCAAGTTCTCTGTAAATAGCATTGGACTCTGACGCCACCTCTTATGTTGCACTGAGCTTTGGAACAGAGAGAACCTTCTCTGACCACTGATCTGTCTAGCTGCAGCTCATCACAATCACAAGATCAACACACTCGTCGGTGGTTTCAACACAAAACCTTTCTCTACTCTCCGCCCTCAAGTCCTCTGGTATGGGCAGAAAACTTGAGAGGGCTGGAGGTGGTTCTCTTGTTTCATGTTCAGCTTTGGAGTAGGCAGAAGCCACATGAATTGTAACACTACTTCAACCTGCTCCGGAAACCAACTTGCTATGAGACAACACCCCCTTATACCTCTCCTTAAAGTGTTTTGTATGAGCACAAGATTTAGAGAAGGCCTTGCGGTGACCACAAGTAACGTCTGGCTAATGCGCAAAGCAAATACTTGTGGGACCCTGTAAACAGGACATTGTGATGCACCGTCATACTGACTAGTAACAGACAGGCAATCGGCTCCACAAGATCTGTGCAACCCAGAGTATGCAGTCAGGATAGCAGAAAGTGGTGTTGATCCACTATTAAAAGAGAGAGAGAGAGAGAGAGAGAGATGTATGCTTAAGACATTTGACTTAAAAGTACATAGGAAGTTGCCTTGTATTAAGCCAGACCATCTGTCCATGTTGTCTACACTGATTGGCAGTGGTTCTCCAAGGTTTCAGGCGGGAGGCATTTCCAGCCCAACATGGAAACACCAGGGATTGAACCTGGGACCTTCTGTGTGCAAATCGAGGAGAAGCAAAGAGTTATGTGGGGCAAGAAAGAATTTGTGGCTAACCAATAAAGGCGGCTGACAGCTTTAAGGAGGAAATCACTATCAAAAGATAGTGTTCCTAGAAAAATCATCAGTTCAGGGTCCAGCTTCCTGTTAATTTTAAAAGACATACCAAATGCAGCATAAAAATCATTAGTGAGGAAGTCTTCAGACTACACTAATTACAGCCTGATTCTCTCCGCTGTGATCATATGCTAAAATAATATTCCATAGTTGTTTACTTATTATGTATTCATTAATTCACACCCAGCTCCATATCTTCCGATCCCATTTCCTGTTGTATTTGCAGCGATTTTCTGTCCTATTTTTTTCAAATAAATTCCTTCCATACTTTTCCCAAGAAAAGCTTTAATAAAACCTAATTTTTTAAAAGTACCGTATTTTTCTCTCCATAACACTCACTTTTTTTGTCCTAGAAAGTAAGGGGAAATGTCTGTGCGTGTTATGGAGTGAATGCCTACGGATGGCGGGGGGATCTGCTGCAGTTGTGAGCAGAGGATCCATGGTTCCCCTTCCTTCCCTCCTCCGTGGCTCGCTTTGAAACAGCAAAGTGGGAGAGGAGCCGCTTACACTGGTGTAAGCGGCTCCTGTCTGGTTGGCTGCTTTAAATCAACCGTGCTCTTTGTCCCTCTCTCCTCCCCACTCAGCTCGCTAAATAGCAGCAAAGCTTTTCAGCATTTTCATTTTCAGCTGGGGAGGAGGGAGAGAAGCAGAGCCTGCTTGTTTTAAAGGAGCAAAGCGGGAGAGGAGAGGAGCCTTCTTCCCTTATACCCCTCTTCTGTATTATTAGCAGCATCCTTCTCCACACACCCCACGCGTGTTCCTTCTCCCCTTAAACCCCTCTTCTGCATTATTAGCAGCATCCTTCTCCACACCCCCGTGTTCCTTCTCCCCTTAAACCCCTCTCCTGCATTATTAGCAGCATCCTTCTCCACACCCCCCACACGTGCTCCTTGTCCCTCGAGTGCTTTTCCTTCCCTCCCCACTTAAAATGTGGTTAGAAAGCACGGATCCACATGGATCCTCAGGATTTTTGCACTGGGTCACCCCAAATTCACCATCAGATCACATAGCATGTCCATGGCTACGCCTGCACCAAAAAAACCACACACACACACTGTTTCATGGGGCCGCAATGGCGCAAAAACTTGGTTACAAAGCACGGATCCACATGGATCCTCAGGATTTTTGCATTGGGCTACCCCAAACTCACCGTCAGATCACATGTCTGTGGCCACAGCATCAACCACAAAAATCATACATCCACTGTTTCGTTTAGAATATTTTTTTTCTTGTTTTCCTCCTCTAAAAACTACGTGTGTGTTATGGTCAGGTGCGTGTTATGGAGCGAAAAATACAGTAATTACAGACTAATTGTATGCAGATTCAGAAGTCTCATTATGTTCAACAGGACTTGCTCCCAGGTGAGTGAGTATAGCGTTACAGATTTGCAGCAATGTGGCAAGTTAATGCAAGGAAACCTTAGCAAATAATGAATATTCTGAGTATGTAACTGACTGGGCTTCTACAATATAAGGGCAAGAAATCCAACACATAGAATTGTAGAGTTGGAAGGGACCCTAAGATTAAGAATTTCGTGTTCTATGGACTAAGCTATCTGCTATCAACAACCAAATCCAAGTGGCTACAAAAGGAGACGCTGCTTTTTAGGCCACCCTAAAATAAAGTTGTGATATTTATTTACATTGTTGATAGCATGTTTGAGTCATCTGCTCCTTCTGGGGCTCCTATACTAAAAGTACATTTTGCATTAGCACGCAATGGGCCATGGTGAGCCACCTGGGCTCTCTCTCCAGGGATGCTTAAACGCAGAGTTAGTTTTCAACAACAGTTCTGCAGTTGTGTACTTGGCTAGCTATCATGGCATATCCAGGTAGGCTATTAGAACTGCTCTCTTAAAGCACAGGTAGGTAGGTAGCCCATAGCTCCCGTCCCCCAGCAACTCTATGTGGCTGTTCAGGACAAAAAATGTTGCCTATCCCTGAACTACAGAGCTGCGCAAGGATCAACAAGATGCAAGCTTTATCTTTTGAACCAGGGGAGTTCAACTGTCACTCACAAGTGACAATTATTCCCCACTTGTTATTCCCCCTCACACACCCCGTTTTGCAATGTGACAAATTAATGCAAGGAAACACGCTCCTTTTCAAAATGCCAGCAATACGCTATTCCCTAAATTCTATTAAGACAGATTGGTCAAGGATAGACGTACGTAACAGATGTTGAATAAACTGGCCTGTGGCCTTCACATTCACTGTCCGCAGAGTTGAACAAATAAATATGACCCCACCACGAGAGAATCAGAGTTCTCTTGGCTCTCCCACAGCTGACAAGCAGGTGAACTGAAGCTTCTCTGTAATGCTACAGTGAAGTCAACAAATGACCACACACACAAAGTCTTTATACCGATTTGCCTTTTCATCAATTCTTTATGATACATTTTTCATTCACTCTTGAGAATGTGGATAAGGGCAAGCAAGAGGGGGTGATTCATTGCTGTTTAGGAAAAAAAAGTTGGCCAATAATAAAAAGTTACCTAATGTGATTATGAAATATCTGAAAAGGAACAGAAAAGCAATAATAGGATTCATGAGCAACTATTGTCACTGGTAAGCAGCTAACTGCTATTTTTGGTTCCTTCTGGATAAACAACCAACAATAAAAAAACAAGAACTGGATTTTCAAGAGTTCATAGCTACTGGATGTATGAGTCTTGCCAGCCACAGGAATGTTCTCTTTCAAAATTTTTTTCCAAACAATCAGTTTTTTCATACATGAGCAGTTGGATCACAAAAGTTTGTTTGTTTGTTTGTTTGTTTGTTTTAACTATGGCTTAGTTCTTACCAATGTGTTAACATGCATCTGGACTGGAACACATCATGACTGAATGTTCCTCACCAAAAATAAAAATCCCTGCATATAGAAAACTAAGAATTCAGTGTGATGGCTAGTTTTCTATGTGAAATGTGTGTGGTTTTTTCCCCAAGTTGAGGAACATTCACAGCATAATTCTATGCATATCTACTCAGGTGTAAGTCTCACTGAATTCAATGGGACTTACTCCCAGGTAAGGGTGTACACAGGAATATAGTAAGGGCAAAATGGCTTTTTAAAAATAAATATGTCCTTCAATCTCAGCCCCAGCAATTGAACAGCATGGCCTTAAAATCAGCTTCATATTACAATGGTATCTCGGGTTAAGAACTTAATTCGTTCTGGAGGTCCATTCTTAACCTGAAACTGTTCTTAACCTGAAGCACCACTTTAGCTAATGGGGCCTCCTGCTGCTGCCATGCCGCTGGAGGACGATTTCTGTTCTCATCCTGAAGCAAAGTTATTAACCCAAGGTAATATTTCTGGGTTAGCTGAGTCTGTAACCTGAAGCGTATGTAACCCGAGGTACCACTGTAGTAGCATAAGAGGAAACTAAGCACCTTCTACTAAAAGCAAGACCTACAGGTTTTCTCTTCTCAATGCTTAGATTTGAACCCATATGCACTATATTCTTTGTACGTCACCATTGTTGCAACATTTGTTTATTTCACAATATTTATATCCCACTTGACTGTAATAAAACCTCAAAGCGATTTACAACACACTGTACTGTTCATAGAGTATGACGAATGGATCAGATAGTCCTTTCACCTACCTAGTTTAGTATGCAATCTCTGACTTTAAGTGTCAAAAAATTAAAAAAATAAACCCATGAAGTATATAAAATAGTCTCTTCCTTTCTCCCTGAAACATGCCAGTCACTTGACCCCCACATTAGAGGGTGGATTAATTCCCAAAGTAGCCTTCACACCTATTCCCCAAATCTGCTAGCATTTTATTATTCCAGGTCCAAGTAATCTAGTCTCACACATAACTGTCAAAATCCATTTGAATGCTGCTCTGCTTTAGGCCTCAAACAAGTTCTGAGGCAGAGAATTCCACAACACATTTTTACTTTTATCAGCAAATTGTAGGTTGTAATCCGTACCCCTTTGCTCCTATTGCCAATTATTGTTTTGCTTATATAAAATAATAACTCCCTCAATCATAAAGTGGGTTTTTTAGCTCTGCCCCTAAAACCTTGATGGAGAAACAGTGACTTTTTCCTTCCTAGAATACAAGGTGATTTAGAAAATTAAAGCTCATCCAGAACAGTAAGTTTAGTGTCAACCAGCAATTTCAGCTGAGCTATCTAGCACACAACATAAACCTAGGTTTATTCGCTAGAGTAGAGCTAGCAACCCCGGTTCTGTTTACTAATTACACCTTGGTATATGCTTGGCTGAGTGAAATATGAGTCATAAACAAGTCAGCAGGAAGTCAACCCCCTGCCAGCCAATAGATGACACCGATCCCTGTAGAGCCAGTTGCATCCACCCACAAACTTCAGTTTCACCCTTGCAAAGAAGTGATGGCACAACACCTATTTACACACAAACTTCAGGCTTTCAGTTCCATCCACAACTGGCCCAGATCTCCCTCTCCTAAACAAGTGGTATGGGGCAGCTGTTTTTGGCCACAAGGTCTGGCCTAAAAGCCCCCTCCCCCATGGACTAAAATAAAGTGAGACTAAAATACTTTCATTTTAGCATAGGGTTTGGCTGACTCCTAAAACCTGCTATCAGTTACCACACAGCTGGTTTTTCACTGCACTTATTGGTCTGTTTTGGCTTTAATCTCTCCTGTTCCTGGCTGTTTTGAGCAGCTTTTTAATGTGTTAGAAAGGCAGGAGATGAGTGTTTTCAACAATACATACCTTGATATGTCACATACACCCTTTCCTTTACCCATATGAAATGTATGGCTCCATTATGGTAGTCACGGACCTGGGTGAAAACTCTAGAAGAAATTCTTAGAGCAAACCTAACCAGTACAGAGATGCTTTTTGCTGTGGGGGATCTTCTAGTGCCACTACTGGCAGAAGGTGACAGACAGGAAAAAAGTAGAGCATCACAAACCCACATGCTTACCCTGGAGCTTAGAAACAGCATGCCATCTACTGTACAGAAGGAGGTGAATTATTTGAAGAGCTGACACACAGGTGAAGCAAATTTGATTTGTTGCTTGGTTCGGGGAGGACCCAAAGCAATGGGTTCAAGTTACAAGGAAGGGGATTTCTCAACTAAACATTAGGAAGAAGTGCTTGATGGTATGAGCAGTACTCTAGCAGAACAGGCTGCTTTAAAAGGTGGTGGGCTTTCCTAATGAGGTGTTTAAAGCAGAGGCTGAATGAAGGGTGCTATTGAACTGGATTTCCTGCTTGGGAAGGGGTTGGACTAGATATCAGAGATCCCCTCTTGCAAGACTGGGATTCTAGGAAAGTTGAGAAAGAAGCCACCCCGCACCACAGAGCTCTTGACTGCCAGAGACAACAGCCACTGAAGGGAGCAAGGTCTCCACACCTCTAAGGTCTTAAGGCTCCAGGTTTACCAGCAGGCGAGAGGACAAAGTGGCGGTAGACGAATGAAGAAACAAATACAAAGGCGTACACAAAGACACACCTGTGTACACTTATGTCATTCCCGAAGAGCTACAACATCAAAGGCTCCTATACTCAGCAAATCACTACCACGCATTGAAACTCTCCTTTCACCCCCAAGCGGGCATTGGAGGGGGGGGCGGCGGCTCATTCTTTTACCACCCGGATTGTGAAGACAGCTGGGAGAGGGGCGTTTTAAGAAGTTGGAGGCTAACTCAGCTGTAATCCTCGACCCTGATTTGGCAGCCTCCGCGTGATCAGGATCGCTGCCGCGAAAGAGAAGCAACTCCCGAGAAGTCCGAATTCAAGTCCGGATTCCCTTCAGAGCCTTAGAGCGAAAAGCGAGGTGGGTCGCGGACGGGACGCGGGGAGCGAAGAACGAGGCGCGAGAAGCCCCCCCCCCCCGAAACATGCCGAGAAGAGAAAAAGCAGCCCTCACCGGGCCTAGCCCAGAGACAGCGAGAAAGAAACCGAGCGCGAGCCCGTCGGGGAGCCCGTCCCGGGCTGGGAAGAGCCCCTTCTCGGAGCCCCCCTCCTCACCTTGGGTCTATGCAGCCATCTGCGGACGGCGGCGGGCAGCATGGCTCGAGCTCGGTGCGCGGCGGCGGCAGCGGCGTCGGTGGGAGAAAGCGCTCTGGCTCCCGCAGAGACACCTGAGCCGTCTGCGCTCCGCCGCCTCCGCCTGGGGCTGCCCTTTGGCGCCTCCCCGGGGCGGGTCGAGGCGGGGCTTCGGGCTCCAGGAGCGGGACATGGGAGCACCCGCACGCCTTTATCCCCGCCCTGCTCCGGCGCTCGCTTGGCGGACGAGGCCGACGCTCCCTAGCGCGCGCGCGAATTGGCGGCCTCGAAGGGGCGGCGTGGGGTCTCCGCCCACCTCGCCGAGCAGGAGGACACCAGCGGCTCCCTGCGAAACGTGCGGAACAGCACCAGTCTCCGAAGGGGGGGCGAGCGAGCGGGGAGGCGGGTCGGTTCTACCGGGAATAACTTTCCGCCTTCCGAGGGGGCCATAGGAACCAACCCCCCCATAAAATATTTGAGGGGGCCGGACCACCCCAAAGTTTATGGGCATTGCCATTCAAATACTGTAGTGTGCTTGCACCTCATCATGTGATCGATTATGCGGGGCGGGGCTTACCTGCCCCCCTCTATTATATTCAAGTTGGCATGCCTGGAGAGGGCCCTCAGAGTTTGGAAAAAGAGATCCTATTATGATGATCGAGCTCCAAAGTCCTTTCTGTCTGTCCGCCCTCGCGGGGTGGGGGGCTGCCTTTTCAGAGGTGTTTGGCCGGGCTGGTATCCCAGCTGGGTGCGGGGCACCTGGGGTAGGTAGATATGAGAGGACGCGCCGACGTGCCCGGCTTAGGGGCGCCATTTCGGAAGGGGGGCACGATATATTATTTTGTTTGCTACCTTTCTGTGTCCTGCTTTTTCTTCCACTCCAGAGGGCTTTCCCAAGCGGGCTCCCATCCAGGCACCGACAGACTCAATCTAGACCTGCTGAGTTTTCACTTTACTGCATCTTGTCCCTTCAGAACATGCCCTGAGGTCTGATTCCAGCTTCAAACTTCTGTTGTTTGTTTTAAAAACAGGATTTGTAATTTTCTGGCTTTCTGATCCTTTGTTTGTTCTTTCTTTATTAGCCTTTATGATGGCTACAACAACCTTATCAACACAGAATAAACAACCAGGCATATACACATAGAGAATGTGAGCACACACACAGTCACCATTTCATTTCACTTCATTTTGCCAATATTTGCCATATAAATTAGAGGGAACCAGCCAGAAACAAGTGTGTTTCTTAATACTGTATGTATAGGAACCCGATATAAGAACAGTACCCCCAGTTACCGGTACCTTCTTTCTTAACTGGAGATGCAGCAACAGGAAAAGCTCCCCCAGTTGGATTTCAGCTTCTCTTACAGAGGACTGCCAGTGAAAAGGCAGGAACAGATGAGGTTAGATATCTGATGCCTTGTTGGCTCCCTATACCAGCATCAGAGGAAGATATGCAGGCCGGAGGGAGAGCCTACAGGTTTGCCAGGGCTTATGTTTCCCTGGAAATGCTTGCCTCCTAATGCTAGCTCTATGGGGACCAGCTGTGGATATTCAGGTGGGTGCTGGGGGGGCATCTTCTAAAACACTGTATTATTAATCCACATGCTGTGCCTTGGCCTTTAAAACAGACTCTAGAGTAGAGACCTACCGTAGTTTAACAAACACACATTGCAGAAGATTCCCCACCCCCATTCAGTGAGTCGTTACTGTATCTTTAAGATGAATATACTCTCCTGATGCCTCAGCCATTGTTTATTAGCACATTTTATCTCCTTTATTCAAGCCTCTGTTGATGTTTAAAACCTGTTTTTAAACCTGTCTTCTCTTTTCTCCCTCCCCTCCCCTGACTTCATGCAATTCCAGGATTGTGATGTGGCACAACAAATCTTCCAAAGAGGGCTGATAGTGATGACAGCATTACATTTTTACATATACTGTATATGAAGATATACACATATACAGAGAGAGAAAATTATACATGGAATTATGGCTTTTGGTGTGGAAAGCAGCTATAAAATACGTATTTGAACAATGCCAGTTAGGTTTACGTGGTTTCAAACTACCTGCTGCTATTAAACACTAAAACAGATTTTTCTCTTTACCTGTATTCACTGTCCCATAGGTAATTATGTAGCATTTCCTGAAGTAGTTACGCAAGTTCTGCTCTGGGGGCTTTGCTGGCAATGGGAGTTTATTGACCAATTGGATGTTTTGCAGATAAGACAGGCGGAAGGAAGAGCTGCTGCCACTACTGTGTGGTGTTATAAACCTCACCACTTTCACATCCTATCTAAATTGCCAGACAGCTGCTCTTGGGGGGTTCCTGCCCTCCATGACCAGAGGCTGGATCTACAGTGCATTGATGGCACAGCGCAAGTATGAATGTTACTGAAGATGTCACTTGATATTTTTATGTAAAATATTTGAATACTACAATTCCATTAAGTATATCCAGAGTAGTTTGGTATTAAGATTATCCTGCTTGCTTGCCATGGTATCTAAGATGGTACGGTGCTACAAGCAAAATCCCAGCTCATTGAGCACCAGCTGGAGGAAAAGGCCCGTGAAATAAAAGCTGGCCATAAACATTGTTTGTCCCCTCTCTGCACACGTATTAATCAGAGCTGAGGGAAAATAGGTTGTCACAAAACAAATCTGAGTTTCTTTCCCTTACCAGACACAATCCTCCTGTTCTTTGGGATGTTAATAATAGCTTCAAGTGAGAGCTGGACCATAAAGAAGGCTGATCACTGAAGAATCAATGCTTTTGAATTATGGTGCTGGAGGAGACTCTTGAGAGTCCCATAGACTGCAAGAAGATCAAACCTATCAATTCTTAAGGAAATTAGCCCTGAGTGCTCACTGGAAGGACAGATCCTGAAGCTGAGACTCCAATACTTTGGCCACCTCATGAGAAGAGAAGACTCCCTAGAAAAGACCCTGAAGTTGGGAAAGATGGAGGGCACAAGGAGGAGGGGACGACAGAGGACGAGATGGTTGGACAGTGTTCTCAAAGCTACCAACATGAGTTTGACCAAACTGTGGGAGGCAGTGGAAGACAGGAGTGCCTGGCATGCTCTGGTCTATGAGGTCACAAAGAGTTGGACATGACTAAACAACTAAACAACAGCAACAAAAGTTTTAAGGAATCGTTAGTTCCTTGATACATAACAATTTATAATAATTTTATAACTGTCCCACCCAACCCATAACTTTTGGGGCACAATCCCTGTCCCAGAACACTGACAATAACAAGGATCTCCCTGAGGGTATTTCTCAACAGCCCATATCTTTAAACAAAAACGTCTTGGGGACAGTAGTAAGCATATGAAACAAGTATCACTGAAATAGCAAGAGGTTTCTCTTTCCACCTTTTTTGGGGGGAGGGAGTAGCTTGAGGATGTTTCTACAAAGCAAGGGTGTTCTTTATCCTCCTTATTATTCGGAATCCCTTTGCCATGGCTGTTAGAAAATATATATACATCATCAAGTGATAACTGTACAGGGGAAGGAACGTCTTACCAACATTTTTGTGAATGATGCAGCATTAATATTATCAAATGCCATACACACAACTTCATATATTAGGAAGTAATCAGATTTATGGTATATGAGGTGGCAGGCCTAAAATTAAGTATAAAAATGCAGAACTATGTATAAATATTGCTACCAAAATTCAAACAAATCCAGCAAAGTCTAGATGTTCCAATTTGCCATGAACAATTTAAATATTTGTGAATAATCATTTCTTTTTTTAAAAAAAGAAAGTTTGTTTAACGCTACTATTGGGCACATTAAGGGGGAATTTTTTTAAATGGAGAAAATTAAAATATTGGGTATCATCTCTGCTGTGAAAATGAGAAGTCTACCAAAGTCTACCCAAACTAGTTTCAATTCATGCTCATTTAGATTCCTGCAGGAAAAGCCGGTGGTGTGGCAGAGCTATAGTAACACCCACCCCCAACATCGCTGCATTTTTCCTGGGGGGGGGGGAGGAGAGTGGGATATAAATAACAATAAAATACCAGCACGTGTCCAGCACACTGTGGACGTGTGTGGCTCTTTTGACTAGAAGCTGAATTCCAAGGAAAGCAATACTTGTCTCTGCTTCTCATATCCTGAGGGTGTGCTTGACAGGAAGTCAGCGTGGCTTATGGGAAATGGTGACACAGGTACTTGTACTTGTCCAGAAATACAACTCAACGGCTGTGCAGGAAAGCAGGAATTAGTTCTCTAGTAGCTGGTTTCAGCTTCCTGATAGGATCTTGGAAGTATCTTTTCTCTACTAATCCCACCCTCCAACAGCTTTTAAGTCCCATTATGTTCTGTCAGTGCACATCATTCCATTGGACTGCAGCTATTCTTTTAAGGAATGCGGTTAATTGATCAACTTTGAACACCATTGAAACGTGACAGGAGCCTGGGATGGCTTGCCCCACCCCTTAATCGCAGGTGTCAGTTATCAAAATCCTGTCTCAATTTAAAACAGGCAATGTGGTTTCAAAGGAAGAATGGGAGCGCATTCTGAAGCATGCTCCCGATCCTTCCTAGCCAGCTCAGTTTGAATTCAAGTTTGACTGCAAAAGCAGAATCTTCCTTTGAACAAACCACACCTGTGAAAGAATAGGAAGTGTGCAGTAATTTGGCACATTTCTCTTTCTCTGCAATTGTAGCAGCAGCTGGAAAGGAGGATTTGGGAGCACATTTAAGAGTGCACTGCTGGTCCTTCCTTTTCAGATTTCCTCTGCAGGTTCAGTGAGGTTAGGTGATGCACAGGTGTATGTGGTTTAGCCAAAACTATGCTGTGGGCCAAAGTGGGAGGCCTGGTGGACCAGAGGTTTCTCACTACCAATTTAAAATAACCCAAGGAATTGTGTTAAGAGGTGAGCAGCTGCTGTAACTGGTAAAATATTATTGATAAGGAGGTTGCTATTCACCATTTTAGAGGTTTATGTAAACACTACTAGACTGGATAGTACTTTTGTTTTCAGTTTCAATATTGTTAACTAAAAAATATGAGTACACACACATATATATGCTTTGAGCATGATTACCTGTATTTCTCTTGTTGCAATTTATAAAAAGCATAGTATTTAAATCAGCCTGTGTCTCTAGACGCATCTAAGATGAGCAAAGAATCATCTCCAGAAGCTCATCACATGATTATAAGAATCAGGCTACTCAGGGCAGGAATTCTTTAATCATTTGTGCATGGTGATGGAGGTTTGGAAAGTTTTCCATTTTTAGAAATGAATTTTCATAAAATTCATTAGTAATGGGCCAAGCACTCCCCAGGCAGGTTAAAGGCTATTCAATGTTACCATGTGCTACTCCCCTGTTGAAGAAGGCGGCTGCCAGTGGGCCAGCACTCATAATTATGTTGTTGTTGTTTAGATTTTTCATCCATTCCTTCAAAAGGTGGAGGTAAACAACAACAACAATTTATTTATACCCCATTCATCTGGCTGGGTTTCCCCAGCCACCCAACAGAATATTAACAAAACCATACAAAGCTTTTTGAATTTTTTTAAAACAAACACATATTTTCACAAGTAAATTATTTCAAGGTTGTCCAGTTAAGCTGTAGGCAGTGACATCCTGCTGTTGATGTTCCACCCGTGATGTGTGTGTGGATCTGGCTATGGATCTGGAAGATCTCCAGCACCCTTGTTGCTCCCACCCCAGTGGAGGCTGGTCCATTCGGACAGTCCCACCAACCTCAGCCCCCCTTCAGTCAGCCTCCACCCACCTGCCTTTGTTACTTATAACCAATGCAGGGTGTAGCACTGCCTTATCAGCTTCCTCCTCCTTAGTCTCAGTGTTTCCCTTGTAGATCTCAGCTGAGGAGGAAGGGGGACAAAACTGGAATTAGTTGGCTCTGCCTGTCATTGACTTGGGCTCCACCTGCTGTTGGCCTTCTGCCCTACCAGTCTCAGTGGGCATCAGTCACCATTGTCTCACACCTCCAGGGAGGGCCAGAAACAACAGAAGCCCTAAGGCTGGGAAAGTAATTTCTCTCCCACTGGATTCAACATAAGGCCAGGGAGGAGAAGGAAAAGGATCACCCTCCCACTCTGGCCACAGCTGGCCAGCAAGAAGGGTTCCGGATGTGGCAATTGCTCTCCCATGGACTCAACCACCCTTGGATTGATCTCACGATGAGTAAACAACTGCAGTGGATACACAGTGGTACCTCTAGTTACGAACTTAATTAGTTCCGGAGGTCCATTCTTAACCTGAAACTGTTCTTAACTAGAGACGTGCTTTCGCTAATAGGGCCTCTTGCTGTCACTGCGCCACCGGCACATGATTTCCATTCTCAACCTGGGGCAAAGTTCTCAACTCAAGGTAACTCTTCTGGGTTAGCGGAGTTTGTAACCTTAAGTGTTTGTAACCTGAGGCGTTTGTAACTTGAGCTACCACTGTAGTACTAATCAAAAGTTTTCAAAGCTGGCTGCAGAGTTTTCAGTGCCTTCGTTTCCCCCTCAAAATCTAAATAATATAAAGGAAATATATGACGTTAGCAAGTCTTACAATGATCTGGTTAACTACAATAAGAAGTCCCCCCTTTTTTTTGTAATGAACACAATATCTTTGTTGTTGTTTTCTTCATGGGTACTATTGCTTATTTATTCTTCTTTTTTGTGTCTTACTTTGCTCTGTGCACTTGTTATTTTGTACTTTTTATTTTTCAATAAAGAATAAAAAAAACCCTAATGATTTTCCAAGTGCTCCAGTGAAAATCCAACCAACACTTTAAATCTGTTTGAATATATCATTGAAACAACATGTAGTGCACTTTATTGATTTTATTTCCTATTCAATTATTTCAGTAAAAACTTTTGGGTACTGGAAAAAAAAAATCCAATCCATATAGTGTACAAATGTGGCATACAATTATTATCATTATTTTAAAGTGTGAAATAAATATATGGTAGTTCAGATCCTTATCAATTTAAGGCAGCAGAAAACTTTCACGAAAATTTTACTGACGCAACGTTTTCTAGAACATCCACATCCCTGCTTGTGGATAAACGACATGTGGTACAGCAAGGTAACACAACAGACTTCAATCTCTCATTGCTACTAGGCATGAGGGCTATGTTCTACCTCCATTGTCAGAGGCAGCAGGTCTCTGAATGCCAGCTGCTGGAGAGAACAAGTGGGAGAGGGCTGTTGTGCTCATGTCCTGCATCTGGTTGAGATGGACTAGATGGGCCTTTGGTCTGATTCAGAAGGGCTACAGTGGTACCTCTGATTGCAAATGGGATCCATTCCAGAGGCCCATTCACAACATGAAAGGAATGCAACCCGCAGTGGCGCGTCTGCGCATGCGCGGGTTGCAATTTGCCACTTCTGCGCATGTCATTTTGCGCATCTGTGCATGTGCGAGCAGCGAAACCCGGAAGTAACCCTTTCCGCTACTTCCGGATCACCGCGGGACGTAACCTGAAAGAACGTAACATAAACCGGATGTAACATGAGGTATGACTTTATTATGTTCGTATGGTGTTCTTCCACTCTCTTTTTTCCCATTTCCTGCAAGGTAAGCCCTCTGGTGGTTAACATATGCCTGCAACATTTCCTGCGACAATTCTGCTTATTGCCACCTTTGGCATCCAGCTGAAACTGCTGTGATGCATCTTCAATTATCTACAGCCATCCTGGTCAGCAATACTATCCTCACACGTCTAGAGGGGTAGGCCTGTCCTTGCTTACTGACAGCCCCCTCTTTCAAAATAGCTACCAATCACTTTTAAAAACAACAAATATTTGCTTTGTTCATTCAGCAGAGGGAGCCTGAAGCAGCTCTTAAGACATGACAATAGTGTGATGCAGCATCAAAAAAAGATAACACTATTCTAGGCTGCCTCAACAGAAGTCTAGTGTCCAGATCAAAGGAAGTAATAGTACTACTCTACTCTGCCTTGGTCAAACCACACCTGGAGTACTGTGTCCAGTTCTGGGCACCACAATTTAAGAAGGCTGTTGACAAGCTGTAATTTGTGCAGAAGAGGACAACCAAGATGATCAAGTGTCTGGAAACTAAGTCTTATGAGGAACGCTTGAAGTAGCTGGGTATGTTTAGCCTGGAGGAGACTGAGAGGAGATATGATAGCCATCTTCAAATATCTGAAGTTCTGTCATATGGAAGAGGGAGCATGCTTGTTTTCTCTTGCTCTGGAGGGTAGAACTTGAGGCAATGGCTTCAAGTTACAAGAAAGGAGATTCTGACTAAACATTCGAAAAAACTTTCTGACAGTAAGAGCTGTTTGACAGTGGAACAGACTCACACGAGAGGTGGTGGACTCTCCTTCCTTGGAAGTTTTAAAGCAGAGATTGGATGACCATCTGTCACGGATACTTTAGCTGAGATTCCTGCATTGCAGGGGGTTGGACTAGATGACCCTTGGGCCCCTTCCTACTCTAAGATTCTATGCCTTAGTCTGCTTGGGAGTCACTCCTATTGTCAATGACACTTACTGTACCCTTCTAAACTAAATGTGAGTCCGGGAAGAATCATACAGTTGGGTAGGATACAGCTTGTCACAAGGTGATGGCAACTCAGAGTTTAAAGGCAGCCTATTGGATGTATTTGTTTTACTGAAGCATTAAAGATGTCTTCATGTAGTCGTTACTACAGAGAAATGTGATAGGTATATAGCCAATTGGTAATATGACCGGGATGTAATCATTATGGGACAGTTTCAGATAAACACTTAGGGATGAAAAATAAAAGCTTTGTTTTTGTTTGGAGGAAAGAAGCTATGAAAGTCCAGAGGTCTATTGGGAAGCATTGCTACAGAGAAGTTGGAGACAAGTCACTGCACAAACATTTTTCAAACTAGGGTCTCTGAAAAACTGTTGTTCTATCAAGTTGGTTATCATATTCAGAACAAAAAGAAGCAGACTGTGTCCACACATTCCTGCGCATTTGGGTCACTGTTTCTGTGTGCAGGTTTGTGTGCCTTTGTCCACACAGGAGTAGGTACTTTCAAAATCTATCTTGGTGCTTCCTGGGATGTATATTTGAAATACAAGTTTCCTAACATTCCAGATTTGCACAAAACTGTAAAAATATTTTTTAAGACCTCTGCTGTTCCAAGCCCAGCAAGGATTTGGAGTCACTCACATGAAAGGCTGCTGCTTCCTTTCCTCCCCTATTCCTTCACCGCCTCCTCTACTTGCAAGGGCAATTTTTATTTTTAATACAGCTGTTTTGTGCAAGATCTCTTCTGTGCAAAACAGATGTTTTAAAATTTCAAAAACAATGATACTGGGAGCATGCATCCTTCCATATCAGCTGATGGAAGCAAAATGGAAGTGGGTGGATGGTGGCAATAGATGGCACCAGAGAAACATGTCGAAGGCCCACCCACAAAATGTGCTCCAGGTGCATTCACAATCAGGAAACAAACAATTTTATATTGAAATTACTCTCCCATTTTGGCTTTCACCTTGATCATGAAAATCCAAGTTTAGCGTTGAAGAACCATAGGCTGTCAGTTGAATGGGGAGAACGTCATGTGGACAACGCCCCAAAACCAAGGCACATGCAGTTTCAAATCCACATTAAATTCCCATGCGGATGAGCCCCTAGAGTTGCTCTTTCAGGAGAAGGTGGATGGCTGGGCTAGCAGGAAGCACTGAAGAGAAGCTGGTGATGAAGATCACATAGCCTGAAAGAATTTGAAGGCACTGGCAAAAAGCAGATATTGAAATAAAATCAATTGGGCCATTAGGAGGCATGTGTAGATCCAAAAATGTCTTTTGAAACACCTTTCGTACAAAATAGCTAATTTCTGCTCATTTTGTACGAAATAGTGCATTTCAAAATAGCCAGCTGCTTCCCAAAATGGAAGGGACAAGACTCTAATACTTCAGTCTGCATTTGGCCAATGTCCATAAAATTAATGAAGGCTGAAAGATACGCTAGTAAGGCAAGTTGTATTAATGTTGCCAGAAGTGAAGGGACAGTGCCCTCTGCTGTATACCAAAAGGTCAGCACACCCATGAAAACATGGCCCTCCCAGGCCGTTCATAATTCCAAGAGTACAATATACAGCAGTTCTTTCTGGGCAGACTCTTGCTTTTCTTCTAGCTTGTTAATATATACTGTATTGCATTATTATTATTACACTGGAAAAAATTACTTTAGCTTTTGCTCTCTTTTTTTGAGCTGCTGTTCAGGATGGTGATTGCTACTTCATTATAGGCATCTATTTTCTCATTAGTGATCACTTTTCTGCTTTCACTCAGTATATCTGTAAGACCCAATAGACATCATTGCTCTTTTGCATTTTCATGATACTTCTAAATTGTACCTCTGTTACCTGAAGCACTGGTTTGGGAGAATGGTTTTATTTTGTAAAGATCAGTGTGACATGGAGCTATTGTTCTTCCTAGTAAACATCTGCCACTAGTTTGAGTTCACTTGGGGCTGCTTCACATGTTGTAGGCGTGATTTACAATTCTCCTTTATTGCTCTGATGCATGCAGTTCCTTCCAGTGTCAGCTCTGGCAGCCAAACCCTTAGTAAATTTCAGGTGTCAAGATATCACATAGCCCAGGGTTCTGTTACGTAGCAAGTGCTATGCAACAGAGTTATCAGTGGCACCTATGTTTTTTAACTGTACATGTTAAAAAAGGCAGCACATGTTTTAAACACAATTGGGTAGATACTTGCTACCCAAATGGCACTTCCACTCCACACCACTAGGGCTACCAGTACTGTACACTTTCAAAACTCCATTCCAGCCTTAATCTCTATTCCACACACCCCTCCCTCCTAGGTGCTTCCTGAAGAGGTTAACATTACCATGCTGCATGTCAGGACCAGATCATGGCTGCAAGTGACAGACTCCTCTTGCGATTGGCCAGTGCTTTGCCGCTTATTCAGTCCCAAGTTTGGACTGCAGTTGTAACCACATTTAGAACACACAGCATACAAATTTCTAATTTTGGGGTTAAGAATAATTATTCCAACTAATCTGCTAGATAACTAACAACATTAAAAAACATTTGAAAAATTACCAAAATGAGTTTTTTCTAAATATATAATTTGATCGTTTCCAGATAGTCTTTTATTTCCTGTTAAAATGCAACTTCACGCACCTTTTAGATCTATAACGATGCCCCTCCCTTATTAATTTTATACTGCAGTAGGTATATGATTCCCCCCCCAAAAAAAATCCCCATTCGATTGTATTGTTGGCAATAGGTATTTTCAGATACATGAAAACTTAATTTACAAGATGCTTATACATTATACAGAGATTTCACCATTCTATGTCGGAGCACCACAACACTCCGGTGTCAGTTGTTTAACATCCCCGCGGAGACGTGATGAGTTAAGGTTACCTGCTAAGGCTCAGACGCACCCGGGGCAGCGGGGTACATCTGCACCTTGTGCCCTCCCTGCACTGCTGGCAGCGGGTGGGGGATCCGCGAGAAGCAGAGACGGGCCTGCATAGGGGAGGCTTGCAGCGAGCAGAAAGGCGAATTGCTCAAGTTTGCAGCACCGCCGCGCTCGTCGGAGATGCTGTGGAACAACGCCGAGGGCTCCGGCTGAGGCTTTCCTGATGATTCCCTTTAAATGGGCCCTGGTGACCCCAAATGACCACCTTAGCCTCCCGTCGGAGTTGCAGACTCCGGCTCCGCCCCGGGCCACCCCCCGCTCCCGCCTCCGGAGAGACCGGGCCCGCTTCGGCCCCTCCGCCAGCTCCGCGCCTCTAGCCGGGAACACGCGCTCTCTGCCAGGGACGGCGCCTCCTCCAGCCGCTGGGGGGCGCGCTGCCCAGGCGCTGCCCGCTCCGGCGATGGCGGCGGAGGCTTCCCCCCGCGGGCAGGGGCCGGACGGGCCGCGCCGCCATATTGGCTGTTGTCCTGTCTGAAAGCAGCAGCAGCGGCGGCGGCGGCGGCGGCGTTAGCGGCGGCGGCGGGAGCAACAGCGGCGTTAGCGGCGGCGGCGAGAGCGCGGCAGCGTGGGGCGCGGGACGGGCATGACTCGCAGGCGGAATAAGGCGGTGGGCGCGGACGGGGCGCGGCGGGAGCGGGCGGGGGGAGCAGCCCCCCCAGAGCCGCCCGCGCCCCCCGCCGGGCCCGGCCTTCCAGAGACTCCCGAGGCGGCGGCGGCGGCGAGCAGTGCGGAGCAGGGCAGAGCCTCACAGGTACCGGGAGCGCGCGCCCACATCCCGCCCTGCATCCACACCCCTCTGCTGCCCTTAGACCGCTCGCCCCGCATCCATTTGCGGCGCGCGATCCACCCTTCACCCAGAAACCCCGACCGCACACGTCCGCCTGCACGCGGATCGCCCCGATCCATCCACCCGAGGTGCCCCCCGTTCGCCTCCCCCCACTCCCCGCCCCCGCCGACTGGGATCGCCCTCCTGGATGCGGCTCCCGCAGCACATTGCACGAGTGCCACCAGACATCCAGCAGCGGCACCCAGTGTGCGCCGTGCAGTCACCTCAAGATCCACCTTGAATCCAAGCTGTCTAGATCATGACCTAGGGTGTGTGTGGTGTGTGTGTGGCTCGCTCTCTCCCTATCCCCCCTTACACTGAAGCCACCTGCTTCCCCCACATCCAGCGCCCGTCAGGCCCAGATCCCCACCTCTGTTCATGTCAAGCCCTCGCTTCCTCTGCCCACCCTCTTGTTACATCCAGCACTCAAATCTACTCTAGTCCAACCACAAACAGACCCACATCCACAATCCTTATGTGCACTACTTACCGATGCCCCTTCAGTGTGCAGTGGCCACCTTTTTGCTTGCATGCAACAGTCGCTGAGCATTTATAGTCTACCCTAGCCTGCAGAAGGCTGCTAGACCAGGTCCCCTTCTCCTTTACTTAGGAAAGCCCCATTCCATATGTTCGACGCACCACCAATTCTATAGCTTTTGGTGCTGGAGCACCCATACATTCTGTGCTTGCTGCATCTTTTCAGGCTTCTTGTTGCATCTTCCTCAGATATAGAAAGACAGGCCTTCCCCCAAATACTAACTAGTACTTAGCATATGCAGCTTTATCGTCTGTTTGCATTTTGAGCATTTCCATTTCATTTGCTTCTCTTGTGGGGCTGAAAATTGAGTGGGGCCTTGCCCTGCGACCATGCTGTATCTTGTCCTTCAGATTGTGCCCGGGCCTGTTTTCAGATATATGCACGCATCCCTTCCCAGTAGGTAGGGGGTGGCAGCCAACTGAATCTTTGTGCAGTCTACATTTCTACTAAACAAGAAATCAGAGTAGGGAACTATTGTTGCTTGCTCAGATGAACTAGCACCATAGAATTGTAGAGTTGGAAGGGACCATGAGGGTCATCCAGTCCAACCCCCTGCAATGCAGGAATCAACAAATGGCCACTATCCAATGTTTCTTGCAAGAAGGCTGCTTTGGAAGGGTAAGGGCAGATGTGTGGACAGAGAACACATGAGACTAATGGCAGACAGCACTGACCAGTGTACACCACAGAAGGTCACTGTGTAAGTGATGCTCTGCCCTCCAAGAGGAATTGAGTTTCTCCAGCTGGATGTTGGTATTTGGGTGAATTTGCAGAGCTTTGCTGAGTTACTGTGGGACAATTGGACAGGAGCTGTGCTGCAAGCAGATTGCAGTTTGAGCCAAGGAAAGAGCTAGAACCTGGCATGGACAGAGGAGGATGTTCAAAATCCATTCCAGTGTGTCTCTTGGTCCTGAGTCTGCATAGGTAACATCTACCCTTATGGGCACTGGGGAAACTGCTCCTATCTCTGTACTGTTAGCCATGTACGCTGAGGTGGCAAATCCTCAGGACAGCTTTGTGTTAACTAAGGATTGTAGAATTAGCCTTCTGGGAAGCCAGGCTGCTGTTGGCAGACAGCAGACCTGCAGGAGACTCAGCCAGAGTTACACAGAGTATGTGGAAGTGGGGGCTTGTCTACAGACTGTGCCAGTCGGCAAGGCATTTTCAGCCTTTTTCAGGGGGCGGGGCAGGGAGAGAGCGCTCTTCTTGTTTGCACACCTGTTTTTTAGCCTGGCTAACGAGCCATTTGGTGGGTGAAGCGGGCACAGTGGCAAATTTGTCCCTGGATAGGATACAGTGCACCTAGACTGGCATGTGTCTGGCCCAGGATAAAAGAATCCCAAACTATCATCATACAGAGTTGCTAGCAAGTAAGCAAGCAAGTCACCAGTCGCAGGAGAGCAGTCAACGTTTTTTGTCCGATTGTGTCTCCTAGACTTTTGCATGCAGTGGGAATGATTAAGAGGTAGTTTCTCTCCATGAAAGTTTGTGTCTCATCTGCCCCGGTGCTCAAGTTATGGACAAAAAGGTACAGGGTCCCTAGTGAAAGTCATAAGCCCGCACCCCCAACTTTCCCTGCTTTTAAACACCACGCCTCTATGTAGCCTTTTCCCCCTCTCAGTTTTTAAACTTAAATTGATAAAATTATATCATTACAGTTTTAACAAAATTCATCCAATTCGTCTGTTACATCATACTTTGAATCCCTTTTTAGTTTTGTAAAAACTGGCTGAGGGGGTTAGCATCAAATAAAGAGAACTGGGGCCCCTCTAGACTGCCTGTAATTCAAGCATTGATCTGCCCCCTCCCCGCAAATATGCCAACTTCATTATTCAGAGATGAGAGGATTACAAATATCACATAAATGAGACCACAATAGACTATGATGTGCTATAGCAGGGTTGGGAATTGGTTGGGAGTGCTTCCCTTGCTGCTTATTAGAGCACGTATTCTCTACGGAGAACTGGGTTTAAGAGACTAGCACATAAGTGTGCAACAGATAAGTCAAGTCAGGGTGCAGCACAGCAGCTTTGAGAGTTGCCGGGTGGGGAGAGGAGTGCTGTTTGTCTGTCTTGTCCATACCAAGGATGGCCAACATCCATGCCATGTGAGATGCACAGGGCATAACTTCTTACCTCATGGCACTCCTCTCACATGCCTCTGAGACAGTGTTTCTCAAACTTTGGTCTCCAGCTGTTGTCGGACTACAACTCCCAACATCCCTAGCTAACAGGACCAGTGGTCAGGGCTGATTGGAGGTATAGTCCAACATCAGCTAGGGACCCAAGTTTGGGAAACACAACTCTAAGATACGGTGTGCTAATATGCTAGGGAGTCACTCTCGGCTTCTTGGTTTCCTTTGGTAGACGGACCTGTCACACTGAAACAAAGAACATGACTTTCCTAGCCTCACTTTTCACTTCGTAGATAGAAGAACAGCTCCCCTGGCCAAGATGCTGGGGTAAGGGGCAATAAGTTCATGACTGGGGACTGGGATCTGGTCCTTGAGCATCTCAGCCACTCCACCCCTTGAATCCACCCCTACCCCCACACTCAGTAACATGCTCATCTGTGTAGTTGCTCATCTTCCATAGTTGTGGAAGATGCACCTCGCAGCAGCCCTGCTATCTACACTTCCAAGGGTCTAATGCTAGCTATGACTTTCAAGGCAGAAAAGGCTTCCACGATCAACAGGTTCACGCAGAGGATATTTGAGCATCTTCAGGAGATAAGTACAGAAGTAGAAGCCAGTGGAAAAGACTTAGTGTTGGAACAGCTAGGTATAGGTTAATACAAAACTATTAGTTAAAACCCATTATGATGCACTGTAATCAGTTTCCTAATTATGTGATTTCTATGTTCCCGGTATTTGGGACACAAAATAGTAACTGGAAAGACCAGCTTGTTGCTGGCTTAAGAGCAATTGCTACAGTGGCTTGGACAGAGCTGTTACTCTTACTGTCCCAGTGTAATGAAGTGTGATGCAAACCTGCAGTGGAAACTTAAGCACAGAGCAGGCTTCCAAATCCAGTTTGGAGAGGTAGTCTGCGAACAAAGACCAAAAGACACTTTTAGTTGCATGTGGTGTCTGAAGTACCTATGTATTGCAAATAAATCAGAAAGCATTGTTGATAAATGAACAAAAAGCAGCAGCACCTCAATTCTGAGAGGAGTTACCGTTCCACAAAGCCACTTGCCTTTAGTTAAGACATGGGTTGGGGAGAAGAGAATCACTGAATCAAAAGTTCCATACTTTCTGCTTCTTAACTATATCTCACATATCCAGCCACAAAGCTTCAATCGACTGATATGGGAAACCTTGATGGAAACTCCAGAAGAGCTTTCTGGTATGTGTAGCTCTACTGCAGGTTAACCTAAGCTGCAGAAAGAGAAGGCTGAGGTGCTGAGCGCATTAGCATAGATTTGTGCCTATGCTGTCCTTTCCCTGCCTGAATCACAGAGCCTTTGTTCCAAGCATTAAATGAGGGTACATAAATAGTTCCAATTGGATATTATCCTAGCAAGTTTTGTTAGGAATATCATCTAGCTTTTATTTTGTGCTTTCAGGTGTTTAAACGAATTTACATTGTTTCATTTACTCTAGCAAGTGCTTATTCATCTAATCAGAGTCTAATGCTTGGAGCAAAGCAGAAATGTGGGGAATTGGAGAAGACAAACAGTAGGCAGCCTGTTACTTTAGGATGCTACAAGTGTTCTGCAAAAGGGACAGTGCAACTAGCTACATGCAAACGTTTCAGGATAGCTCTAGGGAGATTTTAGGATAGCTTTTCTGTTCTCTCTGTTGGTCCCTGCAGCTCAGCTAAAACTTCAAGTATGTGCATATGAATTGGGCGTATGCAGCTGTACACGTGCACACACTCTCCTTTACAGTTTGCAGGCTTCTGCAGCAAGCTGGAAACTGGCCAGCAGCAAACTGGAAGGCAATGGTTGCCATATACACCAAATGGGACAGATCTGCTATGCCTTAAAAAGCAGTGTGGCAAGAAGAATCCACAGGTGTATCTGCTTCCACTACCACACTAAGAAAAACAGTACCCAGTGATCATCTCTCTTTTATATAGCTTTTCAAGGCACCAGAGCCTGGAGCCTGCAGTTAAACCAACAGCCACACTTCAATACAATGAGGCAAGTTTCTCTTGTCCACTCATTTCTAAGCAATTAGGAATGTACTAGTGGAGTTGACCTTCACAGCACTTGTTCGGAAGCTGCATGGAGGCTAACTTACAATAGTCTAATTAAAGTAATTAAAAAGAAAGTTAGTCCTCCAAGCAAAAGCGACAGGGATGCTGCCAGGCAGCACACCAGAGCTAGTACTGTACAAGTTTTGCGAGACAGACTGCTAGTAGTAACGCCTCGGGTTCACAAAGTGAGATTTAGACTTGCCACAAACACTTAAGGCTGGGCAGGCATGCTGACATACTTGTCCATAAGTTGGTGTTGCTTAGCACAGCAGCCAGATTTCTTTAGCTTGACTATACAGAGTGCATTAAGATCTTCCCTGCCTTTGATGTTGACTTTTTGCACTTCTCAGTCACAACTGTCAGCGGTTAGATTCTATGATGCCACGAAAGATTGCCACAATAATCCAAGTGTATTGTTTAATGTTGTCTTTTTTGCTGCTGGTTTTTATTAGCAGTAGACTACCTAGGGACGCGGGTGGCGCTGTGGGTAAAACCTCAGCGCCTAGGACTTGCCGATCGCCAGGTCGGCGGTTCGAATCCCCACGATGGGGTGCGCGCCCGTTGCTCGGTCCCAGCGCCTGCCAACCTAGCAGTTCGAAAGCACCCCCGGGTGCAAGTAGATAAATAGGGACCGCTTACTAGCGGGAGGGTAAACGGCGTTTCCGTGTGCCGCGTTGGCTCGCCAGATGCAGCTTGTCACGCTGGCCACGTGACCCGGAAGTGTCTGCGGACAGCGCTGGCCCGCGGCCTCTTAAGTGAGATGGGCGCACAACCCTAGAGTCGGACACGACTGGCCCGTACGGGCAGGGGTACCTTTACCTTTACCTTTACCTAGAGGCTCACGGCAATTTCTGGAAAACTATGGAGTTGTCTTTATCCATCTCCTGGCTTCATTTCCCATTGTACCAAACCAGATCCTGTCCTTCCCATCTTGAGGTTGGGGTAGCCAGACAGAGTTTGAGAATGCAAACTAACAAAACTACTTAACAAACCTTCTTCTCCCCAGATTCAAGTACCAGTTGCAGTCTTGTTACCCAGGGCCATGATCCGGGGGTGCATTAACTGGAGTTATTTTTGTATGTTTCTTTTCAGCAGCTGTCACACTAAGTCAGTCTTGCAGTTAGCAACTGCCTCTTGGTGAACACCCAAATGGCCAACTGCTTGCTAGCCATAGCATATTGCACAAGATCGCCACAGTGCTGTGCTTAACACAAAGCCACCTGCTGGGAGCTGGATGTGTCCTTCTGCTCTCTAGCATTACAGACCCAGTGGCTCCAACACTAGAAGAGCAAGTACACATAATGTTCAAAGGCTTCACATTGTGACATTTTGCTTTGCAGAAGTTACGCCATGAAGGTGACACACTTACTCTTCCCTTCCTAGTGTTAGGAAGCTGTTGGTGCTCCAGTTCTGCTTTGACAGGATTCTAGGTGATCTTGCAATTAGATTTCTAGGAGCTCAGGAAGGTGCTGTATACAGAAGCAGACCATTGTCCCACCCAGCCCATTGTCCCATTATCCATACTGATGGCTCAGTTCTTCAGGGTTGCAGACAGCAGACACTTCCAGTCCTACCTGGAAATGTCAATGATTGAATCAGGGACCTTCTGCATGTAAACAAAAGCTCTACAACTGAGATACAATCCTTCTCAAAGTGTTGGTGCTGACCTTTAAAGCCCTAAACGGCCTTGGCCCAGTATATCTGAAGGAGAGTCTCCACCCCCATCGTTCAGCCCGGACTCCGAGGGCCTTCTGACAGTTCCCTCACTGCGAGAAGTGAGGTTACAGGTAACCAGGCAGAGCGCCTTCTCAGTAATGGCACCTGCCCTGTGGAATGCCCTCCCATCAGATGTCAAGGAAATAAACAACTATCTGACTGTTAGAAGGCATCTGAAGGCAGCCCTGTTTAGGGAAGTTTTTAATGTTTGAAGTTTTATTGTGTTTTTAATATTCTGTTGGGAGCCGCTGTGATACTGCCCAGAGTGGCTGGGGAAACACAGCCAGATGGGTGGGGTAAAAATAACAAAATATTATTATTATTATTATTATTATTATTATTCTCCAGAAGTAGCAGAAGACACAGGAAGCCAGAGCAAACAGTGAAAGACCCCAAGGTTTCTTTTCTGGAAAAAGAGGTGCCAGAACTTGTTGAGCTTTTTTTAAGGGAGAAACCATCAAAAGTTGTTGAACTTCTCACACCAGTCGCCTTGCTGCCTGCAGCCTCCATCATCACTCACCACAGAGTGCCGTGCTGCCCACAGCCGCTGGCGCTCGACCTCCAGTGACAGGTTGTCAGAACGCACCAAAGAAGTGCCGGAATTCGGTTCTGGTGAGTTCCAGCTGAAAAAATGCCCTGCCCATAGCAGTCACCTTTGTATAGCCACCCACTTATGTGACTGTGGAAAAATATCCCCTCACCAGGTCCCCTGTTTGTGGCTCAGCGAAGAGGATAGTTAGCTGCCTTTCCTGCCACTCAGTAGAAAAGGATATCTTGGTAGTTTACAGTGCTTTTTTTCAGCTGGAACTCACCGGAACTCAGTTTCAGCACCTCACAGTGCCGTTGCCATTATAAGAGAACGAGGGAGGCATTTGTGGTGAGTTTAGGCACCTCTTTTTCTAGTAAAATAGTTGGTACTTTGGTACTAGTGTGGTGGTTCTCAAAGGGTGTGGCAGGAGAGGATGGCAAGTGTGGTGGGAAGATTCAAGGACAATCAAAGAAACGTTCAAACATTTCAGTGTAGTATAGCATTAAAAAAAACAACCCAATTTTTAAACCATGGAATATGTAGCTGCATTGTTTTATATACCGGTACTTTCCGGATTTCTTATGTTCATATTATAAAGTAGTTGTGTTCTGTGTTATAAATCAAGCATTACTAGGAGTTGTTTCTTTTTGTTTTCTAATGTATTTCTTATCAGTAAAAAATTCATTGTGGCCCAGAGAAAAAAGTTTGCAAACCTCTGTACTAGTAAATACCCTTGGCAAGGACAAGAAAGGGTTTTGATGCATGCTCACCTCAGGAGCGTGTGCGAGGAAGGATCAGGCCATTCTGCTGCCACCTCTGCTTGTCTAGGCTGCAATGAGATGATGGCATGCTGCTGACTTAGCTGCTGAGCAACTAAGAGGCAGTGACAGGGATAAGTCAAAATCCTTACTACCATCTTTACTGACACTCCTGACTACTGGGAAAAGTTAGTGCTCCCAGTGCTGCATGCAGAACAACATCAATAAACTGCTGTATCCATAAGTTGTAGTTTGAGGTGAGGAGGCTGAGGGTTAAGAAGAGTAGACACCTCTGCTTTCCCTTCCCATATGCATGTGGTCAACTCTCTTACATCAGTAGGCCATGTGTACTTAGGAGCTGAGTAGCAAAGTTGCAGAGTAAGATACATGGATGCGTCTCTCCTTCTGCCCAGTTGCCAGAACACACTTGCTCTTTAGCATTGAGAGACTGTGCCCAACATTTTCTCTTCTCAGATTAAACGGCCACAGCCAGTAGCCTTTTAATGCACCGGAAGGGAGTTGGGGCAGAGCCAAACTTCTAAACTACTTTCTAAATTCAGTTTCAAAGAGCAGGTCAGGTGCAAGAATTCCTAGAAGGGGAACTAGCTCAGATATGCATGTACAAGTATCAGCAGCTCAGATACCAAGATGCTTCTGAAAGCTGTGGGAGTGTTTTGAAAGGCACAGCTCAGGTCCTCAGTTGATATACCAGCTGAAAGGGAGCCTCTCACACTTCTGGATTGAAGCCTAGGTTGGAAGAAATGACCCAGCCGTCAGAATTAGTACAAATATCTCTTCTCTGTCTACACTAAACATTCCATAGCAAGGTCTTAGCCCAGGCATGGCCAAACCTGGTCCTCAAGCTGTTTTGGGACTACAGTTCTCATCATCCCTGACCACTGGTCCTGTTAGCTAGGGATGATGGGAGTTGTAGTCCCAAAACAGCTGGAGGGCCAAGTTTGGCCATGCCTCTTAGCCTTTTGGTCTTTACATTACTCCCATTCATTTCTCTTTTAAAAAAAATCTGTTGATTGCTCACTTGTTTCAGAGGTCCTTTTGCAAAAAGGTGTGCAGCAAAATACTAGTAAGCTTTATTAGTTATGATTTCAGTGGCAAGGCTGAAATGGACTGGTTACAAACATTCTCCCAAAAGGGAGCTTTTATAGGATGTTCCTTCCTCCCCACCCCCAAGTTAGTCCTTGCTTTGAGAGGGTACCAAGAGAGCAGTTTAGGGACAGAGAGCCAAAAAGGGAGAGACTTGAATAGTGGCATTGGGAACAAACCAGTGAGTGCTGATTTGTTATCTGTGTTTGGACTGCTTGGATATTACACAGCAGGACTGGGACATATTATTTGTTAAATACAAGCTGGATTTCTTCCTGCATCTAACTCTTATCCTCTGTTTAGGCATTCCATACACTATGCTCAAATAAAGGCAAAAAGCTCACCTACTTCAGCAGCAAGCCACCCACCAGCTTGAGAGTCAGTTGGTCAGATTTTTAAAAACAAACAACCACCACCATCCCAATATTTAGACATTATATAACAGCAGTTGCCTGTGTGCCTATTGCTCTGACCCAAACAGATATATATTGTTCTGTGGTATAAGAAGGTAGGCTTTGCTCCTGTTTTCTGAAAATGTATACTCTGCTTCCAGGCAAGAGCTCTTCAAGACATCACAATAAAAGCTACAACATTTTTTAAAAATCAAATAATTAATTGTGTAGGGAGGTTATCTGCTGTATCAACTTCTGTTTCTACAGTTACTTCATACTTCTTTCACTGTTCTGTTTAGAGCTGTCAGCTAAACCAAAATGAATTTGGTGTGTCTGCTGTTTAACAACTTACATTTACACCACTTTGCATATTACTAAAACTGCAACAGAACTGCTTTTTTGAGACCTCGCCATGCAAAATATCCTACCATTTATTTCCTTGCTATACATCGGAACCCAAATGCCAAACTTGCTTTTAAATCACAGCACTACCAATTAAAACTTTCCCTTCATTAAAGTGGCTAAAGGTTTGGGCAATTGATTTATAGATTTAAAAGTTGTTGCCCTAATTCAAACAGATAGCTTTCTATCATGGAGTTTACCATAAGCCCTCACCCCTCTTTTCAGTTCCTCATTTTTCAAAAAGCAAATAAATCATCTATATGTCTTAGAGGGCAGCGCTGGACTCACAGAAGTGACTTTAAAAGAGAGCTTCTAACAGGATATCTACAGGTGAGGAGGGGAATCACAGTTCCAGCTTTAAGAAATGGGAAGATGAGATGCAGCTTATGTATCTCATCTTGAACAAGTGACTCTTCCAACAAGAAAGTCCCTCCTATCTGGGAAAACGAGTCCCTTACTAGTCAACCAAAGCTCCCTGGGGTAGCACACCTGAATATAAAAATATACTAACCAAGATGACCACAATACAAGAAGATTTCAGTTACTAGCTGTGAGCACACAAGGAAAATTTAATTTTGAAGCCTATAGGAAATGTATATCTAAAAACAGAAGTCAGAACTACCTGTGTTATTCAGCACACTCTCACTCTCCAATTACCTGAAGAGGATTCTCTAGGGACTCACCTGCTTAATATAGTCCTGAATGTTAGCAGGAAGAATAGCATAGGCTGGAACATGCTATAGTCTGGGTATGCTCAGAACTACATTTGTTTGAGCCATTTTCAAAGTTAAGAAGCCTCATAGTAGACAGAGGGGAATCACAGACACATCTAAAATTTGAAACTATGGGGAGGGTGGTAGTGGTGTTACCATTCAGCCAATCAGAAAGCACCCACCTTCTGTCTTTCCCTTCAGTATTATCCTAAAAGATGTCTGTCTGTTTCCCTTATAAAGCACCTGAGGATCTACTACGCATGCTCAGTACTGTAATTGTTTGCTGGTTGGATGCATGACCAAGGAGTGGGTGGAATTGAAACTATAAATACAACACTTCCTGGTTGGGGCTTTGGTTTTTATATGGTCCAATTAGTTTGGTATGTTCTGGGGAAATTCATTAACTAATGACTGAGTGGATTATTTTCTCTTAAACACTTTTCCTTGCTGTAGTTACTATTTTCTGAAAGTGCTTCTCCCCTTCCCCTAACATTTTTGGAAATACTTATTTTCTGTTTTAACTTTAAAGCTGGTAAAATTAAGTCAAGGTGTGTCTTTACAAATGTGGTTCTCCTTATCGCGGAGGGCATCTCCTTTTCGTACATTGTTCAGGTAAAACTTAGCAGTCCCAAACCAAACAAGTTTTATGGTGGTATCTCGATGTTGTAGTTGTTGTAGGTGTGTGATGTTTTGATAAAAACGCTTCCCTTGGGGTGGTCTTGATTCCCTGTTAAAAACGTTTGTGGGTAGCTTTGCACTCTGGTTATTTTTCTAGCTGTCACATTGTAAATTGGAGGCCTGCCTCAGAGTAGGCCAGGTCATTCCAAGGTAGCTATATCATGTTGCTCAACCCTTAATGTGCCACATGGTGCAGGTAGGGTTGGAATCCTTCGCAGAAGCTCTTGCCAGAAAGGTTGAGGTAATGTGTGTGGACTTTAAGTCAAAGATCTTGCTGGGCAGCCTCACTCAGCCTGGTGGCCCCCAGATTTTTGGACTGCAACTCCTATCATCCCTGATGATTAGTCATTCTGGTTGGGGTTTGATGGGAATTATGCTTCAAACATCTGGAGTAGGGGCAGGGAATTAGATCTGGCTGGCAGGCCTGATCTTTACCTCCCTCACCCAGTGACCCAGCTTTGACAGGTGAATATAGCTGCCTATATGTAAAGGTAAAGGACCCCTGGACAGTTAAGTCCAGTCAAAGGTGACTGGGGTTGCGGCGCTCATCTCGCTTTTAGGCTGAGGGAGTCGGTGTTTGTCCACAGACAGCTTTCCGGGCCATGTGGCCAGCATGACTAAACTGCTTCTGGCGCAACGGAACACCGTGACGGAAACCAGAGCGCACAGAAACACCGTTTACCTTCCCGCCGCAGCAGTACCTATTTATCTACTTGCACTGGTGTGCTTTCGAGCTGCTAGGTTGGCAGGAGCTGGGACAGAGCAACGGGAGCTCACCCCGTTGCCCGGATTAGCTGCTCAGTGGTTACAGCAAGCCTCTTTGAAGTCCGTTTCCATGTGTGGTTTGAATCAAAGTGATGCCTGCGAATGGAAAAATTCAGTGGCACTCTTAGGTCAGTACTGTCAGCAAGCCTTGCTTACCAAGGCACAATTGGGAGCACCCTTTAAGTTCCAGATTGTTCATTAGCTGTTGAGGTTTTACCTGGCCCACAACTGATGTCATATATGATGTTGGGTGGGTGTGGTTTGGGGAAAACTGCCTCACAAGCCAAACTAGAAACCCTGTCAGGCCTAATTAGTGCTTGCAGACCAGAGGTTCTCCACTACTGGTCTAGATCAGCCTTTCACAACCTTGGGTCGCCATATGTTGTTGGACTACAGCTCCCATCACCCCTGGTTAGCAGGACCAGTGGTCAGGGATGATGGGAGTTGTAGTCCAACAACATATGGCGACCCACGGTTGAGAAAGGCTGGTCTAGAGGTTAATACGTTGTAGATGAAATTTTAAATCTAGATTAGTATTAGTGAGGCTGCAATCTTATGCACACGTACATGGGAGTAAGCTCCATTGAACTAAGTGGGTCTTCTAAATACTTGTATATAGTACTGCATATGATATTGGACAGCAGCATGGTAGTTGTTGACCAAAAATGTCTGGAGCAGGAGCAGGAAAGATTCCTGGGTTCCTTCTCTGGATTCCTTCCTCTCCTCCCCTTGTGTGCTGTACTGGGGGTTCTCCTGAACCCCCCCCCATCCAATTTTGGGGCTTGGGAAAGTGAGAAAGGCATTGTGCTAGTAGAAGTCCTTGCACAGGTTTCCACTAGCAAGACTCAGTTGAACCCCACCTTTAGCCTCTCGTATTCCTGGTAATACCATTATCAAACTGAAACAGTAGCATGCTGCGATAGCATTTAATGCATGGTCTGAAAGAGAGACACTTGTAGATCAACCTAATTAGTAAAAAATAAATAAAATTGTTTGTGATTGTTTTCAGCATGAGTAAATCTTGTCTTCCCTACTCTTTGATGTGATTAGTAACATATGAAACTGCCTTTTTCTGACTTGGCCTATTGGTTCATCTCTCAGTATTGTCTACAGAGACTTGCAGTAGCTTTCCAGGGTTTCAGTGATAGGGTCCCCTCCACCAATTTGCCCCTCCAACAGCAAATTGTGCATGGTAGTTAAATATACGGTATCACTTCATTTAGACAGGTTGAACTGGTCTAGTGTGGAAGCAAGTACCCCGTTCTGATGTAGCCAAGCCATCGACACTGACAAGTCAGCTTTTCAGGGGAATAGGAGCAGAGATGACTGCTTAACAGAACAAGAAACTTGTCTTCTCTGACAATGCAGGGCACATGCTGCTTAGCCTACGATCTGCAGGATGAGCATGACCTTAGTGGGCTTTTGTTAGTGATTCATATCCTGGAGTGTGGTGTCAGTCACAGCGAGGTCAGCTTTCAAACCTCCTATTAGCAATAAAGAAGATCTACCACTGTGGCATTTCCCACATGCCTTAAGAAATATGGATTAAATATCTGAAGTCTGATCCATAGACCATAGTTCTTAAACATGCCACTATCCCTTTCTGCCCTCAGCAAACCTCTAAGGTGCACAAGGCTGCTGGAGAACATGTCCGGTCAGATGAGCAGCGATTTGAATCTGGGGTTGTGTCCAGATGTATGTGACCTTTGTGGCGAGCTTGCAGGGAAAGAGCACTCACTGTGGAGGGGGTCAAACAACTCATTCATACAAAGAATGCATGAGGGGGGTCACAGGGCTATGTGGGTTACACCTCCCCCTCCCCTGCTGGTGTGTCCAAAAGGTGGCCTGCCCCACTACTCAAGTCTTCTATACATGTGAAAAGAGAGTGACTCAGAATTCCCACTCATCTGAGGTAGTTCTACCTGTGTACATACTATGTGTAGTGACTCTTTAAATGCCTGCCATTTGTCCAGCCAGTGATGGCTGCAGGCTGGTGGACAGGACCCTGCTTTCTCCCTCAGAGCTTGAGGGTTTTACTTTTGAATGACTCTTAATGTATTGTGCCTTACATACAGACTTCTCTTCAAGATCCATCTCTGGGAGACCAGCTTAACCTGTTTCTGCAGAATGGCCATGGAGATTGATTGACTGATTCCTCTGATAGCACTGCCATTTCTTTCATTCACCCTTCAGTTTTCTTTTTTTAAAAAAACCCAAAATGAATAGAAAAAATAAAAAAGGAATTGATTGTTTTTATTCAGATTGGGCTCTGAATAAACATTCAAGTGACCGGACATAGTTAAGCTACAGTTTTTGAAAAAATATATTTAAAAGGCAGGCTGCCTGCCCGAAATGGGGAAGGGGTCAAAATGGAGTAGTGAATCAGAACTGAATTTACTGGTAAATGCATGTCGAAAGGGTTGGTTCAAGCCATGTGGAAACGAGCAGCTTGCCCTGATTTTGAAGTATGTCTGCACACAGCCTGGGTTCCCCATACTTAAGAGAACTTTCTACCTACGTATATTTCATGCGACCTCTGCCACCACGATGGGGAAACTCAGGAGTCAGTATTTGCTCAAGGTGATGCATTTTTGACGTAGGGTGCAATTTTCATGCGGGGACTCTTTCTAAGCAAGTGACTTCCTACGTGGAATAGCCCTGCAGGAGAATTAATCTGCACCAGACAGTTCATATCTGGATCAGACGCAAGACAAAACAAAGAGATAAGTGTTTGGCTGGTAATGTTCTCATCCGAAACCTCAGAAGAGGCGTAATGTTTAGAATTCAGGAGTGAGGAATCTGTGGCTCTCTAGAGTTGGAGTGCAACATTATTTGGAGGGCCACATGTTCCCCATCCCTGAGTTAAATTGACATGATGGGGCAGGGCCACATAGGCTCCAATGCGTTTTGACAGAGCAGCATGCTCACTAAAATGAGGGTGGAGGCAGTGGCGGAGCTTCATGCTTTGGCACCGGGGGGGGGGGTGGAGAGCAGATGGGGGTGGGGCTGGCATGTGTCCTGGGCAGGGGGGCAGCCGCGATGGCACCCTGCCGCGATTGCAGTGCCGGGGACGGGGCGCTCCCCCCGCACTCCTCTTCCTCCACCAGTGGGTGGAGGACACTGCTGGATGGGTGTAAAGTATCATCAGTGGGCAAAAGAAAAAAAGGGAGGGGCACTCACACACTTGCCTGTAGACTACTGATCAGAAGGAAGCAAGGAATGAGAGGGCAGTATCTCCTAACTCAACCTCAGCACTCAAAACAAAGGCTGGATAGGATGAGAGAGAAGCTCTTGCTTCTTTAGGAAGGCCTACTTAAGTTTGTAGAACTATCATGGTTGTGGCACTTGTGGCTGGAAGCTGAAGCAGGGATAGGTGAGGGTCAGGGCTGGCTCAAGACATTTTGCTGCCTGAGGTAGAGGACCAGCTGGTGCCCTCCCCCAACCAACCAGTCAGTCAGTCATTTTATTCATATGCCACCTTTCCAAGGTTAAAACCATGCTCAAGGCTGCTTACAATTTATTTTAAAAATGACATAACTGCAAATGTAATGCAAGTAATCCTAAATAATAAACAAAATGTCAAGAAGTTCACAACCAAATTGAACAATTTACACATAAATCTTAAGATACAAAATACAAGATACAAGAAGGTAACAACAACAACAGAAAAAAACAACCCACAAAACCCCCTAAACTATGGCCCAGCTGCAAGGCACATACAGAAGCCAATTGGACTGGCATTTGAAATTTACTCCAATACTGATGAACAGGATCTTCCACTGTACTTGAGGGCAGCAGGCTAGCAGGATGGGCCACATGGCACACACAGCTCTGCCCACTCCTTGTATCTCAGTATCTGCCGCCTGAGGCAGTTGCCTCTCCCTGCCTCATTGCAGAGCTGGCCCTGGTGAGGGTTGCTGTAGGTGTGTGAAGTAGAGGTGGTGGTGGTAGGGAGCTTATGACAAACTCGGGGACGTGTTTGCTAAGTCCAGAAGCAGCAGCAACAGGCGAAATGGATACATTTCAGGGATCCCGGTAATAGATACTGCTTAAGCAGTAGATATATTTTTCATTACGGTGTGGGTTGGATAGCTGAAAGTAAATACCTTTGTTTGCATTTACTCTTAAGTGACATCAGGAGTTGTGGAAATAACGAGTGCTGTTTCTTATACCCAAGGAGTTACTTCTTCCATCAACAATATTGAAATTTGTTCCAGAAAGTTTGGAATTTCCAAACAGGCATGACAAGGATTGGAGTCCTGTGTTCTGAATCTGTCTCTTGCTGTGTCAGTCCTCCTTTTGAGAACCTCACTCCTTGATAGGGATTTCCAGGGAACAAAGGTGTGGTGAGAAGAGGCTTGCCTAGGGAACAAAGATGAGTGTGTTTTAAGGAGATGTTTGTCTGCCTTGCAGTGTTTAATTTAGGAGGTGAAATCAACATCTGATGATTTCCGGTGATAGGTGCATATTCTAGGATTAAAAACGACAACTGTCATTTAAGAGAAGAGTTAAGGCATTTATGAATTCACTCAGGCACCAAAAAGCATGAAAACAGTAAGTTAAGGCAACAGCCTTAGCTTCTCTGCCATGGAAGTGGTAAAAACCTATGTATTACTTTAGCCTTTGCCAACCCAATGCCTTCCAGATGTTTTGGACGGTGACTGGCTTAAGTTGATGGGAGCTGCAGTCTAAAACATAGGTAGGTACAGTCTGTGCCCATTTACAACTTAGCGTCTGTGCACACAAATTTTATCTTGGTTTTTCAGCCCAAATCCTCTATTTATATCGGTTGGGAGAACTCTGAAGCTGGGAAGCTGGTCTTTAGTTAGATATATAGTTTTACATTCTAAGGGTTGTATCCAACAAAATCAATGTGCAAGCAGAAGAGATTTGGTAAACACAATGAAATACCCCCCCTCCCCGCCGACTGTCAGTTCCCTAAATCTGTTCTGGTTCTTCCCTCCAACTCTCCAGCGCAGATTTGGAGGAGAGTAGAGAAGTTCCAGTGCACTTGCAGAAGTCATTCCATGCATGTAATGATTTAGTTGGATATAACCCTAAATTTTTGATTTGCTTACCTTAAGCTGTAAAGTACAAACTGTACATGTTGAACTGAAAGCAAAACCTGCAGAGTAGCTATCAAAACTGATCAGGATATCAGACTTCCACTTTTGCTTTGCTCTTCTTCTGAATTCTAAAGACTTACAAAGCAATCCAAAGTGGGTGGGAGAGAGAAGATCAAAGGTGAAGGAACCGCTGGGCTTCTACCAGCAGAATGGAAGGGGTGGGGGCTGTGAGCTAAGCCCCAGGAGTGCAGTCTAATGGAGTTGGGGCACCTTTTCTCTTGATATACACACACACATGCACACATGTGCTGGAGCACGTAATAATCAAACTTTCATAGCAACACACCACACACAGGAATAAGCAGGAGCATGCCATGAGTAGGCATGTGCAAGGGTATGCCATATGCAGGCATGCACAAACAGATGCAGTAGCCCATTGCACAAGCAGCACACCACTTTTGAACATGCACGGCAGCACAATGTCGCACTCAGAGCAGCTAGAAATGCACACTGCTCCAACCTGTTCCCTCTGGCAGCAACCCTTTTCCTCTGGGGAAGCAGGTTCAACCAGGGGAACTTCAGTCTGCCCAACAGATCCATTTTGTCATACTTGCCCTTAGTTAAATTGTTTATTTAAAACGGGAACTTTGAACTGTCATAACTTTAGGAATACTTAACAGACTTTCACCAAAACAGCAATTTGGTTTTCTCGCTTACGTGAAAGGGGAAATTTTTAGGTATGCTTTGAGAAAAGGGGTGTGCAAAAACAGGACACAATTAAACTGCTATCACACATTGGCATTCTTAGATTTCCAGTGCCAGATTTCCTCCTGATAAGATAATTTGTCTTCATTCTGATGAATAGCATTTTCTGGTTTTATGATGAAAGAATGCAGAAAAAGAACCTCACCTTAAACTATAGTGCCATGGGATTGGTAATTAATATTCTCTCACATACGCTGACAAGTTGTTGCTGATTGGACTCTCCCCCTCAGGGGTGTGTCTGATTTTCTGGGCATGCTCTGAGGCTGCCAGCCCACATCCTGCTGTGGAACTACTCCTTTGTCACTTTCCTCCGTCACCCCTGCCCCCGAGCACACCTGTTCCTGCGGTGATTGTGAGAAGGGAAGGCCGGTTCTCCTTCTGTCTCTTCCTCGTGCTGCACCCTTTGCCCCTTTGGGCTTTGTCTCACCTTGAGTCTGAGAACGACCATCTGCTTTGCAGCAGCAGTCAGATGCACGGCCCATTGTCCCGGGCTCCTCAGTCGGTGGGGAAACAATGCGACCCTGCCCCTAACCCTTCATGCCTGTCACCATCTCTAAGCAGTGCCGAGGCCGATTTGTCGCTTGGCTTCCGCCCCGGAGCCAGACAGGAAGCTGAAGGCCTTGTGTGGGAAGAATGAAAGGAGCAGCCAGGAGAAGGTTTCTGCCTTATGTGTTGCAGCTGTTCCTCCGTCTTCAGCTGCACAGGAGCAAGGGGGAGCAGGCTGCCTGTCTTCTGGGCCCACAGGGCCTTGGGATAGTGCTGGGAGCATTGGGTGGGGGAAGCAGTGTCCTGTGCTGAGGCAGGAGTTGTGAGTTGGGGGACAACTGCGGGTGGGAGAATAAAAGGGACAGAGACAACTGGGATACAAATCAGGCACCTTTGTGACTCTCCCACAGAAACACACACCCTTCTGCCATCACAGACTATTCATTCCCTCTCCTCCTGCCCCGGATCTGCCACTCTGCTGGTGTGCTTAGGTCTGAGGTCGCTTAGTGTGAACAGTATTGTAGTAATAGCAGAGTTAGGCAGGAAGCACTAGAAAATCTTTTCTGGGAGCACCCAACTGCCGGCTGTCTGGATGGCCTGTTTGCCCACAGGTTTGCAAGAGCTCTGTGGGAAAACCATGGCATGACAAAAGTATTGCCCTAATCCGGATTTGGGGATTTTCCTAAGCATATCCTGTCGTCATAGCGCATGGCACAGTGCTCCCCAGGCTCATGTTCCCCGTGAGCAACCCTCACTTTCTGTGTGTTTGCCCTGCTGCAGGTGCTGCCCACCTCCAACCAGTCGGTGCAGACGTGCTGCTTGCTGTGCCACCGGGAGCGTAAAGATTGGGGAGGGCCATCCCACAATGGGCTGATATCTCCGGGCGAGCGGCTGCCTCCGGATTTTGTACCGACGCTGGTGCAGAACCTGCTGGGAGAGATGCCGCTGTGGATCTGCCAGAGCTGCAGGCAGAGCGTGGAAGAGGAAGAAAGGAGGGCAGTCCAGGAGCAGGCGCTGGCGGTAAGCATTTAACCCCACCAGAACACACGCCATCACTCACTCCGGGACAAATGTTCTTGGGTCAAGGAGGGTTAACTGCTGTGAAGCCAGCAGTCTACATAAAAGGCCTTCCTGGATTGGTCAAGCTGCACACCCTTGACCACTGTCGGATGGCTGTGTTATGTTCTGGGACCCTAACTGCTCCCAGCTCTAGGCTGTGGAACTTGCCAGCTTTGGCTTGAGTGAATGCATTGCCTACAACAACAGGGCCTTGACTCTCTTCTTTCTTGTCACTGTCATCATTTGCGGTGGTGGGAAAGGGAATGAGAGTAGAGGTAAGACTAGACAAGCCTGTCTCCTCACCGAGAGTCTGCGTCCTCCTGGGCAAGTGCCATGGTGGGTCCAGGACAAGAATTGGTTGGAGCAAAGGTTAGTCCAATGTTACTATTCCTCACAGATCAGCCATGAGCTTACCCTTCCAAGCAGACGCGTTGCATTGGATTTGTAGTCTGAGCCGCCCGTTCTCTTCCCAGGTCTCGCTGTCGCATACGGCCTGCAAGTCACAGTCCTGCGGGGCAGGCTCCCACTCCTCTTCGTCTTCGTCATCTTCATCCTCGTGCCACGGGAACTCGGGAGACTGGGACCCCAGCTCCTTCCTGTCTGCACACAAGCTCTCGGGGCTCTGGAACTCCCAGCATGCCAATGGGGCAGCTCAAGGGAGCTCCCTGGGGGGAACACCTGTTGTACCAGGTAAGTTCATGTTGCCCCTGGGCCAGTGATGCTCTTCTCCCTTCTAGATGCGGGGTTCTCCCAACAGCTTCTTTATGGAGGCTATGCCAGTAGTCATTGGGAGGGGGCGTGGCAATTGCTTAACTGTGTGAGGAAGTGCTAGCGTCTGGCAACCTATATCAATACATTTTGTCAGAGAAGGGATGGCCATACACAAGCCTGTCTTGCTCTTCTCCTGAGGGAGAGCAATTCTTTATATGAAGGCCCCTGCTTACTGAGGTCTTCCCACCAGAGGCCTTTTGCAATCTCCATGGTCCAGATGAGGTGCCACAAGTGGGGAGGTGAGTGAGGGGCCTGGAGAGCAGCCAGCTCCATCTCTGACTCCATTTCAGGTGACAAGCACCCCGGCCTCCCTCCGGAGTGTGCCAGCCAGGCCCCTGCTGTGGGAGGTGGGCTCAAAGCCTGCCCTTACAGCCACGCGCTCTCCCCAGCTCCCAGCGGCACCCCAGGCTCGCCTCTGCCTACCTCACTCGACTTCTGCAAAACTCTTCCCAAGCAGTTCAAGAGCATGTGCCGGAGACCCACCCCGCCAGGTCTGTATGGGCGGGGCCTGGGGAAGGCCAGCTGACCACATCCGCAGGGCAAAAGTGGCACCACATTGCTGGGCTCACTACTGTGGAATCTTGCCTCCTCTTGGGGCCAGCCCCTTAGGGCCCATCCTTGGGCTGAGTGAGACCTTAGCACGACCCCAAAGGGCAAGGGTTGCCCCCCTTTCCCCTTCTGAGAGCTGTGGGTTTAAAATGTTAAACATGTCATACGTGTGGCCAAACACCCTAGCATGTTTTGAGGAAACATGTTATGTTGCAAGCCCTGGTACATTGGAAAGTACTTTGGAAAGTACCACAGCTGCAGGGAAGCTTCTAGCTGAGAAAATGATTACCAGGTTGGGTTGGCTTGAGCGGCATGCCTGGGTGTATGGCCATAGAGCCTTGGAGGTATTATGGGAGGGGCAATACTTCTGGGCAAGAACTTGTGGTGCAGAGGTCTCCATGGTGGGGAAGCTTAGCACCTGTGGAATATTTTGCCCCTTATAGTAGTGTGTGAAAAGTCTGCCGTCCAGGCTTGGATCTAATAGCTCTCCCTTTTCCATCTGGCTGCAGGAGAGGCCTTCCACTCCTCGGAGCACCACCGGCATGTGGACCTCACTGCTCCACCCAACAGCCCCACAGGCCTCCCCTCGCAGCCGCCGGCACTCCTCCCGACAAAGCAGATGCCTGCCCACCCTGGGCCCTTCAGCTCCCCTCCTCACGTCCACCTGAGCTCCTCACCGCAGGCGGCCCCCTTCCCTGCGCCAGCCCTCAGTCCACACACACCGGTGCCCAAGCCAGGAGCAGACTCCCCTCCCACTGGATCTTGCAAGAGCCCACACCTGCCAACTGCCAATGTGCCACTGCTGAAGATACCGCCTCCTGTAGGCTGCACTCATCCATGCAACGGCCATTGCAGCGGCTCCTTGGGTCCTCCGACTGCCTCGCATCAACTGCCCAGCACCAACAGGTGAGTGGAGCCCTGGGCATAGGGTTGCTGATAGGAATGTGCCCAGCACCTTCCTGCGGTAATTTGCCACTTGGCAGAAGTCATCCTTGTGGCGTGCATTTTAGGATAGCAGCCTAAGGACCATTATCTCTGCTCAGTGTGAGTGAACCATTTGAAACTCCAGGCAGGTGGATAGACTAGGGGTACCTCTACAGTGTCACTATTTTGCGGGGGAGGAATTTAAGTGCATACTGGAACTGCAGGATGGCAAAATTAAAGTTGATTAAAGCTTTCTGTTGGTCTAGTCCAAGGTTTCTCAAACTTGGGTCCCCGGCTGTTGTTGGATTACAACTCTCATCATCACTAGCTAGCAGGACCATTGGCCAGGGGTGATGGGAGTTGTAGTCCAACAACTGCTGGAGACTCAAGTTTGGGAAATCCTGGACTAGTTAGTGCAGTAGATCCACCTTCAAAAAAGTGGACGTTTTGCGCCTTGGAAATGACAGGAAAATGTGAAAAGTATGAGATGGAGGAGAGATTATTGGGAGGATGTGTAGGCATCCTGCAAACAAATTCAGGATGAATGCAGGACAATTGCTTGTTGTCATGTAACTGCTCTGCAAACAAATAACAATGAGCCTAATTGCCCTGTATACTTCGTGCAAGCAAATGAAGGTGAATGCTGAATTAACAGGACTTCTGGAGAAGCCCTCTTTTCACCTGTGTTGTCTAGGCAGCTGAATGGGCAACTTGGTCTTCTTTCCCTGCTGTGTTCTCTCCAGCTCCCAAAGGAGGCTTGTGTTCAATCCTGTCCTAAAAAATTGAAACCAGACGCAGTCTGTGACTTCTGCGCCTGAGGGGATTGCTGTTACAGTAGGGATGGCTTGAGCATTTGCTTGTCTAGATTTAGTGATGCTTACCATGAACCATTTGGAGAGAGGGCCTGTCCAACCTGCTGGGACCAGTGCATGAGGCAGGGTTTTATTTAAGCTCTTAGAAGTGCCAGCTCTGGATAATGTTATTTTGGGCATAGCTATCCCGCCATTGTTGGAGCTTCACTTGCACTGTTAAGAGTCAGTGCTGGCATAACATTTTTATTTCCGTAAAAAAAAATATAAATGAAAAAAGTTACACTAGAATGCAAACTCCATGTAGTTTTAGAACGAAAGAGCTATGAATGAGAGCGGGCAGGAATCTCTCACACTCATGGATCTATCCTACAGAGTCCACAAGCCTTTTGTATTCCGTTGAAACTTTTTTCATGAATATTTTGCCATGAAGGAAAAAGTTACCGTTTTTTTCACTCTATAAGACGCACCAGACCACAAGACGCACCTAGTTTTTGGAGGAGAAAAACAAGAAAAGAAAAAATTCTGAATCTCAGAAGCCAGAACAGCAAGAGGGATCGCTGCGCAGTGAAAGCAGCAATCCCTCTTGCTGTTCTGGCTTCTGTGATAGCTGTGCAGCCTGCATTCGCCCCATAAGGCACACACACATTTCCCCTTACTTTTTAGGAGGGAAAAAGTGAGTCTTATAGAGCAAAAAATACGGTATTTCAGAACCTGTTGTTAAGTGTTGCAAAGTAATATTATTGGCCTTCTCTGAAGATGGGGGTGCTGGAGCGCTGCAGGGTTTGATCCCTATTTTCCATTGTGTTTGCCATTTTTTAGCCATATTACAGCCTCTTTTTAATTCTTAGCCCTGCAGCATTTCAGCATCAGAACTGATCAGATTTCTGTGTTGATGCTGCCCTTTCATACCCTTCTGCTTTCTCAGGCTTAAACCCCACCCCACCCCCACTCGCAGCGCGCGCACACACACACATACATACATACATACATACACACACACACCCCAAGTTCAATCTTCAGGCCTCTGCAGGGTTGAGGAGAGGATGAAGCATTTTGTTTTGTTTGGTTAAATCATTTGTGCTGCATGTTTTCATGCAAGTGTCCAAGATGACTCTCAACAATAAATATATAAGCCCTTATCAAGCCAAAAAATAAGCAAACAGTAAAAAAACAAAACCCTAGTCTGGTACCTAAACGGAAACAAGAACTGTTGTCAAACATTTCATTATTGTAACCAGAATATTTATTTTATGTTTTTTTATTTCACAGAATGTACACTTGATTGTAAGAAAAAACCTCAAAAAATAGAAGTTACTTATAAATGGAAGTGAACATGAGGCCCACAGATAAAAGATTGGCTGAATAAGGTTTAGAACACATTGTACATGGTTAAATGGACTCACCTAGAATAATCCCAAGAAGGACAAAAACAGTTGCTTAATACAATAAATTTGGAATTCCATAATTGGAATTCCAAACTATACATTTTCAGGAAAATATACCCAGTGATAGTTCTGGGGTTTTTTGTGTTGTTTTTTTTTAATGTACGTAATAATGAAACCTGCTTATTACTGAGGGCTGAGTAATTTTACATATGCTATATATGTAAGATACACAACCTACATAGGTATAGACTCAGTAAAGAGCTTTAAAACCTTTTTTTTTCCTTTTCAAAAAAGGCAAACTGCAGAAACATTCATAATCTGTCAGTGGAGGCCCAGGGAAGAGAAGATTGCTTTCATTCCAATGCCAGGTGAAAGCCCCGTTGGGGAGTGAGCTCCAAAGATGGGGTGTTCCAACAACAGAAAATCCCCTTTCTCTAACAGTCTACCTGCTTGGTCCTCTCAAAGGCAGTGACATAGAACAGGGTCTGTACAGATGAACTCGGTCAGGCATTTTGCTCACAGACTACCTAGGGCTTTGTAGATCAAAAGCAGTGCTTTGACTTGAGCTTGGAGGCCAATTCAGCCCATCTGTCTGGCCTGCTTCTCACCTGCCTGCTCTTCCTTCCTCTTGCAGGGACCCTTCCTGCAAAGGCCACAAGTTCCCCAACGGTACAAGCTGCCACGCACCACAGTCCTGCGAGGCAGACGAGGGGCTTGGCGAGGACGAGGACAGCAGCTCCGAGCGCAGCTCCTGCACCTCGTCCTCCACAACCCAGAAAGATGGGAAGTTCTGCGACTGCTGCTACTGTGAGTTCTTCGGCCACAACGCGGTAAGTAGAATCAGAGTCAGCAGCATCCATGACCTTCACTCACAGACTTGTTTCTATGTGGGCGGCTTGGAAAAACACCATGTTGACAATACACCCATGGCATGCATCATTGCTCATCTCTCTTGGCCTTGGTAGCCTTGAGATTAGCTTCTCTCTCCACCCCCAAATCCCAGTATTCTAGCCTTGGACTTCCACACAGTTCTCTCAACCCTGTCATTTCCTTTCGTTCCTGTCCTGAGCTGCTGGAATAAAGCCCTGCTGTTGCATCTTGCATTCAGCTGTTCCAGCTTTGGGGCCTCTGTAGTGTCAGTGGTTACGTGGATGGAACTAGCTGTGGATCTCAGCTCAGCCTTGGACCTAGCAGAGGGGAGAGAGAGCAGGAAAGCACATGGTTTCTGTCAGTGGCAGTTGTAGAGCAGTAACCATCTCCTGCACCCGCAGCAGACCAATAGTCCAACTCTATCCGCAGCCTCCGGCCGCCCCCACGAGCCGGAACTATGCCGAGATCCGGGAGAAGCTGCGCTCCCGGCTGACCAAGAGAAAAGAGGAGCTCCCTCAAAAGCTGGGGCACAGCAGCAGCTCGGGAGAGCCGGCGGTCGATCACCGGGACGTGGATGAGCTCCTGGACTACATCAACAGCACAGAGCCGAAGCCCCTGAACAGTGCCAAGGCTGCCAAGCGTGCACGTCACAAGCAGAAGAAGAAGGTGGGCTGGGTGTGCGTGCGTGGATGAGTGTGCAAAAGAGAGCGTACGCTGGCCCACAGCTTCTTGGAGATTGAATGTGAAGGGGAAGAGGGTAAGGATCATTTCAGAATCCTGATAGAATGAGTCCATAGATTAGGGGGAATAGTTTAAATCCTGGCCCTAGCTAGGGATGGAAATGGGATAGAACTTGCTTAGAAACTAATCTGAATTTTTATAGCATGTCCGTTCTTCATAGAAGTGGGGCAGTTATGCCTCAGTCCCCAGTTGTGTATGCGTTTGGGTGGGCAGATGACTGTAGATAAGAGTTCAGCAGAAAGGAGGATGAACTATTTGACAAATATCTGTCGCTTCCCCATGTCGACTTTTGACATATTTTCATAATTGATACAGACTCCAAAATGATTAGTGGCATAATAAGATCACAAGCTGTTTTCTTTCTTTCTTTCTTGCAAATAGATACTGCAGTTTCACCCTCATCTAAGTATTGCTAATGAGTGTTGTGAGTACCTCTGGGCCTGATCTGAGCCATATGAAACAGGACTCTCCCTCCAGTATATCCACACGTGAACATGCCAAGCAGCTAGTTTGGGTTCTTTTGTGAAGGGATTCATTCTGGAGCTTGTCTATGCTATAGGGGGATTCCTGAACATATGAAACTGTGTTATGCAGAATCAGACCACTGGTCCACCTAGCCCTGCAGTCACTGCTCTGACTTGCAGTGGTTTTCCAAAGTCTTATGCTGATGTCTTTCCCATCCTTGTTAACTTTTTAAATAGACATTTTGGGAACATTCTGCATGCACAGTCTGTGCTGTGTATGCTGCAAGAACACTTCATTGACGTTTACTCGAAGGGTGCCGACTTGGCTGTTAACCTGTATGAACACTCCTTGACTACTTAGTATGTTTCAGTAATGCTGTTTTGCCTGGCATTTCATGTTATTCACAAGTTGCTATGTATCTGCAAGGAACTCAGTTTCCCTACTACCTTTGCAAACAGGAGATGTGATCTCTTTCACAGAGAGATGAAAGAGGTGAATTTAAGCTCTCTCTCCTCAGATTCACATGCACTTTTTATCACGCCTGATTCTCATTCTCTCTCTCTCTCTCTCTCTCTCTCTCACACACACACACACACACACAGTGCAAACTAGTCAGAAGTTGAAGTGAATTAAGGTTGCTTCTACAATTGTTGTTGTTGTTATATCACATTATATTCCACCTTATTCTCCAAGGAGCTCAAGGTGGCATGTACATGGTCCTCCCACATCCTCATTTAACCCCCACAACAACCCTGTGAGGTAGGTTAGGCTGAGAGAAGGCAATGACTGGCCCAAGGTCACCACCCAGCGAGAGCTTCATGGCCGAGTGGGGATTTGAACCCTGGTCTCTCCCAGATCCTAACCATCATGCCACACTGGCTCTCTCACGCTGGGTTATTGACTGAGGATGCCTGGTCAGTGAAATGGGCCCCTTCAGTCTTTCTCTCTTGTCTTCTTCAGTTGCTGCTGAGCTGGGGCAGGCAGTGTGAAAATGTAACCGTGTTTCTCTGCTTGCAACCTTCCAGCCCCACACCCGCCCCAAATGCTCCAGCGCCACATGAACTAAGTTTAGGACCTGAGGTATAGCAACCTTTCTGGAGCTTGTACACACAGGGAAATGGCTGTGGGAAATTGCTGGCAGCGCATCTGTTCCTTAAGGTTTGTTACCATAGCACAGGCTTTGTGTATGCCAGTTCCCAGTGCCAATTCCCAAGTGCACGGTGGTTTGCCGTAGTCCCCGTGCAGCTGCATAGAAGTAGTTACTGTCAGCAGCTGAGAAGCAGGGGCCTCTTCAGCCAGCCAGCCGGAGTTTGGCTGCCATCCTCACCACAGTCCCTCTTCTCAGTTGCCAGTAGGAATACTAGAACGACTCGAGTTCATGTTGCTAACTTCTGGACTTTCAGGAGAAGGAGAAGGCCCAGCTGGAGGCGGAGGCCCAGAAGCGAGTGGACCGGACCCCACCTACGGGTCAGGACCAGGAGCTGGCTGAAGAGAAGCTTCTGGAGTGGCCCCAGCTAGAACTGGAGCGAGTGAACAATTTCCTGAGCAGCCGACTGCAGGAGATCAAGAACACCATCAAGGACTCCATCCGTGCCAGCTTCAATGTCTACGACCTCAACCTGGACGTCAACGACTTCCCAAAGAAGGCAGCCGTGCTGGAGCAGAAGAACCTGCTCTCCCACCTCAACGGCTCCTCGGAGCTGCAGGAGATTGACCTCGACCTGTCTCCGCTTAGCCTGGGCACGCCACACAACCACACGTTGCTGCGGAGCGAGGTGGCCTCCCGATGGGTAGAGAGCCCAGGCGAGGTGCCACCCCCGCCGCCCCCGGCTTGTGAGAACGGCGTGGTGAAGCGACTCAACGCCGTCCCCAACCTCTCACGCATGATCTGGGTCCAGTCCCCCAAGCCAACAGACTCTCCCCTGGAGAGTGGGGCCGGCCACGAGTCCAAGGAGGCGACCCCGGGCAGGGGAGTGGAGCCGCAGGAGCAAGCGCCCGCCACTGGGAAGCAGAGGAAGGGCAAGCGGCAGAGCTGCCCGGCCAAGAAAGGGGAGGCTCTCGCTTTGAGCAGTGAGGCTTCCGGCTCCAAGGGGGTGGGGCAGAAGAACCCCCCTAAGGGTACGGCTCCCGAAGCCCCGAGAGGAAGCAGCGTGGAGCACGGCGATGGGGCCAGAGGGCTGCGGCAGGGGCAGGGCTGGGGTTGTGGCGGCTCTAAGGTGGACAAAGAGAAGAGTGCGGAGGGCAGGAGCCGGAGAGGGGAAGGCAGAACCGACCAGGCCGAGCAGGAGCCTGTTTCCTTGGGGACTGGTGAGCGGCATCTGCCCCATACAACTGCGCCAGATGACTTGCCCCAGCCAAAGGGCAAAGGCAAGAAGAGTAGGAACAAAATGGAGAAAGCGAACCCTTCCATTGGTGAGTATGTGGAAGGCTTTTCCTGTATTTGGGCTGTTATTTCTGCTCTCTGGCTTTTTCACAAAAATAGAGAGTTGGAAGGGACCACGAGGGTCCATCTGTTGCAATGCAGGGATCTTCTGCCCAATGTGGGACTCGAACCCACAACCCTGAGATTAAAAGTCTCCTGCTCTACTGACTGAGCTATCCCAGCTTCTCATTAAGATTGGGGTGGGCCCCTTATGCACTCAGGACGTTGGCGCTTCTGAGGCCCATAATACACTGGTGAGGCCCACCAAGTGCATGACAGCTGCCAGTCCTGTTACGAAGGCTAGTGAGAGGGCAGGTACTAGCATACATCCTGAGGGCATGCATAACAGCCTAGAATCTGGGTATGTTTTGGACGAACACTTTAAAAAACTGCAAAAGTACCAGGGAGACTACCCCATTTGCATTATACATTCAAAGTAGTATCACACCACTTTAAACAGTCAAAGAATTCTGGGAAGTGTTATTTAAGGGTTCTGACAGTTGTTAGGAGAACTCTCCTCATAGAATTACACTTCCCAGAGAGGCTGAACAATCAATGCCTCTTCCCAGGGAACTCTGGAGATTGTAGGTCTGTGCAGGGAATAGAGGTCTCCTAACAACTCTCAACACCCATAACAAGCTACAGTTCTCAGGATTTTTGCAGGGAAGCCAGGGCTATTTAAAGTGGTATGATACTGCTTTAAATGAATAGTGCAGATGGGGCCCCATACTGTATCCTGAGTGTGAGCTATGCACATTTTCTGGACCAAGTTTATTCTTCCATATAGGATTTTTTAAAAGAATTTGGAATATTGCGGCAAGAGTTGATGTTGTGAAGGTACAGGAGAGACATGGCTGTTAAAACAGCTGTATGTAGGGCTTAGGGCTAAGGTTTAATGGGGGTAAGGTGAGACAGCTTTTGTGGCCTGCTCAGCTCCCTAAGGCCCAGCTCAAAACTCTGTGTATTTTCAGACTTCTCCGTGCAATTATGAGAGCATGTTGGCATTGATTAAAACTGAGATTCTCATAAAGCCAGGCTCAGAAGTGTGGAATTTTGCATACCCTTTAACTGCACTTTCCTATGTTCCCACTGAAATTTATTTTTACCCCACCAGTGCTTGCTGTGCATCACAAACTTTGTGTAGAGTAGTCACACTCTGTCACACATCTCGCTTTCTCTGCTTTGGGCCAGTGGTTGTGGACTTGGGCACCTTGAGCATCACTGCAGGGGAGTCTCCTGGCTTGGGCAGCTAATGATGTTTGAGTGGTGTGAGGCAGGTGCCTGGTTTGGAAGGGAAGGAGGAGATCCCTGTCACTGACTATGAGCAGCTCTCGGGCCCAGCTAACTCTTTCTTCTTCTTTTTCACTGTTGTGATTTGTTAGATGATGTGTTCCTGCCCAAAGACTTAGATGGTGTGGAAATGGATGAGACTGACAGAGAAGTGGAATACTTCAAGAGGTAAGACTTGGTCCCGATTAACTGTGGAGTCCTGGGATCAGGGCCTTGCAGACGAGAAATAAATCAATGCCATACATCAGGGATGTGGAACCTTGGGTCTGGGAACTAAATGCAGATACTCCCTTGGGGTACTCGCCAGACCACACACACCCTCTCCCGGGGCAACATCCCTCCCTGCTCCCTCCCTGAGTGTTTTTGCCTTGCTGGAATGTACCTTGAACATTGATAGAATACAAGTGTCATGTAGCAGCAGTCTTCAAGCACCACCTTCTGTCAGAGAGAGCCATCAAAGCATGATAGTCCAGGAAAATCTGAAAATGTGGTTCTGCCCACCAGCTCAAGCCCAGAAGGAGGAGATTGAAAACTGGCTGCTGCCTGGGAAAAGCATCTTAGGTCCAGAGAGGATTTCTTCAGGAGTGGTCTCCCATTTCCTTTCTTCAAGGAGACCAGAGTCACATCTTCTCTGAGCCAAAGTTGTTCATTCCTCTTTGGCTAAAAGGAATCACCAAATTCGCCCATACCCTTTTTGATGAGCTACCTGCCCTATAGTCCCTAAAAATCTTGGCTTCTGTGCTGCAAACAGCACACACTACATATCTTCTTCCTCAGCTTTGTCCAGCATCCCTGCCTATGTTGCCTGTCTCTGCCAGTAGGACCTAGCCCATCATTGTGTTGTCCTGCAACATATTTTCCAAAGTATTTTCATCACAGAAGTGGTGCCGCCTGGTGCCATTGTGCTGTTAACCCTTTGCCCCTTAAAATCATTAGGATGTTTGTGGACATTCCTTGTTGAAGAATCTGAGCAACTCCATGAGGGAGTAAGGGGAAGTTCACAGGAGACAGGCAGCTATATTATATGTGTGAATAAAACAAGGATCCCGCAGCCCCGTCATTTCCTCACACTAGTTGTTGATTTTCTGTACTTGCAGGTTTTGCCTGGACTCAGCCAAGCAGACCCGGCAGAAAGTGGCTGTGAACTGGACCAATTTCACCCTGAAGAAAACCACTTCGAGTGCAGCTCAGTGAGGTGTGCGGTGCACCCCTGGTATATGTGCAGGGCCCCACACCTCGCCTTCCCTCCCCCAAACCCATAGACAGACACTTGGCCTCACCAACCCTTGCTCTTCCCCCCTCTCCCCTCCCCCTGGGGCTCCTATTCCTAGCCTATAGGCAAGGCCTGGACAGCCCTTGCGTCCCTCACCTCGTAAGTGTTCGACGTTCGGGGAGATGCTGACTGAGCCGCCCCAAGCCCAGGGGCAGTCTTGATCGGCCAAGGCCCAGCGTGGCACAGGGACCAGGCTGCACCCAATAAAGGACTTTTTAATTTTTTATTTTATTTAAAAAACCCAACTTTTCTGTTGTTTGTTCTGGCTTTTCTGGTCCCTAGGGGAGGTGGGCAGGGCTCCCTTGGTGGTGGTGGGCGACCGCAGCAACCCAGCTACACTCGGCATAGAACCTCTTCCCTTGAGCGCTCAAATTGCACTCACGGCTGGTTCACATCAGGGCACCCGGCGCACATGGAGCAGTCCTAGGGGTCTCAGTCTCCAGTCTGAGAACCCTGCCATCTCCTTGCACGGTTTACAGTGGCAGAGCTTATTGGTGGAAGACGCAGCTCTCTTCAGTCTCCTGGAAACTGCACGGGTCATTCAATCCTTGGCTGTGCTACCCCACTTCTCAGGGAATGTTCTCTCGGCCGAAATGCCATCCTGCAGCAACATTGTCTTAAGGAGCCTGCTGTCAGTGGAAAGGCCGCCATGCCTTCTCAAGCAGGCAGCCTCTGCCACAGGGACAGCCAGCATTTTCCTTTGCTTTCATAACAGTTGAGTTCAAGTCCAAGAATGGTAGATGTGCTCTGTGGGAGCTTATGGCCCTTCAGCTTCCCTGTGCAGATATCACTTCCATGTAGGTGGCTCCATCGACACCGACCATGTATGACAAGCGCACTCCTGCCTGTTTCACCGTGATTGCTCCCAGCAGGACACCCCCAGTTTGGCTGCAGGCTCCTGCAACAAAATAAACATGTTTGTGCTCCTCACACATGGCCACGGATGTGTTATTTCCTACAGGGAAGTGATATCCACATGGGAAAGTCCTCTTGTGCAAAACAGCCATTGTTGCAAATAACGCTGCACGTTGGCTCTCGCATCAGGTGGGGAGCATGACTCCATTCGTCCTCCTCCACCAAAAGCCTACTACTTTGGACTGCTCCTGTTTCTGATTACCTCTCAGCAGACTTAAGCCCTGCCCATATGGCCCTGTTTATTTCCCCCACTAGAGTGATGCGCCCCATCAGCCCTGATGATGGTGGGGAGTGACAGCCCTGTCATTTCTAAATATCTGTGACTTCATAGCAAGTTGGTTGTGCTAGTAGAGGTGCACTCTTACGATCCCACAGTTGCTCAACAAAGCCCTAGGACTGTTCTGGTGCTGGTAAAAGGACCGTAATAATCACAACCCATCTGAAGAAATTGTCTGTGGAAAACCATCATTCCATTTCAGGATGAGCAGAGCTATGGCCGTAGTCAGTGGTTGGCTGTTCCTCGCTAAAGGAGAAACTGCCCCATTGCCATTGAGCCCGTTGAGTCTGATTTGCACCTTTCCCCTGACAACCAAGGCAAACGTCAGATTGCTGCTTGAACTCTACTGGCCTTAGCTGTGCCCTTGAATTTTACTCTGTCAGCCATTGATTCTGATCTCCCCAGTAGCCCAGTTGGGATGGTCATCTTCCCTCAAGTGATGCTGACCATCCTGCCAGGCCAACCAGAGTGTTTGCACTTCACTTCCTGTTGCCTCAGCTAAATCTTGCCTGCACACATCCCTGTTCATTTGTCACATGCACAACAAACCTAACTGCAGCAGCAACTGAGCCCTGGTGGGTCTCTGACCCCAATTTCTGGTGCTACCCAGGCTCTCCCTACTTTTGAGGGTGGTGCCCAACTGACATCTCAGAGGGATTGGACCATACCATGCCACAGACCACAGGCAGATCAACCTTTTGGGGTTTTTATTAAATTATTTACTTTTTGATACTGTGAAATCTTTCGTGCTGAAAGATAAACTGACATTTGGACACAGAGTGGCTATGTGTGCTGTGTAATTGCTGCCTATGGCTAGCACTGGGGTCTCACCTCTGGCTTGAAACTTATTTGAATCCAGAGTAGCTGCTGGTACCAAAAGTCAACATGGGCCACAACGCTTGCAATCCCCCTGGGTACTTGATCCAAATTGCCCACCTCCATAAATTTCCACCCCGTCTTCGTTTTGTCAGGAACATGTATCTGCGCTGCTGAAACATGGTGGGCACCTTACAGCCTGTACTCCAACCCTAAATGCACATCAGGATTAAATCCTGTTGGTTTCTAGGCATGGCACAGAGGGGCCTCTTTCATCTTTGATTCTTGTTTACTTCAGCCAGCTGTATAACAGGAAATTATTTGTAGCATTTTTCTGGAAGGCAGGCTTAATGCATTCATCCTTACGATGCCTGGTAAAGCAAGTCATTCTGCCCATCAGTCCTACTAAAGAACTGAACAAACTGATTTAACTTGTCTAAGGCCACCTACTAGGTACATTGCTATCTTGAGCTGGAGGGCAGGTCTCCCAGTACAATGTTACTAAGACTGTGTTAACACTGTTGAGTGGGGAGTGATGGGTGGAAGGAAATAGGCACATTCCTCAGCACATTGACTGCCTTAAACCATGCAGGATGACAACAGAAGCCAGAATCCCCTTGGATTACCTTCTCTACCCATATGGAAGATATCAGTGATTGGGAGACACTGGCCCTGCAGATACGTGTTGCTTTCAACTCCCATCGTCCCTGATTACTGACCATGTTGACTAGGGCTGATGGGAGTTGTGGCCCAACATAATTTGGAGGGCTACCGGTTTCCAAGCTGTAAATGATCTCTACTAGCTCCTTCCCTATTATAAGATCTGGTAGCTGCTAGCAGTGGTATTGGTAGTTAAGCAAACTGATATTTGCCTCAGGTTGCCTAGGCTTGAGTGATAGTGATTCACCATGCCATAGCGTTGAACAGGGGAAATTATCAGTAGCTGACTAATGGCTACTAGCCATGGTGACTATGCTCTGCCTCTATGGATGGAGGCAAGAATGCTTCTGAATACCAGTTGTGAGAAGCCACAAGGGAGAAGAGTGCTGTTGTGCTTGGGTTCACCTGGAGTTTCTCACGGGTATTTGGTTGGCCACTGTGAGAACAGGATGCTAATGGGCCATTGGCCTGATTCAGCTGGCTCTTCTTTTCTCTGAGGAAAGTATGTACTGATATATTTTGCATTCTTTTAGTCTAACCCTTTTATCTAAATGCTTATCGTGCTTGGATTCCTCCCCCCCCCCAAAAAACCAGTGATGTGAGGACTGGAGGAGAGAAGTGAGTTAAGGAAACACAGCTGGAGCAATGAGAGATAAATTGGCAGAAGAATTAACTTGCTAATTTAAGCCAAACATGCATCAATTCAATAGCATTATCTGTCCAACAGCAGCCAGTCAGATGCCTCTGGGAAGCAACAAGTGGGGCATGAAAACAACAGCTGTACATTGTTTTCTGAAAGTTTATTGCCCCTGAAAATCAGTAGTCTATTCTCTCTTAATTCGTCTAATCTTTTTTTAGGCTATCTAAACCAAGGTGAAGAGAATCCTATATTAATTCTACATTATGTGAAACTTCCTTTCATCTTTCCTGAATAGTCAGTTTCACTGTGTGACCTCTGCAACTAGTTTTGTAGGAGAAGGTAGAGAATTATCGCTACTCTTTCAGTGCCACTCACAGTCTTCTAAGCTTCTATTGTCACACCCCAGTTCTTTTTTCTGAAGTAAAAAAAAAGGCAGTCACCTTGCCTTACCACATTTTTAAGGTGCTCCAACACTTTTCGTATCAGTTGTACAAGGGGCTAGATTCAACTAGTGCTAGCAGGAGCCAGTGCAATAGGGCTTTCCTACTTTTGCCCACAAATCGGCTCTGGGGGATCAGGAGAATCCCCAAAACAAGGGAAGGAAAGGAGAGAGTGTTCCATCTTGCAAGCGGAAATGCTTGAGCTGACAGAAGAACCATGTTAGCATGACATTGAATTCCACCCATCAAGTGTCACCTGCCATTTTGTTGTCTATTCAGCGAGTCTGGTGAGCTAGTCACAGTCTCCGGGGGAGTATACCAAGTATACCACTCTGAATAACTTACAGTGCAGTCCTATGCACATTTACTAATAGGTTCTCTTGTACCAAGTGGGGCTCACTCACTAGCAAGTCTGTTTCGAACGGCAGCTGCAAATCCTCGATCAAGGTCTCCAAAACTTCCTCACTGGTCACAAGCATATTTCTGGACCTGATGGCACAACCCTGAAACAGGATGGTACAGAAGGAGTTGATATATACCAGGTCAGGCTATCTGTGCTTCTAGTTCAGTATTGTCGTATTTGGAATGGCAGTGGCTCCCCAGTATCTCAGGCAGAAGTGCTTCATATTACCTGCTACCTCAAAACTGTAGGTGCCAGAGTTTAAACACAGGACCTTCTGCGTGCAAACAATGTTTTCTGCTGCTAAGCTGTGGTTCTCCCCACACCCCAACCATCCATCTGCTGTGTATTTTTTTTTAAAAAAAGGGACAATGCCAGAATGAGTTAAATAATGGAATTGAGCTGCATTCCCAATAATCTTTTACATTAGTGGCTAATGTAATTTACCATGTGTCATCCACAATTATTTCCCCTCAAAGTAATTCAGAAAACCCATGCCAATTTTGCACGCCTTTGATTTTGCTGACATATCAATACATGCACCTACTTGAATCTATTTTTGTCTCTAGTCAATCTATGTAAGATACAACATTGCTGAATAAGGTATTTCATGTACAAATACAGACTGATAAAATCAACCTGAGATTCAGGAGTCACACGAAAGACATCTCAATATTTTTTATTTGTGTGCCAACATATACAAGCACTTGTTTCAGTCTCATAAAATCAGATGTTGAACACCAGAGAGCGGGGAAACTGATCTATTTGCTGCCCTGTTTAAATCTACAGCGATAATTTATTCAGTCCTCGGTTACACAGAATTGGACCATTTTTTTATTTTACTTCTTATCCTTTTGAAAATATTTTATGATATTTTAATGTTGTAGATTAGAAACTCCATTCCATTTTGCACTGTTACTGCACAACTGTGCTTGAAAAAATCACCATCAGGAGATGTGATACCGGCACTGGAATGCCTTTTTTTTTTTTAATTAAAGCATTTCTATGCTGCTGTTTAGCTTAAAGAGACACCAGAGTAGCTTACAAAAATCAATGGTAAAAATATGTGACATAAACACCATGGAGATAAGGAAGTGGTAGTATGTCAGCGGCGCAAACACCTTCACAGTAACAGCGATAAATACGATGGTACATGCTCAATGGAAAGAGAAGGCACTCTGCACACGCTTAAGAGCAAACGACATTTACAGGAAAGACGCGTTGCTCTGTCCAGCGTCAGCTCTCTAAGGCAATACCAGGACATGAAAACGGGCAGCTGCGTCTCAAAAACTACAGTCTAGTAATCTCCAACAATGGCTCCCCTAAAACGCTGTCGCGGTCTTGGTGTACTAACAGCACTGCGAACCTATGGGATAGGATAAAAGTCCAAGTCGTTTTAGCAGGAATTTCACCGATAATCACCCAGAATAAACAATTTATTTGAGGGGCGATTGTATGGGGGGCGGGAGGAGATCCCAGTAACCCGAAATCCTAAATGAATGCGATGAGAATTAAACGATCTCGTAAGGCGACTCCCACCCAAGTCAACCCCTCCTTCGACCCCCTTCCCAGCTGCTTCGACTCTGGTCCCTCCCTCCCATCACAATCCCCAAACATGCTTCGCGGCACGCTCCTCCGCTCGCCCCCGGCCAGTTCCAGGAAAGGCGGGCGACTCCTCGCTCAGCTTCCGTAGGAAACGGAAACGAAATGAGGAGGAGCAGCAGCAGCAGCAGCACCTTTCGCCTCCTCCTCCTCCCGTTATGTACGGAGCACGTAAAGCTCGTGAGCATCCCTAGCGATGCTCTGCACGCCTCCTCCGAAGGAAGCCTCCCCGCTAACCCGGACGGAGCTTGTCCGCTGCTGGCGCGGTGGGCTTTGGGAACGCAGAAAAACTGCCCCGCTCGTTTTTCCCACCAAACAAACGACCAAGCAGGGAAACCCGAGTCAATTTTGTTTCATCAGGGACACCGTCGTCGCACCGCCCTGCGAGGCGCGGCCGTCTAGAGCGCTTTCCCCTGCCTAGTTTGTCCCTCGGCGCCTCCCGTCTTGCGCACGTCCTTCCCAAGGCCGTGCGGGGGTGCAGTTGCTTAGCGACGCAGGCCCTTGCGCGCACGTGTCCCTAGCGCCGGTTCCTATTGGCTCTGCGCGTGTTGTCGTGCGGGAAGAGTCGGCGTGAGGGGACTGCGCTGAGAACATGGAGGCCGGAAGCGGCAGGAAGGTAACGAAAAAAAGACTTGCGGCAGGTGCCTCCCCCCCCGTCCCCCCCCCGAGACACCAAAGGCGGGGAATCCCCCCCCCTACGCCATCCCAACCCCCCCCCCCGCGGTGGGACGGGAGCTTCTGCCCTTCTGAGTCGGATCTCTTGATTCCCGCAGAGGCAGCGCGAAGCGGAGTCGGAGGCGTCGGGCCAGTCCAGCGGAGGAGAGGAGGACGCCGAAGACGACGACTATGTGCCCTACGTGCCCGTCAAGCAGCGCAAGCAGCAGATGGTAAAGAGGGACGGGGTCGGGGGAGGGGAGAAGGAGGAAGAGAGAGAGGGTGTTACCCTCCACCCCCATTACCCATTGCCCGCCCGCCCGCTGCGCTCCTGTGCCCACCCGGCCTGCAGCCAGGTCATGCGCGCGGTTTACTGGAGAAGAAAGTCTCACTTGAGTTTGTTCGGGTAACTTTTAAGGATCGCAGGCTGAGCAGCTCCTCCCTGTGTCCCGTTTTCTGTTTTGACTGACCCCGATCTTCGAACAGCTGGTTTCCAGAAAGAAAGGAGGGATGCCACGGATCGGAACCATCTTTGCTATGCAAAGGCTGGAATCTTACTGTTAATACTTTTACTTATTTATTTGGCCAGTAGTCTTAAAATCCACATTCACAAGTCAGGGATCTCAAAATTAGCATGGAAATGGGTTATGAGTGGGAGATGTCTAGGTACATGGAGAAGGTGGGGTGGGGTGGTCCACTTTTTAATTTTTTTCTTTACTGAGGATTGTAAGTCTTGAGGAGAGTTCTGAAGAGGATGTAAGAGGATTATATCTGAGGACTTGCAGCTAAGGCCTTGAATCCAATGGGTCATTCTAAGCTCCTAACTCTACCACTTTTCTATATATTCAGCTGCAAAAGTTGCTTCAGATGCGCCGCAAGGGGGCGTTGGAGGAGGAACAAAGGGACAGTGGCAGTGAATATCATGGCGACGAAGATGACATTCCTCTGGGTCCACAGTCCAACGTCAGCCTCCTTGACCAGCACCAACACCTCAAAGAGAAAGCAGAAGGTAGAGTCGGCATGTTCTGATGGATCTGTAGTTAGGGAGGGGATGCTAGACTAAAGGGATATAATTGACGACTTTGTTTTTCTTCCCAGCACGTAAAGAGTCGGCTAAAGAGAAGCAACTGAAGGAGGAAGAGAAGATCCTGGAGAGTGTGGCAGAAGGACGAGGTGAGTGCCAGGGAATATTTTCCCACTGATTTTTACAGTTCATTGATACTGGACAGAAGTGATGGTGATGTGGAGGAAGATTAAAGTGTTTCACCTGGGAATCCACAGTTAACCCCATTGCCTCCCATCAGTTGCTGCAATCATAAATAAAGCCAATGTGACAGAGCAATCCCCTATAGATCCTTTTCTTTGCTCTCCATTTTGCTCTGATGATGAGACCACCTTGTCCTTGACTTTGGGCTTACTCATTGTTTTCTTTCTCTCATGCAGCTCTGATGTCTGTGAAGGAAATGGCAAAGGGCATTACATATGATGATCCCATTAAAACCAGGTATGTTTTGCAGGCCATTCGTACAATTTAAATGATGCTGTGGGTAATATTAGACCCTTCCAGAAACATGTGATCTTGCTAGGATTTTCAAGAAAGGTATCAAGATGTGGAGTCACTTGTTTGCTGGGAAGCACTACCAAGGGTATTTATTATTATTATTTTATTCAATTTATTTACCGCCCTTTATTGAAAGACTTCAGAGCGGTGTACAACATTAATGTCCTCCAAATGTTTTTGGACGACAACTACCATCCTTGACCACTGGCCATGGTGGCTGAGACAGATGACAATTGTAGTCCAATGTGCTGCCCTCCATATGTTGTTGGACTGTCTACATTGCAGATATTGGTGTTGGTGTGCAATTTTTTAAACTTAGTTCAACTGGGAGTAGCTCTTGACTGTTACACCATTCATAACATAGACTGCAGCAGACATGATATTCACACTGAAGGAGAAAGTAGAGGCTAAGACAAGCAATTGCTGTCTGAAAAGCTAGGGATAGGGAAACCTCTGGTTTGCCATATGTTGTTAGACTCCAACTCCCATTATCCCTGGCCATTGGCCACACTAGCTGGAGCTGCTAGAGTAATGATATTTGGAGGCCCGCAGGTTCTCCTGCACTAAATAAGCCTCTGAAGCATGTTGCTTACGAACAACTTAATATTTGCTTCACAATATGATTACATTTGTAATAGGATAATAAGAATAGGAAAAAAACTCATTTCTATTCCCTGAAAGACTCAAAAGCAGGTTCACTTCATAGCTCTGAGCATGAGGAAGAATGAAAAATAAATGGCAATAAATTGTCTCTGCATTCCAGATCTTGCAGCCATAACTTAAAAAAAATTATCTGAGAAAAGCCAAATAAGGTCTAAAATGATATTAAGTAAGGGAAGATGCAACTAGGGGGAAATGCTGATTGGAGGATTTTACATTCTGATCATAGAAGGGAAAACACTCGTATCCTAGTTTTTGTCAGCATTGCATTGATATATTTTATTTGCCATCTGGAGGCTGGCATTTCCAGAAAGGCTAACTTTCTAGTGTTGAAAGTAAATAGGTATTGTCTAGGAATACCTATTTTCTTTGTAGCTGTTTTATATTCTAGAAACAAAGGAACTAGACACACACACACACACACACACATATATATATATATATATATATATATATATATATATATATGAAAAGGTATGAATTCACACCGTGTGCAGTCCTTCCCATTACAAGTAGAATATGAAGTGGCTAAGATTTTCTGAAGGGAAAGGGCCTTAGCTTCTGCATTTATATTAGAAAGTTACAAGGTACAAGAATCATTACTTTAAAAAGGCTGTGAGTCTTTCATACTGCTTGAGCAGCTGATCTATATTTTGTTATATTGACATGGATAAGTATTCAAACAATGTCCAGCCTCGAGTAAAATGGGACACTTTTGACAATGTAAAAATCAATAAATAATGCCACTGCTTCTCTGGGTAGCACGTCTTGTACTTTATTTTGTAACTGCCAAGCAGGAAGGCAGATTCATTCTGGAGCTGAGCTGTGCTAATGGACTTACTAATTTCCTCCTTTGGGAAAAGCCCATGCAGTCTCAGTACTGTTGTCAGAATCATGATCACTTTTTGGAAAGTCCTGTTGAGGGTTCAGCACAGACATAGTTATCTCTGGCTGTATTTTATTTATTATTCCATTTCAGTATGAGTGCCCTGCATCTTGTATTCTTGTTCCCTGCTGAAATTTCAGTGTGTTCTTTCGCCAGCTGGAAGGCTCCTCGGTACATCCTCACTATGTCAGAGGCCCGACACGACCGTGTGCGTAAGAAGTATCATATCCTCGTGGAGGGGGAAGGCATTCCACCACCTATCAAAAGCTTCAAAGAGATGAAGTTCCCACCAGGTAAGTGACTAAGGTGGTGACTGAAAAAACAAGGAAACCATTTCTGAGGAGCATAGTTTCACATGGGGGAGTTAAAAGGATTGACTGTCCTTTGAATTTAGTGGTCAGGGCTCTGAGCTGTCCCGCTGATCTCTTTACCCAGCTGAGATATTCTAAGGCAAGGATGGGGAGCCTGTTACCCTTTTGATGTTTCCCACCAGCAACACTTATCTTGGTCTGTAGTCAGGGATGCTGGGAGTTTTATACTTCTGCAGTACCACAGGTTCCCCATCCCTACTCTTAAGGGCCGCTTCTCATGCTACCTTTTATTCTTGGATGCACAAAGCAAAATCCAAAATATGCTCATGTCATTTCAAAAATTCATGATAAAAGCAGGCATATACTTGCATTTGGCCAGAAGGATTTACTAATATGTGCACGTAATTTACATTTGACACTATCTGTGTGAATGTATGTTCTGAGATACATAGGTAATAAAAGTAAGCATCACATTCTTGTTCTACAGGTATGATAGGAGATATTTCTGTTTTCTTGTCATCCTGGATAGCTCATTTGGTTAGAATGTAGTGCTGATAATGCCAAGGTTGCAGGTTCTCTCCCTGTATTCCCATACATATTCCTGTTGCATATTCCTGCATTGCAGGGGGTTAGACGAGATGATCCTCAGGGTCCCTTCCAACTCTACAATTCTATGTTTCCTTAGCTTAACATGTGTCCAATTCTTTCTACAGGAATCCTGCGAGGTCTGAAGAAGAAGGGGATCCAGCAACCAACCCCCATCCAGATACAGGGTATTCCCACCATGTGAGTGTTGTTGGAGGTGTTTAAGCAGAAGCTCGATATGCATCTATCAGGGGTTCTCTTGTTGGCTCCTGCTGTGTAGAGATCTTTCATGGTGCAGCGGTTGGATTGGCTGACCTTCAAGGTCGCTACCAACTTTATGATTCTAGATTTGCACAGTATTTTGGGTGCATATTTTCAGTTTTATAGGAATTCACTATATACTGAGCAGTAGTGACTGGTACCCATTGGGACTGGCAGGGCGGAAGGAAATGAAGTCCGTGTCACCAGAGCCAATGACAGGCAGAGCCAACGCATTTCTAGGTCTGCCCCCAGTCTCCCTTCTCAGATATATAACGGCAACACTGTCAAAGGCACTGCCCAGCCAAGGAATCCACACAGCAGATAGTTAACTCTTTATTGTCAAAGATAGCACTTACAGTCGCTTCTACAGCTCTGGATATCTACACACACCAGTCTAATAGCTAGGCAACTATTCCCTGGTCCACGCAGTTGCAGCAGCGGGGGGCCACTCACCCTCTACCAGTTTATGCAACTTTCCCCGACAGAGGCTGCATACACACAGCCTGAGACTGTGCTTGGGTGGAAACTTCCCCTGCTCATCCCTTTTCAATCCCCTCCTGGTTCTGGGAGACAGTGGTGCAGGGGAGGGTGGGGGAAGCACCTGGTCCCTCACTTGCCTAACCTGCCTCTTCCTCCTCATCTCCAGACCCACCTTGTGCTCCACTCTCCAGCTCTGAAGCTTTCCCTGTTTCTGATTTTTGCCTTTTGGCTGGTACAAGTCCCCACAAACCACTGCTCCCCTCTCCCAAGTCAGACTCCAGCCCCTCTGCTCTGGTGCACACTTGTCAGCAGCCTGCCAATCCTTGACAGACACTAAGGAGGGAGGGAGCTGAGTGCTGGTGCCCCTCTCTGGGCAGCTTATATGTAAAAAGGTGGGCAAGTGGGGTTGGTGGGGCAATGCCCCATTTGCCCTAATAGACAATCTACTGATACTGAGGAATGTACATCCTGAGTAAAAGCTGGTACCGAGGACCATAGTTGTTCATACATTTCCAGCCTTTTCTTTCTTACCATGAAGGCTAGAAATATGCTTTCTCTCAAACAAAGGCTGTACATCTTTGCGTGTTGTCATAGTTCATAGCCACTGAGTTCCCTTCTGGATGGATGCACTATTTAAGCACCTAAAAAGCAGCAGTTTGTTACCTGCAGTGATGGAGAGTCTCCTCCACACCCATCCCATTTCCTTCCTACTGTAGCCCTAACTCCTTCCAGCCTAAACAGGTCCCATTAACTTGCTCCTTTCTGGCCCCATAGCCTTTCCGGCAGAGACATGATTGGCATTGCGTTCACCGGCTCCGGCAAGACACTTGTGTTCACTCTCCCTGTTATCATGTTCTGCCTGGAGCAGGAGAAGAGGCTGCCGTTTTCCAAGAGAGAAGGACCATACGGGCTTATCATCTGCCCCTCAGTAAGTCTTCTGTCATCCACTTAACTGGCCTTGTTCGCTTGCTTGGATATTGGGGGCAGAGGGGAGCAGAAGTGTGTAATGGTTGTAGCAAGAGAGAGAGAGGTGCAAATAGGAAGCACCTGGGGACTGTTAGCTGCTGGCTAATAGGGCTTTTGTTTCTGCAGAGGGAATTGGCTCGCCAAACCCATGGTATCCTTGAGTACTACTGCCGCCTGCTGCATGAGGATGGGATGCCTGCCCTGCGCTGTGCCCTTTGCATTGGAGGCATGTCTGTCAAGGAGCAAATGGAGACCATCAAACAGTAAGGCCAACATTGGGGCCAAATAAAGGAGCACTAGAATTGCAGCTAATGCATGTGTCTGTAAAAAAAACAAAGCAGGGCCCCCCCTCTTGTCAGTCACCTATATTTTATCCCAGCCTTCTCCAGCCAGGTATCCTATAGATGTTTTGGACCACAACTTCCAGCATCCCTGACCATTAGCTGGGGTGATGGGAGTTGTAGTCCAAAACATCTGGAGGCAAAAAGGTTGAGGAAGGCTGGTTTATTCCAATCCGTTTGGTATTTGCTGCTGCTTGTTTCAGGACTTTGTTGTTCCATCTTTATTTTAGTCACTAACACTAAAAAAAAAATGCCTTTTAAAAAACAAAATTGCTCTTACAACCAAACTGACTGTGAATGCACAGCAAACACACATATCTGACTTGCTCTGCTTTACTGCCTTCCTGTTTCTCCTGGGAAAGCAGTGAGTCCAACATACAGGCCCTGCTGAGTCTAACCAGTCCTTAAGGCATTTTGAAGTGCTGGGTTTGCAGAGGGAAGGGTTCAAAAGTGTGGAGGCAACGGGACATTGGTCCTTGAAAGGGGAATAGCCATACTCCTACTCCTGAACTCCTTGTTCATGCAGATGCTACCAGAAGAGGGCCTTCTGCAGCTCTGATTCCTTCTCTTCCCACAGCGGTGTGCACATGATGGTGGCAACTCCAGGCCGGCTGATGGATCTCTTGCAGAAGAAGATGGTTAGCTTGGACGTCTGCCGCTACTTGGCACTGGATGAAGCAGACAGGATGATTGACATGGGCTTCGAGGGAGACATCCGCACCATCTTTTCCTACTTCAAGGTACTGGGCGAGACAGACTGTGCTTCTGCCTTTATCTCATTGAATTGGGCAGTTGCGTATTACCCTCCTCGTGGACTCATGTGCTTTCTGGAGCCAGAGGCGTGGTTGGTGTGCTCTCAGGTAGCACTCCACTAGTTTACTTGAACTTTCCTCCTTGCTTTGGGCACTGCTGCTTCTGGCAACAGCAGTGTTCTCCCTGTCAAGATGAAAACAGGCAGACTGTTGCTGGGGACAGGACTTAACTGAGCTGGGGGGTTGTTTGGGTTATGCCTTTGAACTTGTTTTCAGAGCCCGTAATCTACCCTGGAGCTTGGAAAGAATAACAAAGAAGAGCATGCCTTTGCCTCTTCCTTGCTGCAAGTTAGCCGCAATTTGGCCTTGTACCTGGAATTGAGGGTGGGGTGGAAGACTCTGAGGTTAGCTTTGTGATTTCTAGTCAGGTTTGAGGCCTGGCAAGTTTCTCCTTTGTAGAAATTACCTGCTGTGCAGAGAGCAGCATATGCCCAAATAAACACGTAGGAGTTCACCATAAGTTATCTTATGAATCCCTCTTTTCTCATCCAAATTCAGCATGTTACTTGTTGCAGTGCAACTGGTTGGACTGATTATATTCAGGATTGTGTGTACTCTGCTGCAAAGTGGCACACCCCTTCTATGTCACGGAAAGCTGGATCCTGTGATCACTATACATAACATAACATAATGGAGCAGAGTTTGCATATATCATTTTTGCATAATTTATTATACTTCTGCTGATTATGGGAAGGGGCAAGAAGCTATGCAAGACACTAAAGCCCCTGTTTTGACCACTAGAAATTCTCCTGTCCTGTTCTTTCCCTCCTACCCTTGCCCTCTAGCTTCTGAGACTTTGCCAACCATTGCTTTTGCCTTTCATGTCTTCCTCAGCAGCCCATAAGGGCTAGAAACTTGCCTTTAGAAATGAAAGCTGAGATTCTTAGCTAATTTTTTTGCCCAGTACAAAGCGAGGCCCATATTGAGAATTACATATGTGAACAAGATAGGCCCGCCATCTTACCTTATGCATACAATTTCATTGACCCATTTTTAGTGATCCCAGAGATTGCTTGGAAGTGGAATTCTGGGAGGTGTAGCATAATAAAAGGGATGTCCCTAGTTGCCTGTTTCCCTATCAACGCTTTTTCCTGCCTTAGGGCCAGCGACAGACCCTTCTCTTCAGCGCCACCATGCCCAAGAAGATCCAGAACTTTGCCAAGAGTGCCCTTGTGAAGCCCATCACTATCAACGTGGGACGTGCAGGAGCTGCCAGCTTGGATGTTATTCAGGTGCAGTACGGCTCAAAGAGCCTGTCACGTCACTCTTTCTGTCCCACCGTAAAGGGAGTACAGATGATGATTTTACTACAGCTCTTTTAAGAGAAGTGTTTAACATTCTCACCTAATTTGTGTGTATTTCTTGCAATGTTATTCAGCAGGTTAGCCTGAGAGGTGATAACCTGGCCGAAATAACGCACTGAGCTTTACAGCTGCCTATGAATTTTAACCTGTGTGTTTTCTGTGTCCAAACACAACACGACACTAGTTCATCTGAGCCCTGATCAGTTGGTCTGTAGCTTCTGCCTTTTCTCACACTGAAAATACTGGCACCGTGTGACCTTTGCCATTTTCCTCTTGTATCTAGGAAGTAGAGTATGTAAAGGAGGAAGCCAAGATGGTCTATCTGCTTGAGTGTCTACAGAAGACACCACCACCTGTGAGTACTTATGCTCAGTCCTGAGTCTGAGTCTCAGTGCTAGTTGCATTAAAGGCAGCATCTGATTTTATTCTGAAGCAGGAAATTCTAGAGAAGCAACCAAGTGCCGTTCCAGAATTTTGTGGGGCATCCTGGTTCTGGAACCAAGGGTGGGAGCCTTGCTTAGCGGGAGGGAGTGAAGCATGTTCTTTGAGAGCCCCCCTTATAGCTTGGCACTTTTGCTCTTTTGTGTGCGTGCAGGTTCTTATTTTTGCTGAGAAGAAAGCAGATGTAGATGCAATCCACGAATACTTGCTACTCAAGGGTGTAGAGGCTGTGGCCATACATGGTGGGAAAGGTCAGTAAGTGTCTTGATTCAAATCCGCTCTTTATCCAAGGGCAGCACGTCCAGGCCGCAGATTTGTAGTCATCTGCTAAGACAGTAGAAGGAATTGAGAATATAACAGAACTATTGGCTTGCCGTGGTTACGCTTTTTTACGTCTGCCTTCCCCTTTCATTAATATATGGAACTGGTCAGTTGAGTGGAAATGTGCCCAATTTCAAACAGACCAAAAGTCTGTGGAATTTGCTTCCATTGGGTGTGAAGTGTCAAAAGATCTAGAACAGGCACTCAGAACAAGGCCAGAGATACTTATCAGCCCTTTAAAGGTCCTCTGTACTCACAGAAATCATTAAACAACCTTTGGAGCTAGGAAGCTGATGCTTCTAGACCGTGCAGCGTTGGATGCGTAATATGAGAACAGATACAGAATTGAATGTATTGGTGAAAACCTGTGGGCATTGCTGCTGAACATCTCTCCCTTCCAGTGGAGAATTTAGCCCTACATCCTTGGTACAGAAGCATATATTAACACTGTTAAATTTGGGACAAACCCCTTCTTTTGTTTTATTTTTAAACCCACTAAGGAGAAGCCTTCCTGGGGAAACAGCCCCTCCATATCAGCCAGCTTCACGAGTTCCCGCCCTGTCCCTTTCTTGCACATTACAGCTGTCACTCCGAGAGATGAGTGGCTTGTGGAGCTGTTCACTCTGGCACTTCATAGATATGTCTGTGGGGACAATGGTCCTTTTGTCATGGGACTGTGAATAATTCTCGGTAGAGTATTTGAATGGAAACTCTTGTTGTCTTTGGGTTATGGGTGAATGGAAATCTCACTGTTTCTGCCTCTAACACCCTCCGTTTCATCTTGCAGACCAAGAGGAACGGACAAAGGCCATTGAGGCCTTCCGGGATGGCAAGAAAGATGTCCTTGTCGCCACTGACGTAGCGTCCAAAGGCTTGGACTTCCCAGCCATCCAGCATGTCATCAACTATGACATGCCCGAGGAGATAGAAAACTATGGTACGAGGAGACAGGCTTTGGCTACCTGGTTGCATCTGTTCATATCCTAGTGAAGAGCTTCTCCTGAGAAGGAGCTCAGGCATGTGGGGAAACCCTTGTAGGTGAACAAAACATAAACAGGTTAGATTTGGCTGACTGTTCTGTACATAGGCTGTGCGTGAGTCCTTGAATGTGCTTGGATAAATCAAGATTGATGCCCCATAGAGAACAGAAATAAAAAAGAGCTAAAAGCTTCTCTCTTAGCTGACTTACACGTTAATATATATGTATGTATTTTTCCAGTTCATCGAATTGGACGTACAGGTCGCTCGGGGAATACTGGCATTGCCACCACCTTCATCAACAAAGCCTGTGGTGAGGAATTGAGAGGGGCTGCTATGGCGGGTAGGGGTGGGAGGTAGACTGCATGGGGGTGTAAATGGGGTGGAGCTGAGGAGCTGGGTCAGCAGGCCTGAGTCCTAGTAACATAAGGACTTACTGAAGAGCCAGCCAGAGCCATGCTTCCTTGTGAGTCACTGCTGAAAATAGAATCCTCCAGGGAGCCAAGACATCACGGGTGGGTGGTTTGGGTCTATTGCGAGTGCCTGCCTTATGGAGACAGCTAGTCACTTCTGCGTGGGCAATCTCCTTTGGCTTCCTGGAATTGAAATCTGTTGCGCTTTCCCAGAGAAGCCGGCCTGTGTCCATTCTAACTTGCTTCTCTGTCCCCAGACGAGTCTGTGCTCATGGACCTGAAGGCGCTGCTGCTGGAGGCCAAGCAGAAGGTGCCACCTGTGCTGCAGGTGTTGCATTGCGGTGACGAATCCATGCTGGATATCGGAGGTAAGCAAATGGGACAAGAGGCAACCATCCTGTCTGAGGCTGTAGAGTCGGCGGGGTTGACTTCACCGGAGAAACAGCTCAGCTATAGCCAGATTGGAGCAATGGTCTCCTGAAAATAAATCAGGTCATGGTTCTTCAAAAGAAGTCCTTATCTGGTCATTAGCCTCAAAAAGGAGAAGATCAAAGTACCAAACAATAGAACCAGACCATGGACAGGCCTATCCGTTGTTTGTAACGAAAAGCAAAAGGTTCGAAATCAAGTTCCAGGCAACCTGTGATTCTGCAGGTGGTGCTGCACTCCTGGTCCCATTACCTCTGACCATTGGCCATGCTGGCTGGGGCTTATGGGTGTTGGAGTCCAACAGCACCTGAAGAACCACAGGTTCCCTGGCCCTGGCTGCAACTGAACCTGAGAGTGTTGCTTAGGTCTTTCTGTCTTTCCCCCCTTTTGTGCCCCCATAGAGCTCTGGCTAACGCTGTCCTTTTGTCTCTTCCAGGAGAGAGGGGCTGTGCTTTCTGTGGGGGCTTGGGCCACCGCATCACGGACTGCCCCAAGCTGGAAGCCATGCAGACCAAGCAAGTCAGCAACATTGGGCGCAAGGACTACCTGGCACACAGCTCCATGGACTTCTAGAGATCCTGCCATTGGGCCCAGCAAAGAAATGGACTTTGCTGCTGCTGCTTTGGAAGGGCAGCTCTGCTCAAATCCCGTTCTAGCATACTGTTGCCAGCTGGAGTGGGAAAAAGGCATCACAGTGGACTTTGTGCATTTGGGAAGCCTAGTGCTTCTTTGTCACTGTGGCAGTTGCTGATCCTGCCATGGGATGAAATGGGAGATGCATATAATAGGATGACTTGTGCTTGTTTGGTGCAGGAGTTTGGTTTGGGCACTGCAGGATGGGAATAGTAGGAGGCGTGTCCTCTCTGTTTTAAGCAGGCTCGACACTTTTTTTCTTGAAAGCAGCAGGGCAGTGAGGCAATAGGCCATTGCGTCAGTAACTACGGTTAGGCTGTGTTGGGCAAGCGCAGTTGTGCTTGGCAAGTCCTGTGCTGCTCCATTCCCCAGCTCCGGTAGTGGTTTCCGAGACATACTGCGCCCCCTCTCAGAGAGGGACATTCAGCCTTCTCTGTGTGACCCCACCTGTCTGTCCCCAGTCACGTCATGTGCCTCTGGCTGGCCCACTCTGCAGTTACCCTGCAGCTGCCGGAAGAGAAAGCTGTTAGCCCACCAACGCTCATCAAGTCAGAAGTCCCCTGGGAGAGCCTGTGTCTCCTGGGACGGCTCTGCCTGTTGCCGCTCCCTATGTGCATGCAGGCCCCAAAGAGGAAGTTAGCAGGCAGAGGAAGTTGCCAGCGCTATCGTACATACTGACTCATCCCTGTGGCAGCCACAACGGCTTGCGGAGCCTGCAGACTGCCTCGCTACTCACTGGGCTGCCCCTTCGGAGCCTGCCCCATGGAGTGTCCCGTGAAAGATGGGATCCTATACATCCAGCACCCCAAATTTGGGAAGGTAAATGGGTGTGTGTGTGTCTGATTTGGTGGGTGGAGTGTCTGGCCCCAGGGAGCCTTTGCTGTATGGGTGGGTGGGTTCAGTGGGAATTTTGGGTCTTGTCAAATGCAGGGGAGCATTTTTCCTAGCTTTTCCTTCTTTAGGACCTGAGATTACATCCTCTGTAGTGCAAGAGTGTGCCTGCAGGAGCTGTCATTGCTCGGTGCCTTTCCCACCTTCTGCTTTGTCATGTTACTGTATTGTGAATTTACAGCCAAACTGAATGTAAATAAACTCAATAACAAATTAAAATGCTATATGAAATAAGGGGTGTACCTGAAGCAAGGTGTGTGGGAGAGAGAGGTGGGGGGAGAGACACAGAGAGAGCACATAAAATAAGTAGGATTGGCCTGAAACCACCACTGAGCGTGAGTGTGCAGGGGTGGTCCTATGGGGTTCTGCCTTTTAAAAGTGGGGGCCCCAGTGCCTGGTTTTTCTCTTGCTGCAGGAGGTTTCTAGAGAACTGGCCGCTTGTACTTTGGCCCATTTATAGTTTGTTGTCAAGGGACTTGCTTGACCAAGGCAGCCATGTTGCTGTGTCCTATCTCTTGGGGTTGGGGATTGACCTGGATCTATCTATCTATCTATCTATCTCTTTCTTTCTGATCAAGTATCATGTTGCAGGTGTTTGTGAACTCAGCTGAAGCCTCAGGCTCCCCTATGGTGGAATTGGCTGTGGTGCCAGAGCCCCCTTGGTGCCTGCCCATGCTCAGCGGATATGGCAAGGTGGCGGAAAAGAAATGGCTCAGTGGTTCTCTCATTTTCGGTCACCTGCCTTTTTAACGTCCAGGGCTAGCAAATGACACCACCCACACCGAAAGGCAGTCACAATTAGATAGTTTTGCATTCCTTGGAGGTGTTCAAAAAGTATTTCTTAACATTTCCTCTGTAAGTAGGTCAATATTCTCCCCACACTACCCCCCCCCCCCCAAAATAACTCCTGAGGCCACACAACAAGCTAAGGTTTGAAATGAGGCCTTTTCGACTCTCGGCTTATGCTCTTAATCACTGGTCTACATCCATCGCACATTGTTAAGAAACTTGGGTCGCAAAAGTGGCTATATTGCTTTGTGGCAAATGGCTACTGGCAAAGCGAGACTGAAAATGTCTGCAGCTGATATATGCTAACGTCTAAAGGGTTCAGGCAGCATTGCTGACCTGCTATCTTGTTCTTATTACTCAGCAAACTTGACTTTACGGAAGTAGCCAGTTACTCCCCATGGGCACTGGGAAGGTATCCTTCTTCCCCCTGTCTAAAATGAACACTCTAGGGTAGAGGGAAGAGAGAAACAGCCCTGTGGGTGTCTTCCATATTTGGTGCTGACGTCCTTCTTAGTCCTCCTTGTCACAAGTGTAGATTGGGAGATAGAGCTTCGCCCGCTGATAATACCAGGCCTGCCTTGTATTCTAGTGTACAGGTGAAAACTCCCTTCTTCTCCTGGCAATTAAAACTCTGTACTAACCAACCACTTTAAATAACAAACAAGCCCAACCTACCACCATCCAAACCCTGCAATGTCATCACCAGAGGCACATAAACTTTGGCTGAGCTTGGGAGCCAAGCCAACCATTGTTTCTAGCCACTGCTAGATTGACTTTCCTACTACTTGCTCCACAGAGACAAAGTGTACCTGCTACCCAGTAAGGGGGTTTAACAGAGGAGGAGTGCTGTGCATGTGTGCACCCATGCTTGGCTGCTTGCAATAACACCTCCAATCAGGTGCTAGGACACACATCTTTAAAAAAAGATGTTTTGGCATCTCTCCACGGCTTATATTTATTTATTGTTAGACCAAAGTGGAGTTTTTTTCTCATGGGCCAGCCAGGCTGACACATCTGTTCTCCACCAGCAACTTGGTGGCTACATTGGTAAACCTCAAGCTGGCATGCCATTTGTGCACTGGGAAGATTTGGTGCTTCCACTTGTCCTGCTGCGGAGTCTCAATCATGAAAGAAATTGGACTGTTTTGAAAAGGAAGAGAAAGGGGGGTGGGGAAGGCGGAGCCTGGTGTTAGGTGAACTGGAAGAGAAAAGGGCCACTATACCAACTGTGACTGATTTGACAGCTACAGCTATTCCTGGACTGGGAAAGCCTTGCCACAGTGGTTCATGCGCTAGTTACTTCTAGACTGGATTGTGCTCTATGTGGTTCTTCCCTCGCGTTTGATCCAGAAGCTGCAGCACCATATAACACCTGTGCTCCGAGATCTGCTGTGGTTGCTGATTTGCTGCTGGGCCAGGTTCAAAGTGTTACTGTTTACCTACAAGATCACCTTACCCCACACGTGCCCACTTGACCGCTTTAATTGGCAGAATCGGCACTATTGCAGGTGCCACATAATGCCTGTTCCACATTTGTAAGAATTTGATCATTTCAGGTGGGAGCGCCTACACTTTAGATCTCCCTTCACTACTCTTTTCAGTATCTGTTAAAAACATTGATTAGACAAGCCTGCCCAGATGCTTAGAAAGTGGACATCATTTGTTTTAGTGTTTTCACTTCTTTATGTTTTAAAGTAGGATTGTGAATTTTCCCGATTTTACTCTTTTATCTTTTGTAAACTCCTTTGAGGGTGTTGTTGTTTTTACAATCAAAGCAGTGTATACATTTCAGGAAATAATATAAAAATAAATATTATAGACCACAGCCCTGAAACCACTACTGGCTGTCAGCTTTACACATGTCTTTTGGGCTTCTGAGGCTTCCGCCAGACACTTCACACACATTTCCAGGCTTTCTTTTATTCCCATGAGGTTTAGAAACTTGCTTTAAAAAAAAAAAGTATGATTTCAGCAGCTGGCTGCAGGAGGAGGAGATGCTAAATTCCTGCACAGAAAGCCCACAACCTACACACATTTAACTTGTATGCGTTCAGCTTTATGCACTTGGTAAAAATAAATAAAAATGGTTGGGGCACCCAGGGAAAAATGACTTTGGCAGTCTCACCTCCCATTGTACCAATGTGTTTTGACTACACACAACTTTGGCTTTCGGCACAATCCCCTGTGTAAATTGAGGGCTTACGGTATTTACACAGCAATCCCACTAATGCTTGCAGTGCATGCAGATTTGTGGCTCTATGCATTCAATTGCCTAAGAGAGGTAATCGCCAAAGAATTCTTCGTAACCTCTGATTCCGTATACTGTACTTCCACCTGCTCTTGGCAAGGACTCTACAGGGCAATAAATCCCCAGAGAGGATCACATTTCTGCTTGGGTAACGTGCCTGTTAAAGAGGCCTTTTCCTCTTCGTGTGGATTTCCTAGTGCAGACTGTTGTTAACTGGTGCCTGTCCCTGATTGTGTGCTGTCACCTCTTGCCCCCTGCTCACAGAAGGTCTGGCGGAAAGTGTGGGCCCAGCTCTTCGCCGACAGCCCTTCTGGCATCGCACGGCTCGAGTACTTCGAAGGGCGTGAAGGGGCCGCAGCAGAGAAGGCTACCCTGAGGAAGGGCGAGCGGAAGGTGATCCGCCTCTCAGACTGCGTCTCGGTGGAGCGGGCAGGCGAGCACAGCTCTCCCAAGGACACCACAGCCTTCTTCCTGAGCATGATGGAGCGCAACTGCTTGCTGGCAGCGGATCAAGCAGATGAGTGGATCGAATGTATCTGCCAGCTGGCTTTTCAGGTATTGACCTCTTCATATCTTCAATGGGAAGGCCCTGTGTCTCGCTGAACCACAGGGAGATTCCTTCCGGCCACAAGTCAGATGAGTGGAATCTCAGAGGGGAGCCAAGCTGCTTCCTCTAGAGGTGGCTTGCAGTTGCAAGTTTCTGGCCCTCAGCGAAGGTTGGACTTTATGACCTCCCAAGTCCTTTTTGACCTGCATTCCATTGACTGAAGAGGTCCTAAATTTGACTGCTATGGTGGCCGATGTTCCCTGCCCAGTTGCTTTAATGATAAGTGCTTTTAATTGTGTCTTTTTTTTGGTTAGGTTCCGAATACAAGGGTTTATATATTCTTGCAAAAAAAAAATCTTTAGGTTTATTCTGGGAATGTAGATGGGGATGAAGCTCTGGAAATTCTGGGCATGGCCTCTGGGTCTGAAATCTCCCTTGACGTGATGTATTGCAGCCTATTCTCAACCCATGTTATTCAGAACATTGTCTCGGTGATTTTAATGGGGCATACATTCAAGAAAGAATGCATAAGAATTTAACCTTCTAGGACACTCCTATCTATATTTACTTGAATATACAGTGTTCAGTGAGGCTCACTCCCACATAGGTATACACAGAATTGCTGCCTTAATGTGCAAATAATTTGCGCAATCTCTGTTTTCAATAAATTCTTGGTCATTCCTGTTTGTTGCCACTTAAAAAGAAGAAAATAGCAGCCTAGTTTCCAAGGATGTTAGATGAGGAAGATAATAAGTTTGTGATGTTCTTTATGCAGGCAGAGTGCTCTGTTAATGATGGTGGGGCTTTAGTAATGGTGAAACTGAGATTGAGCGAGAAAAAGAATGGCTCATGGGGAAATAGTATTTATGCAGAGCTGGCAACTAAGCTCTTTGCAAAGTAAACAGATCCTTGGTGAGACACAAGGAGAAGAAAAAGAGAAAGTATTAGAGTTGAATGGGAGGATCCATGTTTTTAGTTGCTCATAAGAACAGTAAGGTGTGGAACAGCTAAAGGGATGTTTCTGGCCCGTAAGAATGGACCAAGGGTTGATGGGCACATGGTTGAAATTGTCTTAGTGTTCAGGTTGAGGTTCAAAGGGAATAATCCAAATGTTGGAACAAGTCACCCTGCCTTTCTCTGTTTCTGTGATGGTTTTCATCTGAGAAATGCTCTCCTTGCTTCCTTTCCCCTTTTGCTGTGCTGCACACAGAGGATGCCTGCCCCCTCATCCGGCTCAGTTGGAAACACACCCAGCCCACAGCCCCTCATGGAGGAGAACACCATCTACTCATCCTGGCAAGAAAGTATGTGCCTAAGGGGCAGGGTGGGGGGTGAAGGACCTGGAACAAAACACCAGTTTCTTGTACTACCAAGTGGCAGCTGATGGAAGGAGAGGCCTTCTGGGGAATTCAAGCTTGTAAGGAGCTTTGGTGCAGCTGCAGGTGCTATAAGGTGGTGGCAGTGGGGAACATGCAACCCTCTTCTTGCTCCCAACTCCCATCAACCCCATTCAGCATGGAGGACCACAGATTTCCCATCTCTGCTGCACAGGCCCCAGTCCTCTGCTCAAAGTTGACCTACAGCCTTTCTCAAACTTGAGTTCCTGGATGTTGTTGGACTACAACTCCCATTATCCCTAGCTACCAGGAAAAGTGGTCAGGGGCGATGGGAGTTGTAGTCCAACAACATCCGGGAACCCATGTTTGCGAAAGGCTAGGACATTTGTGAAAACCCAAACAGCCAACCCCCATGCTGGCAAAAATGTGATAAGGTAAATTGGAGGTGAGGAACCTATTTCAGCCTGAAGGCCAGATTTGAACTTAATCAACTGTCCGGAGACCGTATTGCAATGGTGGATGGGGGCAAAAGTGGATGGAGCAAAACAACACAAGAAAAATTCCTCTGTTAGCACCTCCCCCTGCCCGCCCCCACCTTGTCACCTGACACAGGCAACAGCACCCACACATGCATACATACATGCATGCATGTGGTCACATATACATGCACTTTCATACATCAGACATACTGGCACACAGGCATGTGTTTACATGTGCACACACACTCAGCATTTTTCCAGCCAGTGCTCTCTACCTCAGCACTAGGGTGGCTGGAAAGATCCACCTGCCTGCTCTTTAGATAGGATCTCTCAATCTTGTCCTTAGCGCTAGGATGGGAGAATGAGAGTATAAGGCAGCATTTCTTCCCACCCACCCCCTCCAGCACGGCAGGTGGAAACGCTGCCTTTTGCTCTTATCTCTCATCTAAGTGCGGTGGCGTTCAGCACTAACACTGGAGATAAAGAGATCCCTCTGCCTGCTCTTCAAGCGCTTGTCACCAATCTATTCAGTTCATCTATTTTATTTAACAAACTGTATATACCCCTAAGTGACTTACAAAACATAATGATTAGATTCTGATCCTTAGAACGTGATAGATGTGCTGACTGAGCCAGTAGTCACGCTAAGTTGACTAATAGTAAAAGCCAGAAAATGATGAAATGACGTGAGATGAACGGGAGATGAGAAGGGCTTGTTGGGACAGGCCTGGTGGGGTAGAATAGACCCACAAGCTGAAGGTTCTCCACTATAGAGCTGAATCATTGATAACGTGCCTCCCTTTACTGGTACCCCCCCCGCAAAAAAATCTGCCAACTGAGGTATGGCTGCCAAGCCCCACCTGGAAAGTGAATCCATAGCTGAGCTGAAAAGATTTGAAACCAGGGGTCCAAAGTTCAACACTCTAATAACTGGAGTCACCCAGCTCTTTTGAGCTGACAGCTTTACCCCACTGTTCTTCAAGAGTGTCATGTGCAGTGCTCGCTTTGGCAGCACATATACTAAAAAATTGGAACGATACAGAGAAGATTAGCATGGCCCTTCACAAGGATGACACACAAATTCGTGAAGTGTTTAATAATAATAATAATAATAATAATAATAATAATAATGGAGTGTCATGTGTCCCTTTCAATGATATCAGCATTAGAAACAAAGGACCCTCTAAAACAGGGACAATTAGAGGCAAAGTGTTCTTGACAAGAAGCGTAAAACAAACAGCTTTGTGTGCTCCTATTATTAGATAGGAGTTTCTCCTTAGCTGTTCCCACACTGTTCTGTGCCCCAGTGACTCTATATTTACTGAGGCAGATGGGCAAGCTAAAAAAGGAGTCTCATTTTGGAAGGATGTAAATTCACAAACACCAGTGGATATTATGATGGGGGAATATATGTCTGAAGGGAACAGAGCAGTTCTGAAACAAAGTACCTGCTCCAACCATTGTGCACTCCACAAGGCAGTTAGGATAGCATGGGAGGAGGAGGGGAAGCAAAGCAGTCCCAAAAATGTCTTCAACCATAAAAAAAAAATGAGTCAGGCTCTTTAGATAGAAGCACAACAAAAACATAGGGTCCTCTTCAGATTTCTGAATCCCTTTCCCACCAGAGTTCCACTTGCTCCTCCCCTATCAGTTTGCTCCTCCCCCTTGAGCAGAATACAGTTTTCAAAGTAAGCTAACACATGTGCCCAGCTACTTAATCTTATTTTTGCAGCCTCCACTCATTTTGTGCAGTTTTGGTTACAGTCGTACCTTGGAAGTCGAACGGAATCCGTTCCGGAAGTCCATTCAACTTCCAAAATGTTCGGAAATGAAGCCATGGCTTCTGATTGGCTGCAGGAAACTCCTGCAGCCAGTCGGAAGTCGCGGAACCCATCAGACATTTGGGTTCCAAAGAATGTTTGCAAACCTGAACACTCACTTCCGGGTTTGCAGCGTTAGGGAGCCAAAATGTTCGACTCGCAAGGGGGTTCGACTTCCAAGGTATGAATGTACTCTGGTGGTGTGCAGTTTTGATAAGTTTTTGTTTGCTTATTTTTTTAAAACGTGCGCTCGCAGAGTGTAGTCAGAGCCATGGCGGGGTTGGGAGGAATTAAAACTAAGAACACGCATGGCTTTTGAGGGATTTGTTAACTTTTTGCAATGCCTTCTCAACAGCCTGCGAGTTCCCCGTGTCAGTTTTCCCGACAGAGGCATCTGCAAGATGTCACTTGAAAGGGAACTACCTGATGACGACTCTACCTGAGCACCTGGTGCTGAAGGACATGCACTCCGGGCAAGCCCTCTATACCTGGCCTTATGCCTTCCTCCGAAGATTTGGCCAGGAAAAGGTATGTTGTGTCTGTTTCCTCCTCCAGTGGCCCAGAAAACACCCATCCTCTACTGACTACCCTCAGGAATAGCATCAAAGGCAGGGAACATCCTGTCTTGTCCTGCAGCTTGAGGACAGGGAGTACCCTCATTCCCAGTGGGCTGTGTTAGCAGGCCCTGGTCACACCTTCAGCCGACAGGATGATTTCAAAATAAGCGGACCTGGGACACGGGTGGCACTGTGGGTTAAACCACAGAGCCTAGGACTTGCCAATCAGAAGTTCGGCGGTTCAAATCCCCGCGACGGGGTGAGCTCCCGTTGCTCGGTCCCTGCTCCTGCCAACCTAGCAGTTCGAAAGCACGTCAAAGTGCAAGTAGATAAATAGGTACCGCTCCGGCGGGAAGGTAAACAGTGTTTCCGTGCCTTCTCTGGTTCTCCAGAAGCAGCTTAGTCCTGCTGGCCACATGACCCGGAAGCTGTACGCTGGCTCTCTCGGCCAATAAAGTGAGATGAGCACCACAATCCCAGAGTCGGTCACAACTGGACCTAATGGTCAGGGGTCCCTTTACCTTTACCTTTACAGGGATAGCAGATAAGTCTACCTCACACTTCAGGTGATGCTTCTTGTAGTGTGTTGCTGCTGTTCTGGGAATAGTAGTATCTTTAGTAAATTCACACCCACCCTTTTCTGCCTTGGTGCATTGGGCTAGGAGTTGAAATGCTCACCCTCCCATTATTTCACTATTAACTTGAACACGTAAAAAAATTGTCCATCCACTCTTCTGATTTGACAGTCCTGGAGGCTGGTATATTTCCTCCCGCTGCCCCACCCACCTTCTTAGTTTGCTGCCTGCTCCTGGGACTTTTTAAACCCATCCAGATTAGACTCAGTTAGAGCTATTTCATATGCAGGGACCATAGATCAGCTGCTGAAAGCGTGCTGCACATCCTTTGCATGCCGAAGGCCCCAGATTCTATCCCTGGCATCTCCAGTTAAAAGAAACAGGTAGAAGGCAATGGGGAAGAGTCTCTGCCTGAGAGCTGTGGCAAGCTAAACTGGGCAATCCTGGGCTAGATGGAGAAAATATAGTCCAAACAGATGGACCTTTTGCTGCTGGATGCCAAAGACAAGATGACGGCCTTCCATTCCATGCACAGAAGCTACCTGGGCTGACAGCCGAGTCTTGGCATTGGCACAGCACCCTCTACCACTCCTGGGGGCGGCAGGCTATCCTGGCAGGCAGGAGGGGGTCGAGTGCAGGGCAGCCTAGCTTAAGGGACTTGGAGGAATGATGGTGGATTGCTGCCCTGCCCCCAGTGGTGAATGGTGCCCCTTTGCGACTGGTTGGGAGGAAGGCAGAGAGACCAGCAGCAGGTGGCGCCAGAGCCAATGACCAGGCAGAGCCACCTGTGACAGGTTGTAAGAAAGAAGGCAGGTTGGGGTTGGCTGAGGGCAGGCTGAGTTTGGTGGGACAGGGCTCCCTTTGCCCTGAATGGACCAGCCTGTGTTGCCTGCCCTCCCCCAGCATCTGCCCCCCTGCTTGGCCCTAATGGTAGGGCTGCCCTTGAGTCTGGCCCAATATAAGGCCTCTTCCAGGGTAAATCTCTGCCATGTCCAGCTAAAAGGATTTTGGGTGGCATAGCAAGAGGAAATGTCTGCCTGAGATGCCGCAGAGCCACCGCCCATCATAATCCTGGGCTAAAAGGTCCCATTGACTTAAATCAGCAACTTCTATCTAGTCTGTTTTTCTTGGATCTGTCTCCAATGAGGCTCAGCATCACTGCTGATCCACACCATACATGAAAAGCGCATCCAGTGTGTGTTCAAAGTGCATGGCTTTCCCCAAAAAGGAACCCTGGGAAACGGTAGTTTGTTGAGGCTGCTGGGCACTGTGGAACTACACTTCCCAGGCTTCTTTGGAGTTCCTTAAATGTTTGTTGGGTGTGCTTTAAATGTTTGGTGCTGCTCTGATTTGTTTTGCCTTAGATGCTGCAGGGGAAAGTTGCGCAGAGATCTCAATGATGGCCAAGTATGAGAATCACCTTAAGAAAGCACCTTTGTGTTCCCCCATTCTCTCCCCAGACGGTGTTCTCCTTTGAGGCCGGGCGCCGCTGTGACTCCGGAGAGGGCCTCTTTATCTTTAACACCGTACGGGCTGCGGAGATCTGCCGAGCTGTCTCGGCTTCCATAGACCGCCAGAAAGCCACTCTTCTGGAGAGAGACAAGAAAGCCGGCATCTCCCCAGCCCAGGACTGTGTGCAGAAAGCAGGGGGCTGGTCCTGGCCCACCAGCCCGGAGAGCCCAGAGGCAGTGCAGCCGCTGTACGAAAGAACGCCAAAGGGAAGTGTGGACATGGGGTACTCGGCAGCGCCTCCTGGCGGCAGCCGCTCCATTTCCCCAGAGTTCAAGGCTTCCGACTCGCCCATCATCTACGCTTCCATTGGCAAGAGCTTCCCTCTCCCGTTCCAGCCCTCGGGCAAGGCAGAGGCAGAACCCAAAGCGGGAAGAGAGCAGGGCTCGGACCACCTCTATGAGAATCTGCGCAGTCTGGAGCAGCAGGCCCTCTGCGCGGAGCCTCTGAGCCTCGGCTACAGAGACTCCCCTGAGGGCAGCGGCAGCAACGGGGGGTCGCCGATCTACGACAACAGCCCCGTAGTGGCAAGGCGCTCCAACAGTAACCCTGGCTTCAATCCCAGCGCTGTGGGGGCTGACCCTACCCCAGACAGCCAGTGCCCTCCTCCCTTGCTGGATTGCCAGGGGCCCGAAAGCGGAGGTGAGGGCCGGGCCAGGGCCAAGGCCAGAGGGGCTGGGGCCTTCAAGCACAAGCTGGTCACTATGTTGAGCCGGGATGGAGGAGCCAGCAAAGCAGCCGGCAAGAACGCAGGCTCAATGGACAAAGCATGATGGATCCCTCCAGCTGCCTGGGGTTTGGGGAGCCCCTTCCGCCAATTTAATCTCCTATTCCTCCTCTGCATCCTCCTTATCAAGACTTTGGCAGGCGGGATCTATGTGACCTCAAGACGCAGCTTCTCAAATCGTTAGATAGTGACACGGTGGAGGCAAGGCTGGTTAGATGCCCTCAGCTCCATTGTGTCAGCCTTGGTTCCTCAGGTGAAGCATGTCTAGCTTGGGAACAAGGGGATCTGAGGGACCAGGTGGGTGAGGTGTACATTTTGGGTTTTCTTTTTTCCTTTGTGTCTCAATAAATAAATAAAACCACGTTTCTTGGGTTATCAAGTCCCTCTGTTGATGCGGATTCTGCTTGGCTCTTTGTCTCTTTGCTCTTTTGCTTTTGAGACCACCTGTCACTGCTGCACTTCCCAGGGAGGGATCTTCTCATGGAAACCCCCTTGTTGATGTTATGAGCGCCAGCCTCACTCGGTGGTGAAGGGCATTCTTGCTTGGCAAGTGCTAAATCCCTGGGATCTCTGGATGCAGGGCTGGGAAAAGCATCCATGTGACATCTTGGAGAACCCATGCCAGTCAGCACAGTATCACATAGCCCTCAACTGTCCTGAAAAAACTGGGACATCCCACCACCTAGGAGCATGGCAGCCATTTTGGGCGTCACAATCTCACCCTGAAAAAAGTGCTTTTTTGGGGCCGTGATCTTGCACGAGTCACATGACTCATGCAGTAGCGCAGCCCCGGAAGATGGTGTCCTAGATTTTCGTCATGACGCGTTGGAGGGTATGGTATCAGACTCCCTAGATAGCCCATGGCCTGACCTAAGGCACCTTCCTCTGTTCTTATCCATTTAGTATCCTAGCACCGTCCTTTTATTGAAGTGATGGGGAATCTTTAGCCCTCTTGGACTCCATCAGTCCTACCAAGCATAGCCAATGACAAGTTGTTGTAGTCCAACAACATATCAAAGGCCATAGGTTCCTCTTTTTGCCCCCCCCCCCTTTTTTTTTTTTGCATGCTATAGTACAGTATGATGAGCTTCAAGTAATTGCTCTCTTCTTGCACTAGAGGGCAATATGCCCTTTGCATGTAACTGAGCTCCAGCTTGCTCCATGTCAGCCCCATGGAGACAAAGGTGAACCTTGCGTGGCTTTCATGTTCTGCTGACCAGTCAGTTGTGAATGGAACGTGTGCTATTGTGAGGAGAGTTTTCTTTTAAATTATGTCTTGGAGTGGCCATTTCCTATTGTAAAGAGTAAATTCCTGAGTTGGAATAATGGGGTGACCCTCAACAGACCTCTAGATTCCAACCTCCCTTTTCCTTCTAATCTCTTCTTCATTTATTTCTCTGGTGTTTCTGGGCATTAAGTTGCCCGGAGTATGAATTCAGCAGTACTTAAGAGTACCAAGAGGTTTTGCTGTCTGGAACAAGAACCCCCCCCCCCACACACACCCTGGCCCACCAGTCCAAATTGCATGTAACAGTACAGAAGACAACTGTTCTGGCATTTTCTTTCACTATGTATATGCCACACTTGTAAAGCACATTGCCTCATCCCACCCTAAAAGAGATTCTGGGAACTGTAGTTGGTTAAAGGTGCTGGAAATTGCAGCTCTACGAGGAGTAAACTGCAGTTCCCAGGATTCTCTTGTGTGTGTGAGTGCTTTAAATGGTGTGTATGGAACCAGCTACACACCAGAGGGCAGCAGGTGAGCTTAGAGGCTGTGGTGCAGATCAGATGGTGGCACACCCCTTTCTGTCTGCTCCGCGGGCCCTCCGCACCCGCCGCCTGAGGCAGTTGTCTCACTCTACCTAATGGTAGAGCCAGCCCTGAGAAGAGCAACAGTTGTCATCAGTGGGCTCCAAAAGTCACGACCCGGAAAGAGTAGCATTAGGTCTGTCACCACATTCTGTGTGGAGTGCAGCCCCAAAGACATATGAGGAGGAGCTGGTATAGCACCGTGCTTATGAGTAATATCTGAAGGAAAGTTCATTTAAAATAAGAGAGGGGACTGTGGCATTCTGAAACATGGGCCAAATCTTAAAATGCAAGCCATGGCAGAGCAGCTTTCCAATAAGGAGATGAGGGAAGTGTGTGTGTCTCTTTCACAGCGAGGCAGCTCTGTTGTTAAGAGGCTGCGTTGCACATGCAGAGAGTGGAAGAGGGATTTCCCTTTGGCGCCATCTGAGGATAATAACGGAGCCACTTCCTGCTCTGCTTTGCTAAGCAAATCCAGATGTGGGCCTTCTGAATAGAAGCAGCAGGCAGCTTGCTGTAAACAACTCCAGGCCTCAATCAAAAGGATGGCGGCAGCCGCTGCTCTGCCAGCGCAGTAGCCTAACCCTGTGGTTCAAGAGGAAGCTCTGCCTGAAGAACCCACCACAAGACAGATCAGACAATGCCAAGCTCCTTATGAATGCATTTGTGTGAGGTAGGAGGGTGAGGGGCACACATATCTATTACTTTGGTGTGATTTTGGGGCAGGTAGCAATGGATCCCAGTTGCTTTAGGCTCTCTGAACTCAGATCCAGCAGTTCAATCCAAGACTGGCGGTGCGAGGAGGGAGGGCGGGGAGAGAGAAAGTTTTATTAGCAGGATGGTTTTCATTTGGGTAGCTCTGAAGCGTAAAATGAAGGCAGGGCCATATGGCTGTTGCAGTGCCAGTTTATGTCCAGCAGAGGGAGTCAGATTATCAGATTCCTCTGCTGGTACTTAATTGGACTTTAAGCAGAAGGAAAGTAGGCGGCATCCATTAACTGCTTGCATTTTGGGGTAGCATTTTTCAAGGATGTAAATAAATCCAGGTTTCCAGTAGCATCTTTTTAAAAAATGGGTTTGCTGACCAGCACCTAAGTGGGTGCTGTAGAGGGCAGAAAGAGGGTTTCTTCTGCTCTGTGTTTAGGTCACTTTCTCGTAATCATAGAATCATAGAAATAAAGTATGGAAATAAAGGTCTAGGGTGGTTTCATTAATCAAAGCAACTGCTCCTGACTTGGACATATGAGCAGAGGCCAGGCGAGCTGCCTTGATCAGATAATGCATGGTGTTCTGGGGAAACATGTCATCGTCGTCTTTGGCAATCGCTTGTAGAAGAGTAAGATTGTCTTCCGTGAACACGGTCTTAACAGTGAGTCCATAAGTGTCTGTGGAGGCCAATTCTGGATCCACACGTCCTTCCACAGCGGGGACATAGGTTTCCAGGCAGGAGTTGATCATGGTGAGGGTTTGCCAAACGTGCCTTCCTCTTAGCACGTTTCTCCCTTTTGTCCTGAGTTCGAGTGTCTTCAAAGTCCATGACACCTTTGGTAAAGGCTGTTCTCCAATTAGAGCACCATCAACGGTGTCTCTGAAAATTTTTACATATCACTTGGGGGGACATGTGTGGTTACCATGACCAGGACTGCAATTGTAGGGGTATCTGTAGGAACTGTACTCGGTACAGTTGTCAGCTGACCATTGGCCCAGTTTTCCTGCTACTGCAAAACCAATAACTTCTTGACAAATCCTCCATGTGCATAATTGCCAGCAATTGAAACTTCAAAAGAGGGAGCTCTAAATTCCACTCCTACCTGAAAAAGCCCATACACGCTCTGCCCCTGCTGGCTGACCCCCGACCTATGTTGAAAGAAAAGCAAATAAATCTAGGTACTGAACTATTTGCATTCATTTCAGATTACATCCCTAAATCTTTGTTCTTTAAAGGAAAAAGACCAAGACCAGGTTAAAAATGAACACAGCTTCACCCTTCCTGTTTTGTTTTGCTCTGCCCTCATCCACCAGTTTGTTCCTCCCCCACTCCCACCATGTTTCTGCTTTTGATGGCACAATAACTTAAGAGTATGTGGGATTAAAGTGGTTTAAAGGAAACTACTAGGTGTTTTATTGAAAGAGCACTGTGGTCAGTGGTCAGAGCAGTAGATTAAGAGCAAGGAGACGTGGGATCAAATCCCCAGTTGGCTATTATTCTCACTGGTTAACCTTGATCCGCTCTCTCCGCCCCGTCCTACCCCCACAGAGCTGTTGCGATGACAAACAGGGAACGAAGAACCACTGAGATCCTTGGAAGAGGAGTGGGATAAAAATGAAATAAATCTATTTGTTTACCTCCCGCAGAGAGAAACTTGGCAGCCTCCTCTGGCTGAAGCAGCAAAGCTAAACATTGCTTTCAACCTCCTCCGCCTTGATCCTTTATCCTGTGTGTAGAAATCATAGCTGATGCATAAAGACCAGGGAGCCCTCCTGATCCCAGCACCTTTTAACAGTGACAGTGCTAAGTAATGAGTACTTCGGAGACCTCACTGGGAAAGAACTGGCTTCTTTCCAGGTTAAAACGTTAAGTTTCATGACTTACAGAATCTGCCGTTTTGAGATTTGTCAGCCCGCTTCTAACATGCGCTGAGTATGAATCACTGAATTCTGCCTTAAATAGAAGAGAAAGTGACTGGAGATTTCCAGAGAGGGAGAGGGGGCTGAGAAGTTGCCTTATTCAGCTGCTATTTTGCTTTGGATCAGCGGCTTCCCCTGGCTCTGTGCTGGGTTTTAATAGGCATCCTAGAGAGGCAAGTCACACAACGCTTGTGAGATGTCCTCTGAGGGATTTCAGATGCTATGAGCTTGCGTACTCGTTCCCCACACAGAACTGTGGCTCCCTGCATTCTGTATAGTGATGTTTTATTTACAGCCTTGTGTGCCAACAAACAACAATATCCAAAACATTTTTGCATGATCAGAATGCTTCCCCCCATCTCCATCTTTAGTTTTGTTTTTTCCAAATAGGCTACATGGCCTTATGCCAAGCACTTTTTATACCATACTTTCCTGCCACTTTCCTTAGCTCCAATATCTGACTTTTTTTGTCTTCTTGTTGCCCATTCTGGATGCCACTGCCTATACATACATAGCATGATGTCAGTTTTGTTGCCTGTGCACATTCTGGAACAGGAACTTCCTGTGCTCCTGGTCCTTTGTTTTTACAGAGTGCTTTCAGGGGCTGGCTTCACCTGGGGAAAGCTCTGCAAATTTGAAAGTAAAACAAAAGGACTTGCTGTCATCAGAGCTATTGACCGTGGATTTATGGTCCAGTAGACTTTGGACTAGCTGTGGTCAGCGTGTGACATCTGGCTTGTGGGTGTCCTACATTTTGGCATAGGAACACAGTGGTCACCCATGAAGAACTACGGTCACTGAAGAAAGCTGAGCTCCAGAGAGGGGCCATAACTCAATGGCACTCTGTATGTACTGCATTTGCATGCAGGTTCAAATGTGAGATCTCTCTACGTTAAAAGGGCCTTGGGTAGCAGAAATGGGAAAGGCTCCCCATGAGAGTCACATCTTGGAGAGTCACATGTGGACGGAGCCCACTGACCTTTCTAGCTCAGTAAAAGGAGCTTCATGTCTGCTTGACGGCTAGAAGCCTTATTTTCAGTGGGGAGAGGATTGCTCTTCTCCCCCATGGTACCAATGTTAAAAGGGGAATTTATGCATCCTTTGCAGGTTCTGTTGTTCATCCTGCCTCCATAGTTGTGCTTGGCCTGCTATATTGAACTACAGTGGTACCTCTGGTTGCGAATGGGATCTGTTCTGGAGGCCCATTCGCAACCTGAAAAGAATGCAACCTGTGTCTGCGCACGCACTGGTCACGATTTGCCGCTTCTGCGCATGCATGTGACATCATTTTGCATGTCTGCACATGCACAAGCGGCAAAACCCAGAAGTAACCCTTTCCGGTCTCCATGGGATGCAACCTGAAAACGTGCAACCTGAAGCAAACGTAAAATGAGGTATGACTGTAGTGAGACATTGGCAGTGTCTGTTAATACCTGTGTTGTGTTGCAGTTGCACAAAACACATTCCTGCATACTGTACCATGGAAAAGTTTGGGCACCCTGCAAAAAAGCATTTCAGATTCCTTCGCCATGTATTGGACAGGAGCTTTTCTCTGTTCTTCCCCTAAAAGTAAAGGTAAAGGGACCCCTGACCATTAGGTCCAGTCGTGACTGATTCTGGGATTGTGGCGCTCATCTCGCTTTATTGGCCGAGGGAGCCGGCATACAGCTTCCGGGTCATGTGGCTAGCATGACTAAGCTGCTTCTGGCGAACCAGAGCAGCGTACGGAAACGCCGTTTACCTTCCCTCTGGAGCGGTATCTATTTATCCACTTGCACTAGGTACAAAAACTCATTTCTCTTTTTTCCAAAGAGAAATTGTGTGTACACCAGGCATAGGCAAACTCAACTCTCCATATGTTTTGGGACTACAATTCCCATCATCCCTGACCACTGGTCCTGTTAGCTAGGGATGATGGGAGTTGTATTCCCAAAACATATGGAGGGCCGAGTTCACCTATGCCTGGTGCTGGCCCTGCCACTAGCTTTCAAGCATCTTGGCTGTGTGAAGCAGCTGCAGTAAAAATAATAACCATGACGCTGGTGAAGGTGGGGGCTGGGAATTCCACAGCTTAGGGGCTGCCGCAGGGAATGCCCTCCCCCGATTAATAAAGCGCCTCTTCAGTTCCTGAGCATGTGCAGAATGCTGCGAGTGACCCACAAGCACCTCCCACCTCACAAGCAACAGCGAGGAGATCTTTCAGAGGCGAAACTAGGATTTCCAGAAGGAAGGACGGGGCTGTACCAATCCTATTTGGCGGGGCTTGGGCGGCAGCTGCGCAAGGAGACGCCGCCCTCCTGGGCGCAACATCCGCGGAGGGCGCGGCGATTTCGGCGCCGCGCTCCGCCCTTTCTCCTCCAGCCAGGGGACGCGGGCGCCGCACACCTCCAATAGGGGGCGCGCTTACGCCGAGCAAGCGCCCCCGACGGCGCGCATGCGCTTCTACCTAGCAGGCGGCGCGCTTGTTGAATGGTGAGGCGGGAGGGGGCAGCAGGGGGCGGGGCTTGCGCTTGAACTGCTGAGCAGGCGGAGCCCCGCCGGAGAGAGATATATAAGGGCTCCGTGGGTGCCGGCGGCGCTGCGGCTGAGACGGGGCGGCGGAGGCTGCTCAGTAGCTCCGCCCTTCTCTGAGGAGGTCGCGCGCGGGGACCTTGCAGGTATTGCATCCCGTCCCTGGTTGGAGTTGGCGGTGGGTGAGGAAAGGGAAAGTGATGTGGCTTTTCTGGGGACTCGTGTGGGCAGAGAAGGGCGTCGGGGTGACATGAGTGCCTCTTTCCCCACATATCCCCACCCCCTTCTCCATCCCAGTCATGCTTTAGGTCAGATGTGAACGAGAGTTTGTGCCTCTCTTCACTCGCGCCCCCCCTTGTACTTTCCCTTTCTGTGTTTTCCCACGCGCTTCTCTCTCTCTCCCCGGCTCCCCGTGGCGCAGGAGTGTGTACTTTAGGAAGTCTCCTGGGTGCCCCCCCTGTTCTTTTTTCCATAGGGACGTCCTCTTGCCGTGGGGCTGGGGCGTGCCCCCTAGCCGTGCGTTAGCGGTGTCTCAGCGAGACTAGCGTGTTGCTCATGGCACCAGGATGTAACCGTCACCCTCGGTTTCCTGCGGCGGCTCGGAGCAGGGACGTCCCGTTTCGTGGGTGTGATGGCTGGTAGGGATCCCCTCTTGAGCCGAGGGAAGGGGCTGGTGCTGGAGGCCCCCGTCGCAGGAGTGAGTCTCTCCCGGGGCTCCTCGCCGTCAAGGGTCTGAACCTGGACATGCATGCGCCCGCACACGTCCCTCCTGGCTCCCCGCTCTTCTCCTGGGCGTCTATTCTCGTCGTTCATCTAAAAGTGTCTCTGAGCTGTAACTTAATATTGCAGCATGTCCAGGAGGTCTGAATTCCAGAAGGGCTGTGAACAAGCATTGCGCCTGCGGCGGTCAGTGTCGAGATGGCACAAGTATGGCTGTTTCTTCAGTGACTTTCATAGGCTTTCTTAAAATTATGGGTCGTGTTCCTGATAAACTTTTTTTTCCTGTGTTATCAAGCGCAACTTCAAAAAACCCACATGAGGTGCAGTTGGCCCTTGAGCTTGGTGGCCTTGTTTGTGAAGATTTGTGGAAAGCATTCCACAATAGAAATGTTCACTGGGAGGGGCAGATTTTTCATGCTTTTTGGGCTTCCAAGTATATTTGGCTGGCTGCTGTTAGAAAGAGGATGCTGGCCTTGGTCTGATCCTGCAGGGCTGCTATCAGGACCACCTAGAAATTCTGTGAGAGTTTGCTATTAACCTCTAGACTTCTTCTGTGCATATATATTGAGCAAATGTGTTTAATAATGAAGGGGGCAGACATAACCTGTCATATTTATCACAAATCCTTGCCTGCTTTGGATCATGGAGTAAAGACCCAGCAGCACCCGTTACTGATGTGAAGGGATGCTTCACACAAGCAAAGGAGGCAGGCACCTGACTTTATTTCACTCAAGGCTTTTATTTGATGACCCTCTTCATTGTGTGAAAGAAAAAAGTGGTGGCAGGAGGGATGGGGGGGGGGGAAGCAGGAGGACTGAGGGAAAAGAACTTTTCCAGGAGTTGGGGAGAGAGTGAGTGCAGCATTTTCCTGCTGGTCTATTTATTGCTCATCCAGCTCTTTCCTTCCTTGAGGGCTGCCAGCTGAATCCACAAAAACAAAAAATAAACTTGGTCATCATCTGGAGATATGCGCACAAGGGGCAAAAGGGGAGAAATGGAGCCTGGTGCATCCTCCATTCCCATGTGACGTTATCCAGAGAGGGTGAGGACAAATATCATGAGGTTTGCCAGGTGCTGGAGGTTTTAATATGGCAGCCTCCTAGGGTGGAATTTGCTTTCCCAAAGTCCAGGAAGAGCTGTTGTGCAAAGTGAAAAAAGTTTCCGCTCAGTGTTTCTCAGCAGTGTGATGAAGTGTACTTCTGATTCCTTTTGTGCCTGGGACCAGTATTTTTCTTTTAAAACTTGCTTCCTTGTGGATAAGCGTTCTTTTAGTATTTTAATTCTGCAAGAGAATTGGCAGCTGCTTGTTAAAAATGAGAATTTGGCAAACTTTAATTTAGTGCTGGCAAATGTGTAGAAATGTATCCGGATTTAAAACGACAACAACCGCAGCAGATATTCTTGCTGTGCCGTTTTATTTTGCAGGGTAGTCTTCGTTTCAAGAATGCATTTATTTATTCTTGCCGCCCTGGCTGTTCAGTTGTCTTGTAATGGGCTATCTCCTTTTCTTGGTTCTTCAACTTAATGCACCTCAGCCCTGCCCTTCCCCTGTTATTCTTGCCTTCTGTCAGGCACTTCCAGGAAGTGCTTTATCAGTGCATAGACTTCTTATCCTGCCAGATGGGCTCCTTGCAGTCTAGTCTGGTCCCTTAGACCTGAGCTGGGTAGGGGGCATTAACTAGGCAGCAGCGTGGCACACAACCTGATTCTGCTCACTAGTGATCTTCTGAATTCAGCTTGATTTCTGTTTCTTTTTCACCATGCCTTGGCTTTTTCCAAACTTCATTTACTTATCCTGAGAGCAGCTAGCTCTTGATGCCCCATTCATTTCACTGTTTTTCAGCCCAACGGGAATCTCTTGTGGGCCACCTTCTGAGGAGGGGGACATGCCAGTGATGGGCAGGGCTGTGGGCAAAAGTGGGCAGAGCCCAATGGATGTTTCTCTACACTGGGCTCTGTTACAGCCGTGCGAAAGACAGAGCGGTTTCTGCATTCCCACCCACACCATCTCTTCGTCCTGCTCCTGGGCAGCCAAGAGGCATTGCAGCTCAAGGAGGGCGTGGAGCAGGACCAACTGGGTGTGTGGTTTCAATGGGGGGAGGCATGGGATGGAGAAAGTCCCAAGGGCTGGATAGAGAGCCATGCAGGATTGCATTGGGACCCTGGGACTCAGGCTTACAGGCCACACAGCATGTCGTCTAAGCCTTGTTTGCTGTGTCCTCCCTGGAACTGCTTGGCTGAGGTTGCCACGGGTTTGTAGATGCTGTGTGGAAACTTCAAAGCAGGCAGAACAACTCCTGAGCGAGCGCTCACTGTGAGAGCAGAGGCCCGAGGGGCTGTTCCTTCAGCCCAGTGGCACAAGGCTCCGTCCAGGCATGTTTTGCCGACTCAGCCTTGGGAGGAGGAGGAGGGAGAAATCAACGCTCCCTGCCTCTTCCTAGCCGAGCACATTCCTTTGCCATTCCCATGGAGAAGAAGGTATTAAGCTGCTGCTGAAATCCCTCCAAGCTGAAGTGTCCCAGCCTGGCAGGGAGGGATGGTACAAGCTGGTACTCTGCCTGTGAGGGGCTCCACCTTTGTCTGTCTGGCAGAGGGAGCTCTCCGAGAAGGCCCTGCTGCAGCTCTTTGTACTGGATGGGAAGGGGTGTCCTAGATCCCAGCCCAAAATAACACTGTCTTCCTGGGTTGTGTTTCTGTTTTTCTCTCTCCCTTCCCTTTCTCCTTTCCCCTCCTGGATTGTCCTGATTTCCTCTGTTTAGACCCAGCCAGGAAGTTATGTTTTCAGCACTCATTTGCATCTCTCCCAGTCCTGATGAGCAACCACTGGAATATGGCAGTGCTGTCTTGCATGCCTTATATAGACAACAAACTGCCTGGGGAGAATGGGAGGGGAGGGTGAAGGGAGTATTTTGTGTCCAGAAGGCAATTTTTGATTGCTTTTGCTATATAGTAGGGGTGCGTTGACTGGGAAACGCCAAAAGCAGTGAAGTGCCATAGCTGCACCTAACAAAAGCCATCTCTTAAGTAATTAGGAACAAATTGAAGGCTTTTCTTTTGGTGCCTTGATCAGCCAGCAGCTGCCTAAAACACAAAGTATAGGAACAGAGCAATTATTCTGTCTTTCCATCCTAATCCCTGGATCCCCCCCCCCCCCATTCTTGAATGTTCATATTATCAAGTTGGAATCTCCTATGTCAGCTGTAGGGGATGCATTTATTTTAAAAAATGGCACTTGCAGACCCTACAAGCACTTCATGAGTTGTTACTGATTGATACGAGCGGGGTCAGACTCTGTCTTGTCCAGATTAAAATTGTGCTAATGGCCTCTGTTTGAGGATGGGGGGATGATAACTAATTCATATCTGTTTTTTGAGTGAGGGCTTAAATTGGGTTGGCCTGTGGGGAAGCCATTTAGACTCTGGTTGTGTGAATAGGTTTCACGTGCCATTCTAGTGGCTGGACGTGGCAAGTCCATTTACACAACTACTTCAAATGCTTACAGTGGTGCCTCGCAAGACGAAATTAATCCGTTCCGCGAGTCTCTTCGTCTAGCGGTTTATTCGTCTTGCGAAGCAACCCTATTAGCGGCTTAGCGGATTAGCACTATTGGCGGTTTAGCGGCTATTAAAGGCTTAGCGGCTTAGCGGCTAAAAGGCTATTAGCGGCTTAGCGGCTAAAAGGCTATTAGCGGCTTAGCGGCTTAGAAAAAGGGGGGGGAGCGAAAAAAATCTCAAGACTCGCAAGACATTTTCGTCTTGCGAAGCAAGCCCATAGGGAAATTCGTCCTGTGAAGCGCATCGAAAAATGGAAAACCCTTTCGTCTAGCGGGTTTTTCGTCTTGCGAGGCATTCGTTTTGCGGGGCACCACTGTATATTGATTCGAGCTAACCAAGCTCAAAATGAGCCCACCCAAAGACGAGGTGGGATTTGCCCGGAATATGCATTTCATATATGATTCCTGCATACAGAGGTTCTCGGTTTCACATATATTGTCAAAACGAGGAAAACAAACTTTTCTGTGGTATTGGTAGGCCGAGTCCTTGGAAAGGAAATGCTTCCTCAGTATCTTTGTGTGGTGCTTCCGCCTCTGCCATTTATTGCCTGATGCACTAGGATAGCCTTTGGGAGTTTAGACTAAAGACAGTGAAACGTATTCTCTGACATCTCTAGGTAGGTCTGGGAATCTGAAACCTAGTGGAGACCTGATTCCAGTCAGTGTAGACTAGATGTGGCCCTCTGGATGTTGCTGAATTACAACTTCCATCATCCCTTGCTGGGGCTGAGAGGAGTTGCTATTCAGCAATGTGTGGAAGGCCAAAGGTTCCCCACACCTGGTGTAAACAATACTGAGCTAGATGGACCCAATAGTCTAATTTGGTATAAGGCTGCTTCCTTTGTCCCTAAAGGAAAAGCTGAAGAGCATTGCTGTGGGGAGGAGGCAGGGATGGGCTGGGGTAGGATGAAGGGCAGTGCTTAGGCCTTGGTGCCAACTTCCAGGGAAGGAGCTTTTACTTCCCTTTGCCCTCACTTGGGGCAGCCAAGGCTCTACTGTGTGAGGCGGATGTTTCCTGTTCTTCAGTTGTCCTCTCCCAGCTCTCCTGTCCCTTGCTGCATCACTTTTAAAGCTAATAATCTCTTCTCCTCCCCAGAAATGAGTGACATGGACTCATACAAGGTGCTGCTGGATGGGCCGGCGCCATGGGGCTTCAGGCTGCAGGGTGGCAAGGACTTCAACATGCCACTCTCCATCTCCAGGGTAAGTCATGAAGAAGCTCTTTCTCAGGGAACTATGCTAGTCCTTGCTGGTCAGCCATGGTTGTTTTCTTCCGTTGCTTCCATTCATTTCCTAGGTTCAAGCACTCTCACATCTCTGTTGTGTGCTGGTCTCTTTATCACAAAGGAAAAGAAAGGCAAAAGGTCTCCCCACACCCACCCCGCCCAGAGCTGCCAGCCTTCTTTGCACTCATGATGTAATGAGAAGGTCCTCAGCATTCAGCCTGTTACTTGATCTTGGGCTCCTTGGGGCTCCTGCGCTCTATTTTTGGATCTGTGGCAATGGTTCTTGCCTGTGGCTGGGTGGAGCTAACTTGGGGTTTGTGGTAATGTGAATATGATATTCCGGCTGTTCCAAGAGTGATGCCAAGGCGTGTAACTTAGTCGATCTTAATGCCAGCTTCTAGGGGACAGCAATCTGGCTTTGACTTGTAGTTGGCAGCTGATTCTGTTGGTACCTAATCAATCAAACCTCTCTGTCCAGATGATGCTTTCTTTAGGCTCCCCCTTCTTCTTTTTTGCATATTCATGAATCTCCTGTTTGGGTGAAGTGGGGCTGACTTCTTTAGGATGAGAAATAAGGCACACAGTCTCTCCCCTCTGGGTGGCTTCTTGGGATCTCCACCCACTCTCTGCTGGAGCAGAAATGAAATTCAACCCCACACTCCTAGCCCAGGCACCGGGAGATGCCAGCAGTGTTTGTTTCATCTTCTAAATGCCTTCTGCCAGAACGTCAAGAGCTGACCTTTAGCCCTGGATAGTGGAGTGCAGAGTACGGCCAAGCAGGCCCTACTTTTTCCTGTGCTGTCAATGAGGCTCAAGGTCATGCTGGACCACTCTCTGGTTGACACTGGTTCGAATCTCGTCACATCCATAAACACACAGAACAGTTTTAAGGCTTGCGGCTGGATTAGAGCCTTGGCTTCCCACCTGCAATATAGGAATCATAGGGGCCTACTTCACAGGGTCGCACTGAGGATGTGTGTGAAGTGCTTCCAGCACTTGAGCACCTCGTAGCCAAGCACTAAGTATTCTACTTCTGTTGAAATTGGCAACACCCTGCCGCTTAGTAGTAATAATAAGGACTCTCTTGATGCTCCCCATTCTTCTTGGAACTGGTATACCCCAAGGCTTTCCTTCTGGGCTTGAAGGAGCCCCTGCTCATCCTGGACTGCCAACCCATGAGAGCCACTCCTGACCTGAAAGCTCCCCTTTGGACTGGCTTGGGTGCTCGCATGCTGGACGGCTTGCAGACAACTCCTGCTCTGCTCGCCTTTTGCCTTATAAGCCTTGGAATGCTGAGTGCAGCCGCTGCTGCTGTTGCTGACGCTTGCAGCCGCTTGGCAAAGCGGAATGTTTCTCTATAAACGAGAAGCCCCAAGGGCTGGAGAAAGGCACCAGAAAGCCCCCTCTCCATTGCTCCACAGCCAGGCACTTTCCCCACCCACATGCTGCTTATAGTCCTCCACATCTTTTGCAGCACCATCTCTTCCCCGCCCCCCCACTAATTGGTTTCCCCATCAGTTGTGTGCTGGAGGTTTTGTTTGTACTTTCTCTGCTGCTCTGTTCCTAGCTATTCTTCCCAGCCCATCTCTGGGGACGCTCTGCTTTCCTGCTTGGAGGGCTTTGTGCTGAGGCAGCCTCCGCTGTTTTTGTTCCCTCACTCTCTCCCTTTTTTAAAAAAAAGAGTTTCTCCTGGCTCGCGGCCAATCCTTAGCAAAGCCCCTGCCTAGACAGGGGAGAGCCTCTCTGCAGAGAGACCCCAGCTAGCGCCTCCCGCAAACATACCAGAGGCTAGAGCAGCAGCAGCAGCAGCAGCACCCTTCCCCTCCTTTCCCCTGTGCTAGCATGCCACAGCCCATCCCTCTTGCAAGAAGTATGAGAGCTCCTTTGTGGCCAGGCCTTGAGAAAGACTTTCCTTCCTGTGCTCTTTGGGGAGGGTGGCTTGCTGCGTTTGGCTGTGGCTATCACAGGATGGCCAGGGCCTCACTTGTTAGGCCATTGTGCTAATGCTCAGGCAGCTACAGGTGGCTACAGTCAGCCGGTACTCCTGTGGTTTGGCTGTAGGCCCTCCCTTGGCAAGGCTCCTGGCATCTGTAGCAGCTTCAGAGGGAGTGTTGTGCAATGTTCCCTGTCCCACTAAGTGAACTGGGGCTTAGCTGTTCTGGGCTGTTGTGATGGCATTTTAGGTTCCAGGTTGCGGTTGCCAAACCGAATGTCGTCTTGCCATTTGGGGGCAAGGCGGCTAAAGTCTTATTTTCTCAGTTAAACTTCTTTGCTAGATCAGATGACAACCTTGAGCTAGGTTAAGAACTTTAAGAACTTAGAAAAGAAAAGTCCCTTTATCCAGGGACAGTCCACATATATCCCACCTTTTTTACTTAATGAGGACACAGACCATTCATAACGTAAGAATATTCTTCACAACTGTGAGCAGGGCAGTAGGGTAGGTGAAGATAAGATACAGCAATTAGCTATAACGTTGGTTACAGCTCCTGCTCAGGTGGCACAGAAAAAGCATTTTGGTTCCTGAAATTCATTCTGATTGTGCAGATAAAATATAACTGATAGAATTCTACAGGATGTGGTATTAGCGTGTGAAAACAATCCAGATCCAATGATTTCCAGGTATGCACCTCCAGGTGGTGGAGATGTCAGGCATCATCCTGGCACCCAGGCATCTTCACTTGGTTGCAAGTCGCTAATAGCCAGGTGCAAAATGCACCTGATAACCTGGCTAATTTAAAACACTGCTTTTGTCCTCCACTGTCCCAGACCTTGGGGAGGCGGCAGTATTTTTTTACCACGCAATGCACTTTTCTCTTCCTGGTTGAGAGATGTGGGATTTAGCATTCCCATTAATAAGAAATGCTAAACTTTGCAAAAGTGCTTCCTGATTTGATGCTGCATGCCAGATGTCAGCAGACAGGTGTGAGAGAAGAAGGCAGGGGCTTGTAAAAGTAGTGAGAATTGGGTAGAAGGGTTTCTCTTCTGCTAAAATAATTTGCTAGGCCAAAATTAAAAAACAGTAATGCATATGGTTGCAATCTATATTAGATATAGGGGGGGGGGAGGCAAGGAGAGAAGCTCTGGTGGTGGAGGGGGGCCTGTTGAGTAATAGGTAGGAAGCACAGCAGTGTGAAATGTCTGTCTGGTTGTCTGATGCAAATGCTTCTATCTCATGAGATGAAAGGCCTTGCATGGAAAATAAACAGGAAGTAGGGCGAAAACAGATCCTGCATTTATTGGGACTGAGCCTCCCCCAGTGCAAATATTAGTAACAGACCTTGTAGAGCTGAATACACCTTGAATCTGACTGCCATCTTCAAAACTGCCAGCGGTGTTGACTCTTAGTAGGACCTAAATAAAAGGTAGTACCTAAATAAGCGTTTTGGAAACTCTTAATACAATCTAGAGAATAGTTGATTTCATCCCCTAAAAATGGAAGATCAAATGTTTACAGCAGAATACCTAGAAGAATGTGAGCTCATAGCTCCTTTATGCTTGTTCCTGTTAAAACATTAGATCCCTTGCAACTTGGTAATCTCAGAAGGTGCAAGGGATAAACTGGCTTCACTGTTCCTCCAGAGTTGTCTGAAGACTGCCTGGGCTGTGTGACGAGGATTGTGAACACTTGGCTTCTGTGCCAAATCTGTTCCCTTGAGGGACGATACTTGGCTCCTGCAGTTGTGAACCCAGAAGCAAAGGAGGGATGTAGAAGAGGAGGCACAGCTGCAGCAGTGGGACTTGCCAGAAAGCCACTGTAGGGAGGTTGGGTTGGGCGTTTGACCCACTGCACCCCTTGCTCAATGCAGGCCTCTGGCAAAACCAGTTGCTGTCCAGGGTTCTATGTTAAACAAATTGGTGGCGTAATCTGCAGGAGTGGCTTCCCCATACCATACAGTACACCTCTTAATAAACAGGATATGGAACATATTTGCATGAATGGGTCACCTAGAGCTGGGGTGGGGAAACTGTGCCCCTCCAGAAGTTGCTGGACCACAGCTCCCATCATTCCTGACTTGGCCTTGCTGTCTGGGGCTGATGGGAGCTGTGGTCTAATAATCAGGAAGGCTGGTCTGGAACATCCCCCTTGGATCGAAGCAATGGAGGAATCTGTGGAACAGGAATAGAGAGCTTAACACTTGTCCAGCTTTAGCGCCGCAGGGTGGGTATTAAATAAATGTTGGCTAGTTGCGTTAGGAAGGAAGCTACTGGCTCGTTAGCTCAATGCCTCTGAATTAACGGTTCATGGGCTGTGTGACTGCTCTGTGCTGCCAGGCTTCCTTGAGCTCATTGTGAACTTGTGACTTCTGCATACAAGAAAGATGTTCTGTGAGTCACACACTGGCAAGTAGGTGAAATATCTGGGGTGGTGATGCAACTGGGAAACCGATGTGTCAGAGTGGTCTTCCAGCTCATGTACAGCCTTAGGAGCCCACATTATTTTGCTTTTATTCCTGCATATTTGGGACAGGACAAGCTGTCAGGCCTAGAGCAGTGTGGGGAGAAGGAAAGTCCTTTGCTCAGGTTCCTAGCTGTGTCCATTACAGCCAGAAATGACCTGCTCCTTCTGTACCAAGCGCCTGTGTCTTTAACTTTTGGAAGTTCCTTTGAAGAGCCACCTAGAGAGGAGCGACAGGGAGGAGGGTATTGCAGTGGGCACACATTTCAGGTGCCTGCTGTGGTGGAAGGATGAGGCCATGATGGGTGATAGAAAAGAGCAGGTGCAGTGATTGATGCCTGGCTGGTTCAGCTGTCCCAAGGCTGAGTTCTGAAAACCAAGCAGAGCTGCTGAGGTCAGATGGAGAACAGGATAAAAATACACTCCTCGCTGTTAAAAGAGGGATGGAGCAAGGTGAGCATTGTCCAAGGAAGCCCATTGGCTGGGCCCAGAGGGGTGTCTGCCCCATGTACTGCAGCTTGGCTGTACCTTCAGAGGCACTTGTGCTAACTTGCCAAGGAACTGAGTACAAGGCTGTAATTTTGTTGGGATTTTGACGTTTTCCCAAAGGCTAGGATAGATTCTGAACACTCGCATTTCATTTCATTACAGCTGTACGAAGAAGAAGAAAATGCAGGTTTCCATAATAGCTGCTGCAAAGCAGGGCTGTGTGTATTCTGTACTCAAACAGAGCAAAATCCTTCACTTAAAAAGCAGAATTCTAAATCGGTGGTGGTGAGACTCTAGCTGCCCAGATGTTGTTGGTCTACAGCTCCCATCATCCCTGACCATTGGCCATGTTGACTGTGGCTTATGGGAATTCGGAAGGCCATACGTCTAAAACCATGCAAATCGTGCAATATTGCATTATCTTTGCTGCTTTTGTTAGTGATGATGGGGCATGAAGAAGTCCTTCCTGACCACTCTGCAGCTCCATGATAGAGCTCCTCCTTTGCATGCAGAAGGTGGCAGGACCAGGTTCAGTCCCCAGCACCTCCAGTTTGGGTTTGGAAAGACTCCTGCCTGGATTGGAACCCTTGAAAGCTGCTGCCAGTCTGTGTAGACAGTACTGAGCCAGATGGACCAATCGCCTGACTCGGAATAAGGCAGCTTGCAGTGTTGACTGCAGAACACAAACTACTTTGAAGCAACATGGATTGAGAGTAGCCAGGTCTGTTCTTCTCTTGCTTTGAACGAAATTGTTTTGCAAAAGTAAGTTGTCAGCTCTCTGTGCTTGAGAGCTGGTGGCTCTGTGATTGCTGAGCGGGGGAGTCTGTGGCTTCTTGTTCCCAGCAACAGAGCTGGTTATGTTTGCTGGGAGTGAGTTGGCTCAGGTTTCTAAAACTGAGCAGCAGCAAGCAGGTGTGGGCCACCCCAATGTGAAGGTCATTGAAATCGAGGGAAGAGGAAAGGCCAGAGGGGTGGAGATTGAAGGAAGGAAACTGCTTCCCCCCTTTGGTGAAAACCAGACTCTTTTTGATGCAAGTTGGCTCCAGGATTGAAACCCCACCACAGGCAGGAAGTGGGGAAGAAATGCCTGTTCCCACAGTGACCAGCCACCCTCATTTTTTTCTGTACTGGTGGGGTGGGCATGGGGGTGGAGGAGGCCAGCTAAGCTTGCTGGCTGGGAATAGACTGGCTGTCCTCTGGGGCCAGGGAACGGCAGAGCCCCGAACTTCCTGCCCAGCCTGGATAAATGCACACACAGCGCCAAAGGGGTGGTCGTTTTTAGACTTGCTCATGTGTAATAAGGCAGGAAGGAAGCAGGAAGGAGGGAGTGGATTTGACTGTGCCAGAAGATGGAAATCTAGTGCATTTCTGGATTAGCTGTACTGCCCAGCCTGACGTGTTGTGTTCTCTCTTTCTGACCATATAACTGCTGTGGAATGACCTCTGTCTTTTTATCCCCTGTGATTTCAGATTTTGGGATTGTGGGGTTGTTGAAACTTGTCCTAATCTCTGGATGTGCTCTTTGTGTAATGACACTACCATGTTAAAAAGCAAATTAAAGATGCAGGATTTTGCAAAAAAAAAAAAAAGGGAATGAAGTGTTACATCAGTGAACCAGATTTATTTTTTTTTTAAATGATATTTATTAAGAATTTTAGAATTACAAAAAGAGAAACAAAAAAGAAAAAGAGAGAGAAAAAAGCAAAAGAAAAACAAACCACAATCGAACAATACAAATTGATAAAAATCAAAATAAAAAAATAACACGACACAATCAAAAGACAAAAATATGCCACAAACATTTAAAAACAAATCCAATATTCTCAAATCCTTAACTGTCATTACCTTCTTTCTTTGACCTCCTCACTCTTCCCTTTTTTTTGTATCCTAGTTGTTAATTGTCACAGCAAATCCTTTCCATATTTCATAATATTCTGTCATTACATTACCTTAATCTATTTTAATCTTATCTTACTATAAAAGACCTTAAAACTTAAAACTTAGATCCTATTTATACCAATTTCTCCTAACCATAATATTCTTACATAATTCTTTAAACATTTTTGCTAAAGCCAAATAATTTCATTCCAACATTTTTCTAACGTTCATCAATTTTATAAAACAATCCTAATAAATTTTTTTTTTCTTCTTCCGATCTTCATCCAGCATCTCTTCCTCCTGGTCCCGGGTTTTGTCAGTCCTTTCTATCCCATCAATCTAGCGCATTAACCTGGTAATCTTATGTCCGAGGCCCTTGTCCCTTCCATGTCCCATCCGCAGTTCTTCTTCGTATTATACCTGTGCTTTACTTTGTCTCCTGCTCCTTTCACTCGTGGGAACTCCAGCTTAACAGTGTTTTTGACCCTTCTCGACAAATCAGCCCCTTTTCCATAGTCCACACTAAACTCCATGTGGTATTTAAAAACATGTTTCAAAATCCCTCCAGAATTAAGAGCCCCCACAACCCCAAACATCTCACGGCCCATTGCCAGACTTGAAAAGTCCAAACATCCCTGCATAGGGGAGTCTATCCAACCCCCCATTTCCAAACCAAACCAAACTTTATCTTTCCAAATCTGGCTTTTTCCAAGTTCATTTGTCAAGTCCAAGAACTCATGTTCCTGCTGGGCCACAGCTCCCTCCATCTCTGGCGCCCAAGGTTCAACAGCATCCTCTTCCCTCATCTGTTCTGTCAGAGCACACTCCTGATTTGATTCCTGGGTGGGCTCTATATAGTTTCCCACTACCTGTCCAAAATTTCTGATCGCATCAAGTCCGTCTTCTCATGTAGCTGTTCCAGTAGGGCACTTGTTTTACAGAAAGCACGCAGCAGAGCTTCTGAGTACATTGTTCTGCAAGGTCAGAAGTCTATTCCCACGATCGTAATCTATTGCAGCTGCAAGCTCCCCGGTTCAGAATTGGTAACAGTTTCACAGGCTCCCTCTAGGGGAAGAGCTTCTATTTGTTCTTTTAAAGACAGATCTAACAACAAAGTTTCCTTTTTCAGATATTTTGTCAATATTTGTTCCTTTAAAATGCGAAGGGGAACAATGGAATCACTATGTTTCTCTTCTTTTAACTATCTGTCAAAGACGTTTGTCTCTGGTCAATGAGCTTCCCAAAAAACGTCAGTCCTGACACCTCGCTCCAGGATCAAGACGGTGGAAAGTTACTTTGCGTTACACTCTCTTCTGCAGGTTTAAACAGTCCGGAAAAAATCCCCCCTCTTCTCCTGCTTCCGAAGGGGGTTCAACAATTTTAAATGATGAAAGTTAATCCTTTGCAGGCGATTTTCTGAACTCTAGTTTGCCATGTCTTTGCTTTAATCTATCTACAAGAAACGGAAGGCTGACTTCCTGTTTAGACCTTCCCGTTTCAGTGCCAAATTGAGGTAAATTTCTTAGTCCAATTTTCCTTTCTACTCACAAATCATTATTTGAAGTCCAATTGTCCGAAATTTAAGTACTCATGGGTAATTGTTTTAAAAGCCAAATTGTCCCAGGAAAAAGGCAGCGCTCTCCGGCAACAGCTGTGCGGCTTCGCTCCACGGAAGAAGCAGTTGACTCTCAGCACCGCGCCACTTCCCCCTCTTCACTCCGGAGCCCGTTAGTGGGTTCCTTTGCGGGTTGGGGGGGCGCTAAAGGTGCCCGCTGAGTCCCATGGTCACAGGCTTCATCCGCCTGTGATTTTTGAAAGGGTCCCCGCTTCGCCGTAGCGGGAAAGACCCGTTTCCCGTGGAGCTGGTCCCTCCAGATCAAAGGGTGTCCGCCATTACCGATGGCGCCACCCCGGAAGTCTCGGTGAACCAGATTTAAAACAATAATAGTTTCGGTGTATGTGTGGAAACGAGGAAATCCTCCTTCTATTTGAATATAGCAGTTTGCCTTTCCCTGGCCTTGCATTGTTCAGCCTTCTCCAACCTGGTGCCCCCGGGTGTTGTTGGACTCCAACTCCTATCAGGCCCAATCTGGGGATGATGGGAGCTGTAGTCCAAAATGTCCAGAGGGCCACAGGTTGGGGACTAGGCTTCTCATCCTCCAGGGGGAGCCATTTGCATGCCAGGCCAGGCACCACCTTCATCCTAAACAGTGAAATGACCCGATTTCTAGACTTCCCACTACCTTATGCCTGGGAAGCATTTTCCTCAAAGACTCTTGGGGAAAAGGATACATTGGCACCATATATAAAGTTGGTGGCATTGTGCCCGCTGGGCATAGCCTGTCAGAATTGCCTGGTGGGGTGAACTGAACAGGTTGGGAGAAGGCATATCTTGGTGCACATCGACTCCAGCTGTCATTTCCCCCCATTTGAAAGATCAGAATTTATGATCTGGCTGCTCCATCCCTCGGGGGACTCTTGCATTCCACCTAAAGTTGCACACATTCCTCCACTTCTCCCCCTGTGTATGGCTCTGTCCCTGGGATTCTTTCCATATAAAAATGAAAACACAGGAGCTGCCTGGAGCAATAGCCCTAGCACCATAAGCCTTTAGCCACAGCAAGTTCCTACATACCGTATTTTTCGCTCTATTGGATGCACCGGACCATAGGAGGGGGAGAACAGGGGAAAAATTTTTTTTTTCTTGTTCTTCCCCTCTAAATCAAGGTGCGTTCTGTGCGTTCAAGGTGCGTTCACCCGAAGCCTCGGGAGCCTTTGGGTTCCTTTAGACCTGCTCTTTGGGGCTCGCGGGGGGGGGAGGAGCGCTGCTTTCCCCCACCGCCAGCCCCAAAGACCAGGTCAGGGAACAGCGGGAAGGCGCCTCCCCGCTTTCCCCCCAGCTTGTGGGGCTGGGGGGGGGCAAAGCCCCACTTCTCCCCACCGCCAGCCTCCAAACCAGGTCGGGGAACAGCAGGAAGGCGGCGCTCCGCCTCCCCGCTGTCCCCCGAGCTTGTGGGGCTGGCGGTGGGGAAAAGCGCTGCTTTCCCCACCGCCAGCCTCCAACTCCCGCCAAGCTCCCAAGGTTTGCGGATAGCTTCCTGAAGCCTGCATTTGCTCCATAGGACGCGCACACACATTTCCCCTTCATTTTTGTGTGCGTCCTATAGAGCAAAAAATCCGAATGTCCCTTATAACATGGGAACCATATATAGCAGCATGTGGTTTTCTTAGTAATTTATCTTTTGTTGCTGACAGCGAATTTGTACTGCTAGGGGCATACGATTCGCTCTATTCCTGCTTCACCAGGGGGAACACCTTGGCAGAGCTCCTTTCAAGTTCCACCCTTTTAGGGTGCTTCTTTTCCAGCCCTCCTAGAGCATTCTGTCCTCAGTATTTCACACGGGTCTCTTGCGATGGGCTGTCATGGTGTTGGTACAAAGCCCTGATATTTCATCCGGAGCTCTGTGTCAAGGAAGCGAGAAGTTGCTGCTGGGCTTTGCAGGAGGGTTTGCCAGCCCTCTGAGCTGCCTGGAGATCTAGCAGCAGACACAGATTTTCCTTTTATGTTCATGTTGAGCTGGACTTGGAAGAATACTTGGGCTTCCTCCAAGTGCCAGCAGATCTTCATCCCAAGTGAGCAGGGATGGTTGAAAGCTGTATCACCCCTGGATGCTCTTAACCCCGGATGCAGTAGTTTTCTGCCCTTTCATACGACTAAGAGGATGTATTAGCTGAGTTGGCAAGAAGAGGGAGAGGTTGGCTGGAGTGATACTTGAGACATTTTAGTGATGTGCCTAAGTGGCTGGTCCTTATGGTGCAGCGACTTAACCTAAACCCGTGACTGTTTATTTGCCACCATTCTCAAGTCAGGAGGCATATGGTTAAGGGGGGAATATCTAGAGGATGTTGCCCAGAGAAATGGTTGCACTGTCCTCAGGAGTAACTGGCCCTGCCCCAGAGAAAGCTGGTAAAAAGGTAAAGGACCCCTGACCGTTAAGTTCAGTTACGAATGACTCTGGGGTTGCGACGCTAATCTCGCTTTACTGGTCGAGGGAGCCGGTGTTTGTCCGCAGACAGCTTCCGGGTCATGTGGCCAGTTCGTCATGTGGCGAAACCAGAGCATCACACAGAAATGCCGTTTACCTTCCCGCCGGAGCGGTACCTATTTATCTACTTGCACTTTGACGTACGGCCTAGGACCCTCATACCTACGGGACCGCCTCTCCTGGTATGGCCCACAGAGGAACCTACGGTCTGCAAATAAAAACATCCTGAAGGTCTCAGGCCTCAGAGAGGTTAGGCTGGCCTCAACTAGAGCCAGGGCTTTCTTGGCTGCGGCTCCAATCTGGTGGAATGCTCTGTCACAAGAGACTAGGGCCCTGCGGGACCTGACATCTTTCCACAGGGCCTGCAAGACAGAGCTGTTCCACCAGCCCTTTGGTTAGGGCGCAGCCTGACCCTCTCCTCTGGCAACCTGCACAAAATTTTGCTTAACGGTTGCCATCAATTTGATTTTAATTAATTTTTATAATGAAATGTTTTTAAAATGTTGGATTATTTGATTGTTTGATTATTTGATTGTTGTTAGCCGCCCTGAGCCCGGCTTCGGCTGGGGAGGGCGGGATATAAATAAAATTTATTATTATTATTATTTCGAACTGCTAGGTTGGCAGGAGCAGGGACCGAACAACAGGAGCTCCCCCATTGTGGGGATTTGAACTGCCGACCTTTAGACCACAGTGGTTTAGACCACAGTGCCACCCATGTCACTGAGAAAACTGGTATTAAACCAGTAAATCAGAAGTGGGAGCACATAGTGCTTCTATTCCAAGCGACTTCTTTTTGGTTCTGGACAAAGTCAATTTCAGCCTTTAGGGGGTTAGGCAGGCAGGAAAGCCCTGAGTGCAGCTTCTCCCTACACATTTGGTCATAGTGTTCAATTGTCCAATTATTGTTTTAAAACATTATTTATTCATTTGTCATTTACTCCAAAAATGTATCTCGAAGAGACTTACAATTTTTTTTAAAAAAAGCTTAGAATACCAACTATAAATACCAAATAATAAAAAAGATAAAATACCAAATACAAAAAAATGATTTGTTTTAAAAATTATTCACTAAAAGTGCTCATCTTACAGCAGAACTAAAAGGACACATCCTGCTCAACTAAAAGATGGACATCAGTTCAGCACAAAATTATTGGGTGAACATCTTCACCTCGTGCCTAAAGGCGGATGGTGATGGCACCAGACACATCTCTCTGGAGAGAGCATTGCACAGTCAGAGAGCCACCACAGGCATCCAGACCATCCCTGATGCCAGACACTGGTCTAGTGCATCCAATAGAGTACCACCCACTCCCAGCTAGGACAGCCACCTGATGGAAGGGTTGCCATTAGGTAGTAGCTGAGGGAGGGCCAGAGGCTGCTGGCTTCTTAGCAGAGGCAATGAAAGAGTGTTGGGGGGGGGGGGAGCCCTTGCCTTTCTCACCAGGTGCATGCTGGCCCCTGACCCACCAACCACCGTCCCATGCATTCCTTGGGGCAGAAAGGCTGGCTTCCCCTGCTTGAGCTTGTCCAGCAATGACCATCTTTGGGGGGAGAAGATGATGTCGGTGGGGCCGAAAGGGTCATGTGAGCCATGCTCTTCTTCCTCTGGAGGCCCCCTTCCCACTCAAGAATTGCCCCGAGGGGTCCTGCATACAGTGGTACCTCTGGTTACATACTTAATTCGTTACGGAGGTCCGTTCTTAACCTGAAACTGTTCTTAACCTGAAGCACCATTTTAGCTAATGGGGCCTCCAGCTGCCGCCACACCGCCGGAGCATGATTTCTGTTCTCATCCTGAAGCAAATTTCTTAACCCGAGGTACTATTTCTGGGTTAGCAGAGTCTGTAACCTGAAGCGTATGTAACCTGAAGCGTATGTAACCTGAGGTACCACTGTACCTGGGACAGTCTTCCATTTCCCAGTGGGGAGGGCCTCCCACAGCAGCAGAGGAGGAAAGAGCACCACTGCCTTTTGAATGCTAGCCAAGGCTTATCCTTGGCCCCTCTGGTGGTTTCCCCTCTGCCGATCCATGGGCTTCAGCATGCATCTGATGGCGCTGACACCAGGCCCACGGGCGTAGCCAAGGCAGAGCGGGGAGGGGTAGCTGCCCCCCCATCAAGTAAACAATAGAAATGCTTAACTAACTGAGCAATCATGTTGGTTCTGGCCCCTCCTAACAAAAGTTCTCCCCCCCCCCCAACAAAAACCTGGCTATGCCCGTGATCCAGGCCTGTTCTGGAAAATTAGTTGAATTCTCCGTGCTCTCAACAGGCGCAAGTGGTTTTTCTGTTCTAAAAATCAACCCTGCCCTAAGGAAGCCACATGGTAGCCTTCCAGTTGCCAGCATGGATTGCTGTAGCCAAGACCTCTAGCGTAGCCTTTTGCTGACCCCTCCCGCAGGCAGCCATGATTGCGGCTTGCGTTTCTTGGACACAGCTAGCTCCCTTTTGGCCAAACGGTGCAATCATGCTCCCCGTTCCCCCTCTGCTTCTTTCTGCTTGGGACTTGTGGAACAGGAAGACTCTGGGTTAATTAATGCCTCACTGCCCCCAGGGTGGGTATTGCGTTGCTGCTGATGAGCTAATGTCTCTGTCTGCTGACAGAGGGAGATGAATGAGATGGCTGGGAGAGGTGATCCTGCCGAGAGAGGTGGGCTGCTTGCCTGCCCCCATCTACTCTCTAAGCAGACATACAGGCTTGAGGAATTTCTGTGGCTTTGTAGCTCCGACGGAGCCGTGAGTGTGACACATGGATTGCGTTATGGGAAAGGCATTGATTCACTCCAGGCTCCCTCCTTCAGAGCCCTGCTCTCTAGTAAAGTCTGGAGAAACCCTTGGGGATGCTGGAGCCAGCCACCTCTTCCCTCCTTCCCTCCCTCGTCCCCCCAGTCCAGAGATGGGCTTGGGATGAGCGGTGGAGAAAAGAGCACAGGCTCCTCGGATTCCTCAAAACCTGCTTGCTTCTCTCCAGCAAAGCTCAACACTAGGTCCTTTCACCAGAGGCAGGGCAGTTTTCTCTTGCCTTTGGGGGCTCTGCATGCAGTTGGTGCCCAGTGCAGGGGTGCGGGGCACATGGTGGCTCTTCCCCTCTTTGCTGAGTGCCTCAGTTGGCTTACGAATAGAGAAAAGGAATGGGAGGCTGAACGGCGCTTTTGTAACGCTGGGAACAGGCTGGCCCTGTGCCACGGGGCTTTTGCAAAAGCACAACAGGATGACTGGATGGTGGGTGTGTATGGGTAGTTATTCCACAGTTAGCTCCAGCGCAAACTTGTTAAAATGGGGGTCGGATGATCCAGCACGTGCAGGAGACTCATGTCGTGAAAGCTGCATGCGCATAGATCTGTGTAGATGTTCAGTTGTATGAGGAGAGGAAAAGCTTTGGTAGCGTGGATCCTCCTTTGGTTGTTTGACCCAGAAAATGCCTTTTTGAATCGTGCTGAGTTGAGAAAGAGCCTGGGAAATCAAAGTTATTCGTGGGGGACATTGTCTCTGTGAGTGGTAGGCAGGAAGGCAACATGCTTTGCATCTGGAGGACATATCCATAGGATCAGTGAGTGCATGCAGCAACTCACAAGTAACCATCCAGCGTGATCACAAAATATCCAGTCCACTGATAAGGGAACTTACATGGAGGGTGGAGATTCTGCTGTTTGTTTCTTCGGGGTGAGGGAATAGATAGGTGTACGTAAAAAAAAACAAAAAACAAAAGATGTAGTTGCATGCTGCACATTGAGTGTAACATGTAGTTTGGTTCTCAGCCGTAATTGAGTGGCAGAAACAAAACCTACAAGCCGCAAGACTTTTGTGCATTGTGTCAGAAGATGAATCTGCAGAAAATCCCCTAAAACTGTGTTCAGTTGCAGACCAGAATTGTGCCCCTTGGGCTGAACTTTGGAAATCTCAGCATGATGAACGATTTTGCTCAGAGTGACCTGATGATAAGTTTATGAATAATTGGATTTCCCTATACAGTCTTGCACTCTTCTGTACTGTGTAAAGCAGGCTAGAAAGACTTCTGTGTTATCTACGGACTCCTTTGTGTTTAAACTTGTAAATATTTGACCATCCAATACATACCTCCCCCCCCCCCCAGGTTCCTGAATGTACCAGCTCTCGGGTTGATTATCCAAACAACATTTGCATTAATGCAGTGTGGAGGTTACTCAGATAAGGGTTGGCTAGGTCTTAGCTGCTTTCATCATAGGTAGTTTCATATTTATCATTTCCTCTCCCCAACCCCCTTCTCCTTTCTTTCCAAGTAAAGAATAGCGTCATTTTCTATTAAGTTTCACAGGCTGTTTCATTAAGATGACAAATTGCCCTGTGGCATCTAAAATGCTATCTAATAGCAGAATGATTATTAGTAAGTTGGAGCTTGCATCATCACCTGCACAAAAAATGTGGCCCAGCGCAGACTTGCTGTTGCGCAGGGTTAAGGGGTCAAGGGCCAAGCTGCAGGATCATGTCTGCCTTCTCCATGCACTTCCCACGGTGTGGATTGTTACACCTGCCTATTCCTACCTCTGTTTAAAAGCCACTTGGCTGATCCTAAAAGCTTGTTCCCGCAACAGCCTTGATCGCATGGCCCTCTTCCAGCCCATTGCATATCAGGATCAATCCCTGGTTTCTTCAGGGCTGGGAGAGACCCCTGCCTGACACCCTGGAGAGCCACTGCCAGTCAGCCTAAGCCGGGCGTAGCCAATGCGATGCTATCTGGATCTTGCTGGACTGTAACTCCTATCACCCCTGACCATTGCAGATGCTGGTGGGGGCTGATGGGAGTTGGAGTCCCAACAATGTCTGCAAGACACTACATTGGCTACCCTTGGTGTAGGTAATACTGAGGTAGGTGGACCATGGTCTGTATAAGGCAGCCTCCTATGGTCCTACCCCTTTGAAGCATTTGCGTCTACACTGAGGCTATGTATTTTGGGTGTCCTTTGCTTATCAGTGATTGGGGTAGGGGGAGAAGAGGTGTGCCATTTTCAAGTGGGATTGCTCATTGCATATGGACTATACCAGTGTTTCTAAAACTTGGATCTTCAGCTGTTTTTGGACTGCAGTTTCCATCATCCCTGACCACTGGTCCTGCTAGCTAGGGGTGATGGGAGAGTCAAATTTGGGAAACACTGGACTATAACATGGGTGTGAGAGTGGGTGGTTTCAGTAAGACTGCCTTGTTGGGTGCTGCAGATTTCTAGAGGTTCACATTTGAATTAGGCTTGTCTTATTTCTTTTTGGTTTGCCTGGCAGTTGTTTAAAGGCACAGTCCAACGGGTGGAGGGGGAACACACACACCACCCATTGGTAACACTCTACATCTGAACGAATAAATGTGGCCCTCTCCCGTACTTCCAGTTTTTCATAGAGGCTTCTCAACCCTGGGGAAAGGGAGCGCCTTTCTTTCTTTCTTTCTCTGTCAAGTTTTCAGCGCCTATGACTGCCTGCCGTTGCTGCAAGCAACATCGTTCTTCAAAGGATCGTTCATAACTTTCCCTTTTTCTGAGATGCTCCCAAATAGTTTTGAAGTGGTGTGGCTTTGTGGGTATGGGTGTGGGTGCTGTTCGCTTTGTGGAAGATTATGACTGTCCGGCAGTCCTGAGCGTTTCTGAGAAGATTCCAACTAGTACTAAACATATCCAAATAGGGCAGAGACAGAAGTGGGTTTGTGTGCAACAGAGAAGCCATTCCCTGCAGGCGGTCGGGGTGGGTAGGTGTTTGCTCAAAGCCCGTTAGCGCCTGGGCATCTGCATGTTGCATTAAGCGGCCGCTCATGCCTGCATCTGAAGCTTCTTCCCTGCAGATAACCACACCAACCTGGGGTGGGGTGGGTGAGGGCGACCAGCATGCGCATGCTGGGGGCAGGACCCAAAGCATGGCCTCAGTCCCCTCAGCAATGCCTGAGAGGGAACTAATATGCCAGGAGCCTGCCCAGCAGTAATTGCATGGGCAGTGTGTGAAAGGAATTCTAGGAGCACACTGTCCCAGATTCTCCCTCTTCACTCTCAACCTTATGGAGGGCTGTAGCTTAGCGGTAGTAGTAGTAGTAGTAGTAGTAGTAATAATAATAATAATAATTTATTATTTATACCCTGCCCATCTGGCTGGGTTTCCCCGGCCACTCTGGGCGGCTTCCAACAGAACACTAAAATACAATAACCTATTAAACATTAAAAGCTTCCCTAAACAGGGCTGCCTTCAGATGTCTGCTAAAAGTCTGGTAGTTGTCTGGTAGGGTGCATGCTGTCCTAGGTTTAATCCCCAGCATCTCTGAGTAGGGCTGGGCATTGTCCCCTCTGAACCTCTGGAGAACCGCTACCAGTCAGTGACTGTAGTCAGTGACTGAGCCAGACAGACCAGTTAAGTCTGAGGCAGTGCAAGCAAGGCAGCTTCCTCGGTTCCTAACTACCGCTCAGCCTCCCCTTCCTTTCTTGTTCCACATATTAGTGCAAAGCAGCCCTGGGAAACTGTTGAAGGGCGTGGTATAATTCAAATAAATAAAAACGGGCTCCTTTTACAGCAGTGCTCTTCTCCCAAGGCTCAGCAGGCAAGATGGTGCAATCAGTTGCAATGCTGTGCCTCTCTCTTACTTCATTTAGCCTTGACTAAGGTTGTTTCTTTTCTTTTTCCTTTTGCCTGATCATCAGGGGTGAATTTCAACACCCCCGCCTACTCATTTGGGGATCCCTGAACCCCCCACATCCTGTGTTGTGTGTGTACTGTATATTACAGGTATCGCAAGAAGACAACAGTCGGGTTAAGACTGACAGTTTGGTGCCCTTTTTTTGTAGAAGTTAATTCACCGCCATAATCTAATGGTGAGAACCTGGGCGCAGAGTTCATTCAATCAGACCTTTAATCTTGCCTGCCCAGGGAGCACTGTGCGCTTCTGTGTCCACAAACGCAGCAAACATGAGAGGAACGCCAGTACAAGCAGTAGGAGGGAAGTACAAAGCCAAAGCACTGGAGGGTGGAGGGGATGGCGGAGAGAATGTGTGTTGCTAGACAGGGCCTTTCACCACCTGCTTTTAAAAGCTGAACGACAAGAGTATCGGCAGGTGCAGCTTCACTGGCTGCTACAGCATCGTGGTGGGAATTGCCATATTCCAACTCAAAGGGCCAAGGAGTGCACTTTGGGTCAGCAGCCAGGCAACTGCAAAGTTACGTTTGGGCTGTTCTGTCTGGCCTGCTGCATTCATCAGCAAGTCTAAACTCTCCCGTAGGCCCTGGGCTCTTCCAGATAATTTGTTTTTATTGCACAATAAATGTGCAGTCGTTGCTCAACTTCTCTGCAGTGGATCCAAATACGGTGACCGGACGCAAAGCGGGACAGGGCTCCTCTATCGCCAAGCCAGGAGGGAAGGAATTTCTGCAAGATGCGGCTTGCCATGCATGGGTGAGAAAAGCTGCGCCTCCCTGAAATTCCCACTTCTCTACAAGTCTTAAAGCTACAGGAGCCTGGTCATTCTGTGCTTTTTCTTCCCCTCACCCACGTGGCACATAAAAGTCATTCTTAACCCCTTACTGAATTAATTTTATGCTGTTTAGGAGCTAGCTTTTGTCTTGCAGGTATCTATTTCCCCCCATAATGTATTTGTAAAGCTAACCTGGGAGTTGCTTTTTTCTTTTTCTGGGAGCACATATTATTCCTTCAGTTTTGCTTCCTTTTGCCCACAGGTGTGGGCTCATCTGCATGGGAGTTCAATGTGGTTTTGCAACTTCTTGTGCCTCAATTTTTTTGGTATTGCCCACATAATGGCCTCCTCGCTCAAGTGACAAGCCAGATGGCAGAGTACAAATAATAAAATTACTGCTGTTACTATTATTATTATGCTCCTTCCACCATAACATTATATCTCCAGCCTTGGGGATAATCTGATAATGAAAGTATATCCAATATGAAATTACATCTGGATATACTGAAGCGCATTGTGTGGGGGCGTATTTTTACATGTGTCACTACATCTCACTCATTGCTGTCTGTCACCACACCCTCTACTCCCATTTTATTCTGTCAGCTCAAATGAAGGGGCATAAAAAAATAATAATAATAAAACTGCTAATTTTTTTTTGCAGAACAGCTATATCAAACGTAAAAAGGAAATTTGCTTTGTGCCTGAAAATGAGTGCCCATGGTGGTGGGCGATGAGCCATCTTCCCAGCAATGATTATGCAGGTTACAGAGATGTGACCAATTTCCAATTACTTGATTGGCGAGAGTGGCTGGGGAAACCCAGCCAGATGGGCGCGGGAATGAATAATAAAATTATTATCTAAAGATGAAGCAGGGCCCCTGCTTTCTTTGCAAACACACACACTTTCTCAATGGAAACATATTGGAGGTTCCTGTACATCTACCTGCCAGCCATTCTTTATCCTTGTACGGTGCTCTTCAGTGACCTACTGGTGGTTCTGGCCATAACATATCATTTAATAAAAAATGTTTTCACTTGCACTTTGTGCAAATCTGGCAGATCTGTCCTTCTATAAAGCATGCTCGAAGCATTGGCTTTGGCAGAAGTTTCTTGTAACACCATTCCACAGATAATTAATTTTTCTTTTCGTTTTTTAAAAGGTGCCCGTTTGCCATTGCATGCATGCCCAGAATGGATGCCAGACCTCACAGAGGGTTGGGGGATTATTGTTTATATTTATGTCTCTGAATCGCTTTGCTCACGACAATGACTCAGGGTTACTGACAGACACAGGTAGAGAGGGGGGAACAACAACACACAGCAGAAATAGATCCCATTAGGCACCACCCACTTGTGCGGGTAGGAAACATCAGCATAGGTTTTGGAGACATAACACTGAAAGCACCCGGATATGAGCAGACAGACACACGCCTGGCACCATTCATCCACAAACTCATCCATGCCCCAATCTGTGGACATAACCAATGCAAAACATGGGATGTGATCAGTGTACTACTGAAGCTCAGTGAGTGATGATGCAGCACTAAACCCAAAACTAAGAATTTGTCAAGAATGTATAACTTGCTGTTGAAATGGAATACTCAGGATGAAACGGTGAAATCTGCTATGATTAAATGGGCACAAGATGTTGGACATAATATTATGTTTGCTGACTGGGAACAGTTAAGGACCACAGGTATGAAGTTTACGGCATGTAATGCCCTAAGAGAGAATATTATGAAAATGATATACAGGTGGTACATGACCCCAGTCAAGCTCGCAAAAATCTATCATTTGCCCGACAATAAATGCTGGAAATGTAAAGAAACTGAAGGTACATTCTTTCACCTTTTGTGGACGTGCCCAAGGATTAAGGCTTTCTGGGAAATGATATATAATGAACTGAAAAAGGTATTTAAATATACCTTCTTGAAGAAACCAGAGGCCTTTCTCCTGGGCATAGTCGGCCAATTGGTGCCAAAGAAGGACAGAACTTTTTTAATGTATGCTACAACAGCAGCAAGAATACTTATTGCAAAGTATTGGAAGACACAAGATCTACCCACTTTGGAAGAATGGCAGATGAAGGTGATGGACTATATGGAATTGGCAGAAATGACTGGCAGAATCCGAGACCAGGGAGAAGAGTCGGTGGAAGAAGATTGGAAGAAATTTAAAGACTATTTACAGAAATATTGTAAAATTAATGAATGATAGAATGATGTTGGATAGTAATTAAGCGGTTTCCAGCTGTAATGTTCTAAGAGAATATGAAAAAAGGGTTATAAATGGGTTAAAATCTAAGGGTAAGGATTTGCTGAACCAATAAATTGAAGTGGAATACAAAAAAGGGAGGTACGAGGAGGTCCAGGAAACAAGCTAAAGGAATATAAGTAATAGAAAATATGTGTGTTTTTAACTGTTTTTATTTTGTATTTTTCTTTTTCATTTTCACTGTAATATTTCAAAAAACCTTAATAAATATCTTATATATACAAAAAAAAGATGATGCGGCACTAAGACTAAGAACTGGGGTTTGGAAAGGTTTTGGGTGTGTCATGATGCTTGGCAAATTTAAGCTAATCCAGCTTTGTTAAGGATGGCTGCAGGGCCTACGAGAGGAATTTTATGTTTCCTCCTCTCCAGCGCCCTGGATGGCTGTGTTTGCTTGTGGGTCTTTTTTTTGGGGGGGGGGGGTGGGTTGAATGCTATGGGACAGTGTGAAGCCAGACCGATCATGCATACGATTGTTGGCAATTTAAGATGTGCAACTATATGGTTTTGTGGAGAGCAGCCAAGGCATGTTTCAGAGGCCTCTTTATATTACCAGAAAACGATATGCTGATCAGTGTTCGAAATTCTCCAGGCCACTGGCGACCAAGCAAACATGATGTCTCCACCATCTGGAGATGCATGCCTGGGGATCCTTGGATCTTGACTGTTTTCACACACTAACAACCATCCTGTAGAATTGTATCCGTGATATTTTATTTGTGCAATCAGAATGAATTTCAGGAACCAAAAGGTTGTATTGAAAAATACGACTTTCGAGCCGTCTGGCCGCTACATGGCAACTAGACATTTCGTTTTGACAATTGTAACCCTGGCTTAAGGAGCAATTTGACGCCTAGCTTATATATCTGAGTTTCTAACACTGATCATTTCTGATCAAAGTCAAAGACCATGAGTTAGGCATGAGGAGCCTCTTTGGAGGCCAGCATGTGTGGTGTTGGTGCAAGTCGGGATCTCCTTTTAATGGCAGGAGGAGAGATGGGACAGCAAAGTCTTATGCAGTGAAATATGTCTCATTCATAAATTTGTACCTGTCTCTTCCTCTGAGTTTTGCCTCATCCCTGGGAGGCAGGTTAGACTGGAAGATAGCTGGGTGGCCTTGTAGTTGCCCTACCTGCTGGGTTTGAATCTTGGTTTCCAACTTTCAGGCCCATCGGTAAATCAGTTCCAGCCACTTTGAGCATTGTTCTCTACAGTGCTATCACCTTTGGAGCATGCAACAATTACACACTTTGTTTAGCAGAAACTATGGGGGAAACAGAGGAAGACAGGATTGGATCTGATTCCACTACTCCAGATCTTGCTCCACTAGACATGGGGTAATGCTGAGAACATTGCTTGCTTCCTGCCTTTGTCTCTTCATGTGGGTAACTATTCTGTGTCACCGAGTCCTCTTCTTCCTCTCCTTGCAGCTCACCCCTGGGGGCAAGGCAGCCCAAGCAGGTGTGGGAGTAGGTGACTGGGTGCTAAGCATTGATGGAGAGAACACGAGCTCCTTGACCCACATTGAAGCACAGAACAAGATCCGTGCGTGCGGAGACAAGCTCTCGCTCAGCTTGAGCAGGTAAGAGGCTCTTGGTGTGAGTTAAGATACCAGGAACATGGCATGCATTATAGGATCGAGAAGTGGTTACAGCTGACCTACTCCTTGCACTCAAGCCCAGTCCTTGGAATAACAACTCACTGGTTCTGAAACTTTTTTCTCTGGGCCACACTTCCAGAATAAAGACTTGCTCACGCCACACCATTTTTTTTTATTGATTAGAAATACATTGGAAAGCAAAAAAGAAACGACTAGCTGTGCTTGATCCAGAAAGTATAGAACAATGCAGCTACATAATAACATGTATCATTCCCAAAATATAATGATCAACGAGCCTCTTACGTATGTACTTTAAGCATGTATACAAACTGAATGAGAGGTGTGAGCTTGCTTTTGCTGGTAACTTCATTTATATTAGGTCTAACTTGAGTCAAACAAACTCTCATCTCATCAACACAAAGAAGCCTTTCTCTTATCTGATCTTTTGCATTTGTCGGAGTTGAATATCCCTATTCACAACAATGTGTCGTGGGACTGCAGAATAGCCAATGCTGCTCTCCAGCACACTGTTCAAATGGCAATCCTGGATCACAACTGGATGCTCAATATCACTTGATGCTCTTGCTCTTTTTGAAAAGATACCTATCCATATTCTGCAATATAGATACCGTAGATACTACACTCCACTGAAATGTTTAAAAGTCTCTTTCTCCTTGAATCTTCATGCCACGCTTTCCATCCTCTCCTGCCGCACCAATGTGGCGTCCCACACCCTTTGAGAAGCACTGTCTTAACTCATAAACATAGCAGTAGGCTAACTAGCTTTTCACTTTGGTGAACTGCCACCGCTTCATAGCATATTTATACCCACAGTGATCTTGGTTGCATCTGAATCACTGGAGAGTGGAAGAAAGCCTCTCTAACTCTCCAGGGGTCCTTTTGCAGCCAGGCAGAGTGATGCTTAAGTGAGTGTGTGAATGAGTGGATATTGACACTGAGAGAGGCCAAGGGTGTGCTCTTAGGACTGAGGGCTTTTAGCCATGCCCCAGAAGAGTTTTCTCCCAGGGAACCTAGGCAGGACCAATCCAGTCACTGGATCTTCCATGGCTGAGCTGTCACCACTATCTTCCCTCATGGTGTGAAAAGGCTGCTTTCCTCATGTTGCTGTGGCCCTGCTCTCTGAGCATTATCTCTGCTCTGCAGCTCTGTTGCTGCAAGTCAAAAGCACCTGCTGCCACCCTCTTGCCTGTTATTGCTGCCCCAGGAGAGTCCCTGCCTGGCAGTGCCTTTCTTCTCGTTAACGGCAGCTTTTCTCTTGCAGAGTCCAGAATCTCCTTGGCAAGCCTCAGAAGGTACGTCTTCCTCCGCTTCCTCCGTGGTGGGTCTGTTCTCTCTCAGACCAAGCTGGGCACCAGTTCTGCCACTGGTCTAGGGGAGCTGTGGGATAGTTGAGGAAACACAAGTGCCCTAGCTTGTTTGACACTCCTTGAGTTAGGTGCTCGATGTAAAAGCCAAAATAAATAAATGAGACTGTAATGGGGTGTGAAGAATCCATTCTGAAACTCAGGATAATAACAAATGCCAATGCGTTTTAGGCTGCACAGCCCTTCTCCAGGGGTCTGTTTGAGCTACACCGATTGTGCTATATCTGTGGGCCAAACTCTGTGGCTATGTCTGCCATGTGCTTATAAGGCTTTTCTAAGTCAGACATTCCTACTGCATTCACCATGCCCTCAAATAAGTGATGTGCAGCTTGCAACTCCTTGGCATTTTGATTATTTGAAGTTTCCAAACAAGAGTGTTTTGTATGTATCTATTGCTCTCGTCTTCCTTTTTACACCTGGTTTTGGTGGAATCTTCCCCCCTTTGCAGCTCACCTTTGGAGCTAGCCAGGCACCGTAGCCTGAACCTTGGTGTGCTGGCACTAAAGGAGCTCACTGCTGCCTTTTCCCCAGCCCTCCAAATCTATAGCAGTTTATTTTCTTGCTGTTCAATGGAACTCCTCTTGATTGCACCCATAAACCTTCAGAAGCCAGAAACTCAAAATGGCCACCACAATATTGAATTTATTTGTGATCATCAGAGGTCAGGTGGAGGATGAACCGGGAGCTGCCTGCCTTAAGTGGGCTGGAGCAGCAAATAGAGCCATTTGCTGCCCTTGCCTCTATGTTCCCTGTATAGTCTAACCCTGTATGAATGTTTATTCTGGAATCTGAGGCCTTGCCTCACAAAAGAAGTGCTGGGCGGGGGTAGGGGACTTCCAGGCAGTCAGGCTGTGGAGGGAAACAGCTTCTCCAAGATTGTGGCCAGGGCTGTCTTCTAGTTTCCCTCTCTGCTTGGGCGTATCCCTCCTCTGTTTCCCTTGTGGTTGGAGGAGGCAGGGAACGAGATGGAGGGTGTAGAAATGGATATGCATGGTTCAGTTTTGCTACGACACGTGCCCACGCTGAACTGCCTCCCCTGCTCTCCAAGGCTCATCCCGGGGTCAGTTCTAGAGCGACCACATTTGCCCACATAGGGTGCTCAACGAAGTCGGCTGGCAGTAGGCAACTGGGCACATACAGGGCGTGTTTGCTTGTGTCTTGGCTACTGGCAGCCAGGAATGCGGCTGGCTGGCTGGCTGTGGTTATTGCCCTGGGACTTGAGGAATGCCCTTGTGGCCAGAATCTGGCCTGGCTTCCACCTGGGGCATGGTGGCCTCTGGCATGGTGGCCTGGCAGCGGGGGGTGCACTTGCATGCTGCCTGCTGTGCCAGCTTGGGCGTCTGTGTGTTTTGTCTTCTGCTCAGGATGCGCTCCCTTCCTCCGAGCGCCCGAAATATAACTTCACTCCCAGCTCTGCCCTCAACAAAACGGCCCGGCCCTTTGGAGTCAGCTCTGCTCCAAACTCCCAGCCCGGGCTGGTGACGAAATCGGTGCCATACACTCCCTCTGCGTCCGTCTGCACCACACAGCACAATGGGTATGTCGCTGTGCTATTTAGACACCCTGGGGAGTTGGGGGGGGGAGTTGCGTGGCCTCACTGTGGAGTTCTGCCCTGTGCTGTTCTGCCCACACACTCGCCTGTCTGCCCGCACTGTGCATGTCGGGCTCTGCCTGTGTGGCCTTTTTATGGGTGGGCAATGGCTGGGTGTGGGCGGCCCTTTCCCCCCCTCTGTACCAGAATCTGTGCTAGAATTTAAGACATCTAGTGTTGCAGTGACCCCTGGTGGCTGGAGCTCATATTATGATGCCTAGATCTGGCAGGTCTCTTGTGTACTGTATTGTTCATTCCGGAATGCCTAATTGAAAAAGCCAGACCGTTTAGCGGCCTGCATTTCATCATCTTTCACTTCTTTCGAGTCCTGCAATCTTACCTCCTGGGCAACGAATAATAATAATGCCGTAGGCGGCAGTCAGGAGCATGGGGCTGCATCCCAGGAACCCCAGCCAGTAGTTCTCTTGACTCACCAACACAAAGGAATCGCTAGATTCTTTGGTCTGAGCAGCATTGTGCTATGGCGAGTGATCTGTATCTATAGGTATGGTGCTATCTGCTTGTGGTTTCTTGTGTGGCTGACTCACTATGGCAGGAATGAATGTCGCTTATGGATCCCAATGTAACTTTCCATCCTCACCGCCTCCCTGGCAATCTAAGCTACAGTTATTCTCCAAACTGTTCATCATTTACTAGGTCCCAGATCCAGTATCTTCATTTATAAGATTTCTTACCTGCCCTGCACCATAAGGTCTCAGCACTGGGCACAATAATATGATATACAAACTTAAAATTACTAAAAGAAATTATGCATAAAGCTGTCCACCCCAGATAAAATACTGAGTAGCTGACATCAAGGCTTTTGGCTGAGTTTCCAATTCTGCTCATCCCAGCATAAAATTCCCGTACCAGTGTAGCTGTTCTCAGGCATCCTTTGGAAGGGAGCAGCACTATGGTAAATCCAGATTTCCAGTTAATTAAGGAAATGACTTGGGTGAAATTGTATACCGATTAATCTATACTTGTGTTGGGACTATTTCATTTTTTCAAGCCCGAAACTGGCATCTTCTGACTGCTATCTTCCCATGTCTAGAAATGCAGCCCTAAATTAATTCTGTTTATTTTGTTTATTAATCACCTCCCATGAAACATCCCGAAATGACTGTAACAGTGCCTGGCTGCATGCAAATTGTGTCCTGAAACTCTAGGCTTTGGATGCTGCTGCTTTTGAGGTGATTCCTTTCTCGTTTGGTGCATTGATGTGTCCCTGGCACCTTTGTTGGTGGGGACGGAAAAGCTTATATCTATGCTAGATGCGGTCCTGTACACCTCTGACCACCCCTGTGTCTCTCATTGGCCTGTGCGGGGTCCCCTGCCAATCAGGTGCCTTAGATGAGACCAGTTGTGGGACCATGGTGAGCGTAGTCTACATGCTGCCAGAAATGGTGCTGCTCATTTCTTTCATATTCCTGCATTCCTGATCCTATGACCTAGAGCACTGGACTTCAACTGGTGGGCCAGGACCTGCTAGGGGGCCGTGACCTGATCCAAGGTGGGTCATAACAGGAGCACTACCACCATACAAATATATGGTGAAATATTAAATGGGTCCACAAATGCGTGTTTGGGTGTTCAAAGTGGGTCAAAAAGTTGAGGATCCATGACCCAGTTAGGTTAGCTGTGCATGGAATCTCGGCTCTATTCAACCCACACGAGGCAGGAAGGGAAGCATGTTTTTTTAAAAACTTTGTCTAATGGTTCTAACATGTCCTTCACTTTCCTGACTGTCTTTTTGCTCTTTTCCCTTTTCTCTCTCTTTCTCTCTGTATCCCTCTCTCTCTCTCTCTCTTGCAGGTGCAGAACCCTGACAAGTCAGTAAGCCTTTGCCTGTTCTGTAACTTTAAAGTGTATTATTGCTAACATGCATGACCTAAACATAATTCCTTTTCAACACCTAAAAACCCTCCTCATTCCTTGCCAGTTTTTTTTGTTTGTTTTTTGCTTCACTGACTTTTCTACCCCCTATCCTACCGTCCCACAGGAGTGTGTGGTTATGGCAGGTTATATCCCTCATAAAAAGAGACACTTGAGGGACATGTTTGGGGGTTGGGGAAGGTGGAGAACAGACGACTTTAGTGTGGGACTTGGGACGTGGAGGTCCCTTTTCTTGCAATATGTGGGGCAACATCATTTGTGTCCGCTTTACTTGTTGGGTTTGTGTTGGGGCCTGTCTGAATGACTCGGTGGCCTGGATCCCATGTCATGCTAAGCTAAATCATGGCTTAGCCTGACTGTGTGGACTCTGGGAGAGGACATCACAACCCCTTTGGTCCTTCCTGGTTGTTTTGCTGCTGAGCCAAGCCACACTTTGGCATGGTGTGTTAATTAAGCCTATGCTCATAGTTCAGCTCTCTCTTGGACAAACCACGAAGCGTAACCCACACAACAAACCTTGGTTACAGCTTGCGATTAGTCTGGAGACTGCTAGCTTCAGACAATATGCTAAACCAAATGATAGCTTAACTCAGTATGACGCAGCAGCAAAAAACCAAAGAGTCCAAGATATTCTTTCCAGGAGGCCTCACATACGCACTAAACCATGGTTTGGCTAAGCGTGTCATGTGAACCAGGCCTGGGGGCTAATCTGAGGTGAAACGGCCGGTTGGGGGCATGGTGGCTGCCCTGAGGCTTTAAATGTTGGCAGTTTGGCTTCAGGGAAACTTCCTGATGCTTCCAAGGGAGTGGGATGGCCTGCTGTGACTCTTCAGGCTGTGCTGACAACTGTAGCAGTAACTGCCTGACGTAGATAAGGGAAAGGAAGTGGTGCTAAAACTGGCAGGGAGCAGTGTGTGTGTGTGTGTGTGTGTGTGTGTGTGTGTGTGTTTTCCACTGCACAGTCAAGCTGCTGTTACCTCCAGTGGCGCGCTGGCTGTTCCCTCAGGAGATGTGGCCTTTTATTTGTGCTGTTGTGTACTAGGGTGGCACGTCTCACCTGACCTGTCCAATCTTTTCTCTTATTCTCTCACTTTTCGTGGCTTCAGGGTTAGCGCTCACCCCCCTGAGGTGAAGGCTCCACCCCAGAGCAACCCCCCACCTGATTATGGAGATTACTACCTGGAGGACCAGTAAGACCTGGGAGATGTGGGGGAGGGGAGGGGAGGGTAGAAACTTTCGGACAGATGTTGTTGTGTCCCTCGTATGTTGTGTGCTGCTGCTGCTGTCGTCCCGTTATAGCGTGTGAATATCCCTTTGGTGAAGTTGGAGTAGCACTAGAAGCAGTAACAGGGCTTCCCTCAATAAGGATTCAAATTTTTCATCAGTGAAAAATCTCCTTTGAGATTTTCACCAGAGCAGTGCTGAGGAACTGGGGGCCTTGCTGCAGCCTGACATGGGAGGCTTCAGGTTTAAGGATCTCACACAGAGCCAAGGCCCTTTCTGGAAGGGAACACTTCCATGCAGCCATTTATTGTGGACTTGGTGCTTCTCATAAATGCACGGGCTTTTTGCAGCAGGCATACATCGTCCTCATCCAAATGCTATCTCGTGTGTGGTTTTAACTATCCAGACAATTCAAATCATAGAATTGTAGAGTTGTAAGGGACCACGAGGGTCATCTAGTCCATCGCCCCGAGATGCTGGAATCTTTTGCCCAATGTGGGGCTCGAACCCATGACCTTGAGATTAAGAGTCTCATGCTCTACCAGCAGAGCTACCTCAGGCCTGGATAATTAATTGGCCTAGATGGGGGAGAGGGAACAGAAGGGGCTTCAGGATCCGTTCAGTGTGTTTGCAGGGCAGGTTACTTGTGATCTTCAGAATTATGAAACTATGGCCATGTCCTGATTTGTGCCTCATGGTGGTTTATCTCCCCCCCACCCCCGGCCGCTTGATGCAGTTTCTTGTGTTTGTGTGTGTCATGCATGCCTGGCAGATGCTCATCTCAGTGCAGCCCTGGCTGAGTGCCCTTGTCTATTCGTAGGCATTCTCTGCGGCTGGCAAGCCTGCCGGCCTTCCTCCCCAATGACTCCAGCAAAAAGAGGCTCATTGAGGACACAGAGGACTGGCGACCGCGGACGGGCACGACCCAGTCCCGTTCTTTCCGTATCCTGGCCCATCTGACAGGCACGGAATTCAGTAAGTGCCTCCCTCCCAGGGGGAGCCACTCCAGGTTGGGGGTGTTGTTGAGAGCTGGCTGGCTGGCTGGCTCCAGCCTGGGAAGCGGCAGGGAGTCACGAGGCATTTGGTGCCACCGGCGACAAGGCAAAGGTTGCAGAGGCACCTGAGCTTGTTTTGGGACAGCTCTGGCCACCTTCCACAAGCAATTCTGGACCTGGGCCAGTTTGGGAGGGCTCTGCTGGCAGATTGTCCTACAGCAAGTCCCAGGAGGATCCTCTCTCTCTCTCTCTCTTCCACTTGTGATGCTCTGCTGACCTCATTCAGTCTATCTCTGCTCTGCAAAGAGCTCTGCAGGCACCTCATTCTGCTTCCCGCTCATTATTGTTGATGCCCAGGCCCTGTATCCTCCAGGGAATGCTCTTATTTTGTGCCTAGTCTCTCCCTGCCCCCCCCAAAAAAATTCCACTTCTCTTCTCAGAAAACTAAAACAGCTTGACTGGCTCAGACCATGATATTCTCTTTCTCCTTTTCCCGCTGCCAGTGCAAGACCCGGATGATGAGCATGTTAGGAAAGCCAGGTAAGAAGGTCCCTTTGATAGGGCCAGGAGAGTCAGTGGGTTTCTACCTGACTTCTCCCCACTCCCAAAGTGCCAGGGGCTGGGAGATGAAAGTGCAGAGTCCAGACTCGCTCCTAAGCTTTGGCGGATGCCCAGGGCCACTGTCCCATTCCCATCTGTCTGGGACAGAGGGGATGAAAGCCTTCTTCCCACCTTGGTTCCCTTGACCTTGTGCTGCAGAGCAGTCCATGCCTGGTATGCTCTTCTGGTTTTCTCCTTCTTGGTCTCTGCTTTCTCCTCCCATCTCTTCCTTGTGTCTCTTTCTCTTTCTCTCTCCCCTCCCAGAGAAAAGTTTGTCTCGGAGCTTCAGAGCCCCCGTTACACTCGCCTGCGCGACTGGCACCACCAGCGATCGGCTACCTCTCTGAACGTGCTCTCCTAGGCTGCCTGCGATGGGCCGGCCTTTCTCTTCTCGACTCCGCTCTTCTCTATTGCATGCCGATGTGAATGGGAAGGGCGTGTTTCTGTCTGGCTCCTTCTAACTGGTTGAACAAAACTTTAAAAAAGCAAAACAACCCCCCTCCCTCCCCCCCAAAAACCCCCACTAGAAATTCACAGCAACTCCTGGAAGCGTAGCAACTGAACTGTTTTGGGGAACGACTTGAGCAGGGGGAACCTGAGAATAGTCAAGAGTCTTCTGCATTGGTGGCTGCTTCTCTTTGAGCTTCATGTCACACCTCCAGCTGTGGAGGGGATGGAAGAGGGTTCATGTTGTTGGGCAGGAGGCTTGACTCTCCCAATGCTAAGCAAAATGCTCAGGTCTACCAGGAAGCTGTTTCTGAACTGTGTTTTCTCTTCCCTGACTGAAGAGACGTTGGCTGTGGAGACCTCTGTATGCTCCTTTCTGGCCTTCATACTGAACCAAGGAGGCGGGGGGAAGGTTCTACCCAATGCAATATGGCATTGCACTGAGACCTCTTTCCTTTGGGACCTGCCGCATTGAATGAGCTGCAGTGCTCTTCTTCCTGGCCGAGCATTACAGAGAGAGGGAAGTCGTTTCCTGACATTCATATCTGGAAGGGTTCCTTTTCAACCCTGCATGGGATTTTTTAAAAACACTGTTCTTGGTAGTGGCTGATCTTCCCCTTCCCTCCTTTGTCCACTGTTGAGTGCTGTTTCTCAACCCATAAAACATCTTCCCCTAACAGGCCTCTCCATTTTATTTTATTTTATTTTATTTTATCAGTGAATGGTGAATGCATATGCCCTTAGCCCCTGGTCCTTTCCCCATCATTGTTGAGTAGCTGGTTGTGGCTACCACTTTGAGGAAATGGCAAGCATTCCTCTTCTAGATGCCTGGTAAGGTCGTGAAGGCTTGCAGAACTTGCCCACCCATAACGCTGTAATAGAGGGATTCCTCCTCTTCCCCAACCCCTCAATGGTTATTAGACTTGTCCTCCTTGAACTTGATTAACTCCATTATACCTCAGTTTTTCCAAAGGCTCTCTGATTTGGACAACACTTAATATGGCTGCTTGTGTTGGGCTTGGGGAAAAAACCCTAGGGGATGGGACTTCTGGCTCTTCGGGTAACCTGCTTCCACAGCAGGCATGTCCTGTTGCTTGGTGGAGGAAATGCTGTGTGCACCTTTCTCTAGAAAGAGTGTGTAATCATTGTTTTGACTGCAGGCATGACACTAATTCAGCTGCTATATCTGTATGGTGCTGTAATCCACCCACCCCCTGAGCTGCCTGGAGCCGATGCCCAGGCAGGAGTTTGCAATCTAGTTGGAGGCTGGCTTTACTACCTTTCATTTTGTAGTAAAATAAATGCTCCTATTCTCGTAACTGGCTCCTGTCTTTCTTTCCTTTTTAATCTATGCACACCTGAAGTAGGGAGGCTGTGTTCTTTCTTAGAGGAATGACTTGTTTTCCAGCTGAGCATAAACCCAGCTGTCCTCTGTAAGGTTGTTTGGGAAGCTGAGCAAAGATGCAATGCCTTTGCCCACCAATGACTATGGGGTGATTTTGTGCCCTGGTTTTCCTCTGGGAGCAGGAGCCTGACTGGCAGGCCAGCACTGAGTTCTCTCTCCTTTTCTCAATACTTTTAATTCCTTGGGATAAATATGGGGGATTGTGAACTTCTCATCCCAGGCCCACATCACAGGATAGCAGGCAAGGACCAGGGTGGTGAGACAGGAGACTGCCAGGATCTCACCACCTCTGCCTGCATGATGTACTGAAGCAGCTGTTATAGTAATTTACTATACTCTTTTTCTTCTTCTGTTGATTGCACCTTTGGAAAAGTCCTTGGATAGGTTGGATGAGATGTAACATGCATAATGGAATTAATGAACACACACACACTCCTTTAGTCTGCAACAAGCCTTGTGTGCAGAATCCGTTTGCTCCTGTCTGGGATAATCACATAGTGCAGCTCTTGATGAGCTGTATCCTTTCTCATTGCAGGTGGAGAATCTCAGGTTAGAATATTCTCCCTGCTACCCTTGTGTCAGACACTTAGAAAATGAGCACGATGAGAAGAGAGAGCCTAGTCTAGCCTTTCCCGACAAGATAGCTGCTTCTTATGTGCAGGAAGGAGGTAGTGTGGGGGAATATGTGTACCCTGTGCCCCTGCTTGGTCTCTTCTTCTAGCTGGTTGCCCAAGGGGACCTCAGAAGGGGGAAGGAAGGGGTTCAACAAGGGCAGGCTTTATTTCTCTTCCATTTTCAAGCTTGCACTTGGAACAGCTCAAGACGCCCTTCTCATTTATTTGCAGCTCCCCAAACCCCACACATCTCCCATTCTCCTCCCCGCCTCCTTCCTTGTACATAGGCTTCTACTCCTGAACAGACTGTAGTTTCTTGCTCTTGGCTAGGAGTGTTTGAGTCTCCTCAAATGACTGCCTACACAGCTGTTCCTGCCACATCACCAGGTTCCCCCTCTGATCTTCACACTCTTCCCTGCCATGGATCTCATTCTTGTGTCATGTGACCTTGGAAGTTATCCTGAAGCCCACGCTTCTTCTGATGGTTCATCTTGAAGCCATAGGGCTCTCTCCCAAGTGAACAGCCTTGAATATGTGGGGCGAGTAGCACGGTCCTGTTGCCCTGAGCTAGATGGGGCAATAGGCTCTCTCCCTGGGACCAAGTTGAGGTGTCATTTGTTGGAGCCCTATGTGAGGTGACCTGTCTGTGGGTGTGCTTCATGCCCCTAATATGACGTTGTCTACACCGCACCCCCTGACACACCACATAAACCCTTTGAAATATTTAAAAGGGTCTTGTAGAGAAGAGGACCTTCATGGTAACCTTCAGAGGAAAGAATGGGAAGCAAAATGTTTACTGCAAGAAGGTAGGGCTGGGGTTAAACATGTGGAAAAGCTTCTACCTGAAGCTTTAAGGAAGTGTTTTAGCAGGCAGCACAAGACGGCTAAGGAGCTGATTGGGGCACCTTGGCCTTTCCGTGCTTTCCAGCAAAGTTGGGGCAGGCCTCTGACAGCACAAAACTCTGGACTCCCATTGGAACAGGTGGTGGAATTTGGTGTATGTGTGAGAGAGAACAGCATGTCTTTCTAGTTTGCTGTCTTGTGTGAATCTTATGCCAAGAGATGAGCACACAGCCCCTCAGGTTTCTGCGGATGCCAGCTACTAGTGCTGAGCTGTGTGTCCGATTGCAAAACAGGCGAATTGCTGCCACTGTTACTCCTTGGCCACAAGTGCATTTCGTGGTTGATAACGCCTCGTGTCCTTTTTCTGCGGCATCACCTGTCTCGCCACAGGAAGCTGTTCATAGAATTGTAGAGTTGGAAGGGACCACGAGGCTCACCCAGTCCAACCCTTTGCAATGCAGGGATATTTTGCCCAATGTCCATGACCCTGAGATTCTTCTGCCCGACGTGGGGCTCCAATCCATGACCCCAAGCTTAAGAGTCTCATGCTGTACCGACTGAGCTATCTCAGCTGCCTTATACTGAGGTCAAACTCTTGGTCTATTGAGCTCAGTATTATCTACGCCGACTGGCAGCAACTCTCCAGGAGTTTCAGACAGGGAATCTTTTCTGCCCCTTGCCTGCAGATGCTGGTCAACTGAGCCTGGGACCTTGCTGCCTGCAAAGCAGATCTTGTACCCCTGAGCTAAGGCCTGTTCCTCTTATGCAGACCTGCCCTGCAGCCTGGGGCTGGGAGGTTTTGAAGGCTGTTCCTTCATACTGATATTATCACAGTGCTTGTCCTCACAGTTTGGGATCATAGGAACTGCCCCAGGTATGCCAGGAAAGCAGGCAGTTGCTGTGCGCAAGGAAAGGAACACTTCCTTAAATGAATCCTGCCTTCCGTTTTCCATCTGCCTCTGACCTGGCTATACTGTACAGTTAACAGGAATGCTTTTGGTGCTCCTGTGCAGAACTTGCTCTGGTGTCCTACTTTTTTTTTTAGGAGAGCAAACCAGGCCCAGGAGTCTTTGTTCTTTATCCTCCATCCATGCAGGTGGTGGCTACTGTCATTGTGCTTGAGAGGACAGCATGATGCATGTCCTCCTCCTCCTCCAGGACTTGTTTGAACTCCTCCTTTAGAGAAGGGAAGATGAATGCTCCCTCTGCACATAAACGAGGAGAATGTCTTTTGTGTTGGCTTGTCCTCGCATCCTCGGCAACAGGCTTTGTAGCCTGGGCTTAGCATAATAGGACCTGTTTCTTCTTAATGCTGGTCACTCTGGGCAGCAAAACCACCAGCCAATAGGGGTCACTGCTACACTGTGGGTATGGGCATATTTTGACTGCACACAATCTGCTCCAGTGATGCTCTTGTGTGTCCCCCAACTTCATTCTTCCAGTGAGCCCCTTGAGGTCTGTGAAAAGATTAAAAACAGGTATCCCCACTACATTGACTTGCCAGACCTGGGCCATGGTAGCAGCCTCTGCTGGAGTGGGTGGGTAATGGGCCCAGGTTGCCTGGAACTAATTGGTTATTCTGTAGCCAGGTCTCCATACCGGATCTGTCTTCTGCGCCAGCCTTGAAAGTGGAGCCTGGATATGGTAAGCTGGGAGCGCTGTGCATGCGATGAAACCTCTGGGCAGGGATACTTGCTGGGGAAAGCTTTGCCTACTGGCACCTGGTATCTTCCACAGTGTCTACAGCAAAACCTGTTGTAGTTTCTCGCTGTGAAGCTGTGTTAGCTTTAAATTTTTGAATGCATGTGTGCCTGAAAATGAGCAGTGGCCAGTGGCCTTCCTTTGGGAAGGAAGGTCTGTCCACCCAAGTCGAAGGGCAGAGATTATCCCCAGTGAATTGCTCAGCCCCTAGACACAGTGCCAATGCATATGTCATGCAAGCTTCAGATCTTAAGTGGGTTGCTGTTGAGAGATGAAGTGCCATTGCCTTGTTCCAGGCTCTGCTGCTCCGAAGCCTGCACCTGTCTCTGGCCCGGCCAGCCGCCCACCATGGGCTGTGGATCCTTCCTTTGCGGAGCGGTATGCCCCAGATAAAACCAGCACAGTCCTGAGCAAGCACAGCCAGCCGGCTACGCCAACACCGATGCAGAACCGCAACTCCATTGTGCAGGCTGCACAGCAAGCCCCTGAGAGTGCTGACAAAACGCCTATCTGCTACCAGTGCAACAAGATAATCAGGTGAGAGTTGCAGCAGTGCGGAGGGATCGTTCTCCTCCTTTTCCTCTCCCCCCTCCCCAATTCTCGGAAGTGGTTTGTACATACGTACACCTGCACCTCGCTTAGTCTGTTGCAGCCTGGAATACTGGCTTCTGGATGGGTGCACCGATTCCACCGATGGATATTGTGTGCAGAGGTGACCTGGAAGTTCGGTGCCTATACTTGCAGTGGCTTGTTTGCAAATGCGAGTTCCTTGCTTGATGTTGGCATGCTGCAATCATACTGTGCGGACCCAGTGGCATAGCGTGAGTTGCCAGTGCCCAGGGCTGTGTGGAGGAAGGGAAATGGACAGAGGACACACGCACATTCAACTGCCTAATGGCATCCGCATCACCCAGGAGTTTGCAGCCGCAGAAATAAGAAAAGAAGAGTTGTTCCGTTGTCTGGAGAGGTCACTTCCTGGTTTGCATGGAAAATCTGTTTTCAACAGAGTGCAGCGCCAGATGTGCAAAGTTGTATTGAGGCAGCACTGGGTGCTGAAATTTTGCACCCTGGGCAACCGTCCCCCATGCTACACAAACCAGCCCTTGGAAGTGTTCCCTTCCATGTACTGTAGACTCACGCTTCATAACAACAGCTAGAATTGTCTTCTGGCAATGGAAAGGGAAAGACCCTGGTCGCCTGTCCTTTCCCCCAATAGGCAAGAGGCCAGGCTCATCACCCACCTCAAAGCTAACCCTTCCTCTTTTTGTTTTTCCACTAGAGGGCGCTACCTGGTGGCCCTGGGACGCTACTACCACCCTGAGGAGTTCACTTGCTCACAGTGCAGGAAGGTGCTGGACGAGGGTGGGTTTTTTGAGGAGAAGGGCTCCATCTTCTGCCCCAAGTGCTACGACATACGCTATGCCCCCAACTGTGCCAAGTGCAAGAAGAAGATCACAGGGGTGAGTTCGGTTGGAGCGCAGCCTTCGGGGAAGCAGTCCTACTCTCAAGCATGCTGAGAGTCAGGAAGGGGTGGGGGCAGAATCTGTGCACTCCACGTGGTTCTGAACTCCAACTCCCATCGTCCTTCACTATTAGCTGTGTTGGCTGAGGCTGATGGGAGTTGGAGTCAGGCAACCTCTAGAGAGTCGCAGGTCCCACATCCCTGATGTTGAGATTTCCCTTGCTTAGAAGGAGCCAGCCATTGCTGTTAGCCCTTTCCACTCAGGAGTGATCTTCTCCAGTTCCTTATGTTAACTCAAGGGCTGATGCTTTAAAGCAGGGGTGGGGGACCTCTGGCTGGCCTGTGGGGCCATTTCTGCCCAACCATGGTTGTGGGTCCCCCATGTGTCTCTGCACAAAGCAGTTATACCAGCCCTGCGGCTCCCAAGTGGCAGACAACCAGCTAGCTGTTAGGTAGTCGGGAAATGCTAATCAAGGGACTTTGACAGGTGTGTTGTCCTACTCACCTGTCACAGCTGACCCTTGGAGGTGTGGACAGCTAAGGATCGGACAACTAAGCCAAAAAAAGTTCTCCACGCCTGCTCTTGCCATATAGTACAAACCTGATAGACTTGTCTTGCTACTATATTTGAGGCTGGGGACTCCCAGACTCTGGCCTGCTCCAGAGAGCAAACATAGCACAGCAATGAGCATGAGCTGGAACTCTGTTTCAAATCTCATATTAGTCATGAACTCACTTGGCAGGCTAGAGCAACCTGCTCTGTATTCCGGCCTTCTTCACCCTCCCCAAATCTGTGGAGGCTAAATCCTGGCCTCCCCTACCAGGTTGTTGGGATGGTTGAAATAATGTATGGCTGGCATGTGGAAAGTTCAGTATTGCCTATGTAGTGTGCTGTCTAAATACCCTGCATTGTTGGCAAAGGGCAGCCCTACAGTGGAGTGACTCGCGTTCTTGTGTTTCTTTAGGAAATTATGCATGCCCTCAAGATGACCTGGCACGTACATTGCTTTATCTGTGCTGCCTGCAAAACGCCCATTCGCAATCGTGCCTTCTACATGGAAGAAGGGCAGCCCTACTGTGAGAGAGGTATGGATAATACTTGGCTGTGGTACCCACAAAGTAGTGGGTCTTTCTTAGAAGTCTTTTAGATAGCCTTTAATTAACATTCTGGATTTATAAAATTGGAAGCATATGGGATGTCCCAAGCTCCCCCTGGAATGGGAGCAGCCAGCACCAAAGCAGCCTTCCTTGGAAGGGGTGGGTGGGGGGATACCCCACAGAAACAGTTCCTAGTACTGACCTTCAGTGGCAGGGAGAGCTTGGGCAACAAAACACTTGCAATGGCGTCCTCCTCTGACCCTGGTCTGGCTGCCCCTTGGTAATGGTTGCCGGGCAGCGCCCGTTCTGCCAGGTTGCTATGGAGATCAGTAGAGTAGTACCTGCATCACGTAAGCATGCAGCAAAGCATGCTGGGAAGTGTTGTTCTTTTCCTTTCATTCCAGTCCTGATAAACACAACTCTCTCTTGGAATATTCCATTGGGATGAGGTTTCTAGGGGGAGAAAGGCTTAGCAAATGGAGTGGCTTCCCTCTCCACCCCCACATTATCTGATGCTGTGAAACAATCTGGAATTCTCCCAGATGAATGAACAGCTGCCTTTCATCATAAGCCGGGTGGGGTGTGCAGGGCTCTTAACAGCATGTGCAGCCTTGCTTGACATGGCTGGGACGGTTGTCTGCCATCTCTTCACGGAGTCTTTGGTCTTCCAGCCAGCCCAACAGGCTCCAGGGCAGCATCAGAGCATCTGTTGCTTAGCTCAGGAAGGGCTCTGATCAGAGAAAAGCAAATACTGGGGAGAGGACAGGATTGTGGGACAGAAGCAAAGCTACAGAAACAGAAGGGAACCAAGAGCAGGAGCAGAGAACTGTGAAGCAGATGGGGAAGGGAGCTGAGATCACTGGGGCAGTGAACCAGACACTAGCAACCCAGTCTCTAGCTCTGTGGTAGAGTGCATGCCTTAAATGCGAAAGGTCCCTGGTTCAATTCCTGGCATCTCCAGGTAGGGCCGGGGAGGACAGGACTCCTTGCCAGTTGATATACAGACAGGCTTGGTGTTAAGGCAAGTGCCTTTGATCCTAGCTGCTCTTTGAACATGGTTCTGCAATCAAAGCAGCCTCCCTTTGCCGAGCGGGTGAGTGGGACGGGTGGTGCTGTGGCAATGGCTCATGTAAGCAGCGGCGCTCTTCTTCCTAGCTCGGCCTCCAGATTCTGAACACGTTGGCCTAATCTCTCCTCCCCCTTCTCTCCCTGCCTCAAGACTATGAGAAGATGTTTGGAACCAAATGCCGTGGCTGTGACTTCAAGATAGACGCTGGCGATCGATTCCTGGAGGCGCTGGGCTTCAGCTGGCATGACACTTGCTTCGTCTGTGCGGTGAGCACCTCTTTCCACCACCCACCACCCACCACTGGTCTAACTAACCCTTTCCAGCCTTTGCTCCAGGAGCATTCTGTGATAGAGGGACATCGCTGGCAGGCAGGGGCAGCAATTTGCTAGCATGAAGCTTGTCAGATGAGGCTTCTGAGCTTGGCTCTTTCCCTGGGGGTGGAGCTGTCTGGTTTAACCTTTCGTCCTTGCTTGCCTTTGTGGCAAGCACTCTCGGGTGCCTCCTGCTGACTGGCAATGCCTTAGGTCTAGCAGGGCAGCGACTGTTGGGGGTGAAGCTGGGCAGCAGTGCATTGGGTGGCTTTGCCCTTCCTCTTTTGTCCCTGTGGATGAGCTGAAGTGGGTGGTGGGCCTGTGAGCGTGGAACTGATGCTTGCCTCACTGAGTCCTTCCTCCCTTCCTTCCCCCCACAGATCTGCCAGATCAACTTGGAAGGAAAGACATTCTACTCTAAAAAGGATAAGCCCCTGTGCAAGAGCCATGCTTTCTCGCATGTGTGAGGAGGAGGAGGAAGCGGGTGGGGAAGAGGAGATCTGACTGCCCAAGCTGCTGCTCGCCCAAGCCCTGCATTCCTCTTTCCCCCACATTTTGCCCTGTCCTGTCCTGAGAGAGCTGCCCCCACACTCCACCCCAAACCCTTCACTTGACAATCATTCCCAATGGGGGAGCTGCAGTGCTCAGATTTCCCTTCAGTACTCTGCGAGGATTCAGGTACATGGATTTAGAGTCTGAGCTTTAGGCTGCTGCTCTTTTTCAAATAGAATTCCATTCTGCACCAGCACTGAGTGACAGGGGCAGAATCACCACCACCCTTCTCCATGCTGTGAAGCCATAGTGTCGCCATATGTCCAAAGGATTTGCCCGTGCCTCTTGTCACTTTTGTGCCAGCTGCAGCCAAAGAGGTGGAGCCCCAGAAATGTTACTTCCTAGCTGAAGGATCCCATATGTTAGTGGCTGTTGCAAAGCAGGCAGAGTTGACACTTGGTCATACCTAGGAGGTCTGTTATCTGCCTCAGGTGTATGTGAACACTTGCTGCCTCGCCCTCTTGGCTTTTCCCAATGCCAGGGTAGGGCTCGTTCTTGTGACTTTTTGCCTCCTTTGTGTTGTAACTACCAACTTTGGCTCCTGTCTGCCTTTCCTTCCTTGAGAAGGCATCGCAAGTGATTTCTGTGATCCAGGCCTGGCTCTGTCCTGCCTGTTAGTATGTATTTCCACTTTCAGTGATGGAAACTCACCTACACGTAGACATGTGGCCCTAGTGAAATTGGGAAGAGCCAAGTCAAAAGTAAAAAAAGAAAAAGAAAGAGCTTTCTTTCCCCTCCCAAGACTTAGCCACTCCTTTCCTAGAGCTGGAAACAGACTACCTCCAAGGTGTGTAGAGCCTTGTTCTATAAAGTTGTAACAGACCTCAAGCAAAGTAATTTTAAAATGCCATGGAGAACAGAGTTGTCACAGGATCCAGCCCTCTTCTCCACACCAGCAGAAGCTGCTTCTCCTCGCACCATGAGATGAACGTGTGATTCACTCCCCAGCCATACAACGCTGCGTTTGCTTGTAGCGCACAGCCCTGGGCTGGATGTGGCCCCAGAGCATCCCTACCAAAGAGTTATTATTTCTGATTTGCTCTAAGTGTGTTTCCCAGAACCGTGCTGTCTGGCTGGGAGTCTTCAATTCTTTGCCACCTTGGTGGTGCTTTGAATGCCTAATAAAATATGTCTTTAATTCTTTTGTCATGTATCTGAGCTGTGCTGATTTCTTTGTCTACTGGAAGGGGGGGTGAAAAGTCAGTGAAAAATACAGGTGCGGGTTATATGGTGTGACAGACACTCTAGAAACTAATATTAGTCCTACTTGGGAAGAAGCAACCTGAGCCCTCCCTCTTATGCTCAGAGAGGAAAAGCAAAAGGGAATAGTTTCATGGAAATACTGTGCACGCGACTAAGGAACTCAGCATTGCTGAAACTGAATACGGTCTCTCTGTTGAGAAGTGACAGCTGCAGAACAACTTTCAGCCGAGTGGTAACTTTTCATTTCATAAAATGCTAGCAACAGTGGTGCAGGGAAAGCTTAGCACTGCCCAACCTAGCAGGAACTGCCTGTGATATCCTGTTGGCCGGGAGTTTGATTTCATACCTGTATTGCTACTGTAAATGTTTTAGTGGAAAATCAGGCAGTCCGGGAGCAGATTGGGCGGTGTGGTGTGCGAGGCTGCCTCCGGCATAAATAAGCAAAGCCCTTTTGCGGCAGTGGCTGTTTGAAGGTTAATGTGAGTGAAGGGGTGAGAGTGAGAGGATGGTCACAGTGGGCCTAAACAGAGGAAGGCATCTGCATCGGCAAAACCATATATATGAAGCTTCATTGGTCTAAGTTAATGACTGGTCCCAAAGAACACGGCACCTGCTTAGGATAGCATAAAGATTGCCCAGAGACCTGTTGGTGACTGAGAATGGCTTGATTTCAAGGACTCATTTTCAGAGATAAACACAGTTAGCAACTTGGAGAAGTATTTCGTGCACTTCCTTATTTGCAGCCTTGATGCAGCTTATGTCTGCTGTGTGGCTGTTTCTGTTTGGCCGGCTATTCAGGGTCCCCCTCCCTCGTGCAGCTTGTAGCATTTGTGCTTTCATTCCAGCTTCTGCTTTAGTGGTTACTGGTCCTATATTTGGCGAGAAACTTCCTTGATGCTTGCAGTTCTTGTTGTAGGGAACTACTTGGTTTGTGCTTCCTGCTAGCTTTGATTTGTGTCTTGCAAGGGGGCGTATGTTAGGGCGAGCGCTGCTGTTGTCCTGTCACACTGTCTTTGGGGTCGCTTGCTTTGCTTTATGCAGGGAGAATGGTTTTTCTTCTTACGGAGATGTGGGTGTTTTCCCTTTTTTTCTTAAATCGAACAGATTTTTCCAGAGAGGCAAAGCATCATCAAAGCCACAGGCTGGATGAATTCTTAAAGGCCATAATCACAAGGAACGTAATTAGCTGATAATCTATAAGCAGAGCTTTAGGACAGATGGAAACCCCAGCTTGACTCCATTCATAAATTGCTTCTTGAAAATAGGGAGGCCTTATGGCATGTCACGACCAGGATTTCTGTTTTGGGGAGAGGTTGCAGAGGCTTAAGCCTTTCCCATTGAATTTTGGGAGTGCCAGGCAAGAACTGGTAGATAGTGACAAAAGCAACAGGGTTTATTCTGTTGTTGTTGTTGTTGTTGTTGTTGTTGTTGTTGTTGTTGTTGTTATAGAAAGGCTTCTCTATCACCTAGACTAGGTCACCTCCACAGTAGCTCAAGTCTGAATTGCATTTCTGCTAGAAACCACGTGGGCTTTGCTTTGAAGTGCCAGGTGACTGAGAAAAGAAATGCAGTGCTAAGAGGAAAAAAACACCTCACACTTGAAGAATGTTGGCACCTACTTCATAAGGTGCCATGGTGGCCCAGATGCTGCCCACACCGTATGGGAGTGAGATTGCTTTTCCAGGCCACTTTCAGAGAAAGACCTTGAAGTCAAGAGGCAAAGTGGGATCCAGAAATCCTTAAAGAGCTCCTCCTCCAGATTCCCGAAAGAGCCATTTGAGTAGGGCTATAACAAGTGGTGGGGGGCTTGCTGAGAGGATGCTAAGTGTATATGAGGGTTCCAGACTGGGTGGTGTAGAGGCATCCTGGGTAGAATGAGAGATGTGCTGGGATTACTACTACAAAACCATGAGGTTCTGTTTGGCTGGGTATTGTCAATCACTCAAAGTTTTGTCATGATTGCTATATGGCAAACAGCGTGCTAGCAACAAAATGGGATTTTTCACACGGTGCCACCAAGTGTCCCCCCCTCCCCAGATCATAAGAACGTGATCTGAACTGCAGTAGGCAGCGAGACTTCACTTTCTATTGAAGTGTATGAGATGAGGATGAGTCAGTTCTGACTGATGCTACAATATCGATGCAACTGGAGGTTTGATGTAGATGCTGAGCCTGAGGCTGCATCCCAGCTCAGCCAGCACCTTAGTCATTTGAATTGCCAGCTTCTGCTCTGGTGTGTCCTGCGCGAAGTCTGGCCCTCTTTCCCAGGCCTCTAACACTTAACCGGGCGAGGCTCAGCTGCCAACTGTGTAAAGTTGCGATGAACGTGAGTGCCTCTGAGCGTGCGCAGAGTGCCCCTTTCTCTGGACCCCTCTGCGCTGCCGCAGCAACTCTGAGCTTTAAAAAGTGTGAGGGAACTTCTCCTCTGTGGAGCTTAGGTTTTTGTTGCAAAAACTTGGGCCCGACGGCGCAGGTGCCTCAAGTTCTAACTTTCGGCTCTCCCCGTCCCCTCGGGCTGAATGTAAGCGGGAGCCGCCGTCGCACATACGTGGTGGTGCCTGAAGTGATCCAGCTCAAGATGGCTGATCCCAGGCAACCCACATGTGGACAAATCGAGAGGAGGTGGGCGGCGGCGGCGGCGCTGGAGAGGCGGCCGAGGGGCGGGAGGGGGATGCTGAGCCGCGGCCGGCGCTAGGACCGGGTGCGCCAGCAGGCGGAGCCTCCTCTCCGCGCCGCCCGGCTCCCTCCCTCGGCTGCTACTGCTGCAGTGTCTCCGAGGCAAGCAGGCAGGCGGCCTGTCTCCATCCGAGCGCGGCTCCCTCGCTGCCCCTCTGCCGACGTCCCGTAAAGCAGCATCCCTCTCTCTCCGCCGCCGGCATGGCTGGCGTGAGCTTCGGCGCCAACCGCCTGGAGCTGCTGGCCTCGTACCAGGAGGTGATCGGCGAGGACAGCCCCACCGACTGGTAAGCCCCCCCCGGGGGAGCGGGCTCTTTGTCCCCGCGGTGGGGAGGGGGGCGCTGGCTGCCGCCACTGCTTTGTGCAGGGGGGCGTGGGCGGCGTCTGCCCGCCCGCTTTTCTACCGGGAGTCGCCAACAGCGCTCCCCTCCCTGCCACCCTCGCTCCCCATAGAGGCGATCCGGGAGATTCCTCGCTTCCCGGACCTGGGACATGGCTGGGGGGCGGGTGGGGGGGAGAAGCCATTAGCAACCCAAAATGGTGCATTGGCAACGCGCGGCCAGGCCCGGGAGCTGGGGCGAGGCCTTTTTCTGTGGGGCGCAAGGAGGGCACAGCCCGAGGATGCTCCAGCAGCCTTTTCAGAGTCCGGGGCGGAGGGGGGATATTGAGCGGCGTCCCGCCCTGGAGCCCCACGGAGCTCTTTTGAGGAGGGGAGCAGTTCAGAGAAGTCCCGACGGCGTTTTCCACCCCTAAAATTGGGGCGTCGGAGGCGCGCCCCAGCCCTGTGGGAGCCACCTCGGTGCCAGGACGCGCCCCCTTTCTTTCCCCCACCCTCCCGCAGTATCCTTCCCCGCACCCCATCCCCGGGCGCATCTCTTCGGATGCGGCGGGGGCGGGTCCGCGCGATGCCTCTTCCACCTGCTCGTCCGCCCGCGGCGCCCTCCCGAGCCAGCCCGGGCCGTCCAGCTCGGCGCCCGGTGCCCATCTGCGCTTATCCCGCGCCTCCGGGTACCAGCCTCTCTTCCCCTCCAGTTTTGGGGTGAAAGTTATCTGATAGAGACGCGCTACACAAAGGAAGGTGGGGCTGGCGAGGGGGAGGAGGGGGTCTGGAGGCTGGAGGGGAGGGGCTGGTGGGCTGTGAGGAGGAGAAGAGGAGGTGGGGTTGGAGGGGAGGAGAAGGAGAGAGGCAGAGAGGAGCCAAGGGGGCCCTCCGCAGGCAGCCATCCCCGCGCAAGGAGGAGGCGTGGAGGGCCCCGAAGTGCCGCATCCTTTTCTTTTGGGCTGCCGAGGCCTGGCTGTCCACAGGCCGCCTGTCTCTTTGGCAAAGGGGCTCCCCTTTCTCTTTGGAGGTGGTGTTGGCAGCGAAGGCCCATCCCTGCTCGCAGGGGCTCTTCCCAGAATAGACTTGGGGGATGTTTCAGCACAACCCTTTATTTGCAATTTTCTGGGCCTGCTGCTATGGGGAAGCCTTGATTTGAAGGCTGCCTCCAGAGATGAAATGGGAGCCATCTCCTACAAAGCCCCAAACAATAGACATGTGCTCCATTTCTGCAGTCGCCCAATTGTGTGTGGGTGTGTTGTGGGTGTTGGGGGTTATTGTTAATGAGGCCTGCATACTTGGCGTTCCCAGCCAATGAATGTTCACACTTTGTGAGAGGCAGAAGGTTCTTCAGAGACTTCATGCTACGTTTCCTTTGCCTTCCTCATGCCTTGAGACTTCCCAGCAAGCCATGAAGCAGTCCACCCATGTCTGCAGCAATGGCCCAGGCAACAGAAGGTTTCTCCCCGGTAGTTCAGTTTCTGGACCTCATTTTTCTGTTTGAAGCAGAATTGCACAGAGGGCTCGAGTGATGCTCCCTAAACATAAGATAGCAGGACTCAGTTGCCAGGAAGCACTTGCCACGTAGTCTCCTGTAAGATTAATTCACCCTGCAATTATGGAGCACTTAATCTGGTCCTTAATATGCACCACAAGGGGGACTAATTATTTACAAGTGCTTAGACCTAGGTTCAAAACAGTGGCCACCTATAGCCTCTGTGGGATGCTTTTGAACAAGTCACTTTCTTTCAGCATCGGTTCCCCATGTGTAAAATGGGAATGGGAGACCGCCCATGCCTTGTTATGCAGATGAGCTGGTTAAAGAATAATGGAAATCACTTTGTACTGTACATGTGCTTGTGTGTGACTGATAATAATTGGAGCCACTATAGGCTTCCTGGTCTGTTCCAGAGCAGCTCTTAGGAAATGCTTTTGCTTTTTAAAAACCTAACTGACAAGTACTTTGTGCTTCTTAAAGAAACCAAGTCCATAGTGTGCTTGGAGAATTGTTGTTGTTTTTCCTTTCTCCTTCCAGAGTTACTCTCCTGTGAGATTTCTTCTGCCCTGATCCTCACTTTCTCAGTCTGCACTGACATGCAGTGTTTTCTCTCTCTGCAAATAGTTTCTTACATCTCCTGGGTCCACTTCATACTATCCCTACCACACCCTGCCCTTTCTGTCTGCCAGGAGCTCTGCTCTCTGTATCGGCTGTTGTGGTTTTTCTCTTCCCACTCAGGTTGCTGAAAGCTCATTTGTCTCTGGAAGGCCAAAATGAAAAAAATGAAAAAGCGCCCTGTGGATGTGAAAGTGCTCTTCTCCCTGTGAGCCACCACTTTCACTTCCAAGGGCCATTTCTGACCCCCTTCCTTGCTAACCTGGGTGTGCAGGTGTGTGGCATCCTTCTGAGGCAAGGTCTTTTCAAACACTAGTGGCCTTTGGGCGGCATAAACCTCCTGGTTCAGAAGCTGAAACCCATCACAACTGCTTTCCTTTCAGCCTCTCCTTTCACAATGGTGCTGGAGCTGCCCACATCAGCAGCACATAGATTACAGGGGGACAGAGGAACGAGGCAGTGGTCCTGGTATGCCACTTACTAGCTCCATGTCAGCTTGTGGGGAGTCGTAGAGCTTGGTTGTTCTCTTTAGATAAAGCTTCATCAGTACTCTTACCTGCTGCAGCCTGACAATTTATAACTTTGCTAGAGCAAATGGAGTAAACTCTGCACTGCTATCAGTTTTCCTCCCCTCCTCCCCAGTGCTTTATTTTGCTGTTGCTTCTTTGTAGTTTGCTCTTCCCCACCCGGTTCCTCCTCTTCCTTCTAGACCAGAAGGTCTCCAGCTGCTCCTCTTTGCTTGCTTCCTTCTCTTTCAAAGCCCAGACACTTCAGGCACCCCTCTCTTGTTTCCAGCTTGCAAGCCAGGCCTCTTGGTCTGTTCAGCTGGAGACGTATCCCACAGATGATACACACACACACACACACACACACATGCAAACAGCAAGGAGTGTGGCTGGTTAGCGGGCACATAGTATGTGTGGTGTTTGTTGTAGAATGTGGGGGACACACACACACACACACACACACACACACACACGAGATGACAGTGTGGGTGGAGGGGGTGCAGTTGTGTGCTCAGAAAGGCATGAATTTGAGAGGTGGGAGGACAGGTCACCCTCAAAGACAAAGGCAAACTAAGGAAGGCAGAGAGTGAAGAGGAAGTAATCTCCCCACTTTCAGACTTGAAAATGCCTAGAAGCAGGGGCCTGTCTTTTCTTCCTGCCCCCCTCCCCACTGTAAAATTGTCAGTATGTCAGGGATATATTTTTGGCCCTCCAGATGTTGTTGGACTACAACTCCCATCACCCCTGGCTATAATGGCAATGTTGGTTGGGGCAGATGGGATCTGGAGTCCAAAAATGTATGGAGGGCCATAGGAGTACAATAATGGTTTGGTTATCAATGATGGTGCATAGGAGATTATTGGGGAAGATTGAGAAGGAAGAGCCAAGCAACATTAGTAGCACCCATGCTGAGGCACCCGAATCTCCAGGACAATGGACTGTCATTGTGGGATGATAGACAGTGAGCGGCAGATGTCGGCCACAGGTGATGGGAAATATAATCAGTACTGCTGGCAGGGCCTCAAACGGGGGAGGAGGGATCTCTTGAATGGAAAATGGGGTCGCTTCTGCAGTGGTGTCTAGTGCTCTGAGTGGGCTGAGTGCTCTGGGTGTGCTAATGGATTTGTCTCCTGGGCAATGTTTTCTTGTCTTAAGGAGAAGAGAGCACAAAGGGAATCCAGCCTGAGTGGAACCTAGTGCCCCCTTGGTGAACTGCTCACCAGAGGGCTGCCCTCAACTCACCTGAATCTGATCCTTTATGAAAAGATGGTGCCTGTCTGGCAATTGCCAGGATGAGAATCTAGCCTTGCAGCCAATAAGATTCTGCGGAGCAAATGTCCCCAGTGGTTTAGCAATTGGTCTAGTAGCCTTTTATGTCTTATTTAGTCTCTAGCCCCAGTTTCTGAGCGGCTTGCGAAAGAGATCTTCCAAGTGAGCAGAGAAAGGTTTAGAGGTTCAGCATATCTTGGATCCGAGTCAAAACATATTCCTGCCAGGGAGCTCTATAGCAGTACTGTGATTTTAGTGCTCTGCCCTGTGTCAGTCTGAAGAGGAAGAAGCTAAACCACCCCCACCGCCTCCACAGATGCAGGATATAAATTACTGTGCTGCAGGCTGGCCAGAGACTGGATAGAGAATCTAGCCCCCTAACCAGCTTTGACTGTTCAGACTCACTGCACCCGCTAACTTTACACCTCCCTTGTGAAAATATTACTAAAATCTCTCCTACTATGGATCCCAGATTCCCCCCTTCCTATAATTACACTGGTCAACAACAAATTTGTTGTCTGTGTTTTTTCAGCTGATTTAGGACGAATCTGATGCGCTGAATCCAAAAATCACATTGGTTTTGCTCAATCAGGTCAAGTTTTGAGTTATGGCCACATGTCGTTTTTTTAACTTTTTTGTTCACATGTATGCTTGTGTGGAGCATTTTAGAAGAAGTTAGTGGGGGTAGAATGCCATGTTGAATAATTGTTTTGATTGGAAATGATTATTTTAATGACAAGAAGTATTCAGGTTCAATAGTTCTGGGTGATTATGTCGAAAAGGGATCAGTTTGAAGTCATAAAACCTCAAAATCTTCCATAAATTGGTGTGGCAAAGCATAAAGTTGGGGGATCAAAACCCCTGGCTCACTCGAGTACACTGAAGGAGAACTATGAAGGGGTGAAGTATGTGCTGGAGAAAATTGGTTATGATCAGCATAAGTGGTTTATTTGTGTTGACCTGAAGATGGTGAACTTTTTGTTGGGACAACAGTCTGGCTTCACCAAGTACCCATGTTTTCTGTGCATGTGGGATAGTAGGGACCATGCTCAGCATTACACGAAGAAGGACTGGCCTGTGCGGGAGGAATTGGTGCCTTGCAGAAAAAGGAACGTCATCAACGACCCTCTGGTGGACAGAGACAGAATACTCTTCCCACCGCTGCACATCAAGCTCGGCTTAATCAAGCAGTTCACCAAGGCTCTGGACAAGGATGGTGACTGCTTCACTTACTTGTGCCAGGCTTTTCCAGGATTGACCATGGAGAAGTTGAAAGCTGGCATCTTTGACGGTCCTCAGATCCGTCAGCTCATCAGAGATCCAGAGTTCGGAAACTCAATGAACGAAGTGGAACTGGAAGCGTGGAAGGCATTTGTTCTGGTAGTGAAGAACTTTCTTGGCAACAATAAGGCCAGAAACTACGCAGAACTTGTCAACAACATGCTGACTGCTTTCAGAAACCTGGGCTGCAACATGAGCGTCAAGATGCACTACCTATTTTCACATATGGACCGGTTTCCTGAGAACCTGGGTTCAATGAGTGACAAGCAGGGGAGAGATTCCATCAGGAGAGGAAAGAGATGGAGACCAGGTATCAGGGTCGCTGGGACGCAGTCATGATGGCTGACTACTGTTGGACTCTGAAGAGAGACCTCCCTGCCGCTGAGCATTCCAGGAGTTCCAAGAAACGGAAGTTCAAGCCCTGAAGTTTGAAAAATGGTGAAGCAACATGCAATTTACGTGTACTTACCTTTATCAATGCCCACCATTCAGTTTACAGTAATCGATGTTTCTATCAGGTAATCAATATATGTTGTTGGAAAAACATTTTTTCTCTTAAAAACATATTTAGGATGATATGTGTTGACAAAAATCAGCTGATAATGCCACAAAAATGTAATCGATTTTGTCACAAGATCTGATTTTTTCAAATCAACATAGCACAAAAACCTGACCTGATGGAGAGAAACGGATGCCATTTCCTGATTCAGCAGTGCAAAAATACCCTAAATCAGTTGTAGAAATCTAGACAACATTCAAAAAGTAAAAAATTGTTGCCCAGTGTTATCATTCCTTTTTGTGACTTTCCCCCTGCTCCACTGTTGTGTGACCTATCTCTATTTTATGCTATTCAGGGTATTTTATCTCATTCTTCCTCCAAAAAGCTTTCTGTGGCATCCTTGGTTTTCCTTCTCCATTTTATCCTCACGACAACCCGAGAAGGTGGGGAGAAGCAGAGAGAGAGACTGGCCCAATGGCCTAGCTTTGTGGCTAGACAGGGATTCCAATCCTGAGCTCCCTGGTCCTGTCCTGACCCAGGGAGTCAGTGTGGTGCCCCCAGATGTTGCTGGACTTCTGCTGCCATCATTCCTGCCCATTGATTGTGCTGGCCGAGTCTGACAAGAGTTGGAGCAATATCTGGGGAGGATCACGTCTGCTTCCCCTCCTCTGACCGCTACACCAAATTGGTTCTTACCTCCTACTGGAGTCCCTCTCTGCCTTCCTGGCACCTTGAAATAAATCAGAAAATTGTGTGCATGCACACGGAAACTTATATCCAGAACAAACTTAGTTGGTCTCTAAGGTGCTGCTGGACAATTTTTAAATTTATTTTGACTGTGTCAGACCAGCATGGCTACCTACCTGAATCTAGATTCCTGGCACCTTGTGTGCGTGTATTTTTGCAACTCAACTACCCTGCTGGCTGGCCTAGCTGTGTCTGCTCCTGCTTCCTGAGCAGCAGAAGTGCTTGCATCAAGCTGGCCTTGAGAGAGAAAGGAAGTCCCTTCCATCTGGTGTGGGGTTGAAGGGGCTTCCCGCCCCCCTCCCATGCAATGTGCTCTTCCAAGGTGTTTTCTCTCTCGTTGTGGTTAGAGGCTGTCCCCACTTTGGGGGCCCAGGGCAGGCCTCTGATCCATTAGCTGTGCCCAGATCTCTCCGTGTGAAAATAATTGGTGGCAAAGAGAAAGGGCAACTGCATCAGCGAGGGCCAGAGCAGAAGTAGGCTGAACTCACAGCAGGAGAGGGTTGGGAGGGTATACAGTGGGACCGAGAGATGTGGACCATGGAAGAGGGAAGGTTGGGCTGCCCTTTGGAGCAGGCCAAGTCACTGGGTGGGGTTTGGGAAGCCATGCAGCTGAGGAAATGTGTAGAGGGGACCACTGGGATTTGAGCCTAGAGTTGGGAGAACAGGATTTGAAGGGAACAAATATCAAAGGCAAACCTTGTGCAGCCGCCAGGGTCCCACTCCTGCTATCTAAAGCATTGCAATTGAACCCCCAGTACCTTGCCCTTAAAACCGTCTTGCAAGTGGAGATTTCTGGCTCCCTTTGACTCTCTTTTCTGGCTCCCTCTGAGTCGCTTCTTCATTTCTGGGAGAGTTTCCCCCAGCTCCAGCGTGGCTTGAGCTCGCAAGAGCTGTGGCATGTGGGTGGTCTCTGTAGGTCTAGGGTGCAGTGTATGGGGGCAGGGAGCTCTGCTGCTTTGGAGAACAAAAAATCTCCAGACCATCAAAGTGGCTAACTAAGATCAGACCGTGCAGAGACATAGCATGAAAAAGCCCCGCCCTGCGTTTGCCCTGTATGTAATTTCTAACAACCCAAAGCCATGCTGCTTCACTCTAAATGTGTTGCTGGGCCGAGTAGGGCATAGGGACGACACATGGCATACGCACAGAGGCGTGTTCCAGGATTCAGCCCTGGCACTTAATAATGAAATCTGGGCTTGAACTTTGGCACAAAGGAAACCCTGCCCGGGCTTCTAGGAAATGGGGCGAAGGAGCCTGCTCATCCCTTCTTCTGGGTCATGTTCCCTGGCAGGAGCTGTGTGAGACAGCTGGGGGTGAAGGGGTGGGGTGGGGCTGAACAATAACTTCTTTATGTGGGGAGCCCCACCCTGGTGGGCCAGCAGCTGTCAATGCACCAGCGCATGTGGTCTGAGAAATCCAGGCTCCAGAGAAATCCAGTGGGGGCGGAGGAGGGGGGCACCTGGCCAGCTCCTGTAGCTCAAGGTCATTGGGGTGAGACAGCCTGCCTACCTTTGTGGGGAGCAGTAAATCCCCAGACAGGCAGCGCTTGCTTACTGGGCTGTGGGGCATCCATTCAATCACCTGGCAGGAGCGACTCCTGATTGAGAGCCACCAAAAGTGCTGAACATGGCAGGAAAAAAACAGCTGGTGGAGGAAGGACAAAGGCCTCTCTCCCTCTCTCTGCGCTGGCTGGGTGGGGTGGAAAGTGCTGGCTCGGCTCTGGCGCTGCTGCTGCTGCTGCCTCCCATCCACCTGTGACCTTCTACAGGACTGGCCCACCAGGGCAGTGGCGAAATGGCCAGGCCACTGGCAGCCCTTCAGGAAGCAGCCCGGTCTGAATTGTGCTTTCTGGAATCGCCAGCTGTAGGGATGCCACATGTGGGCCTGCTTGGAAGCTGGTGCCCAAAGAGCTAGCGGGGGGGGGGTGTTCCTGGGCTACCATGGGGGAAGTGTGGGGGGGGGGAGTGCTTAGATGTGGGCCTTGGATGAGAGTCAGCTGCCCGCATTTTGGTTTTCCATTGCCTTTGGATTACATTAGCCCATGTGCTCTTTTGTAAGGCATGCTCCCTGTTGCGCAGGTGCGGATTGCATTGGAGCGCAGGCCTGCAGAGGCTGTGGCCTAATACTGGGGAATCCAGAGCAAGTTGCGCGGGGGGACGGGACCCAGAGCTGTTATCCGCCTGATGACAGTTAGTCCTTCTTTTCTCTGAGAATCCCTAAATGCTCTCCCCATCTTCAGGCCAAGCTTTGTTTTCCGGCCTTGCCCCTTCCACAAAGGAGGAGGTTTCATGTGCTTCTTTCCTCCCTCCCCCTCCCCTTTGCGGAGGGTCTGGTGGTCCAAGCTGCCCCTCCCCCATGCGGAGGCTGCTGGGGCCCATTACTCGATCAGAAAGGAATTTGGTGCCGTTTTTCTGCACACGGGTTCCCTGGGGCTCGCGGTGCATTAGAAACACATGTGTATGGGCCAGGGGCTGCACAAGGGGGGTGGCGCTGGGGGTGGGGGTCTGCTCCTCTCCCTTTCCACTCTAGGGCTGGGGGTGGGGGGCAGGCAGCAGGGATTGGTGTCTTGTTCCTGCTCTGTCTGCAGAAACCTGGTGCTATTGGTGGGCTATGCAGCAGATGCTTGCAGTGGCCCTGGCTGCGGACGGATACTTGGTTGGTGGTTAAAACATTTTTGTTGCCTGATGCATTCAGCCCTCCCTTAACTGCAGGCACTTGGGATAAGCCGTAAGCCATAAGTACAGAAGGCTTCCTTTTGGAATTGTGGCCTGGTGGGAGAAGGTGTAGCGAGGGTGTCTCTTTAAACACAAGCTGGTCATGTTTTGAGTATTGTGTGCACGCGTGGTTTATTTTTACTCAGAAACAGAAAAGTAAAATTGATGACTGCCGTGGAATAGGTGAGCTCCCCCTCCTAAGTGGGTGTGGGTGGGTGTAACTTATCTTCTTTTAGGAGAATTTCATGCCCCCTTTCACACTGCAGGCGTTAGGAAACTCTGGAGGTCAGTAAGGATCCAGGTGCTCTTGGGTGCGGTTGGGTGGAAGTTCTTCTCTGCTGCTGCCACCTCTCATTTCAGAACGTCTGGCTTGGGTAGCCCCTCATTGCCCCACACTCCTCTCCTTTTGACTAGCCCATGGTGGGATGATCCAGAGCAGAGGGTTAGGCCTTGCAGCTTCACTCGTACTAAGAAGCATGCTGCAACCCACCAGCTCTGCAAGAGGAGTGAGGATCAACACACAGATCATTGGACAAGATCCTGGCACTACAAACTACAGAGCTGGCTGGGAGTGCAAGAGAGAAGGCAACCAGGGTGGTGTAGTGGTTAGAGTGTTGGACCAGGACCTGGGAGACGAGGGCTCAAATCCCCCACTCGGCCACGATGCTCACTGGGTGGCCTTAGAAGGGCCAACCACCAACTCTTCAGCCTAACCTACCTCAGAGGGTTATTGTGAGGGTGGTAAGGGGAGAGCCATGTACATCACCTTAGGCTCCTTGCAAAGGTGGGGTATAAACACAATAATAAATAGCGGGAAGGGAAGCCGGGGCTCACCTGCCGCTTGCTGGTGGCAATGGTGGGTTGTGCCGCTGGGAGGACCTCAGTGGGGCTCTGTTTAGTGAAAGAAAAACAGCTGCTGCTGATCTCCTTCCATTCCCACCCGTGGGGAGCAATTATATTCCGGGGAGAAGTTGTATGCAGCCCCTGCTAGCAGCCTAATTGCTCGGTTTGGAGACGGGGAATTCAGAGCTTTTCTGCCCCACTCGCATGATAGGGCTGCCAGACATCCCTGTCATTTGTGAAGGCCTCTATCTCTTCCTGTCCGCTCAAGTTCAGATGCCTGCAGGTGCCCTTGGAAATGTTTGACTCCAGCTGCTAGCTTGGGGCATGCTGCGGGGTGGGATGGGGGGGCCAAACTAGCAGTGGCTAAAGACTACTAAAATTAGCTACCCATTGTTCGAATGGAGGTGAGTGTGGGTGACTCTGCTTTTAGTGCTAGGCTTGGCTGCTCCACAAGGTCACCTGGGAAAAGGGGACACAGAGCCGCTCTGGATTCACGCAGATAGCTAACCAGTTATCCGCTCCATTCATTCCAAAGGTACCAATCGTGTTATGCGGTTTCTCTGCCCAATGCAAGGCAGCCCCCCTTCCCCACCAGAGGCCATAGCTGGACAGTTCAGGCAGGAACACAACATTTTGCAGTGTGGTGGGAAGGTTAGAGTGTTGCACTGAGACCTGGGAGACCCAGATCTTCGCTTGACTGCAATACTTTCCAGGCTGTGTTCGAAATTCGCCAAGTGCATTTTGCTACTGGTGCAGGCCCAGTTGCAACTACAGTACGTGGAGATTTCTGGGTGCCAGTTTAAAATCCTCCGCCTTAGTCCACAGTCAATTCCATTTCCACTGTGTTTCTCCTTCTTGCATAGCGGGACGAGCAAATTCTTGTAAGAGCAGAAGCTACTGTCAAGCAGATGTAGTCGAGATCATAGAATCGTAGTGTTGGAAAGGATCTCAAGGGTCATCTAGTCCAGCCCCCTTGCAAACAGACATTCCATTGCAGCAACCATAGCCTAGATTTAAGGTGCAATTTGGTGCCTAGCTTATCTCTCTGAGTTTCTAACACTCTTTCCAGGTGACCTTGGGCCGGCTTCTAGCCATCAGCCCAAAGTGGGAAGGAAGGGGCACATTCCCCAAGCTCCTTGTTAAAGGAAGGGATGCGTAAAAACACATTAGCTAAACTTCCACTCACTTTTTGTTGGATGCCGTGATGTAGAGATCAAAGCATCCTTCCTTCTCCCCCTCCCCTCCACTTTTCTGATTTGGGCCATTTTTCTCACTGTTTTGTTTTTTAACTGCTTCCCCTGCCCCCATCTCCTTAGTGGAAGCATTGTGGCCATCCTTGATGCTGCTGCTGCTATAGCATGACAAACCCCGCTGCCAAGGATATAGACATTTCGTTAGATTCCAGAAAGTCTATTTGTGGCTCTTTCTATTTTTATTTGCTTTTTTAAAAAAAAACACACACACACATAAGGGTGCACATGCATTTCAGCCCTAAGCAGAGGCAGCGTGCAGTAGTCATATCTTAGTGAGAAGGGGTGGGGGTTAAATAAAAAGACAAAACCATTCAGTTGGAAATGGTGGGTAATGTCTGCAATGGAGAGGAGAGAAGGGATGCAGGTTTCCTGTTTCCTTCCTCCCAGACTGTAAAAGTATAGCAAGCACTCCCTGCTGCATTGGCACAGGGCGTTTTGCATCTGTAGAAGTGAAAAAAATAAAAAAAATAAAAAAAATATAAAGCAAGTAATTTGTTTTTTAAAAAATAGAATACCAAGTGTTCTTGCTTGGGCTCTGAGGATGTCTCATGGTCCTTTGGCAGCTTGTCCTCAAATTCCTGTGAGCTGGTTTCTACTTCCCTGCCTCCTGTGTCAAGAAAACACCCTTTCCCAGCTACTTAGAGGGGCAAGCAAGGGACACCAGTTCTGTAAGTAGTAAAGGTAAAGGGACCCCTGACCATTAGGTCCAGTCGTGACCGACTCTGGGGTTGCGGTGCTCATCTCACTTTACTGGCTGAGGGAACCGGCGTACAGCTTCCAGGTCATGTGGCCAGCATGACTAAGCCGCTTCTGGCAAACCAGAGCAGTGCATGGAAATGCCGTTTACCTTCCCTCCAGAGCGGTACCTATTTATCTACTTGCACTTTGACGTGCTTTCAAACTGCTAGGTAGTAAGGCCCTCCAAAATTGATAAGCCCATGTCAGTCCCCCCCCCAAAAAAAAGTTTCAAAAACAAATGTTTACTGTTTACTGTTGCTAGACAGAACACTAGGCCAGATACCAGCTTGGTGAGACCATTTCTAGAAAGCAGAACTGGGTAATGCCATTTTTAGAAAGTAAGCCCAGTTCAAACACTAGGCTCTGTCCTAAAAAGCTGATGCCTTCCCTGTGTCCTCATTCTCAAGCTAATTCAAGATGAAGGATACCAGAACCTGCCTTTCTCTTTGTTCCAGCACAACCCTTCTGCTTTGTCCATTCTTCTGAAGTTTTGATGGTTCTACCAAATTTTAGTTTCTAAACTGTTTGCCTCACTGTGTGCTAATCTTCCTCCTGCTTCTCCTCCAATACACATTTCAGCCAAGGTAAAGCGGGTGGGTTGTTAGCCCAGCCCTTCTGCCCCTAGATGCCTTTGTTGGCACTGAGACTTCCTGGATAAGGAAATAACTCATTTAATCCACCTTTCCAAACTGGGTTACTGCCTGGATAACAGGGTTGGGTTTTCTCGTTTGTGTTCTGGAGGATGACACAAGTACACAGTGTGGAGTCCAGCATATAATGAGGAGTGCAATAGATCATGTCATGGGCGGTAACTAATCACTTCCCCCGCTACTCCTGCAGCAGCCACCAAACGCACAGTACTTTCCAGTGCAGTCAGTGTGCTTCCCCGGGAAAAGAATCTCAGATTCGTAGCAGTTGAACTGAGTGGGTTGAGTTCTGGGGAACCACAATTCTTCCCTACTTTCAGTAAGAGATACTCTCGCTGGGGCGACATCATCTGGCAGGAGCCCAGTAAATTAGTAAGCAGAACTCGTTACCCTTCTGAAAACCACATTGTCTGGAAAGCCCCTAAATCCTCTTGCTTTCTGATGCGCTCCCACCCCGAGCTGCCCTGCCAGCCCCCGACCGTTGTTTCTTCATTCTGCAATGCCACATGCGTCGACGTGCTCTTTGTCGGCGTTTAGCTGCCTATGTTGGTTCAGCCTCATTGTTACCCTCAAAACGGCAGCGACTTCACGGCTGCGAGGACATTCCGCCCAACTAATCTCTGGCTTTTGATTCCATGTTTGTGTGTGTAACATATAGTATAATTTGCGGGCTATATATATCTCATTTGTAAGCTGGAGGCCAACATGAAATAATACGGCCCAGGCTGAGGTTGAAGGTGTTCTTTCCTCTTCTCGATGGGCTGTGAGGAAGGTGAGTTGCCCCCCCAGATTGCCGTGGACTGTCTTTCGCAGTGCTGGACCTTCCGTGAGCCCTGGAACCGCAATCACGTAATTTCCCTAAGGAACCTGCTTTCATAGGGAGTGTGTCCAGATTCCAAGAGGAATCAGCAATGTGCATGCGAGCTAATGAATTCTCCAGGGAGAGAATAATTCATGCTGATAAACCCTGAGCACAGATTGATGTGGTCCCCATCTCCTAAGCCATATAAATCTAGGTAAGAACCCCACAGCCATTTTCTCACTTGCTGTTGACGCTGGCGAATATCCGCAGGGCCCCCATTAGGATGCTAGAGGTTCCTGAGCATCAGAATACCCCTATAGTTCCTTAACCAGTGAGATATAACTATACAGGACAGCTATTATACAGGAAATCAAGGACATCCTCGTTGCCTTTTCCTAGCTCCCTCAGCCCTTGTTGGCCTCCAGTCCCTGGCATCTTTCCCATCTTGCCTCCTTCTGGAGCTGGCTTTGAGTATCCTGGCATGTTTGCTGGCGCTGCCTCAGCGCCTGCGTGGCCTGGGCCAGTAAGACATGTGCCCACCAAGGGGGACTAGAGTTCACATCCTGCCTTTGTCGCTTGCTGGGCCCAGAGGTGTGCCTGATCACAAGGTCTTCTCCGAAAGCAGCTGCAGCTACGTTCCCGGAAAGAGCCTGGTCCTGAGCTGCCAATTAGCGGATTTGGCTTTTTGGATTAGAGTCAATCTCATTTGTGCCATTATCTGTGTCCGGCTCCCTGCAGTGTGGCTGTTGCCTTGCCTAGCCAGCCATGGGAAGGGTGCTGCTTGGCACCATGCCTTTCCACTATGGGGATGGTGGCTGTACGGCCCTTGCAGGATAAATTGGGTTTGGTGTGAGCCAGAAGCTTAGCATCCCACTATTAAGCTGCGTTATATGTTGACACCTCTTCTTCAGTCCTCTGCTATTCCCACTTGGGCAGCTTTGTTGCTCCTTTTCCATGCCAGTCCCTGCCCCTGCTGTGCCACCCACAGCTCTCTCCCCAGAGTTCTTCCAGGGAGGCATGAGATTTGCAGAGGATGGCCATAAGTGTGTTAGGTTCTCTTGCCAGTGGTTAAACTCATTAGATTTTCTTGTCTTCATACATGAGGGACTGAGAAGGGATTGTCCATAGCTTGTTTCCCTTCTGTCCTGGCTTGGGCTGGGTGCAGTGCCCAGCTAACACAGAAATGCTTAGCCAGCACATTCTCCTTCCAGTGCGCTAGTTGGTGCTGCTGCAGCTCTTCTGGTGCATTCACTGAAGGTGGGGAGAAGAGCAATGGGGCGTTGCGCCTTTTCCAACAGCACTAGCACATTCTTGTTCCTGGATGGGAAGCACCCACCAACTCTGAAGGCTTTGGATCATGGATGGGGAACATGAGGGCCTTCCAAATGTTCCGGGACTCCAACTCCCATCAGCCTCGGCCAGAATCACCAATGGTCATGGTTGATGAGAGTTGGAGTCCAGGAACATCTAGGCAGCCACAGGGTGCCACCCCATGGTTCAGTTGCTACAGTTTGGGGGTAGGTCTTCTATAGCCCCCTCTCTATATAGGTTGCGCCTGGAGATTTCCCTGTGAATCTGGTCAAAGGTGGAGCTTATAGACACAACACATTACTTCAACAAAAACCTGTTTCTCAGATGTGCATTTGCAAAGGTAATGCAGAGGGAGCTACAGTGGTACCTCAGGTTACGTATGCTTCAGGTTACGGACGCTTCAGGTTACAGACTCCGCTAACCCAGAAATAGTACCTCGAGTTAAGAACTTTGCTTCAGGATGAGAACAGAAATCGTGCTCTGGGGGCGTGGTGGCAGCAGGAGGCTCCATTATCTAAAGTGGTGCTTCAGGTTAAGAACAGTTTCAGGTTAAGAATGGACCTCCGGAACGAATTAAGTACTTAACCCGAGGTACCACTGTATTTGTAAGGGAGAAACAGCTGGGGGGTGGAGGTGCCGAACGCTAACTGAAGATGCTAATTTCTCCCTATATATACCCTGGGGTGCAGGATGGGTTGTTTTTCTTCCAGCTGATTTTCTAGCCTCTGATATGGAGGAAAAAGCGGGGGGGGAAACTGTTGGGGGCAGGGGCAGAACTGGCTCGCGTCGAGTTGGCACTGAAACACCAGTTTGCAATGGAGCAGTGATGTTGACCCCTACCAATTCTTCCCTGAAAATGCCCCTACCTCCTGAAAATGAATGTTACAGGGCAGAGACCCCGGTGTTTGCCTTGCAGTGGGTAGTTTCACTCTAAATTGCTTCGCAGCGTCTCGCAGCGGATGGTGCTATGTGCGCTTGATACCAAAGAGGTATAAATTATATTGCGTGGAAAATAAATTATGCAAATCAAACTATTTACATTCTTCTATTTTGCATAGTTCCCCTTCTGCAATGAGCAAGTTCTGAAAAGGATTTAGAGTCCTCGGGCAAGAGCTCGGGTGGCAGAAAACAGAAGTGGGAAGGGATCTGAGAGAAGGGGGAACGGGGGGCTTGGAGCGGGTGGGCAGAGCGCAAGGAGGTAGGTGGCGCCATTTTGATATCCTGCACACACCACTAATCAGCAGAAGTGCAGCCTGACTATGAATATCAGACTCTGCCGACATCATTCCAAACGCGTGTCTACAATAATGAGAGCTAGAATCTTTTGTTATTCTTAAAAAGCAGCTTGCTGGCAAATTCTGCATATGTGCAGAATGCACATTATGCTCTCGTACCCAGAGTTTACAAAACCCAGTATCCCAGTGATGGGGTGGTTTTGCTACATGAAGCAGAGCCAAGTGCTGTGTGCACACATATGCCTTCTTTGTTTTGGGTCTAACATCTTAAAATGTCCTGCTGATGAACCATTCATCAGTTCCTGCTTTCATCAGCCATCACCACCATGGCAGAAGCTGATCACCCTTCTGCATAGCAGGGTTTGCCTTGGGTATATAGATGCAGGAATGTTGAAGGGCAAACCAGAGTGCTATATAGCTCCTGGTGCATTTCCTGTTTTTTTCCGACAGGTCTGAACTTACTTGCAACAGTAATCACAAGCAGGAGAGAAACTGACAAAACCATTTAAAGCTGGGTTAGGGAACCAGACTCCAGGGGATGGCGTGTGGTCCTTGCCCTGATTTCAGGCAGCCTTCAGCATCCTCCAGCCCTTCTGCCTCCTGAAGCCCCTCTTCTGTTCTCCAGCACACCGTCCATCTGTCCGCCCCCCATGGCATAAAAACCCTGGCATTGCTTCTGCGTTGGGAAAGGTAGAGTGGGAATGGTGTGGTACAAAAAGAGTGCTATGCCTTCCTGCAGACCCCACCCCTCTTGATGATGGCTCTGCCCATCATTGGCTGTGGCCCCTGTTTGACTTTGCATGTGACCCAATGAACCGACATCAGAAGAAGGTTCCCCACCTCTGATTTAAAGTAATGCATTGGGCAGGCAAATCATATTGGGTCTCTGCTCTCCATGTCCCAATTGCAGATGTTCCACACTGTTTGTACTATGCAGGAAGCTGGTAAAGTTTCCAGAAGGCAGACTATTGACATTCTGGCACAGGATCTAGTCAAAGAGACATGCAAAATTAGGGCACTTTCTGTTTAGAAAACAAAAAGGGTTTGTTTGGTTTTTTTTTTTTTAAAAATTGCTGACAGTTGTATAATTTATCAAGTTTTTGTGTCCCACTTTTCCTCCAAGAAACTTCATGTACAGTAGAGGCAGGTCCATAAGAGTGAATAGGGCATTGCCCCACTAATCTCAGTCTGGTCTCAACCAGACCCCAAAGCTCTGGTTCCATCTACTGTTGACCACCTGTCCTTTGCCCTACCCATCTCGATGGGCATCCGCCTCCATTGTCAGTGTGGTGTTATGGAAGGTTATCCTATTTAATCCCCTGAGGTGGATAAACAGTGGCCAACCCCAATTTGCTTAGGATAATATGATGATAAATAACAGAACAGTGTAGTTCAGCCTTGCCAACCCTGGCACCCTCCAGATGTTTTAGACTACAATTCACATCAGCTCAAGCCACAGTGGCTGATTGGAGTTGTAGTCCAAAACATCTGGAGGGTGTCAGGGTTGGCAAGGCTTGTATAGTCTCTGAAATTCTTGTTATCTTAGGGTATAAAGTGAAAACCAGTGTGGTAGCATAGGGGGTTGAGTGCTGGGCTTGGATAAAGGAGACCTGGGTTCAAATCCATATCCAGCCAAGCAGCTCATTGGATGGCCTTTAGACAAGCATCCTTACTTGGTCTGCAGTGTCTCCACAAATTCATTAATGAGGATAGCACTAGATAGCTCACATATAGGCTGCATGAGCTCCTTAGAGCAGAGTTGTGGAATCTCTGACCATTCTTGACACACCAAGGGTTCCATTTTGATGCCAAGTCAATCAGCAGATACCACTCATTGACACCAACTGATAAGCAGAAGGATAGGGTTTAATTCTGCAATGGCTGAGCAGTTGCCCCTGCATGGCTAAGTGAAGGGGTTTGCCTTTAAATCCCTTCTAAAACAAAAAGAGGGGTAGAGAATTAGCTACATGTTGCTGCTTCCAAGGTGAAATCCTGACTTGGATGCTCCAAAGCACCAAATCACCCAATGACATACAATTGACAGGTGGGCAGCCCCATAGAGCCAAAAAGGTTATCCAGCTCTGCCTTAGAGCAGAGGTTTTCAACCTTTTTGAGTCCACAGCTCCCTTGACCAACTACATTCTTTCTGTGGCACCCCTGTGGGGCTCAGGAGCCCAGTGATGTCACCCCTGCAGAACTGGTGGTCTCTTGCTCTTTTTTGAACACCCTTCCTTGTGGAGTGCTCCCTCAGCCTCCTCCCCTCGCCTTGGGAGGCTTCTGAGCAGCTGCTGCTGCTGCCCCTGGTCTGGGAGCTGCCGCCCCAAAGAGAGGTGCCTCCTCACACTGCCCCACAGGGGCCTAGGAAGAGGATGGCCCCAGCCTTACTGGCCCAACGGAGACTGGCCAAAGGTGAATGTGAGGCCAGCACCTTACCTTGGGAGGCAGCAGTGGGCGCTGCTGGGCCTGCCTGGCGGAAAGGCTCCCCTTCAGCACTGGGCGCTCAGCTCCCAGACAGGCCTTGCAAACAGCAAGCACAAGAAAGGCCAGTGCCTGCCCGCCCTGCCTGCCTGCCACTAGTCTGTCCATTTCCAACAGCAAGAGCTCGCTGGGCTCCCTCGTCCGCTTGCTTGCTTAACTCCACCTCAGCTCCTTGCAACCAGCATCCCCTGGCCAGCCCCAGAGGCACCATTCATCCCTAGCCACTGGCTCAGCTATCTGGGGATGATGGGAGTTGGAGTCCAACAACAAATAGGCACCCAAGGTTGAAGAATACTGCTCTATATCAGAAAGCCATGGCCCCCTCCTGTCGGAATGAGACAGATAGATAAATAAATTCAGTGTATGCTTCATGTGACTCCATGTCTGCATAAGCCATAGTTACCAGACGTCCTTTGTTTCAAGAGATGACCTTTATATCAGAGCATCATAGCTGTATTGAACAGCATAGCATTGGCACGACAGTCCCCAAGTCTCTTCTCTTGCCTCTTAAAAAAAATCCTTTGGCAAATCAATTGCAATACTGTTTATAACATCATTCTCATTTAATCTCATCCAAACATTTGAGTGTCCCTTCAGGTTGTTTGGGTAAAAATATGCTATTCTAAGAACCAACAGGCAGCTTACTTTTAGCTGACGTGGGTGCTTTCAGCACACAGATGAACTGTCTAACCATTTGCTGTACGAAAGGCAGCAATAGCCAGTAATAAAACTCTGCTTATAATGCTATGAAATGCTGATGGCTTTGGAAAGCTAAAAAGACCCATAGGCAAATATTCCTTCCCAATTTTATGAAATCTATGGGTGCCCTCTTTCATCCAGCTCCACAGATGTGTAGAAAAAGCTTAAGAATTGGGTTTCTTTTTCTGTAGGTTTCTTTCCAACACCCCCTTAATATACATGTAGTATGAGCTTAAGAATAGTATTCTTCCTCTCTCCCCCCCCCCCATCAATTTGGCTGAAGGTACAGTCAAACAACAGATGTCATGTTTTTTCCAGTTTGGTCACAGTAAAAAGTAAAGGACCCTTGGATGGATAAGTCCAGTCAAAGGTGACTATGGGGTTGCAGCACTCATCTCGCTTTCAGACTGAGGGAGCTGACGTTTCTCCACAGACAGCTTTCCAGGTCATGTGGCCAGCATAACTAAACCGCTTCTGGTGCAACAGAACACCGTGATGGAAGCCAGAACACACGGAAACGCCGTTTACTTTCCGGCAGCAGCGATACCTATTTATCTACTTGCACTGGTGTGCTTTCGAACTGATAGGTTGGCAGGAGTTGGGACAGAGCAACGGGAGCACACTCCATTGCAGGGATTCGAACCGCTAACCTTCTGATCGGCAAGCCCAGGAGGCTCAGTGGTTTAGACCACAGCGCCACCCGCGTCACAGTAAACCCCCCCCCCCCCGAGTCATGAAATAAAAATGCTGAGCATCCTCTATTCTTACTATGGCAAAATAAAGACCTACCAATCAGCAACCTCAGCCCAGGTACAAGACCAGATGTAATCAATGGGAAAAGCCCCAGGGAGGGGCAAAGCTTACTCCAAGGAACATGGCAGCATCAGGCACAGTGACTGGGGAAAAGAAGTAAGAAGGCAGGCTTGTAGTTTCAACATTAATGAATCAGGCCACAGGCCTATCTGGACCAGCAGCCTATTCCCCACAATGGCCAACCAGATGCCTCTGGGAAGCCCTCAAGCAGCACATGAGCACAACAGCCTTTGCCCACCCATTTTCCTCAGCAACTTTAGAGTCAATTTAGCATTAGAAATTGGGATAGAAAAGCTAGGATGACTCCTGGAACCTGGGTTGTGGGCGCCAAAACAGAATGTCGTCACCTTTGGGGGTGGGGGCGGCAACACCTTTTATTTATTATTTTGATAAGCATTAAGTAAAGCACAAGTCACATAAGTGACACCTTGTTAATATCATATGTTTAACATAAATTGTTAATACATGTCTAATTTGGTGTTTAAATAAAAATATTGGTACCATACTTCAGTTTTCAAAATATTCTACTTTTTATTGTTAAACTCCTTAACATATTGCCTATCCTTAACATAAGCTTCAAAGCACATACATTTCAGTAATCCTTGAGTGTCAGCCAGGCACAAAAAAACGGCACCCAGACTTTTTGAGGTGCTCGCAAATGGAGAATCTTTAGGTGCAAAATGCGCCTGGCTCCCTGCTAATTTTGAACCCTGAGAGTCATACTGCCTCTAATACTGGATCCCATTGGTAGCCCTATCGCCCATGAATTTGTCAATTCCCCCTTCAAAGTTGGTGGTTGTCACCACATGCTGCGAATCCCACAGTTTACCCATGCGCTGTGTGAATCAGAACTTTGCTTTTGTCTACCTGAGCCGCCTAGCCTTCTGCTTCATTGGGTGGCCCCGAGTTCTAATATTACAAGAGGTGGAGAAGCTCTTTCTCCACAGCATGCATGATTGTATGCCCCTTCATCCCGTTACACCCCCACCCTCTGCTTACTCCCTTGATCTAGCCAAAATGTGTGTGAACGTGAGATGAGGAGGTTCGGGGCAGGGCTCCAGCCTCTCTTGGCAACTGTTCACTCCCCTCTATCGAAGGCAGTCATATGCTGCGAAGGAGGTGTCATCTGGTGGGGTCTCTCTCCTGTCAGTGGGTTGGAGGTAGGGGCTTTGCCTGGTTGTGGCAGGCAGCCCAAGAGCTGCATTCTTTTCTGTGGACCCTTCCAAGGCCTACATGCCAGCAGTAGGCAGTTTATTGTGTGGAAACTACAAAAGTAAACACATCCGACTTTATTCTCTGTCCAGGCAAGCAGGAGGTGTTATCAGCACGCAAGGACACATCTCTGCCAGGCAAAAAACACACTGGGGGTGCAGAAGGACCAGAAGGAGAGGCCTAGAGGGCTGCATTTGGCCCACAGGCGTGAAGTTCCTCACACCTCCTGATAGGTTGAGGGTGTTGTGGAAAACTAAAAAGGTGACTGTATTCAGGTGCTTGGTGCTGTGCCTGATAGTCTTTAAGGCGAGGGCTCATAAGCAGTAATCAGAAAGAGGCCTTACCAGGCCGCTAGACCCTGGCAGGATGCCAGGTGCTAATGGCAGCCTTGCTCCCTCCTCCGATATCAAAGGACTAGACTTAGCGCAAAGAAACAAAGAGATAAACCGATGGTGTAAGCAACTTCTGCTATAGCCAATATTGTGATGAGATGCGGCTGTGGAAGGTTTGGGGCCAGGGAGTAAAGGCAACCAGTTCATGTTGGGAGTTGAGAACATGTTGGATGAGGCCAACAGGCCCATCTAGTCCAGCACCCTGTCCTTGCATGCCTGCCAGGGGGAGCCCTCTGCCCACCTGCGATTCCGGGCAACCAGCATCCTTCCTCCTGCCGGCGGAGTTCCCCTTCTGACTCTAGCAGGATTCTGGCCCAAGGAACCGAGGTCATATGGCGCCCTGGCCTTTACTGGAATGCAAACAGCCAAAGAATTTGGCAGGTCAGCAAATGGAGCACATGATGCCCAGGAAGAGACACAACTCAGCAAACTCCCACTGTAAGCTGTGGAAAGGCCGGGCAGGGAAGGCACCTCCCAATTTGCCATGAGAGGGTGGCGGTGGGTGCGCACGGGAGGAGCAGCATTTGGGGCCAGCTGCCAGCGAATACCTCCCCCCTCCCTCCCACCCCCACCCCCACCACTCAGCCTCCCCTGTAAATCACCTCCTTCCTCATATGAACTGTGTCCCAGCTGGATGGCAGCGTGGTTGCCATGGTGACACAGAGATGCTGGTTGCTTTGATAAGCTGAGGGAGTCCCCCCCCCCTTCGGTCTCTTCGCCCACACAACCTGGACCAATTCTCCGTGCTCCTTCCTTCCCCCTTCACATGAGGTCTCGAAATGAGGTTGCGAAGAGAACAGAACCCCCATGTGCTCTCGGCTAGGGTGTGAAAGCCTTTGGTTCTGATTTCTGCTGGCTGATTGGCAAAGGATGGAGGGAATGGCTATACCCCGCCAGAGATGGAAGAGAGGGTGGTATCTTGGAGACGGTTTCCATGGAGGCCCCTTCACACAAGCCCTGATGGCTCATTGATATGCTGCTACTGCTGCTTTAATTTCACTATTTCTCCCTCTCCGCCTCTTAACACCCCACCCCACTCCACCCCTCACATTCTTATTGGGCAGCAGGCAGTTCACTGCCAGAAGCGTGAGTGGGTCTTACTCCCCAGGTGGGGTGAGGCCTCTGCTGCAGCAGCGCATTCATTTCTCCCCATTTAGCAGAAGCTCCTCCCTCAGCCTTTTGCATGTGGCCTGCGGGCACATGCAGCATGGAGGAGACAAGGGGATATGGGTGGAGGGGATCTCTCTCACTTGAGCACAAAGCACCTGGAACTGATACCAGCGAAGCATCTTTCTTGCGCATCAACGAAAGAGAGGACAAAGGCAGGTGCTGATTTGCATTTTTAAAAACCATGTTCTAATAGTTTTGTAGGGAAGCAAATTTAGAAGTAATTCAGTACAATTTGAATAGAAATACAATACAGGCGACTCCCCATTTACGCAGGGGTTACGTTCCGAGGCACCACGCATTTAAGTGCAATTGTGTAATGAGAACACAATTGAAAAAGCCTGCAAATGAACGCCACAATCGCTCCCTCCAAACCTTGCTCAAGCTCCCCACAGGCCTCGATGCAAAGGCTTGTGGGGTTCCTAAGCACTGTTTTGTGCCATTTTTGTGCTTCTTTAGGGCTATTTTTGCCCCTTTTGTGCCACTTCTGTGTTTGCGGTGATTGTGCCTGCCCAGAGACATAGTGCAGGGGGTGGGGCACACTGGGCACCACACCACGGGAAGTAGCACTTACCATGGAGCCTGCAGCGCGCCCGAGCTACACATCTCTCCTGGGAGTGGCGCGGTGGCTCAGGCACCTGCAGGCTCCGCGCTGCCCAAAAAAGGAGCATGGGCCTGCTGGGCACAGGAGCAGAACATGGCTTGGGCTCTGGGATTCTGGCGCACCCTGCCCCATCCCATCCCGCGGGCACCACACCCACCCACATACCATCTCGGGACTCTTTTGTCTTTCAACCAGACCTAGACATAATGACCTTTCTAGCAGAGGGTCCCCTCAAACAGAAGACTGTCCCCCGTAATGTAGGAGATGTTGAACACCCTCTTTTCATTGCTCTTCCCTGTTGTTCCTCTTCTGGAAGTGAAGTTGGGGCAGATGTACCAGCTGAAACCTTGGGGAGCGCCTCTCCTTATCACAGCATTGCCAGACAGAATGTAAAACAAAAAGGGCGGGCAGGGTGGGGGCTTTGTTCTGGGCAGGCTGGAGGAGCAGCCGTGTTCTAGAAATGCTTGCTCTACATCATGGGTAGGCAAACTAAGGCCCGTGGGCCGGATCCGGCCCAATTGCCTTCTGAATCCAGCCCACGGACAGTCCAGGAATCAAGTGTGTTTTTACATGAGTAGAATGTGTGCTTTTATTTAAAATTCATCTCTAGGTTATTTGTGGGGCATAGGAATTCGTTCATTTTTTTATTTCAAAATTTAGTCCGGCCCCCCACAAGGTCTGAGGGACCTGCTGAAAAAGTTTGCTGACCCCTGCAGTCTACATCATGTTGCGGGGGACTGGACATTGCAGCACATGCTGCAAGAACCCACTAGGGGCCGCTTGTCTGTGGAGACTGAGCCACCAGTGTAGGGAACTTGCCTACCTTGGTGATATCAAATATGGCAGCCTGCTTGCTTCACCTACACAAGTTGACAGGAAGAACTGAGAGCCCAGCCAGATCCTGCATGCACAGGCCAGTCCTGGGTTGCATCTGTTTGGGTGAGGAACTTTAGGCCCCATGGCTAAATGCAACTCTTCTAGGCTTCTGTATGTGGCCCTTGTAGCTCTCCCTATGCCCTCACTGGCCCCCCTTCCCACCCAAGGACTTTTGTCTGGCTGGAATGAGTCCTTGAAGCCTGAATGAGCGCCTCTTGCTAGTCTGGGATGTGTGTGTAGAAACAGGCAACCAAAGTGACCAGGAGGATGGAGAAACTCCCAAATAAGGAAAGATTACAACATTTGGGTCTTGGGCTCTTTAGCTCTTTAGTGGCAGAAAGTTCAGAACAGACAAAAGGTCTGATTCAGCAGAGCTTTTCTTAGGAAATCTACTGAAAATAGTTTAATTCAAATGACTCTATGTCTGTGCATGCACACAAACCAAATATAACCCATCTGGGAATCGCACATGAGACAGGCAGTTTGCTGTTGCTCAAGGGCATTTTAAATTTATCTGCTCCAGGCGTGCTCCAGGAGGCCTGGTCCTCTGAGGGTGCCTGCTGCCCAATATACATGGTGCTTTCTACAAATAATTCTCAAGTTTGTGGAATGTGCCTCTTTGGGGGACAAGTGGAAGGAAGAACAAAGTTTCAGGGGTGATAGAATAGGATCCCAGAGCATGCTGTGGATCTTCCCTCACTAACCAAGACACTGGTAGATGTATCACCCTATGACAGTGAACATCATCTTGGATTTGTGTGGGTGACCCCATCATTACTTCCCCATGACTCCAAACATGATTTGGATTTGGAAGGAAGCAAGTTTGGAAATATCTGTTGGTTGCTTTCTGTTTCCTGGGGCACGGCTTTCAGAGGGGTTGAAATATATTATGTTGTAATGCAAGATCTAGACTTTCTCTGGAATGAGAGGCATTCTCTGGACATGGCATTGTTGTCCTTTACTCAGGACTGTGTTTATTGTGCATCATGTGCAGTAAAGGTAAAGGTAAAGGGACCCCTGACCATTAGGTCCAGTCGTGGCCGACTCTGGGGTTGCGGCACTCATCTCGCTTTATTGGCCAAGAGAGCTGTCGTACAGCTTCCGGGTCATGTGGCCAGCATGACTAAGCCGCTTCTGCCGAACCAGAGCAGCGCACGGAAACACCGTTTACCTTCCCACCAGAGTGGTACCTATTTATCTACTTGCACTTTTACGTGCTTTCGAACTGCTAGGTTGGCAGGAGCAGGGACCGAGCAACGGGAGCTCACCCTGTTGTGGGGATTCGAACCGCCGACCTTCCGACCGGCAAGCCCTAGGCTCTGTGGTTTAACCCACAGCGCCACCTGCATCATGTGCAAGCACCACACAAATACAGAATTCATCATCCTGAGGGTCAACTTTCATTTTATTAAAATAGTATTTATTGTGTTGGTCTATAGACCATACCAGGAAACCTACGTTTTATTTTAAAAATCAAGTTTGTAGACCTTGGGGGCTAAGAAGAGTGTGTATCTATCCCACCAAGATCTTTGAAGCCCCACACCGCAGTGACTACGTGGTTGGGCTTTGTGGTTCTGTTCCTCTCCCTGCTACTCGAGGGCTACAGGAGCAGAACCAGTTCGGTAAAATAAGCCAACATGTGCAAATCTGCTAGCCTCCAATTTTACCTAGCACTATGTCTGCATTTCCTGGATGCAGGAGTTGGATAGTGAAGGATTTGTGCGGTCCTGCCCTTATCTGTACATGCTTCTCCTAACCTGTTTGTGTGATTCTCTGACTTGCAGGGCTTTGTACACTTACGAAGATGACTCCGATAACCTGAAACTGGCTGCTTCGGGAAGTGAGTATTCCTGTCCCTGCCCTTGCCTCCTTGCTGGGCAACCTTATGTTGCTTAGCTGATCCAGTCCTGGCAGTTCTCAGTGCTCCACCAAACTTCCTCCTCCTAAAACAAAAATCCCTTTTTTCCTTTTTTTCTTTTTAAAATATATTTTTATTAAGTTTTACATAACAAATTCAAACACATCATTCACCTCTTCAATTAGGATTCTCTGAATCCCTTGACTTCCCTCCACCCTTCCATGGTTACCATTATCAATCTTTTTTCTCCCTTCTGCTTATCTTATTTTCTTTAATTTGTTAAAAAAATAGTAATTCGTTTTTCCATAGTTTTTTGTACATTACAAGCATTACTCAAATCCCACCAAAGTTTATAGTTGTTTACAGTGTTCTCTTAAGTACATTGTAATTTTTTCCCATTCCTTCTTAAAATTCTTCTCTTCCTGGTTTCTGATTTTCCCAGTCAGTTTCGCCATTTCGGCCTAGTCCATCATCTTCATCAGCCATTCCTCTCTGGTTGGAACTTTGTCTTCTTTTCATCTCTGGGCCAGTAGTATCCTCGCTGCTGTCGTCGCATACATGAATAGACGACAACTAAAAATCCCATTTTTTTCAACAGGGTTAGAGTTGAAGTGGCATGGGGTGGGGAGGTAAATGGCCATGAGCAGTGGCAAGGGCACACCCCGTAAATTGAGAGATTAGTCCCTTTTATCATGTGTTCCTCTATCTACCCACCTGAAGGGCCGAAGTTCAGTGCTGTATCATCTGCTCTGCATGCAGAGGTTTTTGGCGCAGTCCCTGGCATCTCTAGATACAAAGATTCCCTGCTTGAAACCCCAGAGAGCCTTCTCCAATCTGCGCAGACCATACCGAGATAGATGAACCAATGCCCTGGCTCTGTGAAAGGCAGTGCCCTATCATGTCCCTAAGGGAAAGAGCGGTGTGGTCTGTGTCCAATAAAATCTGTCTCTTTGCTTCTTCAGCTGGCGGCCTACAAGAACTCTCCAGCCATTTTGAGAACCAGAAAGTGATGTACGGATTCTGCAGTGTCAAAGACCCTCAGGCCACCCTCCCTAAATATGTCCTCATTAACTGGGTAAGTCCAAGAAGAGTCTGGGAGGCAGCTTGCTCTGTGCTGAAGGGGAGCAAAAGTTGACTGGGCCACACAAAAAGAGGACCTTGGTACTGCATGGGAAGGGAACGTTCCACCAGTTACAGCTTTTCCTCCCACTATGGTGAGAAAAGTCAGACAAGGAGAAATTCAGCCTTCTTTATGCACAGGAATCCTCTTGACATCTGGAGCTGGCAGCCCTGTACAAACTAGGGTGGAGAATGGGCCGGGCTGAATTATCTGAAACAGCCAAGTGTTTCTCAAACCTGGGTCTCCAGCTGTTTTGGGACTACAACTCCTATCATCACTAGCTAACAGGCCCAGTGGTCAGGGATGATGGGAGTTGCAGTCCAACAACAGCTGGAGACCCCGGTTTGAGAAACACTGAATGGCAAAGGCTGATGGTAGGTCCCTGGTCTCTCAACTGTAGGGCCTAATTGTGCACAGTCTTTGTTTACCTAAAGATAATCTCTGTGCAGGAAAAAGCACCAGCCCATCATTTGTGAAGGCTGGCACGAGGGCTGTTTGGGATGTGAATACAGGGCCACATACAGCTGGCTAGCTCTGAGGAGGCCTACAATGTGGAGGAGGTTGATCTTTCTAGCAGAACTCTTGCTGACTGCTGGGTTTCCATTGTTTTGTCTGCACTGCCCTCTAGTGGAACAAATTCCATTTTCCTTAATGAATCTGAAAGGGTCGACCACTCTCACACATTGGGCTGGCTCCTTCTCCTTCCCACTTTCTGTCCGGACTTGCTTCCTATCCTACTTGACATATCCCAGCTTGCGACAATCTTTAAATACTGCTTTTGTGGAAAGTTCCTTTCACTAGGCCTTTTAAAAAATGTCTTTGTAGAAATATGGGTTTAACAGTCTGAACCAGCTGCCTTTGGCCTGATGCCCACCAGACATTAATAATAATAATAATAATAATAATAATAATAATAGATATTAGATAATAAGGTGCCGCTTTATAGTGGAAAGGTAAACGGCGTTTCCGTGTGCTGCGCTGGTGCTGGCTCGCCAGAGCAGCTTCGTCACGCTGGCCACGTGACCCGGAAGTGTCTCCGGACAGCGCTGGCCCCCGGCCTCTTAAGTGAGATGGGCGCACAACCCTAGAGTTGGACACGACTGGCCCGTACGGGCAGGGGTACCTTAATAATAATAATAATAATAATAATAATAATAATAATAATAATACAGTGGTACCTCAGGTTAAGTACTTAATTCATTCTGGAGGTCTGTTCTTAACCTGAAACTGTTCTTAACCTGAAGCATCACTTTAGCTAATTGGGGCTCCTGCTGCCGCTGCGCCGCTGGAGCACAATTTCTGTTCTCATCCTGAAGCAAAGTTCTTAACCCGAGGTACTATTTCTGGGTTAGCGGAGTCTGTACCCTGAAGCGTATGTAACCCAAGGTACCACTGTAATAAATTATGTTTTTTTCCCAGCCACTCTGGGCGGCTCCCAACAGAATATTAAAAACACAATAAAACATCAGACATTAAAATCTTCAGATGTCTTCTAAAGTCAGATAGTTGTTTAGTTGCTTTTCAAGCTGCACTGGCTCCCGGTGGAGTACAGGGTCAGATTTAAGGTGCTGCTTTTGACCTTTGAAGCCCTTCATGGCCTAGGACCCTCGTATCTACGGGACCGCCTCTCCTGGTATGCCCCACGGAGAGCCTCAAGGTCCATAAATAACAACACCCTAGTGGTCCCGGGCCCTAAGGAAGTTAGATTGGCTTCAACCAGAGCCAGGGCCTTTTCAGCTCTGGCTCCGGCCTGGTGGAACGCTCTGCCTCATGAGACCAGGGCCCTGCAGGATCTGATTTCTTTCCGCAGGGCCTGTAAGACAGAGTTGTTCCACCTGGCCTTTGGCTTGGAGCCAATTTGATTCCCTCCCTCCCTCTCTTTCTTTTTTCTTTTCCTTCTCCTCCTGCGATGAGGCTACATTTTAATATTTTAATGTTCCATTATTTTAATGTTGTATTTTATTTTTGTTTTTAAGTTGTAATCATTCATCTTCTTTTTATTATTGCTTGTAAGCCGCTCTGAGCCCGGTCTTGGCTGGGGGGGTGGGGTATATATAAAAATTATTATTATTATTATTATTATTATTATTTCCATGACATCTGATGGGAGGGCGTTCCACAGAGCGGGCGCCACTACCGAGAAGGCCCTCTGCCTGCTTCCCTGTAACTTCACTTCTTGCAGTAAGGGAACCTCCAGAAGGCCCTCAGAGCTGGACCTCAGTGTCCGGGCAGAACTACAATTTCCAGCATCCCATGGTGGCTAAGGCTGATGGGACTTGTAGTCCAAAAGCATCTGGAGAGAACCAGGTTGGGGAAGGGTGACCTAAAAGAAGAAACACATTACAAAGTGCTGCCCAGGGGCAGAAATGAACAAATACCCAGCCATCTGGAAACCGCTGACTATTGCTACTAGCCCCAGCAAGACCCCCTTCGCAAGGGTGAGATCTACTGTGAAGGAGTATAAGATGTACTCTCTGTGTCATTTCCCAGTCCTTAACAAAAAGACATAAAAAAAAACTCCTGCCAAGCAGTGAAGCTCCAGGACTTAGAAGAAGCTGCAGATTTAGGCATGTGGTGCAGTGTTGCTTCCCTACCTTGTTGGCACAGTGATATGTCTGGTTTACATTTCATCCAAAATTATCAAGGAAGACCTTTCTGCAGAGAAAATCCTTGCTGCTCTTGCTTTCCATTCAAAAATCCAGAGGAATATCCCGTTTTCTTGCGTGCTGGTGCCACCCTTGTCCTCCTCCTTCTGAGCTCTACAGATGCTCTCCCAAGTAGCCTGTGTCTCTATGTGCATGTAGAATAAGATGCTGTCTGCTGCTGTCTCACAAGAGTGGTGTCTCCCAGCACTAACCTTCCCCTTCCCTGTGCACCTTTATGCCTGGCAGGTGGGAGAAGATGTTGCTGATGCCCGCAAGTGTGCCTGTGCCAGCCATGTGGCCAAAGTCGCAGAATTCTTCCAGGTCAGTGGCAAACTGTTTGGGGAAGGTTGTGCGGGGGGAGTGCCTATGCAACAGTCCTTTCCCATCTTGTGGAAAAGGGATTTGGACTTTGTGGAAGAGGGAGCGTAGTTCTTCTGCAATGCAGGGGTGGAAAGACCTGTGGCCCTCCAAATGTGGACAGAGAGTGTGGCCCAATAACATCTGGAAGGGCACAGGATCCACATCTGGGATGGGCAAGGAGATTTGATCGTGAGCTGTTGGCAGGAGACCTGTGTCAGCTGCTGGGTCTCCACTGTTGTCCTCCAGGGTAGCTGCCTTAAATCCTCATCTGACTTCCTGCTCAATGCAAAATGCAGCTTCAAGTGGGGTGGCGAACCTGAGGTCAGGGGGCCAGATGTGGCCCTCCAGGGCTCTCTGCCCAGCCCTTGGGACTCTTCTTACTCCTTGCCCCTCATCAGCCTGGTTTGTGGCTTTCTAAAGTTCTTTTGCCTGGCTGGTATATGTCCTTGAACCATGATTATGCCTCCTGCTTGCCCAGTTTAGGTAGGCAGGTAGCGGGTGCACAGGTGGGTGTAAGCCCCTGGCTTTTGCATGGCTAGAGTAGAGCCTGCTCTACAAAGGTAAACTTCACACATCCTTTGCCCTGCTTGCTTTTGTCTCTGGCCCTGCCCAGCACTGGCAAGCAGCCCCCCAGAAAACTACCCAAGAGGGAATGCAGGCTCTCTCTGAAAGGGGTTCCCCGCCTTTGAAGCTACAGTATGCCTGACAAATATGCTCATCCGGACTCCGCTTAAATAGCTCCATTGGAGGAGAGCCCACCACCTCCCAACACAGTCTTTGTCTACTGTCTAGCAGCTCTCTTCCCAATAAATATGAAGTGGCCTCTGGTGCTGAGCTGAAATCTCGTTCCCTGCCATTTCCTGGTCCTAGTCCATCTTCTCCAGCTTGGTGGCTGGACCCTCATTTTTCAGTGTGGTTTGAATGTCTCAACAGGGTGTGGATGTCATTGTCAACGCTAGCAGTGTGGAAGACATCGACCCAGGAGCCATTGGGCAGCGGCTCTCCAATGGCCTCGCCCGCATTGCCAGCCCCGTGCTGCACCGTCTCCGCCTGCGTGAGGATGAGAATGCGCAGCCAGTGGTAATGCTCCTTCTTTGCCATGCCCCCTTTCTCCTTGCTGGGGAGAAGCAGCACCAGCCTCTTCTGGGCTTGGGTGTGGCTGGTCTGCCGAAAGCAGTTTCTACTTAGGGCAGCCTTCCCCAGATGTGGACTACAGCTCCCATCAGCCCCTGCCAGCATGGTCTGGGACTAGGGGGAGATGGGAGCTGTAGTCCAACACCATCTGCAGGCACCAGGTTGGGGAAGGCTGTTAATAAAGGGTAAGAAAGATGGTTACAGTGGAGTGGATGTTTCCATTAGCAATAATTTCACCTCAGATTAACCTCACTGGCTACGATGGGTGCACTGCAAATCCTCCAGCATACATTATAAACTGCCTTGAAGAATATTCTGGTCAGTTACCCCCATGCTGTTGTAAAGCATTGTGAAACACACCAGGGCGGTGAGAACCTGGCAAGTTGTCTTGTTATCTGTGTGTCCTCATTCACACACGTACAGGTCTCTCTCTCCTGATTTGATTTCTTTGTTCCAGGGCACCACCTATCAGAAGACTGATGCTGCTGTGGAGATGAAGCGACTCAACCGGGAGCAGTTCTGGGAGCAGGCCAAGGTAGAGAGGTTTTACCAAGGAAGCCCTGTCCCTGGGCAGGGCAAGTCTGTGATTAGCTATGACTATCATCTATCTATCTATCATCTATCATCTATCTTATCTATCTCTATCTCTATTATCTATCTATCTATCTATCTATCATCTATCTAATCTATCTGTCATCTATCTAATCTATCATCTCTCTCTCTCTCTCTCTCTCTCTCTCTCTCTCTCTCTCTCTCTCTCACGCACACACGCACGTATGTCATTCCTTCCCTCCATCCATGTTCCAGCCCTTCTGTGTGAGGGGCAGCACTACCCTCTCCCTCTTTTCTGTCCCTTGTAGAAAGAGGAGGAGCTGCGCAAGGAGGAGGAGCGGAAGAAGGCCCTGGACGAGCGGCTGCGTTTTGAGCAAGAGCGCATGGAGCAGGAGAGGCAGGAGCAGGAGGAGCGAGAGAAGCGCTACCGGGAGCGCGAGGAGCAGATTGAGGAACACAGGCAAGGGGCGGCTGGGAGGGTCTGGCCGTGTTGTTGTCTATGTGCAAAGGGAGCCAAGGAGGCAACACGGGTGGTTCCTTAGCAAGCCAAGATGGGCAAATATTGGTTTGTCCCACGGGAGGGTTGTGCTCTAATCCTGCTTGCAGGCAAGGACGCCTCTTCCACATTGCTTCCTTGTTGGAAGCAAAAGTGGCCCTGTTTCATTGGCTGCCCTGTTGCTCCTCCTTCTGTTTGGATAGGCCTAAGTGCCTCTCGGTCCTTCCTGAATGTTATGCTGCCAGTACTGATGGTGGTGAGAGTCTGCTTGAACTCAGCATGATTATTTAGTGCGGTTGGAGGTATATATCAACCTCACCTCTTGCTGTTTTGAATTTAATTGCTCACAGAGCCACATACAGTCATACTTCGGGTTACAGACGCTTCAGGTTGCGTTTTTTTCAGGTTACGGACTGCCGAAACCCGGAAGTACCAGAATGGGTTACTTCAGGGTTTCGGCGGTCACGCATGCACAGACACACAGAATCGCAATCTGCATGTGCGCAGACGTGCCACTGCACGTTGCGAACGCTGTGGGTTGCGAACGTGCATCCCGCCCGGATCACGTTCGCAACCTGAGCATCCACTGTACATGTTTACTGAATGTATTGTGCTGGTAATCGCTGTTTCCTCCAAAACATTCCTAGGAGGTAGGTTCAGCTGGGAGGTAGCGGCTGACCTAAAGTCATTCAGAGTGCTTCGTGGGTGAGTGGGGATTGGAACCTCCCCAATCCACATTCTACTTCCTCTCTATAATACCAGTAGTTTTCAAGCTGTGTTCCATGGCATCTTGGGGTTCTTTGAAAGCCAGTGAAGACCATTAATGGCAGGCAATTCTCCCTGAAAAATGGCTTGCCCACCGCTGCTGATTGTTCTCTGCCATGTTTTGTTGGAGCACAGTCTTGCACTTCACACTGAATAGAGATGAGACCCCAAAGTCCTGGCAGAAACCTGAGTGTGTTCTTCGGAAAGATTTCGTGGCAGATTTGGGGGAAGGGGGGGGGGCTAAGCAGTTGAGTTTGGAAAGAGCTCTCTCCTGCAGTCGAGTGCGGTAGAAAGCCACTCCACAGAAGCACCCTGGCACAGTGCCCTTTCCTAGTTGTTTGTTCTCCCTTGTTGTTGTAGGATCATCCAAAGCTTTCAATTTACAACAACAACAACAATTTATTATTTATACCCAACCCATCTGGCTAGGTTTCCCCAGCAACTCTGGGCAGCTTCCAACAAAATATTAAAATACAATAGTCTGTTAAACATTAAAAGCTTCCCTAAACAGGGCTGCCTTCAGATGTCTTCTAAAAGTCTGGTAGTTGTTTTTCTCTTTGACATCTGGTGGGAAGGCGTTCCACAGGGCGAGTGCCACTACCAAGAAGGCCTTCTGCCTGGTTCCCTGTAACTTGGCTTCTCACAGCAAGGGAACTGCCAGAAGGCCCTCGGCGCTGGACCTCAGTGTCTGGGCGGAACAATGTTTACTTCTTCTGATGACAGAGGGGTTGGCTGCTTTGGTCAAAGCCATACCACTTGCCCTGTGTCCTACCAGAATAGATTGAAGAAACATCTGAAATTATAGGTCTTTGCCACCTCCTGCATGTTCATTTGGGACCAGAGGGAACCATGCAACAGTAGCCAATGTGCCTTTAATGGTTTCATATTCCATATGTGCAATAAACAGTCCCTGTTCTGTGATTTCCTAGGTTTATCAGGACTTCTGCAGCTCTTTGGAGGGCTGTGTGTGTCGGATGGCAGTGCTGTTTCATAACTGCTGAACGATGATGGTCCCTGAAGTGAAGCACTTAAATCATTTTGCATTTGCATGAGTGGCAGTGATGAAATTTTAATAGAGAGATAGATTGGACCCAGCCTGGGCAGGACATATTTGGGCATACTTTCTCGTGTTGTGGTTTATATCCAAACAGCTATGGTAGGCTGGATTAAGAGTACAAACACATCATCATTTTCATACACAACAGTGGTTCCTAGGTAGGTGAACATGCAGCAGACAGAATGCCAAGTGGTAGGATAAGAAATTGGAACACCTTGGTGAGCTGACAAGGCATGGATTGCAATAGGCTAACATGTAAAGTGTAACACCTAAGAAAGGAAGCTCAGAAGGTAACTGTTTAAAGGTGGGAGGCAGAAACTGGATGGGATTTGGAATGGGACACACTTGCAAAACATGGAGCGACAGGAGGCATTTAGCAGAGGGGCTCCCAGAGCACAAGGCATAATAACCCCTCCAAATGTTCTTTTTATCACACAAGCTTGATGATCTGTGCTCAAGATGGTATCAGGGCAGCTATATGTGATTCCACTTTCAATGTTGTTTGGGCCTGTGGAAGTTCAGAGGTGGACATGCTGCTTCATTTCCAGCTGGTGCATGCCCCATCGCTTCCTGCTGAAATCCTGCAACTTCTGGGATGGGCGGGTTGTCCTGCTTTGGTTGTGCTATAGCAAAAGGGTGCCTCTCCCCCGATGGCAATAGTGCAGCAGCACATGCAGTAGCATTGCCAAACAACGAATAAAGCGGAATGATGTGTGGGCTGCCCAGTGTAAATCCACGGCTAATGCATTATTATTGCATCAAAGACACGTTGCAGAAAATACCCACAGGAAACACAAAAAGGCCATGCTATCTGGAGGCGCCCAAGAGATTTTCCTTTCTGGCAAAATAGGCACAGAGCAAGCTTGAGAGTGGGCTCTAGAGACCAGTGAAAATGATTTAAGAGGCCTTGAAATAAGAGCTAATGGGGGAAATGGTGCATAATAAGGATTAAGTGAGGGTGCAACAGAAAATTTCAAATATACACAACTTTGGAATAAAGCTGGAGGTCAGATGGTTCTCCATGGTTCCTGAATGGATAAGGGTATCTTTTGACTGATTGGCTACTTCCTGCTGCTTTGTGAGGAAGGGTGGGGTATTATTATTATTGATGTTAAATGTTAGAAAGCCAAGTCAGCCTGCGGCCTGTCCTGCCCAGGCCCTAGCATTCCAGTACTGGGATCTCTCAAGCCTTCTTTTCCTCCTCCTTCTCCTCCTTTCCCTTCCCACCAGGCGAAAGCAGCAGACCCTGGAGGCGGAGGAAGCCAAGCAGCGGTTGAAGGAGCAGTCCATCTTTGTAAGTGATGCTTCACGAGCTTGGGGGAGGATTGCCCAGTTGTGCCACTGGCTCCCCCAAGGAGGTTGGCAGAGGTAGGGATTCAGCACCAAGGCTGGCTGGTGACATTGGGGACCCACTCTGCAGCCAGGGTGAGGACGTCTTGCTGCCCAAGAGCTCTTCCTCTCTCCAGCTTTGTGCTAGGTCAGGAGAATAACAGTAAAGCAAACAGACAGACAGACAGACAGACAAATGTAGGGTCTTCTGGTGTGGTTGAGGTGCCCTGGGGCTGACGCTGACCTCTCTCCCTAGGGGGAGCAGGAGGACGACGAAGACAGGCAGCAGCCCAAAAAGTCTGAGTCAGAGGTGGAGGTGAGTGCGGCCCCGGGGCACAGCATGCGTTGTGTAGGCAGCAGGACCTCCATGCACCCTACAGGGCTGTTGCTGCATGAGGGTTGTCGCGTTTGTGTGTGGAGAGTTTTGGCAGGGAGGGGGGGGCCCTTCAATTCTGGCGACTGTTGTCCTGTGGAGAAGCTGGAGTGTGCTGTTGATGAGCGGAAGTCTGTGCTTAAGCAAGGCTGGGCATCAGTTCTCTCTCTGGGGAGCAAGGCGGGATCCCGGCTGTCCTCGTCTCTCCTCCTTTGCTTACATACATGTTCCATTTTGTCAGAAGAGGAAGACAGAGTGTGGTGCTGTCACTTTTCTTTTCCCCCCCTGTCACTGTGTGCCATTGCTGCTGCTGAGGGTGGGGTGGGGCATGGGGTGAGGGACACTGTTTGTGTGTGGCACGTATCATGTTTTGTCACTGTTGACCTGGCAACTGCATGGGGAGGGGCAGCGCTGGGTGTGAGGGGGTTTGGGCTGGGTTTATGACGGGGTCTGTGTGGGCCTGTGGACTGGGCTGCCCTTGACCGTCCTCTCTCGCCTCTTCCCCTCGCATCCTGACAGGAGGCGGCTGCCATCATTGCTCAGAGGCCCGAGAACCCCCGCGAGTTCTTCAGGCAGCAAGAGCGAGTGGCTTCAGCCAGTTCAGAGACGGCCCCGCCCATCAACAGAACAGGTAGAGAGCCCTTGCCGCTGCTGCTTCAGGCAGGGAGTACAGAAAATGGGGGAATGAGGGTTGGTGGGGAAGCGTTCAGGAAGATTTCAGCAACCTGGTTTTTGTTTTGTTTTTGTTCTCGAATGGAAGGTGGGGCAGTATACATCTCAGGGCAAGGCATCCAGACACTTGGAAATGTCTGCTATGGATGATATGAGCAGATGGGGGGTGGGTTGTTTAAGGAAGCAAAAGCAAAATGCAAAAACCTCAGAAACATGACCAGAGGTCAGTTGAACACAGAATGAGGTGCAGAGAAGAGACATTCCCTGCTGCTGAGTCTCACCATAAGGAAAACAGCCAGCATCCTATGAAAGCCTGAAAAGTGGCAAATGGCTAACTATAACAAAAGACTTATGTCCTTTCTTATCACATATAACCAAGTTTTGCTTCCAATAATTTGATTAGGTGTTGTTGTTGGATATATATATTCTAGTTCATATCTATTTCATTGTCCAAAACGGCAACAGTTTTGTCAGTTTTGGAGAACAGTAGCAATGAGATCTTCAGGGTTATACTACGTCATTATCCAGCACATGGGGCTTAGAGTGAGACATCTGTGGCGCAGCTTGTCCTGCCTTTCTCTTGCGCAAGGCTCACAATATCGCTCCTGGATCAGGGGTTGCTGCTGATGCCACCGCCACACAAGGCGTGTGTTTCTGGGCTGTGGATCAAACCTAGCATAGCTTGATTTTCAAGACAGGGTCTGGGGGATCATCTGTCTTTGAGGACACTATAGTGAACCTCTTACCCTTTGAGAATTTAACGTGGAAGCAAAAGATCATTTATCATGTAGTCATTGATGTAGAAAACGTTCCATTCTGGGCTAAATCTGTATTGGCAGCCCGTCGTCACCACACCCTGCTTTCATGGTGTCTGGATCCTGCAGACAGTTGGCTTCCCTGATGGGAAGTTTCCAAGTGGTGTCCATGCAGCAAAGTGGTCCTCCATCACCTCAGTTGCCTCATCCCAGTATGCGAGTGGGTCTGATGTTAGCTAGGCAGCAGGAGCTCTCAGTGTTATTTATCGAATTGGCCAGCCTTGGGGGGGATGCTCTGGCCTAGCAGCCTGTTTCTGCCCTTGACAGTGCTGTCTGAAGAATGGTACTGCTGGGGTGGGCAGGTGAGCAAAGGGACACTATGAATAAGCCAATGTAAACAAGACAGGGGGCCCAGAAATCCTGCTGCAGTTTTCATTGCATCAAGCGAGGCTGTGTCTCTGTAGCCAGGAGGGAGAACCTGTGGCCCTCCAGGAGGTGTTGGGCTCCTTCAGCCTCAGCCAGCATGGCTGATGATCAGAGGGGATGGGATATGTAGCCTGATATTATCTGGGAGGCCACAGGTTTCCCTATGGAAGGAACTGGACAAAAGAAAGCAGGGGCAGCCCCGGGTGAGATTTTCTCTTGTGCTCTCTCCCACCCCAATTCCTGGCTGCTGTTTAGGACACACTTCTTGGCTGCTTGTGAGTTTTGTACAGCCCACCAGACCTGAGTAGGTCACAGAACCTCCAAGCATTGTTTTGGCAAAGAAGCGCAGAGACTCAGCGCTTTTTTTGCAGCAGCCTCCACGGGTGGTTCATGCTAGAGAACTCCTTTGCACCTCTGCTATGGCTTTTTCTGGCTCCTTGGGCTGCTCACCGCAGAGGATGGCGCAGCTGCGACTATGCCTGCCCCAGGGCTAAGGCATGAACTCTGCTCTCTGGAGCCCTCTGCATTATGGCTTTGGGTTCACACTTCTGTGTGATAGTTTGGGTCGGCTCTCTATTGGGAACCAGGTTGCCAGTTGATGTAGGGACCTTGGCATGAACTCGTCTTCCCCGGCACCACTTGCGTATCCTGCCTCCAAGCTCCTCTTTCTCTCCCGCTTCACTTTCTTGCACCGCCCAGCCTTCCTGATGCCATCCTGCCCCCTCCACACTGCTCCAGCCTGGCCCTCGTGCCCCCCCATCCGCTGCCTTTGCTTTCCCCCAGCCCCCCACCCTGCACTGCTGCCCCCAGGAGCCTCCTCCCACCCTCCTCCTTGCCTTTGCAGAGACCCGCCTCCCTCACAGTCTTCCCCTGCCTCCCCAGCCCCTCACGTGGGCCTTGCTTGCCCAGTGGCATGAGCAGGGGGGCGGGCGGGAGATGGAGTGGGCAGCTGGAGGGGAGACTGATCATTCTCTTCTGCTTTCTCTGTCTCCGTCCGTCTGTCTTGTCTTTCTCTCAGCAGGTCGTCTGCACTGTCCTTTCATAAAGACACCTGACAGTGGGCCGCCTTCCTTCTCCTCCTCCTCCTCCTCCTCCCCTCCACGGACTCCCTTCCCCTATATCTCTTGCCACCGCACACCAAACCTCTCCTCCTTCTTCCCATGTAGGTAGCCAGGCCCCGGCCGGGCTTTGGGGAGTCAGTTGGGGAGGCAGCTGCTTCGGGGGCCTTGCCCACCCGCCCCGCACCTTGTATCTTTGGCCATGCCCAATCTCACTCCGCAGGCATCTCTGAAAGGAAGGACTAAGAGTCCATGAGTGTCCGAGAAACACTGGCCCCGCAGACTGGACCAGGGAAGACTCAGGGCGCAGCCTGCTCTCTTGTGTTCACTGAATGGCAGGAGTGTAGCCCCAGAAGAGCGGAGAGGGGTCTAGCGTTATGCTTCGGCAGCTACCACCCTCGGGAGAGCTGGCTTTGTATATAAGACGGAAACTTCCCCTTTGGCGCCCCACATCTATGCCCCCGCCTGGTTCACCTTTTAAAAAACAGCTTTGGTTAGGTAGGCCGCAACAGGGACTTCTCAACATCAGTAGCTACACCATAAATCCAAGCATGGATTTGCAGGCCGGTGTATTGATGCCCTCTAGGCAGGGTGGAGGCAGTGAACAGAGAGCCTCAAATGAAAACCAGTTAGGCCGATTGTGACTGTAGAACAGAGCACCCGTTTCCCCAGATTAGAAAAGGGGGAGCCAAAATCTATGCAAACAGAAGATGAACCACACACACATATACACACACAGAGAGACAAACAGTAGGCACACAGGCACACACACCATGCTGCAGGGGGCAGATGCACTGCAGAACAGGGGATGTCCCTGAAGCAGGGTGTAGGGTGGATATACTGAGCAAACTGGGTTTGTGATGGGAGTACTAAGTCTGGGACAGAGACGACCTTCTAAAGTTGTCCCTTCACCTGATGTTTGCAGGGGGGAGGGGTGTTATGTTTTCCTGTAGACTCTGCTTCCAAAGATAGTAAAAAGGGGAGGATACGTCCTACTCTATAAAGGAGAGGGTGGTGAAATCGGCCTCCCAGTGTTGCTGGATTACAACTCCCATCATCCCTGACCATTGGCCATAGTTGCTGTGGACATTGGGAGCTGAGAGAGCCACGGTTTCCTCATTCCCAATTTTAAGTACCATTTGACATAGAGAACTTCAGGGCCCCCATGGTTGTACATGACAAGAGTTCTGCCTCCACCCACCACAAAATAGGGCTTTTTTTCCTTCTTCACTCCTTCAGTTTCCAACACATTTGTCAGCAAAAAGCAAAGTGAAACCTTTATGCCATATAACTTGCTGTAGGGTTAGGGTCGCTTCAGGGCAACCGGTTAATTTTGTCGACTTGGTAAGTTGGGGAAATGGCACATTTCAGGAAGAGTCGGATCTTGGTGCCTTGTTGCCGTCGCTGTTGTTCAAACGAAGCTGCCCTGCGTGCTTGGGAGCGCAACTGGCGGGCCCTGTGGCTAGGGGGGTGTCGTGGCCTTTGACCTGTGGGCTCCCCACCTGAGTGCCCGTGTGGCTCCTTCACAGGCAGCCAGTCGGAAACGCACAGAAAGGTCTCTGCCTCCGCCAGTAGCCCCTGCGACTCCAGCACAGCCTCGACGCCTGTTGGGGAGCAGATTGAGCGGGCCCTGGATGAGGTAACGCAGCAGGGTGCATTGAAAGGTAGGTGCAGCCCCCTCGCCCCTTTGGCTTGCCCCTCTCCCGGGTCCTCGGGCTGCGGGCTCCCTCCCTCCAGGTCTGCTGAGGAACCTCCTCTCTCGCTTCCTCCCTGCTGCAGACTCCTCCAGCCCCAGCAGCGACGAGACAGCGGTGGCATCCGCAATGAGCTGGGCCCCTGCCAGCGTGGAGCCTCCGATGGAGAAGGCCGAGGAGCCCCCTGTGGGGGCCACAGCCTGGCAGGCAGCGGACTGGGCAGAGCCGCAGCAAGGCGGGGCTGGCCCCACGGAAGACCTGGTGTTTCCAGAGCCCAAAGACGAGCCTCTGTTCCCAGACGCCCCGCCTCCCAAAGAAGAGCCTCTGTTCCCAGCAGCCCCTCTGCCCATACAGAGCGAAGGTGCCCTGGATCTGGGCGAGGCCTTTGGGTTCTCCCAGCCCCCCGCCCCGCCGTCAGAGAACATCCTCGACCTGTGGCAGAACGACAGCGCCGCGGCCGAGCCCACCCCTCCCGGCGCCTGGGAGCTCCAGGGCGGGCCCCCCACCCCAGCCCCGTGGGACCTTCACGACGGGCCGCCCGCCACCGCCCCCATGCTGGTCGAGGTGGATGCCCCCCCAGGGGCAGTGGAGCCCCCGCCCTCCGCCAGCCTCCTGGAAGACAACCTGTTGAACTTCAACGACCTGCCCGAGCCCCCGGCCACCTTCTGCGACGCTGAGCAGGATGAAGAGCCGGCCAGCATCATTGCCATCGAGGGGCTGCACCAGATGACCCTCAGCTACCAGCACGCCCTGCAGGAAGCTTCCGGGGTGCACCAAGAGCCCCAGCTGCTCACCAACGGGGAGACGGCCCAAAAGGAAAGCACGCAGGTGAGGGGGGCGCGCTCAGGCTGGCAGCAGGGCCTGGGGAGCACTTCTGAAAGCTCCTGGCCCTGCCTTGCAGATCAAAACAGAGGATCATGAGGTACCAGAGTTTGCTGCTGCGTGTTCATTTAAAGTGTGTCTCCTTTGGGCCCTGCCACTGGAGAAGTAATAATAATAATACTTTTGTAATTTATGTGCTGCCCAACTGATTGGCTTGCCCCAGCCACCCTGGGTGGCTTGCAACAAATTAAAACACCAAGCACAGTAAAACATCAAACATTAAAACCTTCCTTATGCATGACACATCTTCTTTCGTGTCTTATTTATACACGCACAGACAAAATATTTCTTTCTTTATTAATGTTGAAGAATGATGATGAACAACTTAATATATGCACCTTGCTGCAGTCTTTAGACCATGCATGTTCCACGAACTTTTGGACCCTTTCACACGTGCTAGCTCATGGGTAGCTTGAGCATTTTACTCCTCAGGCCTTCGTTGTCTGAGTACAAAACCAGAAAGTGATTGTTGCTCTGGGTTAACTGGGAAGGGAAAGAATAGGGACACCTTCCAAAGCACAGCACATGCCACGTTTTGCTTTTCTCTTCCAGACCAGCGAGGGTTATTTCAGCCAATCACAAGATGAAGACTTTAACCAATCAGAAGAACCATCTGCTAAAGCTCCTCCTCCAGTGTTCTACAATAAGCCCCCAGGTGAGGCTCAGGGATGGATGGGCAGGTGGGAGGGATGGGAAGATCCACCTTTGCGCTTCCTCTTCTGGGGACCCCTAGAAGAGCAGGGTCTGGGGACCACCCCTTTTCAAAGGGGGGAAAGAGCCAGCCACCCTCCCTCACAGGTCATGCATTTGATTCCCCCCTCAGAGATTGATATCACCTGTTGGGATGCGGACCCAGTGCCAGAAGACGAGGAGAACTTTGGGGGCAGCATTTAAGGCTAGCTCCCCTGCCCGACTCCTGTATCCTGCACCCAGCGAGTGCAAGCCTGGAGCAGCCGCAGTGAGGGCCTGGTGCCTGCTTGCTCCGTATTGTAGCCCTGCGGTCCAGGGCCTAAGATTGTGCCCCAGCCAGACAGGATATTCTCCATGGTACTCCGGGGTAACTTTTTCCAGCTCTCTTTCTCTTTCTCTCTCTCTCTCTTCTCCCTGTTTTTCTAATGTTGTCAAATAGGAAACGTGTAAATCTGCCTGGTCCCCCTCTTTGTTGGTAGCTTCCCTGCAGATCCTTCCCCCTTCCAATTGCCTCTGCCCATTGGGTTTTTTCTGACACCCCCCCCCCAAATGCCATGTATACCATCTGGGTTGATCTCCTGTGAGTGCTGCTCTTGGGGGTGGGTGGGGAGGGTCACTTCCTCCTCTGCCCAGAGTTTTGAGTATTTTGCACGAATTTAAAATAAAATATGGCAATAAAATGGCCCTTGTGTGGGCAAGGCTCTGGCTCCCATCCCCCCACTTCTCCCCTGTTTGGTCCCCCCCAACACACACCTGAGGCACCCAGGGAAGCAAAGGAGAGCCCCCTCCATCCCTGGGCTCTAGCAGCAAGGAACTTTCCCCCCTCCAGAGTTCTGTGCCCAAATGCCCCTCTTGTTTCAGAAATAAGCCCATTTCAGACCCTTCTCCTTAGGCCTTTGTTTGCCCTGAGAGCCTGGGACAAGGGGAGACTCTGGGTGGGCTCTTCCCCCCTCCAAAAAAACCCTTTCCTCTTTCCCTACCCTCTTTCCTCTTTCATTCCATGCTTGGTTTCCTTTCTCTCACGTACAGTAATTGTTTTTTTGAAAGCACAAATTCTGTAACAGCAATGTGCTTATGTATGTTAATAAATAAATTGATTCCAAGCAGGGCAGCTGGCTTTGTAGTACAGGGTGCTTTTTTTTGCTTTCAAAGGTGGGGCAGGATTAATGAGGCAACGCAAGACCACCGGGTGGTCGGGTGGGCATATTCCACAGACACAAAACGGCTGGTCTTTTATTCAGAGTTTTTTCAGTAGCTGTTTTTAAGGGCCAAAAATGTACTTTGATGGGGTAGGGGTATGAAAGCTGGGGGGAATTATTATTTTAAGCATTTGGAACACTTTGAACGTGGCATTGTGTGGTCTGTAGTGGGCCCTGCATGAAGTCATAGCCTGAGCAGGAGAACTCACCACTAGATGTCGCTGCCAACAAAGGAATGTGTTTCTGGAACATGCCTAGGCCTCCATCCTCCTAATTCTGTGGGATTATTTAGGAATGGGGTTGCTTCACTTCCTGCCACAGTGCACATGGGACTCTTTAAAAGCACAGCACACCCACTGTTTTCGCAGCACAGACTCATCAACCACCCGGCACCAGGTTTGTAATAAATCAGGTTCCACAAACTTTTATTATTTTCAAAATGTAACAAACGAAAAATAGGAAACGAACCCAAAGGCCCCCTTGCAGTCAGCACCAACAGAGCCTGTAGCGGGCCCAGAAAAAAGGAAGTGGGCGAGATGGGGAGACCAGCCCCAATCTCACCCTGGCCAGGAGGTCAAAGAGCAACTGGGGGGGGGGGGAGAGATCTTTGCACTGCGAGGGCTCATGGCCCAGACATGGCTGGAAGGCTCGGACTGAGAGGCTTGGTGGCTCCCGCAGACCAAGGGAACAAAGAGGCTGCTGGGATCCTCCAGCTTGTGTGCAGCAGCAGCAGCAGCCACAGTCCCACCCAGGGCGCGGCATGGCGTGCTAAACTGCAGTAGTCCTGCCAAACAAAGGCATTGAGACCGGCAGGTGCCAGGGCCCCGGCTCATAGCTGTCTCTGGTGCTGAATTCTGAGTCTGTCCAGCTGGGGAAGATGCGCTGCGAGTGCTCAGCCTCCAAGTAGAGGTTGGTGCAGGTGGGGCCCCGGCTGGCTGTGCTGGGCAGGTGGAGCGCTGAGCTGTAGCCCCGGTCCAGGAAGAGGGGCTTGTAGCTGGGCGGCTGCTCCTGCTTCTCCGGCTGCTCGTGGCTCAGGAAGGGGGTGGTGATCTTGCGGTACAAGCCGCGCGTGTCCGTCAGCACTTCGCTGTAAGGCGGCGGCGGCTCGGCCATCAGCACTGCTTCCTCGTAGCAAGGTGGCTTGGATGGATCTGGTTCTGCAAGCAAAGCAATCACAGTGACCGAGTGCAAGGAACTGATACAGTTAAGTGTGCCATCCCACCATTGCCTGCTCTCTTCCCCCCAGGCATGCAAAATACAAGCTCACCTGTCCCAAGCAAGGTTTGGGGAGAGACAGAGACACAAACACCCTAAGCTCTATTATCACAAGCCAAGAGCTGCTACAACCACAGACCTACACTTCACAGGCAAGCAAATGGGATCAGGGATGGTGCAAGACTTTGGATACACGGAATGGGCATTCTGACCCCACCTTCCTCTTAAACAAGCCTCCTGAGATCCTGCCCATTTCAGCCCTTCATACTGGAAAGAGCTTCTCCACCCCCATCATTCAGCCCAGACACAGGTCCAGCTCTGAGGGCCTTCTGGCAGTTCCCTCACTGCAAGATGTGAATTTACAGGGAACCAAGCAGAGGGCCCTTTCTGCAGTGGCACCCACCCTGTGGAACAATCGTGTCAGATGTCAAGGAAATAAACAACTATCTGACTTTTAGAAGACTTCTGAAGGCAGCCCAAAGCAATGTTTTCTTTCATTCCTTCATATTTTGTTGGAAGCTGCCATTAATGGAGCTGAAACTTTGCAAGCTCTGGGTTAATAGCAGTTCGGTCTGAAGGCTGAACCCTTTCAGCCTACTGGAGGCAGCTTTGGCTCCCTTAGCTGTAGCTCGGTGGTGGGGCATCTGCCTTGCATGCAGAAGGTTGTAGGTTCAATCCCCAGCATCTCCAGAGAGGGCGGGGAGACTCCTGCGTGAACCCTGGGGAGCCCCTGCCAGCCAATGGATGGACCAATGGCCTGACTTCTTCTGTTCTCGCCAGCCAGCTACCCACCTGCAGAAGCAGCGCTCCTCCCAAACGCGACTGTATTCTGCACCAGGAGTGGGCTCAGTCCCCTTCGGGTGCCCTTACCATGCCTGCAGCTCCACGGCCTCGGGGGTGGGAGGTGAGGGCGATGGGGCTCGATCCGGAGTCGGTGAGGTACCGCGATGCCCGGCGGGTTCCTGATGTACCCGCCCCCATAGCCGGAGCCCCCGTAGGCAGGGCCCCCATAGCCCTCGTAGTGGAGGGGCTCCATCTCCAGGGTGCGCAGGTGCTGCTCTCGCAGCCGCTCCTCCTGCCGCCGCTTCATGCGCCGCCGCAGGTAGCTGCAGAAGCAACATAGCAACACAATGAGCCCCCAGATCAGCCAGAAGCCGGCAAAGCAGGTGAGGAAGGTGTAGGTGCCGTGGGACATCACCATCTTCGCTCCGGAGGACTGGCAGAGGTTTCGCCCTACGAGCTTTGAAGCCAAGGAGTTTATTCAGTTCCAGCTTTGGGGCTGGGGGGTGGGCAGGAGACTCTTTCTCTCTTTCCCCCACTTTTGGGTCTTCTGCAAAGAGGCAGGGACTAGGCTTAGTTCTGCGGGTGCCTTTGCCTGCTCTGCTTCCTCCCTTGCTGCCCAGTCATGTTGATGGGATCACAAGCTTCCCCTCTGCTCTCCTTGTACGTCCAGTTTCGCCTTTTCCCCAAAGATTGTGCAGGGTGCTCTCTTTCAGCCGCAGTACAATCCAGGGGCCACCACCAACAGGGCCCTGCTTCAGTCAAGGCAGTGGAAGCAGGGTCTGCAGCAGCTCAGCCCCTTGTGAGTTACGCGGCCTCCTGGAGGTGCTCCACCACCGCAGCCATGGAAGAGGTTGGCCGGAGACTGGGGCGCAGGCTTGGGCCTTTCACGGAGAGGGGGGAGTTCTGGCTCCTAAAGGAGCCCAAGGGAGGAAAGGAGAGTGCTGGGAAGGCTCATGGGCACGGCCTGTGCTCTCTTCTTCAAACGCCTGAGTTCTTGGATACTTGGGGTAACACGACCAGTAACACCAGCACCCAGCCCAACTTCTTCCCATTGCTGGCTCGGGGCTTTGCAGGGCCAACAGCACTTCCGACAGGAGCTCGCTCCCTGCAAACAGACAGACAATGCCATTGATTGTAGGAGGGGACAGACAAGCGCTATTTTGCAGAACCCACCCTGCCTGCTCTAAGCCCCTCCCCAGCTAACGAGCACAAGCCACTGGTGGTCCAATGACGGGGTGTAGAGCTTAGACCCTGACTGCAAACACTGCCCTCCCCTTGAACACAAAAGCCTGCAGCTTGGCTTGGCTTCCCACCAGTTGCAATTGCAAAGTAGAGGGGAGGAAAGCTTTTGGTTAAATTGGGTGTATTGTACAGCCTCCGACCCCTGTTCAGCAATCTAAGCCTGTGACTACCAAGTGGGCATGTGCCCCCTTTCATGCAGCCACAGTACTGCCCACACACTCACCATCACATGCGCCCACTCTCATTCATGCACTGAACACCCACAGATCAGGCTGGGCTTATGGCATTCAGGCATGCTCCTTGCACAGGTTGCAACCAAAGCTGTGGGCCCCCATCTCCCTGGCCATTTCCGACTGAGGCGATAAACTGCCAGGGATGGAGCAAACCCAAATTTCAGACCTGCTGCTGCGGCAGTGAAAGGCAGGACTCACGAAACAGCAGGGCACAAAAGCACCAGGAGAGGCCAAGAGAAGACAGCAAAGCACAAGTACCAGAGCACTACCTCACTTCTCCTCCTGATGGCACTGCTAGCCCAACAGCACTCCTCTGCTCATCCACAAACCATCGCAGAAGCCGCCAGCCCACACATGTCACAGCTTCACCCCTCAAGGGACTGCTCTCCACATGGCGCATCACACGCCACTGCCAAGATGTGTGCTGATTCCTCCTTCTCTGCCTTGGCTTACCCCCTGCCCCCAGGTAATAGATGCCAACCAACAACCTCCCATTCATAGCAAAGCTGCTTCCAATGCAGCTTAGGGACCACTAAGCGTGAAGCAGGTTGCCCTGAGCTAAAACTGAACTTTGACACTTGCATCAGGTAAAGGCCCCACCATCAGCTACATCTCCACCCTCCTCCTGCCTGCTTAGTTCATTGCTTGTTAGTTCTGATGTCTGCCAGTAGCTAGGCCACCACAATCCAAGGCAAGTAAGTACGTTATTCCCAGGATATTTCATAAATGGACTGATCCCAGAACCCCATTTCAGGAAATCACAACCACTCCAGAGGGAGAATTCCTCCTGCATGTGTACTGCAGCGGATCACAAGCTGTGGGGATGAGGTGATCTGAATCTGGCCTTTGTACACTTAGGCTGCATTCTAGACAGGCACACATGCAGCAAGAGGTATTCCACATTCCACCCAAGCAAACAGAGGAGGAGACTGCAAAACAGGGCAGCAGGGGGCGTGGCCTAGGCAGGGAGGGTGCAACCAAGGGCCAGGTAGAGAGGCCTGTTGCTGCCCACTTTTGGCTAGTGTGCACCCTATTTAACTTGGGAATCTCTGTAAGCACCGTTCATAGAATGGCCTTTCAAAGTGTCATCAGAGCTTCCCCAAATGTTAACAGGACCTATTTGGGATTAGACCTTTCTGAGTAATTCTGTACTGAGGAACAACTCCATTTCTCCTTACTGGGGAGCCTTTAAAAGTATCTCACTGTCACCTCAAACACAGCTGAGAGGGTATTCCCCACCATATCAAGGCGTTAAGATATAAGCCTTCAAGCTTTTATTATTGCTTACGCTAAGCCAGCCTTCTTATCAGAGCCCAAACCAGCAGCTAAAACTTAAGAAGTGGGCTGAGCTTCAGCCTCCTGTGAATCTCCTTCATGTTACCGAGAGCCCCCGTCAGCTGCCAACCCTGTCGGTGTGTTTTAAATGTACAGAGCCAGAGTGCATGATCGGCAGCCATTAACAGTTATGGTTAACAGCTAGCAACTAAGCTGTGTTCCTGGATCTGTTCTCTTGCTTCACATCAGGTCAGATCAAGGCCAAGCGTTCTTTGTAAGAAGCCCATCAGTCAACAAGTGCTGAGTGCTCTGTCAGAAACAGGGACCCTGGTCTGAGTAGGCTGCTGTTTACCTTCCACCTGCCTGCATTAAACTATTTGGTCAGAAGAGACACCACAGGCCAGCCAATCACAGAAAATGCCTGAAATGTCAGTCTTCTAGCCTCAGTACAATTGACCACTGCTTAAGGACTTCCTCATAATGGCCCTATACTAAAGTTTTGGGTTTGAATGGACCCTTTTGCCACCTGTGTGGTGCTTGTCTGGATCATTTCCTTTGTTATTATTCATATTCTAAGGCAGTATCCCCAAAATATTCCATCTGGGACTCAGCCAACTGAACTATATATTACCTTGAGCTATAGGCCTTCTGAATCTTTGACAAGGCACATAGATAAGCCTTTCTACTTATCTACGTGCAGGCCCATTATTAAAAACACAAGTTACATTAAGACTGTCAAGTTTACACTCAGAAGTGGTGGCCACAAGTTAGAAGAGAAAAGGAAGTGTAACTGGGTAAGCAGGTGAGTGGCTGAATCCACACAGGAAATGAAGCAGCCCGTGAAACATGGGCTGAGTGGGAATGTCCTTTGTCCCTTCTTTGAATGCACGTGTCCCAGTTGGTGGCTCCATCAAGGAAGTGTGATGGAGCTAAAACAAGCCCAGGAAGAACAACTTTGCAGCTGCCAATATGGCAGCAACAGGGGAGATTGCCAAGATGAAGTCAAGCTCCCCCCCTTTCCTCCCGGTTTACTCTTCCCCAAAATCTGCTAATTGAAAACAGGATTTTCTAAGGAACTACAAAATTTCAGCGTGATTAGGTCAACAGCAAGCTGACATTAACTAAATGCCCACAAAAAAGGCTGCAAATGATCACGTTGTACAAGGGTGGAATTTGTTAATGGGCACTGAATTCAGCTTTCCGGGAAGACCAGATTTTATGTTTAAAGTACGTTTCTAACCTTTATTGCCATGAAGGCAGGCTTGTAAGGTTAAGCAATGTGTCATGACAGACTGGTTAAGTGGTTAGAGTACTGGGATAGGACCAGAGAAACCAGGGTTCAAGTTTCATGACTGAGTGATCTTGGTTCAGTTACTATCCTATAGCCTAGCCTAGCCCACTGGGTTGTTGTGAATAAAAAATAGCAGAGGGGCAAGGTATGTGGCTCTGAGTAACGCGGAGGAAAGCAGGGAAATAAATGTAATGAATAAACGGGGGGGGGGGGGATCCGTGAAATTTCAAAAGCCACAGTGGGAGATGAACAGGATATTCAGTTGCCAGGGAGAAGATTTACAGGGTTGTGCATAGCTCTCTGCACCTTCCCATTGGTTAGAAGAAAGTATAATGCAAAATGACCCAAAAAATCTCCCAGGAGATCTAAAAAAAGAAAAATGGTAATAAGAAAACCACTGACAATTTGGTTCCCCTTGATGGTACCTCAAAATATGCCATCTGAGAGAGCCTACCTCATCTTATCCCATTTTGGCTCACCTGGGTGCTTGCTTTGATTTGCATAATTGTACAAAGATTCAGCTTTCCTAGAATTAACTGAGTGCAAAAACACATACACACACACAACCTGCTTCCGAAGAAGTATAGAATTGCAGACACTTTCTAAATGCAGAGCACAGAGAACTCTGTAACAAAGACAAGGTCACAGTGCCAGACCTCCACCTGGGACAACCTTGGTGCTCGGTGAGATTGCTGGCTGCTGGCCAGAAGGAAGAGGTCACAGAGCTACCGAGATCTCCCTGAATATTCTGCTGTACATGAGAACAGTATAATCCTAGCAGAGAGCAGTGCAATATTCATACCCCTGCAGGACAAAAAGCTCCAGTTACAGGTGGCCATAAACCAGTGACCAATATATGCCTCTGCTGGGAGGTAACAGCGGGAGAGGGGCATTGCCCTGATGTCCGGCTTGTGACCTTCCCAAAAGCAACTGGGTGGCTACTGTGAGAACAGGAAACTAGAGTAGCTAGGCCTCTGGTCTGATCCAGCAGGGATCTACTTGTGCTCCAAGTGAACCTACTATATGACCCTGTCTTACTGATCCCATGGTCCTCAGTACCAAGGTCTTCTCAAGGCAATGCCTCCACCAGCGGCCTTAACATCCTGTTTAAGATACTTAATAAAAATCGTCCATTCCAGCAGAGAAGGCCAGGATGGTTCTTCCAAATGTAGCTCATCTTTACCTATAAATATCCTTTCTGTGTGTGTTTTTAGAAGTCCCTAATAAGATGAAGATAGGTATGGATACATGCACCTCAGTATGTTATTGAGGGTTTCTGCATAGAAAGCATTGCAAATGGTGATGCAGGAGGGAATTGCAACAGGGCCTGTGCACGGCTCCCCGAGACTCCAGTGCCTCCCCACCTCCTCAAACAGGAGAGAACAGCTACGCCTGTGCTGGGCAATGCAGATCCCAGCCTCAAATCACGACAATAAATGTCAAGTAAAGACTTAGCAGCACCTTGGCAAGGACTCCTCCACAGCATGAATCTGGCCTCGTGCAAGGCTGGCATCTACGGGACACTGAGATGACTGGTGTGCTGTGTTGGCTACGGCTGCTGGAGGGGCGGGGGTTGGGAGGGAGGGAGGGAGGAGCACTGCATCAAAAGGACTAGTCCACCTTAAAAGCACAGGCTGCCAATCCATCCAGAACAGGGACTGCTCTGGCCTGCAGCTGGAACCTCTGGTTTCAGCTCTGATTCTGGAGCAGTGGGCTTCCTTGCCTCTCCAACGTCAGATACACCATTGGTGGGCATGAGGCCTGCCCTTCCCCGTTCATCTTCAGACATATGCTCAGGACACATGTTGGCTTCTGAAGATAGGGTGCCTTTACAGGTAATATGTCCCTACCAGGACTGTTACAGGCTGTGGCTTCTTCTTGCACACCAGCTTTGCTCATCCATGCAGATGACACCAACAGCCCTTGTGCACAACTAGGTTACATACATTCCTGGGCAGCAGTGTGTGTGTGTGTGTGTGTGTGTGTGTGTGTCCACACTGAATGGGAAACTGAACAAGCTCTCAATTATTTTCTCTGATAGCACAGAGGGCACCTCAGATTCAAGGCAAGCACTTCTTACATTTTCCTACCTAGCCACCACTACAGAAGCTCCCAGGCTTAATTTAAATTAAAGCTGATACACATGAAGTCAAACAGACCACTGAGTATGTCCATCTGACCCTCTGGCAATCCACAGCCATGCACACAGCCATCCACGCCTAAAGTGGGCATCCAGGAACCACTATGGCTTCCAGGGGCACTTAATTTCTGCTGTCTCCTGCCTGATAAGCTTTACAAGTTGCCCTAAAAGACCTGACTCCTGATCGTGACCACGTGAGGCAGCCTGCAAAGGTTACTGGTGTCCTGCTTTTCCATCTTATGGTCCAGGATCAAGATGCAGCCTAGAAAGCAAATTCCAGGGCTGAGCCCAGGCATAAATTAAACCCTGGAGGTCAGGTTTAACACAATGACATCTTTTTAGCCTGTCACCCAAAGGAAGCTGCCTTATACTAAAATCAGACCACTGAATTGGCTCAGTGTTGCCTTCGCAGACTGACAGTAGCTAAAGTTCCCTGGTCAAGTGTTTTGGTGGGGCACAGAAATTAGTATCAGAGCAAGAATAACTGGGGAACAAGGACCGTGGCCTGATCTCTCAACTGAGCTATGGTGCCTCCTTCTCTTGAAGGATGGGGAGGGGGGCCATTTATCTGTTTTGTTTTTCTAGAAGGCAGATTAACCCTGTCCACTCAAAACACTAAAGCAACCTTCTGACGCTGCTTGCATTTGGGGAAACCCAGTGGGCCTATGCAAGGCCCTCCGACTCTCCCCCGTCTTGGTGCATGATGATCTCCGGTGCTTACAGCTAGCTTAAGATGCTTCCCACCTCTCGGAATAGCGTCTCTACCGTGGCAGTGCCCATTATCATCCTCCCTACCCCGCAAACACAGCGGCTCCAGCCAACATGAGAGGCAGCGATCCTGAGCAGAATGCACCTACCAAGCTGGCGTTGCGAAGAGGCGGCTTTTGTGCGCGCGCACACACAAACCAAGCGCACACACGCACACCCCACAACGCAGAGATGGGTGCGCGCTCAACCCAGGCAGGCGAGAGCGCGCAGGACTTCTCTCCTGCCGCCCCCCCCCCCCGCGTTCCTTCCCCAACCTGCCAACCGCCTCCTAGCAAGTCCATTGCCAGCGCCGGGTGACGCCGCCACGTTCCCCAGCTATGCCAAGTCCCCAGGTGCCCAAGCAACAGGAGGCGCCGAAGCTGCAACCCCGGAGGGTCTTCCCTGGGGTCGCCCCGCTCGCTTGGGGGCGAGCAGACCATCACTCCTGTCTGCAGGCACCTTAAGGGGCAGCTGCACGTGGGTAGAGGGGCGACCGGCCGGCCGGGCCCCTTCCACCAGTTGTGGGCAGCTGAGGGGTGGGGGAGAAGAGAGCAGGAGACAGGCAGCTAAGCGCAGAGGAGCCTCGCTTGGCAGGTGGCTGGTGATGGGGCTGCCGCCTCGCCTCGATGGGCCCCCGGTGACTCCCACAGGGTCTCTCGCCTTTTTCGTTCTCACCGTCACTTCCAGCGCCGAGATCAGGGATCGCCCGCAGGAGCCCCATCTCGGGAAGCCGGCAGAGCCATCCCTTCGGCTTCGGTGTGGCGTGGAGCGGGGCTGGGGCAGGCGCGGCCAGGAGAGCGCGGCGTCAGGCGTGTGGGCTGCCTCTCGCCTTGCCCATTGCCCGACGCGGCAGCTCCACGCGGGCGGTGCCGGGCTCTCCCTTTGTCTCCTCCGCCGCCGCCGCCGCAAGCGCTCGCGCGTCTCTTCCTTTCTTCTTTCTTCTCTCTCCAGCTCCTGCCTGCCTCGCTCCCTCGCTTGCTTGCTCTGCCGGCCCCGCCCTCTGGCTCCTCCCTCCGGCGGCGGCGGCCCTCGCCAGCCTCTTCCTGCCCACTTCGGGGGGCCTGCAGCCTCGTGGGGACGGCGCACGGGTCTTTCCTAGGAGAAACCCCGGGACTGCAAGGCCGTCCGGAGTGGGATGCGGTGGGCGTCGCCGGGAGGGCGACCTAACTAGCGTCAAACAGCAGTGGCAGCAGCGCCTGGGGCTCGCTAATCTTGGGGGCTCCTTTGCTTGCTTGCTTTTTTTTTGCTCCTCGTTGGAATTTCCTGCCGGGATTCGCTTGGCTCCCTCGCTGCCCTTTCCGATCCGGGCGGGCTTCTCCCTCTGCTCCCGACGTCACGACTGTAGCCTCGGCACGTCAGGGCCAAAGCGGGGGGCGCAGAGGTGGGGGGAACGCCAGGCAGCAGGGAAAGTCCGGCAAAAGCACCTCCGAGGCCCTCCCAGCCCTCCCCCGAAGAGAAATCCGTGATCTCTGCCTCCTCGCTTCCCGAGCCAAGAATAGTCCCTGGAACCGAGGCCTTGATTCATAGCCTCCTTCCCCCCACCTCCGCCACCCTAACGCACACAGACGCAAGAGGAAATCTATTCCTAGGCTCTGGTCTTGGTGAGCAGCAACACAGCAAAGCCTCAAGAAAGCAGAAAAGGCTTGGGTTGGGGGAGACCCCCGGGTTACCTAAAACCGCACGTGCCGCGCTGAGGTGTGTGCTGGGAAGACGCACATGCTGCAGATCCCCTGCTATTCTCAGATCTGGGTTCTGGAGGCCCCCTGTAGATAGACAGATGCCTTCTTAATGTGGCATGGCCTTTCCTTCCTCTTCTGGAATGCCCAGTGCAGGTGTCCACCAGGGGACCCAGTTAAGTGAAGCATATGTCGAAAGTCTCTCCTTAAAATGGTGCAAGATAAGGGTTAACAATGGAAAGCCCATGCCCAAGTTTGCCCTTCCCCTACCTGCCCCCCTCTCCTTCTTAACCCAAATGTGAAGGGTGTGTATGAAAGGAGGGGTGGGTGTAGCAAAGGGAGGCCTCCAGTGGATGTGGCATGGCTTGGCCAGCAATCCGACACCTTGTTCAAGAGAGGGTGCTTCCCGACTGCTGCCGGTTTTTGCGGTGGGATAATCACACACTGTACTGGCACAAATCCCAGGTCATACATGGAGGTCTTGTGCAACAGATCCGCTCCCCCCAAAGATGGTGACTTACTGCTATAAAGAACAAGTCAAGAATTTCAATAACCCTTGCTTTGTGGTTTTCAGCCACCATTTCTGCCCATTGTCTAACCTCCCTGCAGATCGTCTGGGAGGTGTGAGGGATATTTACTAACTAGGGGTTGTAAAGTCTCTCGATCACCCCTTACAAACACCCAACCTGCCAGCACGGCAGAGCCTGGCCTTTAACCACTTGCACACCATCAAGCGCAGAAGTTTTTTAATGTTTCGTTTGTAAAGACCCAAATAGCTGTTTGGAAGGGTCACTACACCACACTCCCTGGGTGTCTGTTCATGTATGATGCCGGCTGTGTTTTATGCTAGGCCCTTTCACCCCATGGACCAGAGAGGGCTGGCAATAGTGCCTGGGTCATTGTTACTGGAGGATTTGCAAGGAGCCCTGTGGAAGAGCCTGGGGCTGGTCAGCAATGCCTCCTCCCCTCAGCCATGTGCTCTCTGCAGAGCTGACAGTTGTCATTCCTGACTGCAGAGAAGCAAGCAGGGTGGGGTGCGGGGGGGGGGCGCACACACCATGGCAGCAATAATGCAGCCTGCAGGCCTCTCTGTGCTGCTGTCATGGTGACAAAGCCGGGAGAAACACACGAAGCTGCCACTCAGTAGTAGTTAATGAAAAGTGTCGTGCCTGCCTGGCGAAGCCTGGGGAAGGGGAGCTGCGAGGAGTCCTGTCAGGGAAATGTAAGTGGACAGATAACCTTGTCACCTCACCACAGGGTAGGGGCAAAGCAAGGGTATTGGGACTTGGGTATGGATCACCCTAAAGGAAATGGTGAGAAAGGGGGACAGTGGACACACACAGGAAGCTGGCTTGAAACTTGAGTCAGGCCATTGGTCTCACTGTTGACTGGCAGTGGCTCTCCAGGCTTTTAGATGAAGGACAGCCCCTCAGGATGCGAGGAATTGAACCTGGGGCCTTCTGCATGCGCAGCAGATGCTCTTCCACTGAGCTGCATCCTCAAAGTGGCATGACCCACAGGCTGTGCCTAGGCAAGCATGCTGTCACATCACCCAGGTGGCCACGTTGTCCCAGTCTGAGAGAGCTCACCCCAGAGCACCTTCAGCACCCATCTGAAATCTCTCTAATGTCCTGCTTTCTGGTGCTGAGAAGTTACCACCTCCCTGCTGCCCAAGGTGTCTGGACAACATGGGTGTGACAAACAAAATAATCCCTTGCCACCTAGCAAGACAGCATTGGCAAGCAGCTTACCAAGTGGTTACATGCAGCATACCGGGCAAAGTCAGCAGCCATGTTGGGCATGGGGAGCTGTGTGATGCAAGAAATAGATGTCAAGTGTTCTCAGTTGCTAAGGGTCCTGATGTACCTACTTGACTGCTCCCTTTGCTACAGATGAATGAACACTCCTTGCCATCACTGAGTTGTCCAGCAATCTTCACTTGCATCATGGGATAGACTCTGAGAGAGCAAACAGTTACATGTCGTGAGTCAGCTCTGTTGTGCTGTGGCTGTTGCCCCCTGTGGAATGTGACCCAGAATGGCACTTCCTGTGTGTGGGTAGGAACTGGGACTTACTCAGCGTTGTGCATGGAACATTGTATTCCTACTGGAACAGGCCATTTGCGGATGCCCATTCTTCAGCAAAAATCTACTGAACACCAGAGCCTTCTAGCATATTTCTCTGGTTATACTAGCATACTTTAGTTATGTTAGACCCTGCATCATATCGGAATCGAAAATAAAATTGCCAGTATCATAATGCCGTTATACAAATCTATGGTGTGAGCATATTTGGAATAATGTGTACATTATTTATTTACCTGCAATTTCTTCCCTGTCACACTTGTACTATATCTGCCACCCAAGCTGACACTCTTTCATTCCCTGTCCTTTTACATTCACTTCTTCCCTCATAACAGTTTCTTATGTCCCCTTTCTTTCTACCCCCCCATTTCATATTATTCTTAAACAAAGATTAACCTTTTATCTCTCTAATTTCGTTCAACAACATCTCTGGCCTTCACCCCTTAAAAGAGGGGCCCTCCCTTCCTCACCTCTACACAGTATGTGGGGAACTGCTGGTGCTGATATTGCTCCAGGTCTTCAGCCAAAATATTACACCACACGGAAGGGGCAGTATGGGCAAGTGAGGGAGGCACTGAGTAGATGGTGGCACTGAGGCCTACCTGGAAGTGGGCAGATCTCCACTTGGCCCTGGCCTACTGTTTGAGAAACACTGACACTGAGGGAAGATCACACTAAGGGCTTATCCAGACTTCTACGTGTCCCACCATTTTCCCACAGGGAAACTCGATTTTTACCACTCAGTTGGAGCAAATGTCAATCAGGTTTTCTGTGGAATGACATTTGCTCCAATTTAGCACCAAAGAGTGGATTTTAATGGGGAAAGTGGCAATGCAAACAGAAAACTGCTTGGATGGACCCCAGCTTCCTCAAAGTGTGCACAAGCCCCAAGACTTTGGGAGCCTGCAGATTGCCATACTGTAGGGTAGCACAGTCTCATAATGCTCTGGACTTTGGCACACAACACTTGCGACTGCAACTCCACCACAACCCAGTTAAAAAATCAGGTTTGCTGCTAGCTTCTTAACTGCACAGGTCATGGCTAGAATTGAGAGAAAGGAGGGAGTATCCAAAAAAGCTGCTGCCATCAGCCGCGTGTTGTGCGGAGTGAGGAGCTGTTTCCTAGCAACAGCTAAGAGCGCTGCTCACCCTGAAAAGAAGCCTCCCACAGTTCATCCCAGGAAAAGAAGCAGGACATCAGGTTGCTGCAGGGATAAGAGGGTAGCATAGGCCCAGTCAAGGGAAGGGGAGCTTGGTTCTGAAATACCTTTATGGGAGCAATATTGCCAGGCCAGCAGTGAACAGTTGGGGAGGGGGGAGTCCATTGGCTGGGCTTGGAATAAAGCAGAATTGGGATCTGGGGGACATTTTGAACTCTCCAGATTTCCAGTTTTAGCATTGGGATTCTAACTGCAGTATTCTGCCTCAACATTTAAAGCGTGGCAGATTGTAAGAGCTTTCAACTGTTGAGCAGTCTCTTTAAATGGTTGTTGTCAGACATTTAATAGGCTATTTTGTAAGTGGCAATCTAATCAATAAATGGTAAACCCTCTGGCTATGGATGTGGAAGAGCTTGCATGTATCACCCCATCTGTGGTAAAGAGAGGTGTAGCCTTTTCTATGCTTTGCCATCATGTTTACACTTATGGCTGCGACAATAAAAAGATAGGCTTCTCCACATTTGGTGCATTCAGTTAAGAAGTAGCTTGTTTCCAAACAGGGCCGACCCACCCATGAGGCAAGGTGAGGGGACCGCATCAAGCGGCAGGATCCACAGGGGCAGCGGAATCTGATGTAGATCTTTATTCTTCCTTTGTTCCTGATGTCGATCTTCACTCCCAGTTTCTACCCTGGTGGGGAGCAGGCTGCCATTTTGTGGTTAACCTCAGGTACAAAAATGTCTTGGGCTGGCCCTCTTTCACAATTACCACTGCTATGTTGACAGCACATTGTTCTTCATAGGGCAGGGATGGGCAACCTGTGGCCCACAGCCTAATTTCAAATGCCCTTTGCAAGTGAACACTTCAGACCTTAGGCGCATGACAAAGGGGTGACAGAAATAAAAGGGGCTGCTCAGTTGTGGCTCTGTCCCTATCCACAAATTATCTCTGAGGGTATGTGTCTTGTGTCCTAGGGCTTTTGAGTGAGACTTGTACTTATTCCATTTTCAGGCAGTTTTAGTTTTCTAAGTGTACTGTGTCAAGCGCTTGTCTCATTTTTGCACATGTTGCTATCCTCAGGTGTCTTGTTAAAGAGAAAGCTGTTGCAGCACTCCAACCCAGGTCATTAAAATATCTATTTGTTTATTAAATTTATATCCCACCCTTCCTACCAAAGAAGTTCAGATAATTTTTTTCTCCATAGTGAACTATATATTTTGGACAGAAAAAGTATGCTACCTGCATGGAACTGCCTGGGAGAATAGCAACTTAAGGGGCAATTATATCATATTGGGACTTTCTAGCGCCCGCTAAGAAGGACAAATTTACTTTTATTCCTCTCTTTGTTTTGTTGACCAGTCATTTGCCTTTATGAATTCATGAACCTTGTAGAAAATGTATCTTAGTAAACAATTCTTGTAAAGAACAGATAAAAAAAAAAAATGATTGCAATATTGCAAAGAATTAACTGAACTCCTTTGGAATGTAGATTTTAAATATGAACATATGTAGATAATTGTCACCTGATGTTGACCATCAGCTATCAAATGATGAACATATAAATAGATATATTAATAGTGGAGAAAACTATACAAGATTTTTATATAGACATCATATATAGATATAAATCTATATCAACTATAGATATAGAGCTATATCATATATAGATATATTCATATATATCAGATACCACTGATGTCATATAGACTATTTCAGTGAAAGTGAAATATTAAGCAGTCTTCTGCAATGTCTCCAATAGTTGGAATCAACTATACTGTCAAACCCTGACATCCAGTGTTAGATATAAAAATCTAGCGGATATCAAAACACACCGAGTTGCTTCTTGGGACAGTTTATTAGGACAATTTTATTTTAGCTCTAGCTTTCACCTCTGTTAGACTGGTCCTGGTTAGGTTCATGTATGAGAGCTGAAGAATAGTTTCCTCTAGAATTAGAAGCAAGTAATTAATGCAATATCACACTTGGCTATTCTTTTCAGGATTCACTGCTAGATGCTGCCGTCTTTTCATCTCATGAATTCATAGGCTAACCATGATCTCCAGCATTTCTCACCATCATTTTGAGACCTTCTGAGGAGGTACTGTTCCCTTCAAAAAGAAGGCTTAGGGCAATGAGGAGCAGGGCCCATTCCCTGATAGTAGAAACCTCATCGGGGAATGATTTGCCTAAAGAAACTCACTTGGTCAGTTGACTGAGCCAATTTAAACCATTTAAGAGGATGACATTTGGATGAATCGCCCATTGGATAAATGGTCCATTGCTACTTCTGTGACTTCCTTTTATTGCTGTCAAGGTTTGTGATTCTTGTGTGTTATTTACGTTGAATTTTATTTGTGTTTTAACTTGGTGTCTATTAGCTGACACAAGAGCCTTTTGCCTGAGTAGCAACATTTGTTGGAAAAAATGAACAGTTCAATGCATACTTGACATAATTTGTAGAACTGGGATCAAAAAGAGAAGAACAAGGCTTGGGGAGGAGGGGGGACATGTCCCTGTCTAAGGCCATAGAGAACTTCCAGTCAAGGTAGACAATATCAGTCCTACTGGTCTGCATCAGTACAAAGCAGTTTCATATATTTTACCCCATCAAGTATTAAGGCTAGTGCAGGTGTGATATTATGGCTGTCCAGGGAGTGGGAATAAGTCTATAGGGAATGAATAACAATGACTGATGGAACACAAAGATTGCTGTGACCCCATTTGCAGGCAACTCCCTTCCCTATTTTTGCTCCTGCTGTGGATGCATTGTGCTTCTCCAGGAGACCAAACATCCAGTGTTGGACCTCCTCTCTAGGACTGAGAGTTTGGTTCTGCTGAGTCTCCGCAGTTAAAACATTCGAAGGGATTTTACCCTAAAATGCCCCCTTTTCCTGCTGGCTGGGGGAAAAAAATCCATCCACCTCCGCCTGTTTCTATGGCAACTGTTCCCAAGATAACAAACTGCACTCACCAGTCTCATGCAAAGCACTGCAGAAAATGTAGCTGGGACATGGTTCTTAGAATTGGGATCAATCCCCCCCTCACCCAATCTCAGACAATTGTTTGCAAGGAGTTTCAGAACTTCAATGGCCCCATCCTCAAAAGGAAGCTCAGTTTAGGTGTCAGCTCATAAGGCACACTCCAGCAAAAGTTCAGCTCATCTAAACCCAATTGTGTTGAACTCAGCTGTTTCTCTCCCATTAACTACAGTGGAACTAATAGTTTGACCTGCTCTGTTCCTTGAGCAAAGTATGTTT